CGCGTACAGCAAACTAACTAGCATAATGTGCAATGTTATTGGTGTGTCGCATAAAAACAACACCAACGGCTATTATCTGATAACGGACAATTCCCCATCCATGCTCCAATTGCAGTTCGAGATTTGGTTAAGGCTGGAGAACATAAATGTCTATACTTAACTACCAATTCACCGTTCTCGAATCCAGTTGAAAAATTTGTTCGAAAGCGGGATGATATAATGACAGACATGCTGATTGAGGGAGAACGACTGAATGGTCATCGACAACTCTGATCCTACGAACATAATGCGAAAAGATGCTGTCAGTAAAGTGGTAGGGACATATAATAACATCAGAGGGCCTCTTCCATTTATGCGTTGACTTCGGAGTTATTCAACGTCTATTCTATGTAGGCAGGACTCAGTGATACGATGAAACGCATCACATTCTGCGTCCACTACTGATGCTGTGGCACTGTTACTGCTCTCATACATAATCTAATAATCAACAACGCTGATGCTACAAATAGAATTTAAGAAGATGGAGAGATTCAGGTGATAGAAAGACTTGAATGACAGTGGAGATTTCCGCTGGCAGGACTCAGAGTTACGATGGAATGCATCATATTCTGCGTACACCAGTAATGCCGTGGTACTTTCAAAAAGATTTTGTGATTAAGGTGGTGCGGCCATTTTGAATAACCGCGGTAACAGAAAGCTTTTCTTTGTTAAGAGGGATATATCTGTCTCGATGTTAATGTCAAACTATATGAACAATAACATCTTTCATCTGATGTTTTGGCATGCTTTATGAACTTTCTATGTAGTCCGATAGCCTTTCTCTTTGCCTCAATAGTAGTATGGCACAAGGTGAATACCAAATTTTTAATGTATCCATCCAACAGAGTGACCATCTTTCATAGGAGGCTCTAAGAAGCCTCGAAACATCCAAGATATAGTTTGATGGTCGTGATCCTTCAGTTTTGCCGTCCATCGCGCACCATATCCTTCCTTGTTTCTAACTTCATAGGCTAAAATAGCATGCTTAAGTTTTATCATGGTAAGTGTTCGTTTAGGAATTCAAACCATATTATCATAAACCTACTGGGAGTTCATGGAGATTTCTCCAGACTGGTCTTTGCAAGATCTTTGACAACACCGTATTTGCTGCCTCGTTTTTCATTTTTTCAGCTATTGCGATATGTAGTTACTTCACAGTGTATGCTACCAAAATCAGACTAGATACCTACTGCCTTTGCAAACACCCCAAAATTTTGCTTTTAGGTCACGGTGTACGTGTTTACTGAATGCTTTCCCTCCGACAGTTAAAATAGAAGGTTTTACTCCTGGCCTGACGCTTGAAACTGCGAGTTGATGCAAATGCGTAAAAGAGGCCATACACTGCTGTAAGGAAGGCGGCATGACTTCTAGCGTACTGCTTCCCTCCGTAGTCCTTAGTGATAGTAAAGTTCTAATGTCGTTGGGAACCACGAACTGAAACTTGATTTGAACGACATGAAAGAATCCCTGACTCAAAGATGTAGGAACTTACATCGCGGAAAAATCGTAGGATTATTTCGTTTTCGTTTTCAGGTAGGCTGTCGATAGTTGAAAACATTTTTTTCAGCCCTTCCTCAAGTTCAAATATTCTAAGACAAATAGCAAGTTCACTAACATGTTGATGTGCTGATGATTGGTTATCATTATTGTAGCCCTACCGATGAGAGTTAGTAATATTCAAAGTTTCAAAGGGGGACGTTCGCATTTCGTCCGGTATTTTCCCTTTTGAACCATAGCACACATTCATGTTATCGACCAATGCCCGAAAATACGGTCGAGAAAGTGCTCCTGACCAAGTTGCCTTTTCATCCTGCTGCAGCGAGCAGAGAAGCATTTCTTTAAGGTGCAAGTAGGCATCTGATGTAAACTATTCAATATGTGAGCTCCTACATAGAGAAAGTCTTGCTACTCTCGGCAAATCTTACCAACTCTTCTTCTTCGGAATCTTCTATAAGTAGATTGTAATAAATGGAATGCATCGCAATATCTTCAGCTGCAAGCTTCGATAAGATAGATTTCATAAGGTTGTCTGTTATAAAGGAAGCACGTTGAACGCGTTTAGGCTGGTGTTCCATTTGCATTATTGAATGCGTTTAGTTGGCAATGATCTATTTATGCAGGTCAGCGTTTAGGTACGTTGCTGTAGCTGTCTACTTTAATTTACTAGGCGTGATGCGACTGCTCTTCCGTTGAAGTTACACCGCATCAGCAAAAAAAGTAACATAACAGAATGGTTTTGGAAGTACACCCTAACAGTGAATTGAACATATTAGTTGTAAAATATACAATAAGGGTAGCGTCTCTCCCAAAATCTCCGTATAGGGGATAATGATAGGAATTATAGCAGCCAAGTCTTCAATTACGCTGGTATGAAATTGTAAGCCTAGGCGGTTTGTATACTTTTGGAAACAGCTGAACTTATAGCCATTAACAACACTCTTAGACTGCCTTTCATTGACGACCAATTTTTTTTGTAAGTACAAACAGAAACAAAGTAAAACGGATTCGCACTACGGTATTATTAGGTCAAAACTTGGTTATAGATATAGAAAAGTCAAAGGAGTTCACTACTATCGACTCCCTCCCGAAAATGGCCAGGTAGAGATATCAGTTACGTTTGTGCGTTGGCATTCCCCTTCCTATATACAGAGCTGTGGAAAGTGTCCTGGTATTCTAGAGTTGCTGAGATAATTTAACAAAGTTGATTTTTAAATTTGCTCCAACTGGGAGCTGAATTCCTCAAGCTGGTTAGCCAGATCTTGGTATTTTGCTTGCAAATCATCATATTTCTTTTCCTGCGCCTGTATTTCGGCCTCCAAATGATGACGCTTCCTTTCAAAGTGTTCTGCTTTGACATCCGCTTCTCTGAAACTGAGATTGGTGTTCAATGGCTTTGATAGGATAACCTTCAACATAACATGTCAATTGTGGTTGCTACTTACTTTTGAGTTGTTTCACGTAATGCCTTGTCCGAATTCTCTAACTCTGCCTCTAACAAGGAGATTTTCCGCTGCGCCGCTTCATATTCCTTGCGAATATCATCTTCCTTGTTTTCGCCCTGCTTCAAACGCTCAACTTCGTCCTGCGCTTTTTCTAATTTTTCCTCAAGCTGCTTGTTTCTATTGTTCAGCGAGTATATTTCTCGCTCCTGTTGAGAGTTCAAATCTTGCAAAGCTTTCAGTTGTTGGTCCAAAGACTCTGCGCGAGCGTTCGCCTGATCGGCAAGATCGCGATAGCTGTTGATTTTCTATTATGTGCATAAGCTTTCCATTTAGTTTTCAGTTGCATGTAAGGAACTTTTTTTACCTCGCGTAGCTTATCCATATTGTGGTGAAAGTGGGAAGGAAAGGTAGATGAAGAGACGGAAGACGAAGCTGTGACTTTCAAATCAACACCGCCGTCCAATGAAATACACTTAACGTCTAATCACGTGAAACAGCCAAGCCTCTGCATCCTGCGCAAATTTCAAAAGCTTCCATTTCTTTCCTAACTGATCTCTACCTGATAACTGATTCATAATGGTTCGCGAAACGAAGCTTTACGAAGTCCTCGGCGTTGCTCCTGACGCTACAGATGCTGAACTCAAGAAGGCTTACCGCAAATTGGCTTTGAAGTATCATCCAGACAAAGTACGTAGTCCAATCAACCATTCGTACCTGAATTGGTGATTAATATTCCAGCCACATAACCGATTACTAACCAATGCTCATAGAATCCTGAAGCCGGTGACAAGTTTAAGGAAATCTCTCATGCTTATGAAGTTCTTTCGGACTCTCAGAAGCGTGGCATATATGACCAGTTTGGTGAAGATGGTCTGAATGGTCAAGGTGGCATGGGTGGTGGTATGGACGCCGAAGATTTGTTTTCTCAGCTTTTCGGTGGTGGTATGTTCGGTGGCGGTGGCCGTCGCGGACAGCCCTCTGGACCCCGTCGTGGCAAAGATATTGCACACAGCCTCAAGGTCAGCCTCGAAGATTTCTATATGGGCAAGACCACCAAGCTTGCACTTCAAAAGCATGTCCTTTGCTCCAAGTGTAATGGCCGTGGAGGAAAAGAAGGCGCTGTTCAGACCTGCCGAAACTGCAATGGTCAAGGTGTCAAGGTCAGTCTCCGTCAAATGGGCCCTATGGTACAACAAATTCAGCAACCTTGCCACGAATGCCGTGGTGAAGGTCAAATCATTAACGAGAAGGACCGTTGTACTGCTTGCCATGGTAAAAAGATCATTTCTGAGCGCAAGGTTCTTGAAGTCTTGTAAGTACCTTTTGTTGAATCAAGATTAGCGCTTTTTTAAACATGACCACTAATCCATCGTATCATATTTCTTATTCCTTATCCAGTATTGACAAGGGTATGAAGAATGGCCAGAAGATCACTTTTGCCGGTGAAGGAGACCAATTGCCCGATATTATCCCAGGAGATATCATCATCGTTTGTAAGTGCTTTACAACCAATACACGACTTCATGACTCTAGATATGACGATAAGCTGACAAAACACCCTTATAGTGGAGGAAAAGCCCCATGATCGATTTGAACGCAAGGGCGATGACCTTTTGTACAATGCTAAGATCGACTTGCTCACTGCTCTTGCTGGTGGTCAATTTGCCATCACTCACCTGGACGGTCGTGTTCTCCTCGTCAATATTCTTCCTGGTGAAACCATTAAGAATGGTAAGTCACAAACTGTATTCAAGTTGTTGGTGATTCTCTTTATTTAATGTTCGCGATGATTTTCACAGGTCAAATGAAGATGATTCCCAATGAAGGTATGCCTACCTACCGCCACCATAACACTGGCAACCTTTATATCCGATTCGATGTCGATTTCCCTCAACCAAACTGGACCGATGAAGAGAAAATCAAACAGTTGGAGAACATCTTGCCTCCCCGCCAAGCTCTTCCCGATGTCCAAGGAAAGCAAGTTGAAGAAGTTGTCCTTGCCAACGTCGATGAATACCAGAGTGCAAGAATGGATAGCGCTGGATTTGAGGATGATGACGAAGAAGGAGGTCAACATGGTCCAGGCGTTCAGTGCGCACAACAGTAATTCCAGTAAACTCGATAGATCGCCAGTTGATGCACTTAAATATTGGCTTACCATCAAGCGACATTCACCAAATAGTGAAAACATACTTTTTTTTTTTCAATTCAAAACTTTCTCCATTTCAGGACAATATCAAATCAGAAGAAGAGGCTGTTCATTAGTGTTACCTGCTTCCTTTTATTTTTCAGTCTGTTTGATTCCTCATTTTTCAACGGCATGTACTTTTTTCCCCTTCTTTCTATCTCCCCTTTTTATGTCATCAATGTGTTAGAGTTAGTGCACGAAATATATGAGCGTAGAGAAGAATGCATCTTGTTTTTCTGTGATAAATGTATGTTTGACGTAGCTTTTTCAATCGATATATGTCACTATTTACATGTAGGAGTACCATAATGCGCAAAACAGAAAAGAAATAATAGAGGGAAGACCATAGCAAACATACAGCAATGTTTGTCATATATGTTGGTGCGTTGAATGACCACTCTTGCTCAGGCTGGTTTGAATTCTCTAATAATGCCTCCCGTTTGTCATTAACCAATATCTTCAGACATTGAGTTATGGTCAGCATTTATAAGTGGCATATATCATGGTTTTTCATATAGATGGCGAGCTCAAAGGTTGGTGACGTAGTTTACTGAAAATCAATTTCCCCCCATAGACATAGCTACTAGAAAAGAAACATCATTTGTATCAAGTACTTTTCCAGTAACTCAATGACTGTCTTCGCTAGCAAGAAACCCACTGCACCTCAAATATGCTAACCTCAGCCATCCAATTTAAATCACTTGCATTTTACCATTTCGCCTACCGATTGTTTCAGTCTCTTCTTGCTCAAAAGGTCTTTTTGTTTTGGTAAGACCTAAAATAATACAATTAGATGTAATAACGAGTTTTAGACATGGTTCGCTTGCTCAAGCTCCCCACATTTACGTCGATACAGCTTTTGACGAGCAGCTATATACACAAGCACCGCTCAAGCCCATTCTTGAAACGACGGAAGTCGCGTTGATTATTTGACGGTGCGTTAAAGATACGGATGACTTTCTTGAACCAATAAAAGTGCTCTCCGTATATTGTTGTCTGTTCGGTTTCATGTCGAGCTGGATAAATGCCTCCGGCAAGAGAAAAACCTATGATGTCTGCATTATTGACGATAAAATCATTTTTTTTTGGGTGCTAGACATTATTGTTAGCTTACAAAAAACTTGAATGCTACCTTCGCATTGTTTATATGTATTGTGCTGCTTTTATGATATCAATCTGAAGAGATTCTTCCAGAGCCCTTGATCGTATAACGTTTTGATTTAGATGAATTTTATTCAATGCGCCTGAGTGCAATTAGATAAAGACTATCTATCCACATTATCGACTTTCAACTAATGGAACAGCCAAAGTTATTTTTGTGCTGTAGTATATGAACATAATGCTGATAAGCTATCGCTTTCGCATGTAGTTATTAGTACATCAGGCCATCATAAAAAAATTATTAACCTTAAATATTGATGATTGCGTTTGAATGCTATATCATTTTGTCAACATTCGCCCATGCCCTTGATACTTGAGCAAAACCTCTGGACACTTAGTGTTATATGCGATCGTTTGAGCAGAAAATGTTTATGTAGTGATTATTTTGAATGATCATACAGAATTTACAGTTTTTTCTTTCATTTTGCTTATTATGAGAGTACTGATGGATTGAATAGAGGACATATAGCAAATAAACATTTTGCGACGCTTGAGGATAACGAATGCCAACGTCAATGCCTGTTTAGGATACTGTTTTTATGGTAAAACTAAAATTGGTTTTTGGGGGGACAGACCTATCAACTTCCGGCCTTTTCAAGTTCGCAGTTCAGCTATCATCTTTCAATAACAATTGTTTTTTAAAGATGCCAGCATTTGGCACCGACGAAAAGCCAGCAGATACTAGCTACTATGACCTATTGAACGTAGAGCCAACTGCAGATGCCGCTAAAATCAAAAAGGCTTATAGGTAAGAACTAGTCTTGGCAATGGCACTTCGTGAGCTTAAACTTACAACTGCAAATCTACTTAGAATTTTGGCAATTGTACGTATTTCAACTTCCTTTCAAAAGCAGTAAAATCTTCTTGTAGAAGGTGTACTGATTCTCGGATATAATATGGAAATCTTTTTTACTTGGAATGAAAATCTAGAAATACCATCCCGACAAAAACAAGGAGCCTGGTGCAGAAGAGAAGGTAGTGTACAACAATTAGCCGCAGTTGGAGATTTTGCGTTAACTCACTGTTAAAAAGTTCAAAGACATTGGTGAAGCATACCAAGTTTTAAGCGACCCTCAACTAAGGGCTGCTTACAACAAATATGGTAAAGACAATGACCTAGCACCGGAAGGCGGCTTCGCAGACCCACAAGAATATTTCCAACAAATGTTTGGAGGAGATGCATTTAGAGGTAAGGATGAGCTTCTTATATTTAAGGATAACCCTGAGAAGTGACAATACTAAAATGCGAATTTAGGAATCATTGGCGACCTTACTATGGGTAGCATGTTCGCCGAAGCTCAAGAATCTGAGATGCAAGAAGAAGAAGAGGCGGCTGGGGATGATAAGAAGAAGAAGAAATATGCTGGACCAAGTAAAGAACAGATGGAAAAAATGCAGGAACAGCAACGGGAAAGAGTTAAGAAGCTGGCCGAAAACTTACTTCATAAGTTGTCATTGTATACAGACGGTCAGACAAATGACGAACAATCTGCTGCAGCTTTTGAGGAGCAGGTAAAAGTTGAAGCTGAAAAGCTGAAGCAAGAAAGCTACGGCTTAGAATTACTGCATTCTATCGGCTTGGTCTACTCCAGCAAGAGCAAACAATATCTCGGCATGAAAGGAGGCGAACTTCCCCGCGTATTTCAAAGCCTCAAGGAAAAGAAGCATATCATGGGAGAGCTGTGGTCTACCTTAAAGAGTGCTATGGCTGTCCAGTCCACTGTAGAACTTATCCAAAAGGCCGAGACACAAGGTTTAGATCAAGCAGAACAACTCAAGCTTGAAGAAGACGCCACCAACAAGATGTATGCTGCAATTTGGCAGTCCTCTAAGTTTGACGTTGAACAAACACTTCGTCAGGTCTGTGATATGGTATTGCTTGACAAGAGCATTCCTCAAAACATTAGACGCAAGCGAGCGGAAGCATTGAGACTGGTCGGGTACATTTATAAACATGCTGAGGCAGATAAGCCTGTAACAGATTTGCTTGTCAAGACGAAAAAGCGATAAAATATTACCTTTTCTCTAATATTAATTAACGCAAGTAATTCGGCCATGTGCTACAAAAAATTCTTATGCCGATAAAATTAAAAAAATTTCATCGTTATTGAACGGCTACACTGCCTTCTTTCCTTTTTTCATTTGGTCCCCTGCCATTCCCTGCTCAAATGGATCAAAATGGCTTTAGTCAGGACTTGCAAGGAACATTAGGGTATTTTAATACAATGAGAGCAACATCAGACTTTTGCTGTAAAATAATCTGACTTTGACATTCTGTCATTTCTAGTGAACCCCAGTCTCCCACTTTACCACCATCCGATCCCGATGCCTACAACTTTACGCCTCACACGAGCTATGATTCCCAGAATGATGGTGTCAATAACTATTCTGGAAAGATTCGCCAGACAGGAGACAATATGCCAGGTTCTCAAAGAGGTAAGTCGGGCATAAGTTTCGTATGAAACCTTCACGTCGTTGTCGCTGTTGGCATGTTTTATTTGTTGCGGTCCGCCCGGTTTTTTTAGCTCACTACTTTATGTCTCTTCCCACAGTATTCTCCAGTTCTCCAACCAACTACAATAGACAGCCCCATTCGTCTTCCATATCTCGGCCAACTACACCTCCACATCACAGACCCAAAAAATCATCTGTGCCAGCTGAAAATGCTGATATTATAGCTACTCCAAATGTCCCATCTGCCCCAGCACCAGGCATGTATTGGTCTAGAGCGACAACCTATGGACGTGGACCGTCCAAATGTCTAAGAGCGCATACAGCCACCATCATTGGAGAATTAATGTATATATTCGGTGGTTGCGATGTTCGCAACTGCTTTTCTACTCTTTTCATCTTAGACTTAGGTAAGGTTAACACTGTGGAACAACAATTATGATGCAATGTTGTAGTAGAGAGTAAAAGTTGACAAACTCTTCATGTGGTAGATACGCTTTCATGGTCGAAGCCCCGGACATATGGTGACTGCCCTCCACCTTGCCGAGCTCATTCAAGCACCTTGGTTGAAAGGGAGATGGATATACCCGGAAAGAAGTCCTCGTGGATATATGTTTTCGGTGGCGGCGATGGGCCCAACTATTCAAACGCGTTATACGTACTTGATGCAGGTAGGATTCCACTCTGGCTTATATCTAAACTGAGGTTGCCACTAACAACAAGTAATTAGAAACTTTAATCTGGACGAAACCTTCGACGTACGGAACTGCCCCTACCCCAAGACGTGCTCATACAACTTGCTATTGGCAAAACAAAATTTATGTTTTTGGTGGTGGAGATGGAGCACGCGCCTTACACGATGTCCATGTCCTCGACATATCAGACCCGAAACATCTGCAATGGTCAGAAATTCAACCAACTGGAGCCTTACCAGGTTCTCGTGGATATCACACTGGTAATCTGGTTGGCGATAAATATATAATCTACGGAGGAAGTGATGGCCACGAGTGTTTCAGCGATGTTCATATCTTAGACTTGCGTAAGTTGATGTTCTCATTCTATAAGTGCCCCCTAGTTTTCGGACAATAACCCGCAATGACGTTACAGCCAGCAATCACTGGTACCAAGTTGAACTCGACTGTTCCATACCACGCCTTTCACATACATCCACACAAGTGGGTTCTTATCTATTTGTCGTAGGAGGACATGACGGTAGTAAATACTCTTCGGAAGTTTTACTTCTGAATCTAGGTAAGTCTTCCTCTACTATCGTTAAAAAAAGTTCTCAAGGTTTGTAATAGTGCTTCGCGTTTCAGTGACTATGAACTGGGAGACGCGAAAAATCTACGGCACCATACCTTTATCTCGCGGCTATCATACAGTTGTACTTTATGACAGCCGCTTGATTCTGTTTGGCGGATATGATGGCAAAAATGCGTTTGATGATGTTTACATGCTTGAATTGAGCGCATGTGCATACCTCCCTCAAATTACGAACTTCATAATAGACGTGTAGATCACCTAATCTAGAAGTATTTGATAACCTTAGATTATATTAATATTATATTTTAAAGAAGCGTGAGGTTTTCTTTATATACACACAAGAGGGGCGAAATTCCAAATGTTTTCTAGTTGGTCTTGGGTCGCTTGGCTCGACCATTTGACTCCGTGATTTTTACCAGACCACCATCAGGGTCTCCGCTTTCTTCGTCGAGTTCTTCTTCCTCTTCGATGTCTACTTCAGCATCATCACCATTGGTTGTGCTACGATCGTTGCCTGTTTGCGTTGCGTTGAGGACGTTCGTAAGATGGTCATTCACTTGTGCCTTTAGTGAGAGTAATTGCGTAGTAAGGTTATTCAGATCGACTTCACGACGACCGCTAAACTCAATCTGCTGTACACACGATAGACTGTGTTCTGGCGCTGCAGAAGTATATGAAGCTGTCAATTCTAGCATTCTGACGATCGAAAAATGGTGATGCGATAGGACAGTCCTGCAGCGAAAGAAATTCAACTGTGTAAAAATTTTGTGTCAGGCAGCAAAATTCCCATACTTTCTGCTGTCAAACAGTTTCTCAGCTTCTAACGTATGCCGGGCCGGTCTGAGATTAATCTGGTACCAGGCCCATATTTCGTGCCATTTAGTTTTTGCTTATGCTGCATATCTTTGTGCCATGTATTAGTAGGGTGCCGATTTAAATGCTATGAATACAGCATACTGGACATCCTCATTGCACTGCATAGCTCTTGGATGTGAGGGAGGGGGAAAACATTACCCATTTTGGGATGTGACCGAGTTTTCATCCTGTTACGAAAATTGGCCTTGGCAAGTTTCTTCACTTGGCACCTTTTGTTCAGTTATCACTCATTATATGGCGTCAAAGGACATCAGCACTTTACAAAACGCATTTCCAAACATCCCACATGATATCATAGAAACTATATTGGAAAGTAATCTCGGTGATGTTGACAAAGCCTTTGATAGCTTGTTGGAGATGTCGGATCCCGACTTTCACAGCAATGACAACAGAGCCAACGATATGGCTACCTCAACAGCACGACCGGCATCACAGCGGTCGCGAGTGTCATTTCAAGAGCCCGTAGATAATTATGTACAGGTATTTTGCCTTGCCCCCTGTCAAGAATCTGATTTTTGCAATTAATTATATCTATCTTCTGCAGCCAACAATCAATCACTGGCAAACAAACGTAAGTATTTAGCACTTATGCTCCGATATAAATTTATTACTAATTCTATTTATTTTTCAAGTCTCCACCTAGCCGTAGAGCATCTTACGGAGAGGACGATCAGATCAGAAAGGATGCTGAACTGGCAAGAAAACTTGCAGCGGAAGATGAGGCTTCAACTGCACAGTCGAACTCAGCACTGACCACTCCAAATACTTCCTGGATTAACCCTCGTGTTCCACCTCCGCCAGTATTTGGTGGCCAACCATCACAACCTTATACCAATAACCCTAATGGCTACAAGCCGCTTGCTAGTTCTTGTAAGTCAATGATAATACGTCTTGCTTGATATCAGCGGACTTCAATCTCGACACTAATACCTGAACAGCGCATTCGTCATCGAATCCATTCAATATGCAAGGTATTAACTACATCCAAACCACGAATACTATCATTTGTATCCATCTAACAGTTTTACATAGATGCCATGGATCAAATACCGGCTATACACCAAACCATAGTGGAGCAAAGTAACAGTAAGTGAGTTTCCGTGCTATGGTTTTAAAGGAATCATGTCTGACATTTACATATCAAGTGGCCAAGCAAAAAGCTAAAGACCTTTATCAGCAATTGAAGACGATAAACATGGCCAAACATAGTGATCTAGTGAATGGGTAAGACAAAGGATAGCACGTTTATTTCCGTTGTACATAATGTTTATTGATATTGTACTCAACAGAGGATCTGTAGTTAACGGCCGGCAGAGCAATAATCCGTTTACTATTCCACGCGTACCAGTAGCTCCCCAAGCATCTTTCAATCCGCCACGGCCCCCGCGCCCAGTAGGAAATAGAACAAGCACAGCACTAGATCAAATAAGAGCAGACGAAGAATTCGCTCGAAGGTTGTCGGAACAACAATATCGTGAGTCTCGAGCGCAACCAGGAGGTATGTCAGCTTTTTTTGATCAACGAGCGGGTATGTAACTATTGACTGACGTTGCTGGATTAGGCAATGCTAGCTCTAACCAGCCCGTGGATCACTCAGGTGATGCATTACAAGGTAAATCTGAAAGCCTGATTGTGCATGTTAATAGTAACGTACGTTATAAACCATAAATATCGTTGCAGCGATCAATCCATTTCAAGAAGATGAAGACACAGATCCACCACCGTATGAAAGTCATCGCAACGATAGACTAGTTCCGCAATAGGTTAAAACTTTATGTAAATTGAATCGCTTATAATTTTTATTTTTCGTATTGTACAATAACATAACGTCGGAGGCGTAGAAAAAATGAGGGCTGATTTAATCGCACATGAATGAGGATAGTATTTTCGTAATGATTATTGCGTGTTCCTTTACGTTTGGGAGATCGAGTGATTAAGAAGTCATCTAATGAATTGTTGGTAAATCATTGAGTGGTTGTTGCTCATGACATAATTTGGACTTATCCTTAGGTTGAAGGATAATGCGATCAGATTGATAAATGGAACTTGGATAGATTCCTATAGCATAGTTGAGAAAAGGGAAAAAAGGAAAGATAATAGACAGGGAGCTCCAATAGTAAAAGGCGTGAAAGTTAGACTTATAGCGGCTGAACTTGGTAGGTGTCCTGACGCAACTGGGGCATTAGGTCTAGTTTCGGCAATAATGATGCTGGGCTGAGCAGAGGAAGCTTGGGCTGATGCCGACGATTCTGAGGAAGTAGCCTGCGGAAGACTGGCAGCATTGATATTTGTATTAGATGCAGCATCTCCACCATCGGTGTTGGTGTGATCTTTCTGATAAGGACTGGCATCTCCCAAGCATTCAGCAGCCGTCATGAGTTGATATTGGCTGCCACGAAGCAAGGAAATAATTGCTGGGACTTGATCAATGGATTGGGTGTAAAGATCTAGCAACGGGAGATTTATACCTCATTAGATACCGATCAACAAAACATAAAATATCATCAAAGTGTTCTTACCATGCTGCAAACTAATGAACCCAGGGTCTTCATGGGCATTCAGTCCTGTATCATCACCTCCTAACGCATGCACGAAAGTGGCTTTTATTTTAGCAGCGACATTGGCTTCCTTGTAAATGTTGTAATCTGTTGGGTCAGCGTTCCAAAGTAAAATTTTGTAGCCCATAGCTTTCATAAGTCCCTTGACTCGGTCATCAGCTTCTCCGAAGGGTGGTCTCATGTAGCTTGGCTTCACGCCAATGGCGTCGACAATAGCCTCTTCAGTTGCCTTCATTTCTGCAATGATCTCATCATTAGATAAGCTCATCAAGTGAGGATGCGAGTATGTATGGGATGCAATGTGGTGACCTGCATCGTAGGCACGTTTGACAATTTCTGGGTACTTTCGAACGTGAGCTCCCATGACACAAAAAGTTGCCTTTACATTAGCTTGGTCCAACATATCCAACAAATCGGCGGTATAATTTGATGGGCCATCGTCGAAAGTAAGTGCCCATTGCTTTGGCTTTGGGCACCCATAAATATCATCTGAGTTTGGCTTATTTCCGCATGATTCGAAGCATCTATCGTTATCTGTCCCATCACATACAGGATTTTCGCAAACGCCAGATCCAATAGGACGAACAGGAAGGTTGGGAACAGCTGCTAAATTGACTTGGGCTGTCCATTCTGGCTTTCTGGGCACGGCGATATTTTCGGCTTCACCTTGAGCAAGTACAGTGGAAGAGGTGAGTGCCAAAATGGATCCCACTATAGCCAGAATATTTGAAGATCGCATTTTGTTGTATCAAATAAAATTTGTCTAGTTATTTGTAGCAGTCGTTCGGGTAACTCCTGGTTTTGTTTAAATGTTGCACTTTTCCCTTTTGTGAGAATGCAAGATTTATGTTGTTCGGTGTGGGGAAAGAGCTGGTGTTTTATAGTTCATTCGCGCGATATCGATTATGAAGATGCCATTTTTAGAAAGATAGAGAGTGCCGAGTCGACATGAAAGCTCGTTAATTCATTCGTTGGTATTGCGGTTTTGATTAGTTCAAACTCGTTTACAAAATAAAATTTCCTGCGAAAACTTATACCTACACTATCCTGGATTCACGTTATTTTTTATTGACAAGCAGGGTAAGGTGAGCCCGCTGGGTTTTCAATAATGATGCTTTCGTCAGCGTAAGATCAGACCAAATCACAGATTATACATAACCAAATTGCAATCACACCTAAGCTTTTGAAAAAATTTCCATCCATGAACCACCTCGATGAGCCAATCGCACATTTGTTTTTTTTTTTTTTTTTACAAATATTGGGTAATAAGATATTATTGACAATTGAAATAGATAGCTAGCATTGAAGACGTAACACCCTCATCGACTTTGGTGAACCAGGCGTTGCTCTAGCAATCGAATTTGCTTCAAACACTCCTCTTTGAGCATTTGAGCATCAGCAATGCAGTCATCCCTAGATCTCTCTGCGAAATCCTTTTCATTTTTAGCAGCTTGATATATCTGTTTATACCTTGCAAGATCACGAGCCAGCTCATGTAGCTGCGAGTCCTTCTCTTTGAGATCCTCAGCCATTGCATGTATGTTCTCACTTTGCTTATGTCGCAGGGCGTTGATTTCTTGCTCTCGAGCTTTCACCTTTTCGATATACTGCTTGTTTTGTTGTTCATACAGTCGTTTGAGTTTTTCAAGGTCTCGTCGGAAATCGTCGCGCTCATCTTTCAAAATTTGTGCAGCCTTCTCCATTTCCGTGGCTCTTTCTTCTGCATCTTGTACTTCTGAATCTGCTATATGCACACGATGCTCCAGCTCGGTGATGACCTGAGTTACCTGTCTTCTCTGAGACAAAGCTCCTTCAAGTTCGCGCTTGATTTGGTCCACTTTTTGTTCCAATTCCCCAATCTTGAGTGTACGTTCTCTAGTTGCTTCATTCGCTCTTGCTATCTCGATTTCGTATTCATTCGCTTTGCTGTTTGCAACAACCAATTTGCTCCTTGCTTCTGCAACTTGTCTCTTATAATCAGCCAGCGCTTTGTTATGAACGTCAATCTCTTGTCGTGACATAATCGTTTTATCTTGTAAAGTCTTTTCCATTTGGTGATATTTTGACTTGTATTGACTAGCATCTTCCACTATCCTTGAAAGGCGTCGGATTTCGTCGTCTTTATTGCGCAGATCACGTTGAAGTCTATCACGCTCTGTATCGATTGTCTTCCGAGAGTCCATGAGCTTTTCAACTTCTCCTTCGTATGTTTTCATCTTATTCTCCAGGGTACGAATCTTATGTAATGAGGAGTTGTATTCATTCAATGTCTCGGCATTGTGCTGTCGTAAATCTTCATACGCCTGTTCCTTCTGCTGAAGCTTTGAATGAAGTTGATGGCGTTGGGTATCACTATCGTTTTTGGATTTTGTAACCTGTTCAATCTCCTGGTTGGCCTCTTCTATGACCATCGACATACGCTGAATTTCATCATCTCTGCTGCGTAATTCATGTTGTAAATCATGGCGCTCGGCATCGATCGCATCTCGGCTTTCTTCCAGTTCTTTGATTTCAGATTCATATGATGTAATCTTAGTTTCAAGCGAACGTAACCGTTGTCGGTAGGATTCTGCTTCGCCTTTAACGTTATCTTGTCTTTGCTGTAAGTCTTCAAATGCTTTTTCTTTCTCAAGAAGCTGAGAATGCAATCGCTGTAGTTCAGCATCGCTATCGCCTTTGGATTTGATGATGTCGTCAATTTGCTCATTGGCTTCGTCAACAAATGCTGTAAGACGCTCAATCTCCTTATCTCTGGTATGAAGCTCACGTTTTAAATCTTCACGTTCGATATCGATTGTGTCTCGGCTATCCTCAAGTTCTTTGATTTCCGATTCATATGATTTAATCATGCTATCAAACGAATGAATTTTTCGCATGTAAGATTCGATTTCTTGTTGAGCTTCATCATTTTGTTGCTTCAGATCATCGTAGGCTTGCTCTCGGTTTTCTAGCTCCACTTGAAGCTGTTGCAATTTCGCATCTCTGTCGTTCTTAGAATTCATTGCTTGCTCATATTGACGATCACGTAATTTCAGTTCCTCTTGCAAGTATTGAAGTTCAGTTTCCAAGCCATCTTTCTCCTTATTGATGGCATCCATTCCGTCTTCATATTCGCGAACTTTTCTTTCCAAATGCTTGACTTTTTCCAAATTTGAAAGAAGGTGGTACTGGGATTCCTCAGCCTGCTTCTCTACAATTTCGTACTGCTTTTCTCGCTCATCGAGTCTCTCATGTAAATGTCGCCAGCGTTCTTCCATGTCGGTTTTTTCACTGCTAAGGTGCTCGAGACTTTCCTTGGCATCTCGGTGCGCACGCTCCAATGATTCCAATTTATGTTGAACTTTTTCTGCTTCGATTTTCAAGTCACTGTACCGTTTTCCATCTACCACGACTTCTCCATCTTCTTCCTCGAATTCGCCAAGCATTTCCCTATATTGCTTCAAAAGGGCGGCGCGTTTTTCGAGCTCTTCAACCAGAGTCTTAATTTGTTTGTCTCTTGACTCCTTGGTTTCTTCAAGCTTTCCTTCAAGTTCATTCTTTTCAAGAGTCAAATTGTCGAAATCAGCTTGTAATTGCTCTCCGTAAGAAACAATTCGCTCGATTTCGGATTTGGAAGCTAGATTGAGCTCTTGCAACGATTCAACTTTCTTTTGTTGAACGAGAATGGCTTGATCCCTCTTCGCAAGCTCTTGTCTTAGGTTGGCTATCCTATAGTCGGTGTCCCGATCTGAATCATTGCTTCTCTTTTTGGCCGCGACTTTTGCAAGTGAGGATTTGATGCTGCTTGGGTTGTGTGCAACATTTCGTTCAATTTCCGCCAACATATCAGACACATCTTCCAGCTCTGCCTTTAGTCCTGTAAGTTCTTTGTCCTTTAGCGATATCTGCTTTCGGAGTAGCTGTGATTCTTGTGTTCTTGTTTCCAGCGTATCGTACAGGCTTTGAAGCTGTGCTGCTGTCAGCTGTGTACCGGCGACATTTTCTTTAGCGGCAGAGTGCATAGCTGATGATGGATTTAAAGCAGAAAGTACTGATTTAGGTGCACCTTTTGTCATTCGTCGTTTTGCTGACGGAGATTCGGAAGGCAATGCTCTTTTCTTCGCGTTCCCTGGAAAATGAAAATGATAAGTTTACGATGTTGCTGGATTCAGCGCTACGCTCAACCGATGGTAATTCAAGAAGAGATGTACCTGAGACTCCAATGTCACGATTGGAGTTGGTGCCAAACACTCGATTCGCCTTATCATTATGAGTACTGGCCTTGCGGTCCATTTTTGTAACCAATTGTAAAAGGTAGAAAGTTGCTGAGGTTTTTTTTTTTTTTTAGGAATTGGAGGAACGCGTCCTGATCACCAGACGGACCCTAACCCAAGGCGGCTGAATCGATTTCTGTCTACAGACACATTCACAAATACCGTATTGGTTAGAAATAATGCTTATAATGCTTTTATGCTGTCATTAAAATGAGATGAATATTACAATTGCGAGTGTATAAAATTATTCTATTTTTTGACCTTTGGTCGCTTATTGGGTCCACCAGCTTCCTTCGTACGCTTCTTGTTCTTGGTCACCTTGGGCTCGGACGCTTCTTCGTCAACATCATCTCCGTCGGATCCCTTCTCCCTCTTCTGTCTTTTCTTTTCGCGTAAATCTTGGATACGCTGCTTTTTGTTTTGCAAATCCTGGATGAATTGAAGATGCGCCTTATGCTTTTGCTTTCTTTGCAAAAACTTGGGGTCAAATCTCTCTCCATCAAGAACGCGGAGAGATGGTATCAAAGCCAAAATCTAAAAAAGTTTGTATTAAGCTAAAGCCGACCTGTATTGCTGCTCTGTACTCATTTTCACACTCTACCTTTTCCTTATAATCCTCTTTTTCAGTCACAGGATTACCCTTCAGGTTGAGATTGACTAAATGAAGCAAAGAGCCTAAAGCTGCAATGTCGCTATCCATAGTCTGCTTGTTAATATGGTAGTCTAATATCAATTGTGAATTGACAATTTGGTACTTACGTCCATTCCCGCATCATATTGTTTCCTAAGTCTAAAATTTCCAAACCACTGCATTGTCGTAGAGTATCTGGCAACTGTAGAATCTTGTTATCGTTCAATCGCAATTCCTTCAGTTCCGCATTGGCTGATAGATCAGGAACAACACGGACGGAATTATGGGCAACTGAAAGTTTTGTGAGGGACGTAAGGGTTGATAGGTTTGGTATGGTTTGAATGTTGTTATGTGATAGTACTTTTATGGCAATTTGGTTAATGACAATGGACCACGAATGTCATTCACACTTCCCAAAAGTTCTTACCAAGTGTATTCAAGTTGGTCAAAGATGCCAAGTTGTCAATCGTCTTTATCTTATTGTGATTGAGTATAAGAGCCTTCAAATCTACCAGGTTTGTAATATGGATACTGATACGATTGAGTTCGTTATGGCTCATGTTCAAGACTATATGGCTCAACGACGTTAGCATGACGGAAATCCCTACTGGACGAGAATATATTCCTTACTTACCATGTAAAGATTTGAGCTTTTGAAGGCCTTCAAAATTCTCCAAAGAATTGTTAGAAAGGTTAAGCCAGGTTAAGTCAGGTAGGTACTGAAGTCCAGACAAAGCATCCGAGCTCTTGATCGTGTTCTTTGCCAAGTTCAACTTCCTCAAAGAAATACAACCAGAAATGTCGTCTATATGGCTAATTTCCTTGTTGCTCATGTCCAAAGTGGTGAGATCCGCCATAGGCGTCTCAAATAGATTAGAAACCAAGGCCGGTGTTAACTTCATTTGCAGTGTCGACGATCTGTGGAAAGCGAGTATTACGGCCAAATGCTGAACTAGATGAGCAGAAAAAAATCGAACATTTGGTTCCCCGCATGTGACTGTTGATCCCCCAGTGCACGATTATGCTTGAGACTCAAGCTTTGGTCTCTGGATGAGTTCTTTGATGCATCATGGCAACTAGGCAACTAGTTTATTACAAAAAATAATTGATCCAGACATTTTAACGCAATAAATGCTTGTAAAAATTACATCATTGGAGCAAAATCCGTCCGTGAATCACGACAGTAGTACGCTTGCTTCACATAGATACCCTCATAGTCCGTTTTGCAATACCGCAAAGTCGACTCTCATTCACGTAGTGCTACTTTATATATCTTTTTTAAGAAGATATATACCTGAGTGAAGATTACACTTCTATTTAAAGTTGCTCGAAGGGCCAACGATTGCAATATTGGAAATGCGTCATTACGGTCCTCGATCAATGTCATTGTCATTGTCATGACGAATGATATCGCTATAGCAATCAAAACTTCTGAGCGAAGGGCAATAATCGCAAGTTCTTTACACTTCATATGTTGACTCCAATTTGATAACAATACAAATATGTTTGATGCACAAATACTGTTTGGCTAATTGGGCAACAGTGACATTTTTCCAACATTGCTAGTATTCCGGAGCATGCCAACGAAATCAAAGGTATAAATTCCACCTCATCTTTGCCACATCCATCACCTACTTGGCTAGCTATTTCATTATTATCAGAATCTCATTACTCTAGCAATTTGTATATTAGAGAATACATTTGAAAAACTATGGTAAAAGTAAGCAAGGCGATTACTACGCCGACAATACCTCATTCTTGCTAATATTAACATATTGGCACCTTTTGCTAGCTGCTTAGATCCCTTTTAACGCTCGTCGCCATTTCTCCTTTGAGTATTATGGCTCAGTGTGGCCACTATGGCTCCAAATGTCCCAAGGAAGCCCCTTGTTGCAATGGAGGGTAGGTTAGCGAAAAGCAATATTGCCCTATATGGATGACACATTCTTACTTCATGCTGTATCTATTTCGGCTATGCTCTAAAGATGGTGCTCCAGTGATTTAAGTACGATAAGTTCTTTATACAGGTTATTCCGTGGACGATAATCTTAATACATAAACTTTTCAATTTGCAGAAGCATGTTCAGCTGGTTGTGATTCGGCTAACTCCTACAATTCGACTTCATCATGTCTACCAGCTGGACCATTTTGTGTAAATATCGAAGATCATTTTCAGGATGCATCTAAGCTTGTGGCGAAATCTAAATGGGATGGAAATCCCAATTCAGCATACTGGACTAGCGACTTTGAACCAGACAATGCAAAGATTGAGAATGGGCATATGGTGTTGTCGATGAATTTAGATCAGAATAAGCTACAGGAAGGTAAAAGACAAGGATTTGGTGCAACTGTATCCTCAACTAGGTAGGTAATCTCGATACATCTTTCAAGCCCGCAACTATTTTATCAACTCTTAGTATTAGAATGATGCTTTATGGAAACGTATCAGCAAGTATCAAAAGCGGTTCCTCATCCGTCGGCGTTGTATCTTCCTTCATTGTAAGTGAATATTGAAGAAATCATTTATTCTGAACTATATATTCATACATTTGTGACAGACAAAGAACGAGCAAGGCGATGAAATAGACTACGAGTGGACAGACAAAGTTAATCAAGTTCAGACAAATTATTACTGGAATGGCCAACTGGATTATACGCATTCAACCACTGAAAATTTTAATAATGACTTAGCCTCAGGCTATCATCTTTATGAAATTCAGTGGATGCCAGATGCCATACAGTAAGCTTTTCAGTCGGTTCTATTTCACATAGAAAATTTGCTAATATACTATTTCTCATTTCCCTCAGTTGGGTTGTAGATGGTGTTGTTCGTAGAACTGTCACAAGAGAGTCAACTTTCAACGAAACAGAAAAGAATTACCGGTTTCCTGCAAGACCATCGTACATCCAACTGTCCATATGGGATGCAGCGCAAATTGGGAGCTCATGGACAGATAGTTGGTCAGGAGGTCGAATTGACTGGAATGATCCCAATCGGAAATTCACCATGGAATTTGAATGGATAAAAATTAACTGCCTGGATCCTGCCAAAGACACTGCCTGGCCACCAGCAGGTTACGAAACGCTTTCGACGAATAACGATACAGGGAGCAACGATCAAGGCAATGATACAAACCCAGTACAAAATTATACAGGATACTCATCCAAGTCGTCAGTCATCGTTCCAATTGCTTTAGCCGGAGGATTATTTGGTGGAATGGTCATCATTGGGTATGCTTTATCGGCACTTGCGCGCAGAAAGCGAGGAGCGAAAGTCGATCCCGGTGCTGTAAAGCCAGAAATGGAAAGGCAAATGGTCGAAGCGGCATAGCCTAAATTATAGCATTAACGAACTCATGCAGAGGTAACAGAGGTGTTTGCATACTTTCATCATAAAAATCATAGACGCTGGCATTTTTTCATCTCCATTTGGCATACATAAAATGTCTATGGAAAATCATCAGACAATAAAGCTGACAAGAGTTCTGTTTGACCAGAACCAAAGTTCATGATGTCTTCTTGACGTATATACGGTAATACAATCCTATACTCATAACTGAATTACGGTTGAGAAGGTCGGTAGTTCATACGAGATGTTCTGACTCATTAACGGAGCCTAGCACCCTGGCATAACAAATTTTTTAGCATTTTCAGCACGGCAACGAGTTTGGGTCCGGCCAATTTTATCCGACGGGACCTTGAATCTCTTTACAAACAACAATTCATACAATAATGCTCAATAGCAGTGCTATGAGAGCATTTTCGACTGCAATCCGCGGCAGGCCACTGCAGGTGGCAGTAATTGGTAGCGGTCCTGCAGGTTTTTATACTGCTCATCGTGTCCTTAAAGACATTCCCGACGTCAAAATCGACATGTTCGAGAGCCTGCCAGTACCTCACGGTTTGGTTCGGTTTGGTGTCGCTCCTGATCACCCAGAAGTAAAGGTACAAAAAAAATTGCGATAAACAAAAGTACGAGCTCGCTAGCCGCGATTTATTAACAACAATTCTATCATTCAGAACGTCATGAATAAATTTGATGAAGTCGCAACAGATGACCGATTCACGTTCCTCGGAAACGTCCACGTTGGTGGCAAAGACCTCCCTCTATCTGCTCTCAAGTCAAACTACGACGCCATTGTTTTCTCATATGGAGCTAGTGAAGACAGGCGGCTCAATATCCCGGGAGAAGATTTGCCAAATGTATACTCGGCAAGATCCTTTGTTGGCTGGTACAATGGTCTTCCTCATCATCGTGAATTGATGCCTGATCTCGACAGCACCGATACTGCCGTCATAGTTGGTCAAGGGAACGTTGCCTTGGACATTGCCAGAATGCTCCTTAGTCCCATAGACGTATTGCGCAAGACAGACGTTACTGACTACGCTCTGGACGCACTGAGCAAGAGTCGTATCAAGCATGTGCACGTCGTAGGTAGAAGAGGTCCACTTCAGGTATGCATCTTTAAATTTGGATAGCAATGTTTTTATTATTATTATACTAACCTTATAACTGCGCTAGGCTGCATTTACAGCAAAAGAATTACGAGAGCAGATGAAGCTGCCAGGTGTACGGTTCAATACAGATGTCCAACTACTACAAAGCGAGCTTGCGAATGGTGCGGAATATCTGAATAAATCTCGACCTCTGAAGCGATTGATGAGCATATTGGAGAAGGAAATTGGCTCTCCTAATATACTATCTGGCGACAAATCTTGGACGCTTGATTTCTTGCGTAGCCCGTCCAGAATAATACCTGACAGCACCAATAATAATGTAAAGGCCATTGAGTACGAGCTTAATAGATTAGATGGCCCAACTGAATCTAGGCGAGCAATTGGGACTGGTCAATTTGTCACTCAAGAGTGTGGCCTCATCTTACGAAGCATTGGTTATAAAAGTATTGCTATGGAAGGCATTCCTTTCGACGAATCAAGTGGTCGGGTTCCTAATAAGTATGGAAAGGTACTTAATGGACAGAATGAAGTAGGTGCCGCACTATTTATGTTGAAAAATTGTATCTTTGGGCTCACCAGGCTTATCATATCAGGTACCAGGCTTATACACTGCTGGGTGGTTGAAACGCGGCCCGACAGGCGTAATCGCAACGACAATGAACGATGCATACGAAACAGCCGATACTTTGGCAGCTGACTTTGTGGCGGGAAAGCCTTTTTTAAATGAAGTGGATGGAATTGGACAAAAAACTGGCTCACAAGGCTTACTTCAGCTTTTCAAGGATAACAAGATCCGACCAATCAGTTACGTTGACTGGAAACTGATTGAAAAGATGGAGTTTGAAGCGGGACAAAAGTTTGGCAAGCCCAGGGAAAAATTCGGACGCGTTGAGGATATGCTTGCAGTCCTTAGCACTGAAGACCTGAAAACCAGCATGTAAACATACATCAAATTGATTTTGAATAACTGGAACCTGTAGTTCTCAATTGACCGACACCGCTACCGGTGTCAGGGAACACAATGGTCTGCCACCTTCCAATATAGAAATCTTGGAACACTTTCGGTAGCCAATAGATTGCGATTTTCATAAAAGTATTGTCCCGCACCTCTCTTTGGACTGTTATTTGAGCCATTTTTGCGGTGGATCATGGTAACATTTGTTGAGAACAAGCATATAAAGCGTCGCTTACTACAAAGCCTAGTCAACCATCCTCTTTACATTTATTTTCCAACAATGAGAACCATCACTAGCCTATTTGCAGGTCTATGCCTTTTGTCAATGGTACTTCAAGCTTCTGCTCATGTTACATTCACCATAGCAACTGGCCAGGTACGTTCCCATTCTAACACTGAATGCAATCTGTTGCTGTTAGCAGTATAATAAAATTCTTCAAAATAGCCTGGAAGTTACCTTTATACTGGGCTTCGCGTTCCTCATGGCTGCAGTGGCTCTGCTACCACTGCCATCTCTGTTTCTGTTCCGGACAATGTCTACTCTATCAAGCCAGAGGTCATCGCTAACTGGAACCTTACCATTCAGTATGTCAATCTGACCACTCCCATTACCATAGAAGGACAGCAAATCAATCAAACGGTATCAAACATCTCTTGGTCCAATGGTCTTCTTCCCAATGATCAATTTCAAGAATTTGGTCTTCAGATTCAACTGCCTTCCACTGGATACAATAACACAAATACTCTCTGGTTTCCAGTGGTTCAGACATGGTAAAATTTTGAAATATGCTATTTAAGCGGTTAAGCCTATGTGCTAATTGTCCTGTTAACAGCGTAAATGGAACTTCAACCTGGGGAGGCATCGCAAACACTTCTTCATGGAACCAGTACTTGGGATATCCTGCTCCTCATATTGACCTGGTCAATGCCACTAGCTCCTCTTCAGCAGCACAACCATCATCTACTGTAGCCCACAGTGCTGGCGTAAGCGTCTCAGCTGGTACTGCATCGACCTTGATGTTGCTTCTTGGAACCTTTGTCGCAATGCTCGCGTAGGACACTTTTTTTCATATCCTTGATTTCAAAACGTTACATAAAAAGTGTTCCAAACTTTGCTTAAAAATATTATAAGTTCATAGTTACAACACAGTACCTAATGCTGATAATACATAAAAATGCAATCTTAAATAAAAAAACTCTCTAGCTCAAAACCAGTACAGAATTTCAAAACAACAGATTGCGTACTTCAACCGAATCTCGATGTAATACAAGTACATGGAAGATGTACTTGAGTATATTGAATATAAAGTAATCCGGCACCATAAATTTCTAATTATTCAGACAATTCGCTATAGCAGTAAGTACACTCTTATAAACACAACTGACTTTATTTTTATACATTATTTTTTGCGACAACGAGAATATTGGTTGCAATAAGGCATAGAATAATACATGTGTGTACCAAGTGAAGGTAGTCGGTATGCAAGCAAGATAAAATCAGGTCAGCTTCTAACATATTTTGGGAGAAGACAACACCAAAATACATTATCTTCGGTTCTGGTTATATATCTATGAATTTTTCGTCGCTAGTTGCCGCTTTTGCCAGCTGTTCAAGAGTAATATCGAAGTCTCTTTGTCAAATACCATATGAGCTCCTTTCAAAAAGCAAGTTTTCAATTTTAGCCCAGTCTAAATTCAAACACCGACGATCTCTTTGATGCTAAGGAATAGTCTCCAGTGCCATAATATCAAATATCATTTCTCTCGAAACGAGATTTCACATCTCAACTCGGTGTGCAGATAAAAATAAAAACTCAGTTTTTTTTCACGAAGACAAAGCATAATAGTTCATCAGACAACGCGAAGTTTTACGGAAAACAACAATATCGGTCCCCGCAGAGTATACTCTTTCCGAAAATTTTCCAAGTCCTCAAGGATTTTTTCTTCTACCGTTTGCAGATCCAGCCGACCGCATCTTATCTACAGTTGGACAGTTACTAAAAAGGTGAGAATCAGCTTTTTTTTCTGTTCAATGCACAAATGTGGAGACATGATGATTCGTGTAAAAGGTTTGAACTGGCTGGTGAGTTACTTACAAGCAGATCGCTACGCGCATCAGCAACCGCTCATTGTTCGAAAATTCGGCCTGGTTCTTAGATTTAGAACTATGGTTGTAAGGCCGGACATAGATCGAAACGTTATTCAGGTTTGAAGCTCGGAAACGATGCTCTACTGGGTATATGTGTTTGTGATTCAATTGGCCGCCATTCCCGAGCTATGTGAACGACCGGCAAAGGCACAACACAACATTTTCTTCTGCTTTTTACCTGAGCCACGATACCAAAGAAATTGGCATCTTTCGGTGGATTCGTAAGAGCAATATCAAAAGGGCATTCATCTTGCTGATTGCTCGGCCCATTATCTGCTGTATAGACTCGCATTGTCTATACATCGAGGAACTGAGCCCACAAAACTTGAGCATGTTGCTGATGCAAGCGATATATGCGCGTGAAAACCCCAGCCATGGATATGATACCTATAACATAGACAACTGAAACTTCTGCTATTGTGCTGTGCTCTTAATGCAAATACATCGCTTTAAACGCTTACTAAATACTGCTCGATATTCCGCAGATCATAGTCGGCAACCCAACAAAACCAGACGAACTTCAGTAAAGAGTGAGTAATCAATAACAATATCTCATTGAGAAAAGAAGGGTTTCTTACTGCTGTATATTTCCATTCAGTGGAGAATTTTCGTAGACAGCCGAGGTCAATAGCAGAAGAGGATCAAAATTATGGATTACTTCAACATGCTGATAATGAAATCATCATCAGCACATCAGGCAAAATAAATCGATATGTAACGGTCGGTCTAGAATTATTAGAGGTAAGTCTCGCGCATTTCGTTGTTTCGCAAGTGAAATTGTGACTAAGTCGTAACGGGACTAGAAAAATGGGACTATTGTTGTAGTTGGCAGTGGAAAAGCTGTCAGTAAAACCGTATCAGTCGCAGAAATCATTAAACGAAGGATGGATGGGTCGTTACATCAGTATACACAGATTGGCAGCTCAACAGCAACGGAAAAGTGGGACCCAGTTGAGGGAAAGGACTTTAGCCAGTAAGTTGCCTTTGACATTTCAAAGCTTTTAGCAGGATTTTCATTTTAATCGTCAATTCAGACTGGTGGTTTCAAAGCATATTCCTGTATTGACGATATATCTCTGTCAAGAAGCTTCACCGGCGCTAGAAAAGGTCTCAGGGTAAGTTAGCATCTATTCAAAAGGTGTTCCTACAACGACTCTAATTAAAGTTTCCAAATGAATTAGTTATCAAGCACCAACGAAGGAAGTTGGCGGCTCAAAATGAGAGGTGGTTCACGATACTTCACACCATATAGTCTACCTAACGCCTTGAATTCCCTGACAACAACAAACAGTCAAGCTTCGTCACTACGTATAATGGACAGACTGGAAATTATAGAGACTGAGGTTGATGTGGAGTTGGGTTGATATGTTGTAGAAGTAGAAACAAAACAAGCGATATTTTGCACAGGTACCAATCTGTGTACAAATGGGCAAACCGTGTACATAATAAACCAGCCCAATGGGCTCACCACGAACCAATCATGATTTGGGACGTAAATCTTTTGAAATAACGAGAAATCTACACGCTTTTCAGTGATATGTTTTTTATGTACAAAAAAATATTATCTTGCCTGGCTCTATAAATTGTAAGTTTTTTTAAATCAAAGTCGCATTGGGTCTACTGAGCCAACCGAAACACGCTCCGCGTTTGGTTTTACTTCCACTTTGCCAAATCTCGAAAGCGGCCATAATATATATACGACTTTGGAGTTGATTAAACCCATTGGCACCTATGATACACCATTAGTGAGTTACCGGAATGTGGTCGACTGTCCAACGCGACTTACTGTTCCGAAAGCATTACTGTCCCGAGAATGAAATCGCTCATCTCCTTCCACCCAACAATGGCCTTTTGGCACATAAACAACTAGTGAAAAATTATTGTCATTCAGACAGAAGCAGTTGCATACATGTCCTAGCCCCTGACGTACCTGACTTCTGATCGCTCTGTGGCAGCGGTCGTACACTATCGCCTTCCAGGGCAATAATTCGCTTCGTTATTGTCAGATCTGGGTCGTGTGGTGAGCTGATGTCTCAATAGTGTTAGACAGACATGAATCAAGTCCGGCAAACTACTAAGTGAATGAAAAACGTACGTCATGGCAACAACTTCCCCACGCTGGAACTTGTGTCCAATAGCACCCCAATGGCTCAATAAAACAATATCTGGCGAAAGCTTATTTGAATCTGGATTGAACGTGGGCTATTTCTCGTGTGTTAGCTAGCAAGGCACATAATATAGACCAAGGGACTGTTAATGGCAAAACAGCCAACTATTCAAATCACCTGCATTGAACGTCCTTGGACGGTGGCAGTTGAATACCCATTTTCCAGAAAGAAGAAAAGCAATGGAAACCATGTCAATGTTTTTATAGCCGCTCGAGCATTTGGATTTGACCAAAGCCGAGAAGTCATAAGGTTATAATGTTCAGGCTGTGGGTTGTTGACAGATCCAGTGGAAAAGCTCCAAGCGTAAATGTCACAGAATAATTTAAATGCCCGTCGGGCCCGTGAATCTCAATGTTTCCGACCAAGTGCTTGAAACGACTGCTTGGCATAATCGTCATTTTACTACAAAATGCTGTCCAGGATTCTATTAGCTTTAGGATCCCTAGCTCTGGTGGTCAGTGGTGCTGACGTATATTTGGTAAGTAAAGTAGAATAATACTCCTTCGTGTTACTCCCCCTCATAGCTGCCTCATTACCCTAGAGCTCAAGTAGCGACGAAAGTGCCACCTCATGCTCAGGTATGTGGAGCAGAAGCGCCATTCCGGGAGGTACCGATCCATATATTAGAGGTAAGAGCTCAACATTACTATCGTATCGCCCAAGTCACACAGATATAGTAATATGTACGCGATTTTGTTCTTATACAGTCGGTTTCGAAGATCAGTCAGAAGGCGATGTAGCCCTTCTGATATATGAATGGAGCGATTTTGATAAGATCGGCGTTGTCGATAACTCTACTGGAGAAGTAAGTATATATGTGGAATTTCATTTTCTGACAGTGTCAGAGGCTAACATTCATATCCAGCTGAGATACATTTGCGATAGTTCAGCGATCGCCGACCACTTATGTCCATCATCGGACCTCGGTGCCTTCATCATCAATGTTCCAGAGAACGAGAGAAATACCACCACTATTTTAAATCAAGCTGTTTCACTGAAGGTTAACGAAAGCGACGGCGCCATATACTCTATCTCAAAAACTGGCTATTATTGCCTAGCTATCGTCCCTGTCGAGAATGCCAGCGGTACCTATGGAAGTTTTGGAGCATGGGTGGAATGGAGATTTCCATATGGCGAACTGCCGGCTGTTGATTATCCCAAGCTGATAGTAAGTTTATCATCAAGATAATGGGAGATGCGGTTTCATCCTAACATTTTGACTTTACTTCAAGTTTTATGGCGTCTTCTCGATAATATACTTGATTATTGGATTATACTGGGCAGTCCAGACTTTCCGATACTGGGGAGATATTCTTCCAGTGCAGGTTAGTTGAAGATTAATGATCTGTGCTGTAATGTACCACTTGGTTTGACATTTCTGTCCTAGAACTACATATCAGGTGTCATTTTCTTCCTTGCAGTAGAGATGGCATTCAATTGGGGATATTGGGAATCGTATAATCAGACCGGAAAAACATGTAAGGTGATTGACCATAGAGATTTTTGGTGGTTCATTTAATTAATTCATCCTTACGGTAGCATGGGGACTTCTCATTCTTGTTGCGCTTCTGAATGCTGCACGTAATAGTATCTCCTTCTTTATGCTACTAATCGTATGTATGGGATATGGTGTGGTCAAGTAAGTTGTTACCTTCAAGCCATTGGTGATAGTAGTAATACACTCTAATTTTGTGTTTATTACAGACCATCACTTGGTTCTACCATGAAAAAATGTGTCATCCTTGCAGCTACACACTTCTTCTTCGGCGTCTTGTACGTCATTGGAACTATGCTGATGCAACCCGAAGACCATGGATTCTTCATTGTCTTCCTTGTTATTTTCCCTTTGGCAACCACAATGACAGCATTCTACATTTGGACGCTTAACTCAATCAATAGGACGTTGGTTATCTTAGGTATGAAAACGTCTTGAGGACATAGTGAAATGTCAAACACACTGTCGCTAATATTGGCTTTTTATTTTTATAGATATTCGAAAGCAGCATGTGAAAGCGCAAATGTACAAGCGCCTTTATCGACTATTGATATTCTCTGTCTGTATGGTGGTCGTTGTCTTTGTCCTCAACATCCTCAACTTCGGAACACGTTTGTCTCCGGATTGGCCAGCCAAAAACTGGAAGCGCCGATGGTTCATGTTGGACGGCTGGCTAAACATTTTGTACTTTATTGTGTTCCTCGTCATTGTTATCTTGTGGCGACCAACTGATAACAATGCGCGATACGGATTGGAACAATTGAGTCAAGACGAAGATGAGGCTATGGACCTTGAAAATAATTTACGTCGAGCTGAAGGCCTCGGGTATGATGGAATGAAAGGTAGAGGAAATGGAGATGGTAGAATGATGGATGACGAAGCTGCCATATTTGAGCTAGGAGACGAAGAAAGCGATGACGAAGGTGGTAATCGCGTAAAGCTTGTGAGTGTTGGTGCAAGCAGTAGTCAACCAAAAGAGCCTCCGCGTCGAGAATTAATCCGTGGAGGAGAACAAAGCGGATTACTTGATGAAGACGATCAAGACGATGAGTAAGTGTTTTTTTGGACATCACTAGCAATATAAGAACACTTCTGACATTTCTTTTCGTAATAGTATGGATGATAGTGACACCGCAAAGCTGAACCCTCGTAACCAGAAGATGCATTGATCCAGTCAAATACATAATCCCAACCTGAGTTCTTCACGATACCTTGCTTTGTGACCTTCCATATCACTTTCATTTCCATAAATAAATTTCACTGTTGGAACATCAGATAGTGAGTGTCGGCCGTGCGCTCTTTATCCACTGATTCACTAGTAATGACGATCGTTCCGCCGATTTTACTTCGTCTCTTAGCTGGCCAAGCCCTGGAAAATCGGCGCCGCGTAAAATGGGTGTCGGCTTCCTCCACTGCCGGAGGGACTCTTGCAGAACAAGCTCGATTTCTTCGCTTGGAGGAACTGAAGCCATCAAAATCCTGGTATGATGTCGCAACTTTGATATGACTACTTCGCATGCTGTGATATTGAACAATAAGGAGACCTCTCGCATCTTGATTACGTCTCGGATATCTGGGAGAAACGCTATTATGGCATACAAGATTTCCGATGGTAACTTATTGTCATTGCTAATTTGCCGAATAACCATAACATCTTGCCACTTTTTCATCTTCCTACGGGTTCTATCAACTTGAGTTGAGGCATCTTTCATAGCTTGAAAGGCTTTACGTTCCCACTTTGCTCGTTCGTTCATGATCCCTTTCAGTAGTGCCATTATGCCATAGTTGCCTGGACCGCGGCCGATTGATAATGGAAGCATAGATAAAGATTCTGGAATAACATGAATAATGCTCGGCCACATTTCGCTATTAGACATGTTCAATTTTAACGTCTTGGCAATGGATAGATCCTCGTCATCAGCAATAAATGGGTATTGCTCAAATTCAGACTGCCTTGCAATCTCGCTCAGTGCATCTGAAGGGCCCGGACAAATTACAATATAATAAGCATCTTTTTGTAACAGAATTCTATATATCTTTATAATATGTCAGATTAAAGCTTTAGTTGCCAATGGAATAAAATAAGGATAACTTACTTCCTTGTCTTCAGGATTAATTCGCATGATTTCCGACGTGAACGGATCGATTAACTCGTCTTTGCCATCTTTTCCGCTACACATATTTATGAGTTGGAGTAATACCGGGCATACAGGGCATTGTACGCTCTTTAACGAGATAACAACCAAGTAATACTGAGTGGCCAGACTTCGGATATCTATTTGTCTACCCTAAAAGAGATTCGAGAAATCAGCCCCCATGCCCCGCGTTCAACATGGCAAGAATAGATTACTGCTACTTACCTTTATGTCAATCAACTGATCATAGGCGAAGGTTCGCGGCGTTGATGTGAATGTTTGCAAGGGGTTCATAATGGGACTTGTTAAAGGCTCTCAATAATGCGCACTTGCACTTGCCCTTGCTTCCAAGCAGAATTAGCTCAACCAAATTTTGAAGTGCCGCAACTTTGTCTCTGTTTGAATGGTTAAAAAAAATCATTTTGCTTTCACCGGCCAAGCTTCTGTGGTTTGATTTTACCAAAGCATTTAACCAAGCCTGTATTGATTTTTATGTGTATAACTGATCATTGAAACTTTTGGTAAAATTGGACTAGTAGACTCTTCTGTAAAGGTATATTATCTTGCGGTATTTATCGCAGAGAATTTTTGGATGAAGGTAGCAATGGGATTTTCCACTTTTCTTTGTAATAGCTATGCTGGCTACTCTCTTTTGTGGATTCGAAGCGTAAAAACCCTTTATATGTTGTCTAAATTGCTTATGGATATAAACTTCGACTTGCAGTCTGATCTTTATTACAAGAACTTTATATCAAGAAGCTGGCGATGGTATCATCAAGCTTATTCATCTTACATAGGACAGGGATATGGCCGCTCTCCAGTATGAACGCAATAATGCGTCTCCAGTGCGCTTGGATGCGAAAACTCGTTACCGCAATTTTCGCATTTACGCATCGACAAGCGTCTTTGCTTCAGGAATTGATTAGCTGGTGGAGGATTTTCCATATGTATCTGTACCGCTATTTGCTCTAAGCCCTTTATTACACCACATTAGACACAGCCAATTATCCGAACAATATTGACCACCAACGTCACAACAACTCTTTTTGAGGCCAATTTGACGTTTTATACTATGTGGTGTGATGGCCAACAACACTATCAACTGTTTCATGCGTACGTTGCGTGATGGGAATGATAACTAAAGAATCACGAAATGGAGCAACTACCAGATTTTATTTTGCTTGAAAGGGGAAACAATCTATGAACTTTTGATTCTTCCAATCAAAAATATTACAAGACTGACTCCTGTGAGCAAAGATGCAGCATGGTACAAAGCATGAGCACCCAGAGCTTCATATATCATTCCTCCCACGACACATCCAATTCCAAATCCTGCTCCCATATGTAGAGCAGCGAGGGTACCTTGTGCAATTGCCCGCTGCTCCGGAGGGAAAAATGAATCTACTTCACTAACAGCTGTTGACCAAATAGTTGCAAAAGCTATTCCATTGAGCGTTTGCAAGGCAAGAGCAAAGGCGCTTGTCATTGGCGAGCCTGGTACTAGAAGCGTGTAGAGGGAGGATCGTACAATGGTAATACAATGAGCAGACACCATCAATACTGTCACTCCAAACCGATCGAAAAGCTGAACGGTAGTTTTAGAAGGGTACGTGAATTAGTACTGTACGCTTGAAACTGTTCATGATGTGCGACATTACCTGCTTCGATACCCAAAAAGTCAGAACTTCCGTTATACCTCCCACAGGTCCAGTCCATCCCAAAATGGAAGAATCGACACCAAGATCGTTACGGAGGTAGAGAAATAGGAATTGATTGATCATAGAGAAAGAAACGCCAAATATCAACATACTCAAAAGGAAGGTGATGACCTTTCTAGATTTTAGCGAGCTTGGAGGAGGAGCTATATTGTCTTCTTCAGGATGGGGTATAAGGAAGGCTAGGGATGATTCCATGGATGGGATATGTGAAAGAGCGAGTCCAAGGGAAGGAATACGATCAAGCGATTCCATCAGCTCACTAGCCTCTAGATGAACATCCCGAGCCATCGAAGTGGAAGTGCGATGAAGCCTCAAACTGTTTCTATGCCCGTGCTCATCCGAAAGCACAGTATTAGCAAAGCTTATACGACTGTCCCGTCTATCAACAAGTTGTCCTTGATGCTGAGTAACAACCGACGATTGTACATCGTCATCCTCAGAGTCGGCAGGTTGATCCGGTGGCCAGACATAATTTGGAGCAAGATTATTTTTCAAAAGCGGTCTAGTATCTTGATCAAGATCATCCTCAAGCATGCTATCGTCATTGGACTCGACTTTAGCAAATAGCGACAGAACAATGAATAGCACACTACCAGCAGCAAAGACATAAAATGCCACATTGAGATTATTTCCAGTAGCTGAAATCAGCAATCCGACGGCCAAGATGCTTAGACCATTCGATATGGAGCCCCATAACCGCTGCTCGCCTATGCATAAAGAGGTGGGAAGTCGGAAAACCAAATTAGCCAGTTAAGTTTGGGTATAACCCACCCACTGCAGTAGCCCTGACTTACCATACAGAATTTTGTGGTTGCCCAGGATTTTTAACACAGCACTATCCACCAACGCCATCAGTGGAGAGCCAAAAAAAGCAAACATCAGGGCCAAGACACACGTAAAGGGCATAGTAAGGTCTTCCTTATCGATCAACAGAGCAGGTAATAAAGACATAGATACGATAGCGGAGCCGCCAATCAAAGCCAGCACCGCCATAAGGGTACCGTGCCACTTCGGCCACCTATCAGCTACCAAGGTCCAAACAGGACATGCCACAGATTGAATGAATGGCGCAATGGCTAACAATATTCCAATTTGATTAGAGGAGAGATGTAAAGCTTGGTCATAAAAGATGGCGAGATATGGAATGGCAGACCCTTGCATAGTGAACAAAGCTATAAATAATAGCTTTGGTAGAGTGTATGGCATGGTCTACGATAGAGGAGCCGTCGAGGCAAAATTGTTTCTGGTTAAGGAGGTTAGAGAACAGATCAAAAGAATAAAGGTAATAAAAGTGAAAGAACAAAATGGCAAGCCACAAGAAAAATGCGTTCATGACTTCACGTTGACGTGATAACGAAAGATGGTAGTAGTAGGTTAAGGTGTGTAGATTTATGTATAAGAGGAAAGAGGATAACAAAAATTACTTCTATGGTTGTCGAAACTATTTCAATATGCCTTCGTTCAGAAATCTTCAAAGTCGTCGGCTAGAAGTATTGGTCAGTGCATGTCCTTAAAAGCCTACAAACCAAAGAATGACAACATCAATAAAAATTTACCTTCGATGCCGTTGATTGCATGGAACACAAAGAACACAATATTTGTTGTGCACTGCATTCCAAATCCTTGATAAAGTCCACGAAGCCCTAATCCAGTGTACTGGATACCCCGGCTGGAAGTCTTGCGGTTCTTGCGTGTGGCAGGTTTACCGCCTTCCTCCTTCATTATCTTATAAATGGCATCTCCAACGCCTGCATAAGGAACAGGTCGTAGAGGAACGACACTTTCAAAGCGCTTTCCTGGTACTCTTGATCTTATCTGGCATTGCATACGTTTTCGAATGGTTTCGAGTGGCAACGTGATGATTAGCTCCAAAGTATCGAGACCAAGTTGAGCCAATCCATACAAAAATGGTGAGTCGACAGCTGAGACGCGGAAAATGCGATCAATAATTAACGGACCGGTATTGGAGATTAATGGGATGAGGGAGTGGTATAGCATGGTAGGTACAAGGTTATGTGACATATACAGTCCCTTCAAGCCACCTTCCTCCGCCATAATGGTGCGAAGTGCGTGTAATGGTCCTTTGTATTTCCTCTGCAAAGGAGACGCAGATTGAACGATCATTCTGTTCGACTTGGTTAGCGAAATACAAATCGATTGAAATCACCCTCAATGATTCTGATATAAACTAACCTGGTCTTCACCAGTTCCAAGGGACTGAGTAGTACGCCGATAATTAAATGACTGAATACAATAGTCGCGACATTTGGACCGGCATGATCGAGGTGGACTAAGGGTATCGTATCGTCATACAGACCGAAAGCATCATTCAGCGTTCCTTCAAGCGTTGGTTGTAGAAAGAGATGTGAGATCTCATAAAGCCAGTTAGTGTATTGTCCCTTGAACAATGATTTCCACCCTTCTCCTTCCTTGTTCAAGAGCAATTTGATGGTCTTCCACACTCCACCTTCAATCGGTGGCAGTTGATGTTGTGGCCTTGTGCCTTCATCATATACGCTTGGTCGCACAATGTATCCGCTCTCATCTACAGGAACATGTCGCTTGAACATCGGATCACTTGGGTCCAAAGTGGGCTGCTGATAGGGCTCATCGCTGGAATGTCGTCGACGCGAGCGACTGCCTGAGCCTGTTCCATAAATATCTTCATCATCTTCCTCTTCATCATCCTCATCATTGTTTTCTTCTTCCGCATAGTCAGAACTAGTTTCTTCTTCTGTACTTTGCAATTGCGCGTTGAACAGACGGTTGTCCTGCTCCGTAGGTAAATATTGAACTTGAAGCAAAGTGTTGGCAACTTCAAAAGGTGAATTGACGGCGGTGGTAAGAAATTTCAAAGCTACAAAGTTGATGAGTTCTCTGGCAGCGGCTCGAGAATCAATCAAGTCTAGGTCATCTAGATCATCGGTCAGGTAACTTGAATTTACAGGAAAAGTTGGCAGTGACGGCGCAGACAGTGTTGTGTAGTTCCCTTGAGATAGCCCAGGCGCATAGTACGGTCGGATTCCCGAAACTCCCTTTCCATTAGCTGCCGGAAACCTAGGTTCCTGTCTGTTAGACATAGTGTTTACGAGTAACGCCTCCCATCGCTTCAGCTACAGCATAAAGTACCATTTAACCGAGTCACATGTTTGCATTCATTGTGGTAGGAAATGTAATTTCCTCACCTAAACCCTTTTGCATTCGTGATGCGCTACACAAATACTGATTTTGTTGACGTCGTCAGTTGGTTTAGTATAAAGGTGTGCAATGAAAGTGAAATAAACTTGGAGTATCTTTCCCTTTGATCTTGGCTATTGTTACTAACAATTCTAAAGGAAAGACATATTTCGAACATTTGTTGTTTCTAGCAGATATATCTCTCCATCGCATTTTTCAGGGCATTTTTTTTTTTTTTTATAAAAAAATAAAATACCTCTCATATCAAACATACTGTAAAGGTTGACGAATGAAGGCGAGGATGTGGTAATAGCTCTCTGAGCCGCGCTTTTATTGACTGAAAAATATATATAACAAAAAATTTTCTATGGCAATGATACTCTAGTTCTTTCTAAGTCGCGCATTCGTAGCTAATGAATAATGAAATGGACACAACTCCAAACAACTTGGATCTCACCGAAGAACAAATCGAAAACCTCTACGTAAGCATTGCGAGAAGGTTTAGACTCGAAGCGCAAGCCAAAGAACAAGGACAACATGAAGGGGCTATCTTACCCTTGAAATCTTCGAAGAGATGGAAGTCATCGCAAAGGTACTGTACGCACCTACAATAGTGCATGGTTAGTCTGGAGGGACTGGTGCCTACAACAGTACCCAAGGGTAAGCCCCCTGGAATACAACTCCTTTACTTTTCCAAAAAATCTTCTACTCGATAGAAAATACCATTTCACGCTAAATACCAAGAATGGAGTGATCAACATAAGAATAAACTTGCTTTATCGAGGGTGCAACAAACGCTTTGGATATAACGGTTCGGTGCTGGACATCTCCGGACATGATTCTTATTTCACGTATGAAGATGAACTAGACGAATTTGGATGAAGTGCCGCTGGGCTATTTTTGCAAACAGAGAAAGCTACGCTGTCAAAGCTTCTATTGCTGCCGTGTGGCTGTAAGCGCACAAGTCACTTGCTCCATTCGTATTCAAGCGACACTTGTACTGTGTTGGTATTCTTCATCTCGTTCCAGCTCACACTATACAAACAATATGTCTATTAACTCTCCAACGTTTTCCGTGAAACTAAGAGAGATATCGCCCATAGTCGATGGAGCAGTCTGTGGTATACTCTTGCTTGCTCTTCTTGCTCGTCACCGATCAAATGCTAGGTTGCACTATTACCTCTTGGAACTGGCAGTCATTTGTGGAATAATCTTTGATGCCTTAGCCCTTCATACCCATGACGGTTTTCTTCTATTTTCGGACCCATCGTCAACAGCTATGGCGGTCATGAGTGCCCTCACTTTACTACTTACTCAACTCGCTGGCTTGTGGGCACTGCATTGTTATTCTGAAATCTATCTTGGGAGTCGCGACATATTAGCAAGCATCCCTGCGATCCTTGGAACCCTCTAGATCATCGTGGTCACAGTTCTTATAATTGTGGTTCGCGTGGTAGTTGGCAACAATGCCACTTTCAATGCTCTCACAATATAACAGATTATCTTTTGGGCTTCCCCTGCATTATCTATATGGTCTGTTCTAGGTCTCATCTTCGTTCTCGTGTTGGCTACTCGAGGTTTTCCACAGCATTATGACATTATTATACGAAAAATAACTAATGATAGGGACCTCTTGGCTTTTTTCATTGTACTCGTCACCCTTGACACTGTCTGGATGCTTTTCATAACATATTTTCTATTTTCTAATGATACTGTTGAAAGATTGGCACTGATTGATTTCATATTGTCAATATTATTAACAAGAGTAAGTCTTCTGCTCTTCATTGGATTCTATACCAGATCAACTGCAATGGTGCTTATACAAGAACGAATGAAGATGGAAGAAGAAGACGTAGACGAACTGACAATGCCAATGCCAATGTACAATTTTTAGATGACTCAATTTTTTTTTCTGTCAAGCACTGTAAAGACCTATGATATATAAACATGTAAAATTTACCATATTTCCCATGGAAACAATGCAATTCATGTTCTATACATAAGCAAAAAGTAAGATGAGAAAAACTTAGCCATTACCAGCATGCATATTGAACATTCAGCATTTCATTGACGAAAGATTCGGCGCAAGAGTGAGCATTTGAGTGAGGATATATCACTGTACAGGTCCCCATTGAAAAGGGTTAACGCGGCGACGACCTTCCCTAAGGTTTCGAATGCGGATCATAATTGTGCCGAAATGCAACGCGCCACATTTATTCACAACCTCCGTTTGCCTTTTCCATGCTTTGAGTTATTTTAGCCAATTAACCTCAGCTAAACCCTTTGAGAATGTTCCATCTACGCAGCAGCATAACGTTAGTGGAAGTGTCACTAAAGGTAAAATACATGCTACTCTGAGATCTACTGCAAGACGTACATAACCTTTCTTCAATTGAGAGATTATCATCAAATTTGCAAGAACCAATGCTTCTAGTGCTGATCAAACGTTCAGCTACATCAACCGGTTTTGATGTTGTAGGCATTGGATGAAGAGGTAGGATCTTTATGCAAATTGAAGCCAGTGGTTTGTAAGGTTGACGGCGGGGGAAGAGCCCCATTTGAATTACTGGGAGGCGGCAGTTCAATGTGTTTCGCTACTGGGGAAATTCTTTGCCCGCATCGGTCACGCATTTGTCTGTGTATTTCTAGGAGTGGTGACGACGTTACACTGATAAAAAAGTACATATACCTGATATATTTGCTACCTTAACTATCATCTTTTCTCAAACATGGATGATCCTATAAAGTATATCAAACTCGCCAATGCTGAGATAGTGTTAAACATCTCGGTATCTGCCATCTTCGTCGCCATCTTGGTCTTACAGCTCTTGGTACGCCGTGGATCTGTGAAGTTCCATTACTACTTCCTGTTGGCTGCCAATGTTTTCGCTTTGATTTCAAATGCGATCAACGTAGGCTTTTACAATACTTACATAGACTCAAATGGCCCAGTTTTAGCACTTATCATCCTGGGCTATATGTCAGACGCCTTCTTCGGCTTGACTGCTGTGCTGACTTTGCGTCAATTCACGGCCTCCTATCTGGGAGGGCCAACCTTTGTAATAACCGTCATGTGTAGTCTCGCAATTGCTGCATGTCTAGCCATTATCATTGTGGCTGGCCTATACGCTCAATCTATCGTAACGCTAAGTACAAGCAATCATGTAAACACACTGTACAGTGCTGACTTATGGACCTTCTTCGCGCTATGGGTGTGGTTACTACTGCTTTTGCTGGTTATTCGAATTACATATCATACCAAAGTTCCACACAATGAAAACAGGAGCACAATCATCAAGACCTTCTGTCTACTTTCATTGTACATTATCATGATGTTTGCGTTTTATCTCTATGTTATAATTACAACATCTGTAGCAAAGATCGTTTTGGCACAAGATTTTGGCATCGTGGTCGGTAATGTGATCCTTAATATACTGCTTTATAGGGGCTCTACACTTCTTTTCGTAATGTTTTACAATAAGCTATCGGTAATGACACCACTACCTCTCGGAAGGGACACACATGAAATCTGTGAAGTCTAGATGTAACATACCCTTGAAATACGCATATCGTACTAATTTGCAATTTCAAACCATTATTCATAATAAAATTCTGATATCACATCCTACAATTGCGATGTCGATGGTCTGTTTAGCACGTTCATTGTTAATAAAGTGACATTTTTGTGATTACCCGGTATACTACACATGGTTTTGAGTCATCTTTAATCCGTTTTACATTGGCAGCTTCGCTATGACTTCTATAAGGCTAAAAGTTTTGCAGCTGAATGTAGGGAGAAGATCAATATTGGCTATGAAACAAAAAATGGTACTTATTTCCAAACATCAATGAGACAACAACTGATAGTAGCTTTTACTGCTCAACTGGAAAGAAGTTACACATTATGTTTATGGCTGACCTAGCACCCCGCTGCGCACAGACTTCCATTTTAGGCAGCCGATACGACCCGTTGCTGAGTGGCTACATCATTTCATACAGTTATTGAGCGATGAATTGCTCGAGCAGCTTCAATACGGTCTCTCATTTACTTTATCAAATGCAGAAGCTTATCTCGTAATGGTTTTACATTCGTCAAATGCGTATCTGCAGTGTGGCAAAATAGTAATTTACAAACAGAAGTGCTGTTTTCCAAAAAGTAGAGGTCAGCTCTCGCCATTGCAAGGCAAGAGAACGCATCTAATTTTTTTAATCTTACACGAGCCGCAAACGAGAAGCAGCGGCATTCAATGCACCAAATGCTGTTCTGGGAAAAAATTGTTATTGACACTTGTACTAAACATTATGCGCCTTACTGTAACTTACTTGCTAGGCGACTTCGTTGTGAAGTTGGTACCTGGCGACAAACGCCTGTGGCGTTGCGCGATATGTTTAGGTTCATGAAGGTAAGGTGATGACCCAAGAGTCGTACAATAACCTCGATGGAAATAGCTGACATAGGTCTTACAGTCTTAGGAATTTCGCTACTATTTTCTTTTCTTAGAACACATCGCTTGGTATAGCTGTTGGCTAGACACATACATGCTGCCACAGTTCACATGTCCGCATTATAGGTTTGCCACGTCAATCCACGCACTAATTAGTTACGGAACTACTCGCCAGATTCAACTAAAAATTTACATCTTTCACTTTGTGGAATTTCACTTCAAAACCTAGAACGGTGTTATGCTCTACAAAAACAGATCGACATCGCCATTGGTATGCAATGGCGATGATATATGGGAAATTAAGCAAATTCCATTGCTGCGCCTCTTTCACTACTGGTACGAATTTTATGGTGACACTATGTTCCCATCTAAACCTTTAAAATGTGCCACACTGCGATTTCTTGTCACTACGCTCATGTTCTCCGGTTTTTCTATCAATTTCACATTGGTCCTTGCTGCCCAGATAAATGCGACGCTTTCTTTTGTTGTTGCACAGACTGCAATCTTTTCTTTGCATATCTTTGCATGTCATGGCTTAGGCAGGTCACCTATACGCCTATTACGTAAACTACATATCATGGTTGCAATTGCACTCTCTGTATCGGTGGCTAAGCCACATTGTCCGTACATAGCATTCGAAGTAGAAGCGGGAATCATATTTTTCGCCTACATTCTTTTCGTGTGCAATACTCAATACTCCACTGAGCTTATGCGCAACTACAATAAAGCTCGATTCGGCACGGAAAGTCGTATAATAAGCCGTATATGTTCCGTTGTCATATATGCCTCAGTGGCTATCTTCTTAGTGGCAATATGTACCTATATTGCTCAAAAGTACAGCGGCGTGGACCACCAATACTGTTAGAAATAATTATCCCTTGGGAAATTGCAGTAATCTCTTGGTACCATCCCATGATGATGGTGATAACGAAATATTGTAATCGAAACAAGGAACCGATGAAAGATATCGAGAAGCCATTCTCTGAGAGGATACTTTCCATTGGTAACTCTATTACTATGTTCATAGCTTGTGAGGTTCATGGCGTGATTCTGCTGTATTATCCGCCGATAAATTGGAAAGGCATGATTGATATCCTTGGAGTGGGTTTCGCAATTGGCGCCGTGTATTATCAAGTAACGTCACCTGATATTCTTCTTTTACAAGAACCAATATGTGAGCTCCTCACAATGGATCATTGATAAGTGGTATCAAATGCCGAGCATAAAAATTTACATAGAATAAAAAAATTCATCAAACGAATTGCGGTACGTTGTTCAAATGGCCTTACGTGCTGGAAACGGTTTGGCACCAAGGAGGCCCTTGTGGTTTAAGCTTTGTTTCTTCTTAGTTAGTCTCTTCTCTTAATGACCACAATATGATAGATTGTGGTTTTTGCTATTAAAAGTTTGGCTTGACTAGGTAAGAATCACAAGATTTTTTTTAATGTTATGGCCCAACTTTTCATGGATTACATACTCATTTCAAAAGATCATAGACTTTGAGTGTATACATGGCTCTATATTACGCAAGACGGTCGGTATAGATCCGTTTTGATTCGACAGTAGTATGTAACCATGGGGCGATGCCAAATGCCAAGGGCCAAGTTGTCGGCGATTAAAACGTAGCCGAGCATGTTGGCATAGGCGCACGTACTACGCACTTGGCGGACGAGGAATATTATATAATGGCTATGGTCATCAACCTTTGGAATAGCATTCCATCCATCGAAAACAAATCTTACACACTATAAAGAACATGCCTTTCTTCAAGCACTCTTCAAAATCCTCTGCAAGCTCTACATCTGGTACTTCTGCCTCTTCCACCAAGACTGCAAGCACAAAGCAAGCAAAGAAAGCCACTCCTCATGTCTTCTTTCCTCCTTACCCCATGCAACACAGTCCAATCAATCGCATGTAATGCCATTTAAAGCATTAGAAGCGGCCCTTCTCTCAGCCTTTATGTATTCTAGAAAGTTGTACAAATTCGCATAAAAATAAATAACATTTGTAATTTATTAGCTTTTTTATTATACGCTACATAAATATTGAGGGTAAACCATTTTGAAGATTGTATGTAATTGATCCTCCAGACACAGTTACAGTAGTGTTGGTGAATATATCTGTTAGTTTTGTCCCATCAGAAATACCAGCGCCAACTTTGACAGAGATGGAGTTTGTAGCGCTACTACCCTGATTATTTAGAACTACAAGAACACTTCCACGAGTGAATGCGTATATACTATCTTGAACATCCACATCAGTAATTACAGTACCGTTTGCTTTCTGACGACCATCTTTGATAAGCTTCGCAGTGAACTTGTAAAGATCGCTTGATGTATCGTATGATGAAGACCAAAGCGTCTCTCGATTAGCAGGATCAGATCCACCAGTGAAGCCTTGTTCAGAGCCATAATAATACACTGGAATACCTTCTGTCATCATAATAAAGGCAAGTGCATTCTTAAACAGCGACGTGTCAGAGGTTTGACTCAAGAATCTCACATTATCGTGATTGTCAACAAATGTTGTAAGGACACTAATATCCTTGAAGTTGTTTTGGTTCGCGGTTATTTGATTCGTTAAAGCAGACATTGCTTGCTTGGATACAAATGCATTGTTGATAGGATAGTACAGCGGATAATTGATTAGAGATGGAGCATAGTCTTGATAAGGACCAACATAGCTGGCATCACCTGACAAAACTTCACCGGTAGCAAAGACGTTCGCAGAAGAAATATATCCTGGCCAAAAATCTTTACGAACATGTTTAAACGTATCAATGCGAAGACCATCGAAACCATATGTGGAAGTCCAGTTGCCCACCACGTTATAAAGAGCGTTCACGACATTGCTGTCTTCCGTGTTGATATCAGGCAAACCGGAGATCCAACATTGCTCTACAGATGTTTGGTTGTTGTAATCAATGTCACAACTTGGGTGATATTGGCTTGCGGAATTAAAGGTGTATCCAGTGTAGTCACCACTGGATGACGGTATGCCAGCATGATTTGCTACCACATCAAGCATGACCAAGATGTTTTTGTCATGTGCAGCGTTCACCAAATCCATCAAATCTTGCGATGTACCAAAATTTGGATTCAAACTACCAAAGTCCGTGGCCCAGTATCCGTGATAGCCATTGTCAGAATTCTGGGGAATTGGAGAGATCCAAATGGCGTCGAAACCCATACCAGCTATGTAATCCAAGTGGTTGATGATACCTTGATAAGTTCCTCCACAATAGCCGGATAGATTGCTGCACGCATCTGTAGAGCCATCAGTCCTTGCAAACCTGTCAGTCAACAGTTGATAGATAGTACGGGATTTCCAATCAGCAGCTGTAGTGGCCAACGCAATAGGAGCTCTTTTTTGTACCAGAACAGCGTCTGAAAACGTCAGCAAAAGGCTGCTAGCAAAAAAAAATAAGACTGACTTCATTGCAAAATTCAGTCGATGACTGTAACAGCAGGCCAAGATTTCAATTCTTTTATGCTAATGATTGTTTCCCAGAGCTTGGCTACACTTAGTTAGGTCTAAAGAGGAGTTGTACGATTTCCAGCTTGCATAATTATGCGGGTTATTTAAATGTACAACCTTGGAGTAGGGCAGGTGGTGCTTTCCGCGGGGTTCCGCTGATACCCTCGTTATAAATTCTCACAGTCATTCTCATATCCGATGGTACACCTTCCATTTACTGCTGAAAATTGAAAGCTTCCCGTCTCCACGTGGTCACTGAAATTTCCAGCGCACTTGTAGGGACATGTTCATGTTATGGTTCTTAAAATGTGATAATCATAACAGGTAGCTGATTTGCAAGTCATTTTTTTGACTTCATCATTTTTTATTACCATTTTGCTTAATACGACAGTAACTACAATTTACATAAATTGCAGGTAGAGTTGGAAGGCCCCAGTAATTCTGGCATCTACCCCGCACAATACAACCCAAGCACCAGTTGAAGTCACACAATCCTCTCATTGCTGTGGGAAATTTCATGACCAACTTTACGTAAATGAAAGAAAACAAGAAGCTACGAACAAGACATCCAAAGAAGAACAGATAAAATTGTTGAAGTACTGTAGTTTTTTTCTTCTTCTTCTGATTACCCGAATATGTGATGACGCCAATGATATATGGTGCCACATCTAAGAAAAAGGCTCTATTTCCATAGCTGAATGGTGATGTAAGAAAGTTGAACTTTTACAGACACATGCTGTGCTTCTCCGACTTCCTCAATAGCAAGAGGTTGTCATTGTGGTATGGGATGGCTAAAATCCCCGTCACGGCCTGAATTGTACGTGATTGGCCAAATGCGTGACTGTCATTATCAGTTGTTCGAAGCGCCATTCCCCGTTCACAGGCCCTTCGTCGTTTTTATCCGCAACCATTGAGCACTTAGCACCTTCTTCTATTGCCATATCAATAAAGTGAATCTGAAAAAGCGCTCAAGAAACAACAAACAGCAGCAAAAGAAAAATACTGCTGTGGTAAGCAAAGCGGCACCAACTCCACCTGGCAAGAAACTTGTGAAGAGGAAGGGTAATGTAACGCAAGACGCAACCGACGACCGTGCAGAACCACATAACGAGCAGTCTCCGAAACGTCGTAGGAAACAAAAAACCAAAGAGGAAGATATGACGTTTGCCCCTCGTGTACTTGGTGCTGCCAAGTGGATAGGTGCGCATGTTTCAACTGCTGGCGGAATAGATAAGGCGGTCCTCAATGCTCGGATTATTGGAGCGAACGCTTTTCAAATTTTTGTGCGCTCACAGCGTCGATGGGAATGCAAGCCAACTCCATCAGATGTACAAGAAAGATTTATGCAAGAATGCGATACGCATGGCTATACCTCTGATCACATCCTTGTACATGGCAGTTACTTAGTCAACCTGGCCAACCCGGATCCAGAAAAGCGTGCTAAATCTTACGAAGGCTTTTTGGACGAAATACGGCGTACGCACGCACTCGGCCTTAAGCTGTACAATTTTCACCCAGGAAGTACTACAGGGAATTGTTCTGTTGAAGAGGGTTGTAGTTCCATTGCAAGGTCCATCAACAAAGTCCACAAAGAAGTTCCGGAGGTTGTCTGTGTCCTGGAGATCATGGCTGGTGGCGGGAAAGCTATCGGCGGAGACTATGCACACTTGAAAAACATCATCGAGCAGGTGAAGGACAAAACGCGAGTAGGAGTATGTCTGGATACATGTCATATGTTTGCAGCAGGATACGATATTCGAACTACTGATACATGGAACCAGACTATCAAGGAGTTCGATAACACAATTGGATTGAAGTATCTGAAAGGAATGCATTTGAATGATTCAAAAACTGATATAGGATCTCATAGAGATCGACACGAAAATTTGGGTAAAGGATTCATTGGTTTGGATGCTTTCAAATCGATAATGCGCGACCCGAGAACAAATGGCATCCCAATGGTATTAGAAACACCGGTTCCAAAAGACGATGAAGATAAAGAGATTTACACTGAGGAAATCGCTGCATTGTACAAATTTTATAAAGATGCGGGTGTAAACGACTCCAAACAATGATAATAAAAAACCAAAAGATCAATTAAAATTGTACATGACTTGTATGCCCATATCAGTGGGGACGATGAAATATTAATGAATGTATGCAGTAATAGGATTACAAAGGGTATCAGAACAAAACAATGTAAATCACAAAATATTATCTATACAGCAACCATGCCAAGGACGCACAAAGCTCCAACATAAGGTACCAGTACAGCCTTGGCGACGAAGTAAAACATGACACCGAGGGCAATGGAGATGGGCAGTGCTGGTAATGCCTTTTTCCATAGTACCAGTAAGAAGATCGTAGCTGTCAGACCCATGAGAACTGCAACTGTACAACACACTGTTGTGATCCAGTCGTACATTGCCGCTCTCGCAATGAGTACGCTGTAAAAGACAAAGTCTCCTAGACCTAACTTAAGGCCGCTGCGTTCGGCTAAAAGCAGAATAAAGTAAATATATGACATCCAGCTATTCATTCGCATTACGGCTTTCTTAAAGCTTACCGTCTTCTTCATCCGGCGGCGTTTCATCGCTGTCGCTTCTTTGAGGATTTGGGGTAACTGTGTCGGTTTCTAAGGTTGTTGTCGGGTTTGTTTCCAAATGATGATCCGTCGAATTTATTTCGATGGTATTGACACTCTCACCACGGAGACGAGTGAAGCCATTTCCATCTTGAGGGCCACGGATGACTGCACCTTGTGGCCCTGAGCTGTGTCTCCAATTATGGATCGTATGTGCTTCCTTCAGAGGTTCAGGAGATTCAGAACGAGCCTGGCCAAACTGAGTGTTGGTACTAGTGTCTGCCACTGGCTCAGGTGTATGTGCGTTTGATCGATTTACTTGCGCTTGAAGCTCTTGTAAGTTTGATGCTGAGCTATTTCGACTTGAACCACCAAATATCCAATTTGTACCGATTACATGTCCATTCTGAGGAAGAAACGATCTCGAAATTCGGAAGTGATCTTCCATGGAGGCCATAAACCATACAGCATTGACGGAATACAATAATGCTGGCACCTCACGTTGCTGAGTTCGCGAACTTTCAATGAGCAATCGTAACGGCCCAAAAGGACATAATACCGCTATCAGATCTGTTGAAGAGAAATGGAGCGTCAGCATATGCCATATAAGTAAAGTTTACATCTCTCCATAACAAGACATACCCCAAATAGCCAACAGTCCAAGCAACATCCAAGTTGTCCACTCCTCCAAGCCGGTTAGAGAAAATGCCTACAGTAACCGTACAACGTTAATTTGCGACATCGAAAGTCAGAAAAAAAAATCCACATAATAAATACCATTAAGGAGCTCATGATGGTGAGGTACGCTTGCTGCAACCACAAGGGACCCTTCCAAAAAATGGAGATCAATCCGACGACAGCAAAGTTCCATAATGCAAATACCATAGTAATGTAATCCAGTGGGATGAAGAAAACTTGAATCAAATTTCTAAAGGCACAATCACGTTAGCAAGTCACAGCACCTTCATCCATTCAGATTTCAAAATGATGTACTTACAAGAGAAGTAGATAGGTCATAAAACCTAACAATCCCAACACAACGATCATGAAAAAGCCAATTAGAACCTATTGAATACTAATGTCAGTAATGGCTCACAATTATTTGATATAAGCTTTTACCCACCTTAATCCATCCTTTCCGGAAGAAAAATACAATGGCAACAGTTACAACAACAATTTGCCCAACGATGACCAGGGCCGTTGTAAGTGAGCTGACGACACTGGATGAAGAACTGGTGCCTGTAGTAGTCGATGCAGAAGAACTACCAATGGAATAAGACGGTCTAACTGGAGCGTAATCGCTAGTACCACTGAATGAGACCTTCACCCAAAAGATACTTAGGATGATGCAAATAACTACTGGCTGAATGACCAGGTAAATTTGACGGATATAGAATCGCAGCTCGTCAGCATACTCCTCTTCATCTAGCTGAGCGTCGGTAGCTGTCTCTCCAGCCTGTAGTTCTACCATTGGTATATTACCGTCCTGGTTATTGGCTGCTGTCTGTGATGCTCGGCGTTCTATAAGCGACAACGATATCAGTTTCAATTCAACCTATAAACGGCACATATGATTGGCCTCTTACGTCTAGAATTGATGATTTGTGCTGCTCCAAATCTTGAGATTCCAGAATTCCTCGTCTGCACTCTAGATAGCGAAGTATCGTCGTCAACGTCAGTCGCCGCTGTGTCGGCCGTATTATCGGTCTGTGTATTGGGTGTTCTACTCCTTGCGGTCGCCCTTGCTTGTTCGTTTCCTTTGCACAACCTATAATGACCTTCCCTCCATCCTTGTGTCTGACAGTCGATTGAGCAGTACCTTGGACCATTCAATCCGCAAGATGAGCACATAAACGACGCCGGCTTTTGACAGACATTGCACTTGGAGTTGGCGGGTGGAGAAGGATCAGTGTTGTTTAGTTCTATTTCATCTCGGGGTGATGAAAAGGCTGTTGCCATCGTCTCGAAAAGATATCAAATCCTTTCGATCGGCGTTTGTGATGAGTGTTGGATCTCGCAGAGATGGTATTGCAGGCGGCGAACAGATTTACAGCCAGTAAAGGAAAGCTGCTACCGCCACGATTCCAAAAAAAAAATTCAGCGCCCGAAAACCTAAGCAATTTGAATTCAGGCACCTTCAACCCAAGCAAAAATGCAGTGGAAAGCGAATAACGGCTTTACTCTGTCAGGAAAACGAAAAATAAAGATAAAAGTCAAGTTATCACATCATAAGATGGTGCTACTCTAAGGTGCTTCTTTTACTGGGAGCCGACTATTTTGATGTAGTGGCACTTGCACTTTATTCTATTCTTTCGTTTTGCGAGTGGATTTTCTTGTAGATTTTCTTGTACTCTGATTCTTGTGCTTGGTGGTGGTTGTCTTGGACTTCTTGTGAACACTTCGATTATTCCCGCTCTTATGCTTTGAGGTGGTGGTCTTTCTCTTCGATTGAGATTTTTGTGTCGATTTGATACTGCCTTTGCTTCCCTTCATATCGAAATCCGGTTTAACGCCAGTAGCCTTTCTCGTAATGGTAGTTTTGGATGGTATGTCGTTTTTAGGTCCATTGATGAACAAGTAGAATGATGTGCCTTTAGCACCACTGCCATATCGATCACTGTCGACCAAAGAGGTGTGCGTTAGGTCGGCAACTGTTAGTTCCTGTGCCTTATTTGCAGAGCTTCTGGCCCATTGATTTCCATAGTTAGCTCTTCTAGTTTCATTGATTAGGTAGGAACTGGGATTCTCCACAAATGAGTACAGACCAGTAAGATATGGAGACTCGGTTTTACGGCGATAGGTGGCCAAGTGATACCAATTCTTGTTCTCATGTTGGAAATAGCCAGAGATCTCGGTGTATCCATTGTTGAGAGGTTTAGCATGAACAAGAGCAGCATAGGTCACCCCAGCAGTCCACTGGAAGTCATAGTTTGCATGCAGTCCAGTTCCTTCTCCTCCGAAGGTAGAGCAGCGTGAAAGGTTACCGCAATACTGTTGGGTTGTTTTGGTACCATCATCAGCATCCTAAATGAACGTTATATGATTAAAAGCCACACAACGTAGAAATTACTAAATGTACAAAAAAAAAAATCTTACCCAAACGGAAAAGAGAACAGTCTTGCCAGTTTTTCCTTCTGTATTGTGCTGAATGCCGAAGTAGCCTCCTGTAAATCCATTGGTCATAAAGTAGGTGCTTATTGGCTCGGCACCAGGAACGACATTCACTTCGTTGTACCAGTCAGTGACATTCGAAAGATCTGTATGATACCATAAATGATCAGCAACGCCGTATACGGTCTCAGCTAGTATAGAGAGGGCTAAAGCAGCAGTCAATTTCATTTCGGTACTTTGAGTTGGAAGTTGAAATTTGATATTCCAATAGGTGATTCACAAAAATTCATACTTGTTATATAAGCAAAAGCCCTGCTTTCGTTTCACACGTTAATGATGTAACCAAGCTCATATAAAAGCCTTTCCTTCGCATTGCTCCGCATCTAGGGAAAGCCATTAATGCCAGAGTACATCTTTTCCTCAACAAGACCATGTTAGTTGGACCTAGTTTGCAGGTAGTCGTATGTGCCGAACTTCTACTCTAGTCATACTACAGTGTAGAGCTTCTTTCAAACCTTCGAAAGTTTACACAGTAAGTATTTTTATTATTGTCTGACACAGAATTAAATTCACCCTTAATATCTGGTTTTTAATGATCGCGCGTTAGTTATTACACAAATTAACTGATGTCGCACATTGTAAGTGTGTGACAAACTGACAACTGAATCATATTGAAGTGCCCATCAATGCGCCAATTTGTACAATAGACGGCGATCGTTAGTTTCACAGAATAAAATGCATATTCGGTGAATGCGGCCCGATGTGAATGTGTTTCTTTACCTGGAATTGTGGAATTCAATCAGTATGCCTTTGTGTCAAGATAGTAACACTTGCCGAAGTACAGCTTGTTGCATTTCATGCACCATGTAATACTGACTTATCACATCTGATATTCAGACATAATTCACTTGAGTACAGAATAGGAGCTAATCGACCTTAGCGATTTGGCTGAGGATATTATGCAAGTTAATAGAAAGCAGAATCAAGAAGATTAGATGTTTTTGGAGATACGGAATACATTGTGCGGTTCTTCTTTTATGCCATATACTACATTAATGTAGCGCAAGAAACTTTTACTCTCGCATATGCTATTTTTCAGACTATCCTTGCTTTAAGGTACAATTATGCGTACACCATAGGGCTGTCTGCTTCCATGAGTACAGCGAAGGGAGGGAGGTCTCTCATGTTTGACCGTCACCAAATTTATTTTTTCGAGTAATGCCCGCTATCACTTACTGGCTTGTTATATCACGAAGTACACACTCATGTTGGTCTGCGATCTCGATCTATCTTTGCAAGACGCTATCCAGGTACGGCTTTAAACCGGCACTGTTCACGCGACGTCAAGCTGTCAGACTTCTCACACGAATTCCTTGCAGACATTAACCAACGACGTGGATCAGCTGTATGCAAATCCTCTCTGGCAAGACATTTATGAAAAGAGATTTAGGAAAAAGGCAAAATCAGAAAATCTTCCAGGACATGCGCCGAGAATTGTACAGCATGTTGGTACTCCTTCCCTTTGATATGCTTGTTTGTGAAGTTATTTTCTCTATCTGGGGCGGGCATTAATTTTAATGAATCAGGTCTACCAAGCATGTCAAACATCAACGCTAGCTGACATGTGCAGATACTATGAGGTTGAACCTGACTACTACGAGTGGTCATTGAATCGACGAGCGTAAGCTTCAAATGGCCTTACAAATTGTTAAGCAGGACCTAAATTGATCCGAATTTTCCAGTTACAAATTACAAACATCAGTGGCCAGTCTCTGCAAGAGTGTTGTATTCGAAAACACGCGTTGCGAACATAACGATTTTACAGGTAAATTACATCATCTTTTATGTCAGCGATTATAAGAAAGAGGTACTGAGAATATGTACCAATATCCTGTGATGCAGATGCCGGTAACTCCAAATACTATTGTGTTATCACGCAATACATAACGTCAATCAATACCAGCAAAATGATAGACAAGGTCCGCGAGCTAACCGACAATAGCATATCAAAAAAGAAATATAATTTTAGATTGACAAGCGCAGAGGTATGAATGAATTAAACCAATGCGTTGGGGGATCAAGCGCAAAACTGATGACTTGCATTGATCTAGAACTCCTTTGCATTGACTGGGTACGACAACAATGGTGTTTGTCCAATGGGTAAGAGATTTATGTATAACTCAATACACAAAATATGTCGTCTTTCTGAGTTTCGGTAAATCAGGTATGAACCAAAAGATACCCATTATCCTTTCAAAGGCTATCACGGAACTCAAGGTATAGTGTGGACAAAATGGATTTCCGCTAGCCCTCGGAAGTATGTCTAACCAAACTCTGTAGCCTGCAATTATGTTCCTTGGAGCAGGAGATGTCAACTGGAAGATTGCTGTGCCAATTGAAGATTTTATTCGTGAAACGAATTGTTTAATAATGGACTTGTCATGATGCAAGCACCACAGGATTTGTCCGTCCTCCCATTTCAATGTCATCAGGTCAGGCTGTTGAGCTAAGTAAAGTGCAGCTTGGCTGAGCTCAGTTTTTGGTTTCACTTGCGATTATTAGAAGACTTTGAACAATGCATGATGAAGAAAATAAAGTAACAATATAAGCCTTACTGATCTGACGAAAAGAAAGGAAACCATATCATCAAGCAATCAGATGAAACTGCTGCAAATGTGTAGCTCTTCCTCCTATCATCGCAATTGCTTGCACCATTCATTAAACTGATCACATCCCCTCCATGAACCAACACCATCAACGAGAACAGAAAAATAAGTAAGTGGGGAGTATAAAACAGCAAGTTGCGGATTTTTTTGTAACAATTTAAAATACTATGTGTCAAACACTATTTCTACTTTCTGTACCAAAGTTGAGTAATCTTGGTCTAAGGGATTGAAATTGAGAAATATTAGTAATTGTTTCATTAATCATATGATTCATATCATCCATCAACTCACTCTTCTCATCTTCTTTTGCAATTGCAAAACACCGTACAACAAGGCCTCAGCGGTTGGGGGGCATCCTGGGACGTAAATATCGACAGGAACAATTCGGTCACAACCTCTAACAACACTATAAGAGTAATGGTAGTAACCACCACCGTTTGCGCAACTTCCCATAGAGATAACCCAACGGGGTTCAGGCATCTAAGCAGAGCAAAAAAAAAAAAAGTGTGAGCAATGATGTAAAGTCATCTAGCTATTCAACTGTTTCAGCTTACCTGATCGTAAACCTTTCTCAAGGCAGGGGCCATCTTGTTGGTAAGGGTACCAGCGACAATCATGACATCGGACTGTCGAGGAGAGGCACGGAAAACAATACCCAAACGATCCTGATCGTATCGAGCAGCGGCGATGTGCATCATTTCTACGGCACAGCAGGCCAAACCGAAGGTCATAGGCCACATTGAACCCTGACGAGCCCAAGCGACGACCTTGTCGACATTTGAAAGGATGTATTCTGCAAGTTGTGAGAGAGAATTCAGTCATTCGGTCATCAAGAGTAACCAATGGGTGACTGTTGGTTGGTGAATTATATTTAAAAAACGGAATCTAACCTGCGCCGTTGCTAGGTTGACCGATGGCGACATCCTTAGCATCATTTTGCTTTGTAACATCAGTTGACATTTGTCTGTTTTGGAGTGACAAAGTTTGACGTGCAAGACTCTTTGGTGCAGAAGCAGCTGTACAGACAATAAATAGAAAGGCGTTAGTGATGGCGTCGAGTCAAGATGTAGGTGATGGCACAATGCATTACCCAAAGATCTTTGAGCGAGCTGCAAACCAAGCTTTGAAGCCATAATAGTTTTCAGAGTGGGGGGAAATTGGATGCAGGATACCAGCGATTCAGATTTGCTAACAAACTTCATATTTATCGCACTGCACCTTGAACATTTTGATGACGTCGACGTCTTACTTCTCAGTCACGGGTGAAATCTGGTAACCGCCACCCGCAAAAAACAGCCCATCCGATCTCGCTTGGTCGTTTGCTCACTGAGATCGCATATTCCCTCCTTTTTTGCTTTTTTTAAACATTGAGAATTTTTGAAACATAATCAGATGCAGTGGGAATCATGAAACTATCATTTGCATTAAGGCACCTTGTTTCATAGCGCTTGTACATTTTAACAATAATATATTTTTAGCTTAGCAAGCCAACGTTTTATGTCTTTCTTTGGGGTTATGGATGAAAAATTACCAAGGTCATTGCGCTCTATCGCGCCTTGGGCCCCAAATAAAGATTTCAAGAGAAAAGTGACAAATATTATGTTTATTTTTACTGCCAAGCAATCTGAAGATGTCCGCTTGATATGACAAGATATTAAGCACTTCGGGGCATCCGTGGAACCTTTTTAGGTAGAGTTTGATGGAATGGCCTGCTAGTGATAAAATTGGTAGCAAAATATGCGTCACTAGAGCGGTAGCGAAGCTTCCTCCAAAACAAATAGTTCATCCAATAAAAAAATAGATGAGTTTGATAAACAACCCCACGAAGCAGAAACTTCACTCTGTTTGCGTATATAAACCCCAACCAACTTTTTTAGTTTGAATATCTTGAACATGGCTTATTGAACCATTGTACTTTTTTTTATAACATTATACCAACATTGGATGTCAACGACGGTAGCACACTCTACTGAAAACACTCCAACCAAACCTGACCCTGTCACAACCACACACCAACTCGAGACCACTTCACCCAACCCTACCACTAAAGCCACTACCCCGTCACCGAAAACAACTACTACCACAGAAGAGGATACTACTAGGTTGTCTACCGAGACAACGCCAGATCCTACAACAGCCTCTCGCACACCTACAGATATCACGTCATCTTCCGATCCTACAACAACTACCGATTTACCGAGCCAAACCACCACACTGGCTACTACCACGACTACGTCTTCAGCTGAGTTGACGACCACCTCGGCTCCCTCTACTACACCAACCGAGGCGACGACCACGACAACCAGTGTTATACAGACAACTACGACCGAGCAATCGACAACGGCATCGCCAACAGAGACAAGTACAGTGATGAGCTCGGCGACTACGGAAAATACATCACCAATTTCAACCACCCCTAGCGAAACTCCGTCGCCACCTACAACTACAGCCTCGCCTTCTTCCACTCCACCGATCTCTTCTGACCCTCCAACCACCACCACGACTTTGGGTACCTCCGCCACAGACACTTCCAGTTCAGGCATGTCATCTCCTCCAGTAAGTTCCATAAACAAGCTTTGTCAACAAAGGCGTTTTCAAACAGAAGGCATAGCAAACATCCGCGTATTCACTTCTTTTATAAGACCAGTACTACTTCTTTAGATACGACCACTACATCGGACGTTACCACAACGCCTAGTCCTATCACGACGGATTCTGTGACCAGTCCGGTCGTGACTACGACCAGCGCTATCGAGACCACTACAACTGTATCTCCTCCTCCAACCAGCACAATGTCCACAGTGGAGACTACTACCTCGGTTATTATTACCAGCAGTAGCGAACCACCACCCACTACCACGACTAGTAGCATTATGCCTGTTCCCACGTCGAGCACGCCCATTCAAATTACGACAAGTGACCCTACCACAACATCCAGTCCACCGCCGCCCGCTAGCACACCCAACAGCAGCACAACAGATTCAGTAGGGCCGACAATCACATCAACAAGCCTAAGCATCACATCAGAAACAGCTACACAAACCACAGCATCACTGATTACCCATTTTAGTACGGAGCTTATCACTGTCACCAGTCAAATACCGGTTACACGGACTTCGACATTGGCTGATGGAGAACTGGTATTGGTAACGACGGTTATACCAACTGTGTACGTTACACCTTCGTTGGTAGCGAATTTACAAGCGGTTGACAATGGTAATAACTCAGGGCCGCCGGCGGCTTTGATTGGCGGTATCGTAGGAGCTGCAGCTGGGGCAGCGATGTTGATCACCGGGGTCCTGTTTTATCGAAAACGTCGGCAACGACAACAAAATGACGACGAGGATGCTGAAAGTGCGTATGCCGCTAGTTTTGGAGTGGAAGGGTTTCCAGGCACGGGCGAAGAAGAAGTACGCAGCGATCGTCGATCGAGTGGTTCAGATTGGCTGTCCATGCTTCGATTCCACCGCCAACAGAGACGATCTCGACAATCTGATTTCATGCGTGAGGTGTTCAGTGATTAAGCAGATCAGTACTCTGTTTGGCGTGAAGTCTATTCCATGCACCACACGCGGCTCAAAACACTGAAATTTTTTGAATACGCCACAAACGAAGCAGAAGCAAAAATGCGTAAAAAAAAAAATTATTTTTACCTAAAGTTTTTACTTTATTTTCTTCTTCTTTTTATAAAGTACACAGACTAATATAATAGTATAGTGAGCTTATATATTATGTAACATGGGGGGAAAAAAGGCATATGGTAAAAAAGCTATTTCTAACAGCAGTAATGATGCAAAATAAAGATATCACAGAAGGGTTCGGGCAAACAAGGCTCAGTCTCGCTGATCAGGCTTGTCAAAAGTTTCGGTTGGAGCTTCATCGGGAACATGGCCTCGCTCATAGGACGCATCAGACGGGCTGCGATAGTGTGATTGACCCCAGTTTTGGGAATCGCGAGCAGTGTTGTCCATATATTGAGTGTCATTCTCTTGAGATCCCGTACTGAGGCTGTGTCGATAATCTCCTCCAGCCACAAGGAACGGGTATTGCGTTCCATATTGTCCTCCCCCGTAGCCTTGGCCCACGTCGCCACCAGGCAAGTGTTGGACTGCGTTTCCATAGTTTTGTCCTACATCGCCTCCAGGCAAGTGCTGTACAGCGTTGCCATAGTTTTGACCCATATCTCCGCTTGGCAAGTGTTGTACCACGTTGCCCATAGGCGATTGGCCTTGAGGATACTGCGCATAGGCGCCAGGATTTTGACCTGTACTGTAGGGGCCGCCGGGCTGTTGCACTACATTGCTTAAAGGTGGCGGCGAACCATGGTATTGGCCATACGATCCTCCGTCGCTGCTTTCATGTTGACCGGTATTGGCTCCTCCCATGGGTCTTTGCGTAACCGGACCACCATATTGTGACATGTCTTGATCGTCATCGTAAGGTGAAAAGGTTTCGTTGAAATCTTTCTGAGCCTTGTGACGTTTGTACATGAAAACGCCTAAACCGCCTAAACAAGTAACACCGGGAATCGAATCAATACCAAATATTATGTCTCATTTAGGGACGTGAGGCTGATGGGAGTAGCTACTTACCAATAAGCAAGGCACCACCAATGCCACCAACGACTCCTCCAATGATAGCAGCGTTATTATTACTGGAGGGTGGGGCAGTATCAGAATTTAACAAGGACGGATCCGTGGGCATGATAGTGACCATGGCCGTGGATACTATGACGGTGACATCGGTTCCAGTACCGATTGCGGAAGTAAACGAAGTTAATTTTGCTGACGTGATAGGTGTATGACTAGAAGTGATCGTCGGTAGGGTTGTGGTTGTAGTGGTTTTTTCCGCAGTCGGAGTAGTTTGTGAAGAGCTATTAGGTTTGTCAAGATATTCGTCATCATTGCTTCACAGGCAAAAATTTGATTAGACTTACGTTGTGGTCGTAGTGGTTGGTTGCACAGGAGTGGTAGTGGTTTGTGGCGTGGAGGTAGATGGTACAGTCGTTGTCGGTCCAGGTACAGTTGTATCGGGTGGTGTAGTTGTTGTTGTTGTTGTAGGCGGTGGAGTAGTAACTGGCGATGTGGTAGAGGATATGACTGTAGTGGGTGGTGGAGTGGTAGTAGTGGTTGGAGGTGGAGTGGTTGTAGTTGGGGAAATTGGATCTGTCAAGAAAATAGAGTTAGAGCTTTTAAAAAAAAAATTGTACATGTGATGCTTTCGGCTAAGTCAAAAATGACATTTACCTGTAGTTGAACTAGATGATGACGGTGGATTGGTTGTGGATGATGATGCAGTAGTGGTGGATGATGATGTTGTGGTGGATGGAAGTGTTGATGCCGGTGAGGAAGGAGTCGTTGTAGTTGATGCAGGTGGTGGAGTTGTTGATGAAGGAGGATCAGGGCGAGTGGAAGTTGATGTGGTAGTCGAATCGCGTGTAGTGGTTGTTGATGTTGGACTTTAGACACTTAGTGACGACGAAAGATAAAGTTGCCTTTTATCCATGTATTTTTGCTTACCTGGCTGGTGGTGGGTTATAAACGGCATCTGCAGAAGCCCCATTTGTTGTGGGAGCACGTTTGATCAAACCCTGCTGGACATCCTCGACAGGCATGGTCAATACAGGGACTGCAAGACACAAGACAACATGTATCCAAAGCCAAGCTGGAAGACGCATGAGAGAAGGTTGAAATGAAAAGAAAAAAATCCAAAGAAGCAAAGTGAAAAAAAAGGGAGAGAGTTGATAAAAGACTTTTTATATGCTTTTATTTTGAGAGAGAGAGTGTGTTTTCTAAACAAAGCCATACTGAAGTATCTGGGATGAGTTTCTTATTATCGGGCGGAGATTTCCCGCCTGGTAAAAAAGAGGTGGCTCCAAAGTCTCAAAATGTCTAAAATTTTTGCTCAGTAGGAGCCACTTTGCCATAAATTTTCCAAACGTCCTCAGGGTCAGTCAATGCCCGCTGGAAGACAACGTATTCTCGAACGTTTTGGATTTTATGAGGGTCACCAGCAATCAGGCGGTTCTTCTTATCATACACCGCCATCGACTGAAGTCGAAAATTCAGTTAGTAAAAAAAAAAGAAAAAGCCAGGTGCATAGTGTTTGAGGTTATATTTAAACATGGCAGCAGGGGAAAAATCTCTATTTACCTGTTTGGTGTGCATCCTGACAGTGACCTGACCAACAGAAAATCCTGTTTTACTGAACCCACTGGTGCCCATACAGCGTACACAAACAATCTTTGGTGGCTCGACTTCACCGTGGTATTGCCAATCCCAAGTGACGTTGGATCGGGTTTTGAGCTGGTTCTTTAAATTCTATTTCGAGGCGAGAGGAGAGGGAATATCGCATCAGTCAGTAAAATCGGCATATTTATAATCCCTTTTCTCAAAACACTTACTGAATACATTGCATCCAAGCAAACCTCTTCCAAAAGGTTCCGATCGCCTCGTGCAAAAGCGCTGTTCATATCCTTGTAGGTTTCCTCAGCAACAGACATAAATTTGCCAGAGTTCCACTTTTCGTACAATGACTTGTATTTGATAAGACCAATTCTGCAAAAGCCACACCCAAACGAATAACCGTATGTTAGCATTTGTATCATGTCAATAGTCATACATTGAATAAGATTAAACTGATTTCAATGTTTGGATATCCTTACCCCAACATGTTTTGTACGCTGTTTCTCATATTTCTCCACTTGACAAGTCGCCATTTGTGAAAGTCACTGACTGATGGCGTCGTCTCTGGTGGAACGTAGTTTGCTAAGGTAATAGTGTGAGTGCTTCGGGAGGGAGAAGTAGGTGCTAGTTACCACTGTACATACCAATGACGCCGTAATCTCGAACAAGAATTTGTTTGCCCTCAGTGACTCTGTGTTTTGAAGCATAACCGCGAATACCCAGTGCAAAGGCAGGGTTTAAGTAGGTAGCAGTTTGAGGTTGTCGCAATGCTAATGCGGGAGCCACTCGTTGTATCGCCCGTAATGTGTTCATTATGTTGACTTTCTCCACAGGGCGGGCCTGCCGTAAATTATTTTTTGAAAACTGTCAAAAGCCACTCGCCACCCATTCATGTACTGAAAAATCCGACCGCTCGTGACTGTTACCCAACCTTCATATCGTCTACCACCACCATGTTCAAAAAGGCCGGCAAAGGCAAGGCTATACGGCGAAAGATTGAAACAGAGGACGTGGACGAGCAGCCTGAAGGTATATTTCGAAAATGTGCTTTTTTATGAACCATTACCAATAAGAAACGCCTTCTAACTCTTACATTGCCTTCGGCAATGGCACAGCAGAGATCGAGGAATCCGTTGTTAAGAGAACTTCCTTGAAGAAGAAGAAGGCCGCGTCTTCCAAAAAGTCTCTGGCACTGAGTTTTGACCAGGAGGTAAATAGCTCATGACTCTACCTTTCCATTTATGCGACTAGATCTAATACATGCAATAGGATGAAGGCGATGGCGAAGTCTTCAAAATTGAAAAAAGCAACGCGAGCAAACGGCTGGAAGGTCAAAGGGCTTTGCATGTCCCGAGGTAAGCAGGTTTCAGTGTCCATCTATGCGCTTTCAAGGCCGTCCTTTGACACGTTCCATCATGTTACAATAGCCTCGAGCCGCCAGAAGATATAAATCAAATCAATCTGACACCATCATATACCAATGAGATGCTACAACAACTTCGAAACAGTACTCCTTCAACGCCAAAGGCAATGGTGGATGCTGGTTTAGCCCAAGATGATGACGCCTTATTGGTCGCATCCAAATTTCCTTCGACCCTAGGTGCCAGCTTAAGTAGCGGATCAAGCATTCCTGACGCCAATGCCATTCATGCCGCCAAAAAGAGGAGAGAGCTTATGAGACAAGGCATAAAAATCCAAGACGACGATTTTGTTGCATTAGATGATGGGGTAAGTTAATTGAAAGCACCGCTTTTTTGGAACGCGCGATGATTAATTATTTACTGATCTTGAATAGGAACCCGAGAATCAATCCAGACTTGTGCGTGAAGAAGATGAAGATGATGATGCTGAGGATGGTAAGTTCAATTTTGATGGCTTTTCATCGTAGTTTATGCTACGGCCTTCTTATGGACGATATCGACTTAGCGTGCTAACATCTATCTATTTGCTTCACTTATACGAACATAGAATACGAAAAATATGTAGGAGACAAATTGGCGCTTGGAAAGAAAGCTCAAAAGCAGCAGGAAGCAAGTCGAAAAGCCGGTGTGCGGGAGATGATTGAAGATGCAGAAGAAGACGATTCTGAGCTGGATGAACTAGACAGATGGGAACAAGAAATGATCAAATTTGGAGGTGTTCGCGCGAAGAAGGCTGATGATTCGGAATCATCCGAGATAAACCGAAATTACCGACCTGCACCAAGTAAGTACATCGTACATAACCGTAATGTGGTCCGCACGAGTTTCTCATCAACCTTTCTTCGTTTATTCAGTCCCTGAACAAACTGCTATACCATCTTTATCGGACGTTCTCTCTCGTCTCTCTATTGTGTCGAGTAATTTAGAAGAATCGAAGCAGAACCACGACAAACAATTGACACAGACGCTGAAAGATATTGAAAACTTGAAAGCTACTCGTGAGGTTACAGAGAGTGAGTTGGAACGTACTAGCAAGCGGTACAATTATTTCCAAGAGCTCAAGGCATTTGTCAACGACCTTGCCGAATTTTTGGATGTCAAGGTAACATTGTCATCAGTGCTATCATAAGCTAAACATTGAGTATCGAACTGACTTTGTTGTGCAGTTTCCAGAGCTTGAAAAAGTGGAGAGTCAGTTTTATGGATTGATGAATCAGCGTACCAAGGCAGTGGAAGACCGAAGATGGCAAGATGATTTGGATGACGCTGAGCTATTCTCTGACGTGCCTGCTACATTCACTAGCGCAGAAGATGACGGTCAACTAGACGAGTTTGGTCGGTCTTCAAGCTCGCGTAATACAGAGGCTGCTAAACGGCGAAGGCGAGAAGAACGTACGTCTCGACACATATTACGAGAGACGTCGAATGATATCACTGGCATGTCTACTGATGACGAGTTGGATCAATCGTACGCACGGGAAGAACGGGAAGAACTTGGTAATTGACGACATTTTTTGGCAGCAGGCCCATGCGCTATAGGAATGAACTAAAATTCATGACTTTTTTTTTCTTTCAGATGAGATACAGCGAGACAAGATCAATGCCATCATAGCGGATGTCCAAGATGACTTTTCTTCCCTCCTCTCTGTCAAGAACAAGTTTGAAAGCTGGAAAACAGAATTTAATGATGATTATACAAAGGCTTACGGTGGTCTCAGCTTACCTGGTGCATTTGAGTTTTATATTCGCATTGAGCTAATAACATGGAATCCTTTCCTTGTAAGTTACTGTCAATATTATGAAAAGTCCGAAAATTCAGCCCTCGCTAATATCCATCTTCTCCACTCACTCTAGCGACCAGTTGACCTTGATACCATGAGATGGCATACCATTATATCTGAATATGGAGTTGCTAACGAGCAAGAAGATGATGCGATGGATGATCCGGATTCAACCATATTGAATAAGGTGGTTGAAAAGACAGTGTGCAAGAAAATCAAAGATATGATACCCAACTTGGACGTATTCTCTGCGGCTCAAATGAAGAGCGCAAAGCATGCTATCGAACAAGTCTCTTACTATGTGGAAGAACATGAACCGGCTTTCAAGGTGCGATAACGTCAATGTTACATCAAATGGCGGAGGTCAACTTCGGTGGCTAACAACCTTCACTACTCTTCTAGGAATTGGCGACCAGCGCCTTGGATCACTTTTCTAGAATGGTAACACAATACCTTAACCTAGTTGATGCCATCAATGTGCACGACGAACCTGATGACGCAGGCAAGAAGGCTAGAAACCGACTGTTGAAGCGAATGATCAAGGTAAGTTTATTTTCTTTTTTAATTCCTCTATATTACCCGTAGATACTGAATACCATTCACCAGTTGTACAAAAATTTGCGCCCTTGGAGAAGGCTTATCACTTTGGCTGATCCACATTCAAGTATTTTTGATGATATCCATGACAAGATGCTAGACAAACTGGTTGCCCCCTGGGATGGTGACCTCGAATTACTGTTGTGATAAGGGAAATCGCGATAACCTTTTAATGTAGATTACTAGATATAAGTGAGTCAAAAATTAGTTTAGCGATTTGCAACCAGTCAGTATCATTGTTACACTACACTCCATGTGAATGTTGGCCAGTCTTTTCATTTTTGCCCCAAAGTGTGTGCAGTCGTTAGCTCCATAGCCATTATTTTTTTTTTTACGTCGAAGCTTGAACAACAGGGTTTTACTGTCAACTTTGCTTTCTTTCTTTCTTTCTTTTCTTTTTTTCTTTCTGTCTTTTGCCGTCTTCAAGTGACTAAAATGTTTATCCGCATGCCAGCATGTGACAAAATTGCATATCAGAAATAGCCCGTCTGAGTTTCCAGTGTCGTGTGCACAATCATCTTTGCGTCAAAGCATGATTACAACATGACAGACTCTCCAAATGCCAAACACTCTCTTGAATCCAGTCGCCAATGTAGAATATGTTTATCAGAGGATGATGACAAGGAATTATTGATATCACCTTGTAGCTGTAAAGGATCGATGTAAGCTTTTTCATCTGAAATCTCCCTTATGCCGCCGCTGAACACCGTCGTCTAAAAAGTTGACCTCCGCCACCTTTTTCTATACAAAGTAAATATGTTCACCCTAGTTGCCTAACATCGTGGCGAAAGGCTTTGGTTCGACATGGCCGTGGTCGAGACGCCGATCGTTGCACGTTGTGCAAACGTCAACTCAACATACGAGCAAGAGGATGGGTATCCTTCCTCGCCAACCATAAATGTAAGCGAAACCTATCCTATTAGGTTTGAGTGGACTCAAGTCATCATAAAACTCATTGCTTCCATGTTCGGCAGTTACGCCAGTGGTTATGACAGCATTGGTTCTCTTCTTGATATTGATTCCAGCAGGGTATATCATGAAAGCCCTCGTGGTGATGTCAATTCGGTTCACGGACAGATACGACAGTTCAACCAACATGCTGTGGGACAAACCCATCGACATCAATGCCGCGGACGTCATGTCGCCCAAATCCTATCCTCTGTATGCACCGTTTCCAGTATGCAGCCCTTCATCGATTGAGGTAACATCACACGCGTTGTTCAGCAGCCCAATTGTCTATTGGATGCTCTTTCCTTTCTCCGACGACCGATGTTGGCATTTCATCTTGTGCAAGCTGCAGCATTTCCACCTTGGATTTTTCTTATTAGGCAGCGTTAATAATGTGTGGTTTACATACAAGATCCTAGGCGACATGTTCGATATCATTTTAGGCGATACAGCGGAAGAAGGCGGTGTACGATTGACTCGTGGCGCGCAACTGATCAAGACTGGACTCCTCATTTATACTAGTATGCTAGTGTGCATCTTTTGGATTCATTTTAATTTATTTGCCTTTCGTGCTGAAGCAACCGAAATGGGAACAGCGGCTTTTCGACTGAAAAACTTTTTAGCCGAATTACCACTCTGGGGCCTTCGATGGATTACATTGAGTGTGGCGGTTGGCGAGTTCGCGGTTCGCAGCCTTTATCAGTGGCTAGGCAAAGCTTTATACCGCGTCGAAGATGATGAAATTCTTTCCATAGACGAAGACCAAATCTCTGCCACTCCATTTCGGTGGCGGAGGCAGCCATAACACGTCGATGAGGCTTATGCGTCGTTCGTATATCAAAACGTTTGTTGTCCGGCATCCCAAATAAAACCATAATTGCAAACTTTTTTTTTTCTGTATTTGCCTTTTCAAGTGACAGTGATTGACGCTCCGTTGACCGAAACAACGCGCTCGACAGGAAAGAATACCGTCATCAAACCCTCCTTAGATTCCTTTCTGAAATGAAAGAAGGCCGGCCATATTTATCTTTTATTGTACACCCGACATCACTAATTTAGCTAATTGCATGCATGTTTCGCCCATGAACGCATTTTTCCAGTCTGAGAGAGAAGCAACAACGCCACAGCTTGTGATGTGTGGTGGGTTTTTTCCCGGGTGAAGTGATTATCTGATTGCAGGAAACGTTGCGGACACTCCTTTCCCTCCCCCCGTGCATTCTAAGGTTTTGATGAAAACTCACCCCCCTAGACAGGCGGCCTTTCTATTTATTTTTTCTTCTGAGACGTGCGAACCAGAGCACAGACTCAACCATTCACTGCCCGCCCCGCGCAGTAGCATATTAGTAAGACCACCAATGGCGTTATGTCCGCAAGTAGCGTTGAGAAACTACTGTTTTTATTTTATACAGGGAGTGGATTACAATTTAGGTGTTTAAGGAAATGTACAATGGAGAATAGCTGAAGGGGAGATAGTTCCCATTGGCCAGCGAGGATTTTCTAGAAAATGTGGGTCAGGTTAGGTATCTCGGGTTATTTTTTCTTAGTGACTATATCTGGGAGTATTATTTTTTCTTTTTCTTTGTGAAGGAGACTTGTCGTGCAATGCTAGGGTAGATGGGGATGGTGAGATTTAAAAAGGTCGTGGAGATCCTTGAAAGTTTGTATGTTGGTTTGAATAGACAGCCCTGTATGGTATACGCGCATCTGCCAGGGTGAAGCAGATTTTGCAGAAACAAATAAACGAGAACGCTCTGATGGAGAAGGCGAAGAAGGTGACGACGGTAACGAGTCTGGTCTAGGTGAGGTAGGAGAGGATGGCTGGGAGGAGGTGGGTTTGATGCGATTGACTCGATTGATGATCAGATATTGGTAAAATTTTCGAGTGTTCGGTGATAGTTCCACGTCCTCTTGATCCACTAGTTCCGTCTCCAACTCATCCATAAGGCTGGTTTCGCTACTTGAAGTGCTACTACTCACCATGCTGGCCGAATCGTCTTGTGACTGGCCAAACAAATCCTGGATCGTGCACTCAAATTGCTCTAGTTCGTTGCCCAATGCATTGATGCTATCGGCCAATCCTCGCTGGTATTGCTCATAGGTCAGATACAAGCATTTAGCGCCAAAGTCGAGACAGCGAGCGCAGGAAGGGGTCCCATTGTCGCATTTTTTCTTGAGCTCGCGACATCGCATGCCTTGAGCAAATAAATAGACAAAAACATCAGCTGCCTCGGACCCCATCCATCATTTCGCATCGATGGCCTCCAACTTACATGCTGTAAGATTCCTTGTCCTTCTTACATTGGGATTCCGCTGCGCTGAGCTGTTGGTCATACACCACAATTTGATCAATCAATTGATATCGTTGTAGTGAAGGCAGCTGGAATCGAGCACAGTCAAGAGGAAGGAAAGAAAAAAAAAGAAGAAAAGGAAATGTACAGAGTTATCGATCAGGCCATCCTATATACTTATTGCCACCTGCTTGCTGTAATACTGTAAAAAAAAAAAATTACAGCGGAGTTGCTCACTCGATACCCACAACCATCGAACGAGGCTGGCAGAAAAGTTTTCAACCTGCATGTTCGTTCTCACTTTTTTTTTTTGTAACTCATATGAAAATTTCTGAACCTTGTGTCAAATATGGTAGTTTATTCATGGTTATGGTAATTCAATATCAATGGGCTAAAGGACTAAAAATAATGGCTATTAAATTACGGGGGACACCATGTTGATGTAAAGAGCTGCGTTAGAGAACCAACCCTAAAAATAATCGTAAGAAAGCAAGCAAGCAGATCCTGATTCTGTGTCATCTAAACTAAAAGACCAATATAACGGATTTGTACAATACAAATATGGGGGATTACATAGCCAATGCAGTCAATGTGTAATGAAAACAAAAAAATATAGTCTGATTCTTTTTCTTTTCATGCTTCTTCTCGTTTCCATTCAACCTCCTGCTATACTACCGTCATACACCATCAATGCGTATGGTAGGGTGGTTGGTCGGTAGCACGGCCAGAACCCACTACTTTTTTTTACATTTGTCAGTACCTGGGATTCGGGGATCAAAATACACCGTCTAGGGGAGGGGGGTGTGACAAATAAAATATCCCAAGGAAGTACCTCTATTCTTACCATCTATTTTGAAACATCAACTCAGCTCAGCTTTGACCTAGGGACGGGTGGGTAATTCTCATGCCATGTGTCGGAGCGCACCTGTCAAACTCATCACACGAAGCTGAAGAAGTTCCTAAAACTTGAACTCCGTTTATAACTTCTCATTTACAAAGAGGACGGGGGGAGAGACCTAAATGTGAAAAGCGCGGAGAACGTTTACGGACCCAGCCTTCGAGCATCTGATTACCGAAAGTAGTCTTTTAATATGACATGAGGGAAGATTGAAAACAGGCCAAAAATATGGAGCCTCTGAAATACAGGTTCGAATAATTTCCCAGTAGTAGAAAAGAGTAGGCAAGGAACGCTGATTTTACATGACAAGGGGGATAGAGTGGCCCCATTAAAACAACAATTTATACGAGAAAGCCCTAATCCGTACCGAAATATCTATAAACATCCAAGTTTCATGTTATTACCCATCCGCAATTTGATTCCGCACCCTTTAGGTGCTTTCATTAAACTCCCAGTGTTTTTAGCATGATTTTACCTGCAGCCAAAATCTCCCACGCCTGGGACAATATATTTGTTATCGTCCAGTCCACCATCGATCTCGCCAGTAATGATCTTAATTTGAGGGTATCGCTTGACAAAGGCATCAATACCTTCTGGAGCAGAAATCAAGTTGAGGAAAATGATACGGTCCTCGCGAACATTGTTATCAAGAAGAACTTGTACTGCCTGCATGGCTGATCCTCCCGTTGCTGAGAACCAGCCCGATCAAACATGCATTAGAATTCCACTGAAGAAAATCTTTTTTCTTTTTCCTTTTTTTTTTTTTTTTTTCTAAAAAAAAAAAAGGGCATCGGTCACGCAAGCCACCTACCAAGCATAGGGTCCAGCAACAGGACGTAGCGGCTTTCAATGTCCTTTGGTAACTTTGCGTAATACAACTGATCGAACCAGAAAATAACCACAGTGAGAACATGACACGCTATTGGTAACATCACTCCCACCGCCCATGGTATACATTACCTTGGGCTGGTGCGTCTCTTCGTCTCGCTGAATCAAGATTTTGCCAATACGGACACTACGGCAACAATCTCGTAAACCTTGCTCCATCGCTTCTCCAGCACGCATGATTGACACTCCACAAATACGACCTTTGAAATCAATACCATTGTAGTCGGCCCCGGTAGGAGTTTTGACGGTTTTGTCCACAACTGGTAAATGGTTCAAACCTACGCCGCGAGAGTAAAATTAGTATCACGCACGTGAGGCATCTCATACGCCCAAACAGAGGAAATGGTCAAAAAAAAATAATTGGAGCACGGTGTTGGAGGTAAGGCGAAAAAAACCCCGGCACACGTTATCCATTGATGACATGATCCGCAAAACACGTCCACGAATTTTCCGGATGGTTACCTTCTTCTACCAACAAGCGAATGATCCTATCAGCATAAAAGATAAAATCGGCTCGTGAGGTGTCTTTCGCTCTGATAATGGTCATCAGAGCTTTGAGCTGGGAGTTCTGCTCGAGTAGTTGGCATTGGGATGGGAGGCTATAGTCAACCATTATGTAATGTAGATTCAAGAGGAACGGTGCGTGCGATATGAGGCAAACCCAAGTGGTATCAGCTCAGCCAATGTGATCAAAGTTTTTCGCCTGCTGACTTTGAAATCGCGCTTGGAGCAGTCACTGGCGTTTTGACACTGGGCCATGGCTGAAAGAAAAAACAACCCTTCTTCACAAAGCGTCGATGCTACCGTACATTCGGGTTTTTGAAAGTATACACACATTTAAATTTATGTATTTGTGAATATAATACGAGGCTGTCATGTACACCTTTGCTCTAAAGTGGGGGTGAATTGGGCGGACGGACTTTTTCCCAACTCACAAGGGGGGGAAGGTTTGTAAGCACTGCACTTCCTTCCACCACTGAATCCTTCACCTCTCTGATGCCGCTGCCGCTGCAGCTGCCAGTTCCCACAGTTGCGTGGAGGTACTATTCGGTGGTCTGGAATAAGACCTGACATTTCGTGAATATCGGTTACTCTCATGAAGCGATGGCATTGACGTCACCGATTTGAGGGTATGCTCAGGAGAAGTTGTTTGGAAAATGCTACGTGGCGAACCTCGTGGATATTGACCATGCATAAGGTCATCTTCTGAAGTTTTATGATTCGAGTCGGCTGTATAATGTATGAACTTTGATATGGACTGCCGATTTTCCCAAAGCTCGCCGTTTCTCGGTATTAGAGGTACGAAATCAAATGTTTTTGGTTCTTCGTTGTTGAGAGCATTCTTTATCACTGTACTGAATGTGGCGGTGGGAAGAGTCCTTTGAGACACTAGCAGCTGTGGAGTAGCGCTGGTGGTATTGACAGTGGTGGCAATGTTTTTTCGATCATCAGGACTGTGCGTTCGCTGCGGCGTTGGTGGCTGATCAAGACTGCTATCAATAGCTTCATACGACCGTTTTCCTTCCGGCCGTGTAGCCTTTTGCCTTAAAGTGTGACATTGCTTTTCGATTTCCCATACCGACCGAGCCAATTCGCTATCCGGTCGAAAACTCACCAATTTCAGAAGATCCAAACATTTGATTAACCATTGATCTCCGTCCACAGTCCGAATGCCGTTTTCATGCTGTTGTAACTTGTCCAACTGTGACTTGGCTAACCATACTAAAGCATGGTGCAGTAGCTTATGGGTGTTCATAAGGTGGCGCTGTCTAGGGTCCGCAAAGCTGTCGCCAATGGCTAATATTGCTTGAATAGTCGAGATCGGAATATTACCTAGACCTGCCGATGGTGGAGATGGCGTTCGAGTTGGTGGTGATGCCACTGCATCACTTATATTCAACGCTCCAAAAATTGTGCTTGCCGATAAAGAGGTGGCCGGCGATGGTTTTCTTGCCTCCAAAACATGGTGAGGCTTATGCAGTGCTAACACACTAATGTGAAATAATAAATGCATTGTTCGTACCGGAATGGGAACTTGTGATATATCATTTGATGATAATAATAGAGATTTCGGCAGAGCTCGCAACCAATGATGAAGTGCGCGGTCAATGTTCGATAACTGCCAAGGGTTGTGACTGTGCCGCATAATTCTTCCCAACATTCTGGCCAATTTTACATACTCTACAAACAACTGCATATCCGGTGGCGAATCTTCGGCAGACGCATCACTCAAGTCGACGAAAATATTCTCTTCTTCTATGGACATGGCTCGACCATATAATAGATTAGCCATTCGATCATGAGTGAAAACCGTCCAAAACAAACAACGTTGTCGGAAAGAGGTGGAGCTGTTTTCGGTAGGAGTCATGTGCAAAGACAAACGCATCGCCATATCATTCAAGCGCGTGACATACGAACAAGTTTTGTCAATCTGGCGTGTATCGCCTCGACCATAGTGTAATACAAGTAAGCACAAGGTGGCGACTACCGTGGGGTGAGTAACGGATTCGTGACGGTCCAACAACTTTGTAGCACACTCAAAAAAGTAGCCACCTGCCGTTATAGGATCCATTTGTGAGCCTGGCATTTCCGATGTGCCGACGGTAGGTACAAGGACAGAGCTTGGTGCCACCTCAGCCGCACAGGACAGGACCGCATAGGTCTGCATAAAATCAAGACACATATCGATATTCGTTTCATCCAAGGTCGTAGGCAATGCCAGGGTAGATTGAGAAAACTGGTATCGGTCCAGAACGGGGCACAATGGATGAACCAAGTCAAAATAGATTCCATATAGGTATTCTTGAACCGACAAGTGAGGTAGCTGAAAGCGGTCTTCTGTAGCTGAATCTGGAATTGGAGCTTCGTACGACAATGGTCTAGAGATGTGCGACCGAGATGAAGCGTCTGTCTGTGAATCAGAACAGCCTTTGTCAAGCTCAGATATAGATGGCAGTCGTGGTGGCTGCTGCTGCTGACTTGAACCACTCCCTTCCATATCATAATCGACGCTGGCTTGCACTGGACTGGATCGATCCATGGGTGTTGTTGTTACTTGGTTGGAATCCCAATTTGCCGCGTGTTGAGAATAGGTTTTCAAAAGATTGGGTCGTAAACTGGACGTCTCCTTTTGCAAAAACTGTATTAACGCATCCTTGTCTACATCTGCAACTCCTTGGCCTCCTTTCAAAAGTGTATTTAACATGACTTCAATGGATCTTAAGCGATCTTCAATAGCTTCCACAGCTGCTTTGGATGAAGACGATGTTGAGCTGCGTTTGTCTTCGTTACTGCCAGAAAGCGGTGTTGGGTATTCGCATGGTACATTGGCTTTCTCACAACTTCGGCACGGTTTCTCACTGTTGCATTTTGTTTTCTTACGACGACACTCGCTACATGCACTCAGTGCCTTGAGTCTCTTTCTGGTAGGCGTAGCATCTGGGATCATGACGGAAAGTGGGACGAGAAGAAAAAGAGAGGAAAAGAAAGGAAAAAGGAAAAAGGAAAAAGAGAGGCTTGACGGAGTGAAAAGGAAATGAAAAGCTTCAAGCGAAGCACCCAGCAAACATACTAGATCCCATTTCGTAGACTCCACCGGTGCCATTCCCGAGGCCAAAATCGCTTCCAAAATATTTGGTCGGGTTTTCCTTTGCCGGAACGCTACCTTCCGTTCCCCCCGAGTCATCCATTCCTCATCTGGTTTTCCAGTACCTTTTGAGGGTATCCGCATCTAACGTGACGATGTCACCCGTGTTTCTTTTATTTGGCCCTCCCCCGGCTCCACACTGAAATTGCCCAGTATGTCTGAACAAAACATAACCAAAGATTGTAAGTACACGCCTTTTCTTCCTCCAAACATCTGCTTTTGTAACCGACCTTGCCGTTTTAGCAACGGATTGGGAAAAGAGGTGGCAAGAGAAAGACACCCCCTGGGACCATGGTGAAAGCAGCCAAGCTCTTGTTCAATTATTGAAAGAACAGGCCCAGTCAATCCCCACCAAAGGCAATGTTTTAGTACCAGGATGCGGTCAAGGTTATGATTGTTATTTATTGGCTAGTCCAGAACGCAAAGTCTATGGTTTGGACCTTTCTGAAACTTGCATTGCCAAATGTCAAAAGGTGAAGGATCGCTTGTGTGAAAGGATGTGAAATGGCGCTGCATGGCAAATTGACCCACAAATCTCTCCTGTCATACACTATGTCTCAAACGATTACTCTATCTTACCCAGTCGCAACAAGAAAAAAATGTGCCTGGCACCATGGTGACTTTCTTGTGTGATGATTTTTTTACGTTTGATGTGCCTGCAGAGAAATTCAGTCTTATTTTCGATTACACGTAAGTATATTATTTATTGTTGTATTTCTTGCTTTTCTTTAGGTTGACCCCCCCCCCCACGGTTTCACCTCATTCAGCTTCTTCTGTGCCCTTCCACCCTCGCTTCGCACGCAATGGGGTCAAAGAATGGCGGATCTAATTCCCAGCGGAGGCACTTTGATATGCCTCCTTTATCCTATAGACGGTCATGAAGGCGGTCCTCCATTTGCCGTCACTGTAGAAGCGTAAGTAGTGAATGGGAAGAAGGATTGTGGAAAAAAAAACTTGGTAACAGTGTCTCAACTCGGATTCGTCCCATGATGCTCGCGTTGTAGATACAAAGCCGCCTTGGAACCTTCTTTTGAAAATATTTACCTGGCTGACTGCAAGGGTCATCAAACTCGCGCTGGCAAGGAAAAAATTAGTATTTGGAAACGGCAATAGGATTTCCCAATGTCATTTCGCTCGCTCAAAAGAATAGCTCGATGGCCAGATGTCGTTTCCATTATTTGATGCTTGAGCAATAAACTAGCCTTTATGTCAGTTGCCAAACGGGACATATCTCCGGAGTACAAGTGTACCACATTAAATTTTAGTTTCCTTGATATTTGTATTGCCTGCCATGCGGGTTGAGATTGAGGGGAAGGGATGCTGCTCTTTTCCACGTATGAAAAGAGAGCATTGCACATCTCGATCGAAAAAGTACATTTGTTTACCCACCACATGTTTGTTTTATGGATGGCTTAATCCGCCTCGCCGCCGCCATGTTAGAAAACGTTCCAAGCTAACAAAAATTGCATGAGTGGCACAGCGATTTCTGACGTACATCTTCTGTCAATGTGTACATGTTCATTATTCAGCTTTCCTTTTCAGAGCTGTGATGCATGGGAAATGGTTCCATGATGATCGGCAAACTTGGCAGCCGAAGCTATTGGGTGCATTGATCGTCACCACCACGTTGAGTGGTGGTTTTGTGCATCTCAATGGGGGGTGGCTACGCTATAATGTTCCGCTGACATCACATACTTTTACTTTCAGGGTCTGTTCCTTTTGCATTTTGAAAGGCATTTTCAAGCTGACGTTCGGATAAGGTGCTTGCACTGTTTTTTTTTTTAGAAATGTTTGGTGCAAAACAAAGAAAATGAAACTACCGCATGTGTATGTTCGATTTTGGTCAAACAAATGACAAGCTAGTCCAGCGGCTGTATAGTCTCATACCGATTGTGTTCCCAATCAAATTCATCTGGATTGAGATAATGAGTAACTATCTCGGACGTTTAGACGACCGTACGGGGTATATGATCATGAAAGTGAGCAACAAAAAATAGCAGCGTGGATTTGTGTGTAAACCTAAAACGAAGAAAAACACTGCGATAAGTAAACGCGATGAAAGCTCACGGAGATATAAAACCATGACAATTATCATCTTGTGAAGACAAAATATCAATTATACTAAAGCGATATTCCATTTATGTTTAATAGCAAACAGTAAGTAGGGTACCAATTTGTAAATAAACAACTACTGCGAGCGCTACTGATAGTACCAGGTTGCGGATCAAAATGGTATCAAAATCCATTAGCTTCTCAACGGCATCAGAATAGCGTCAATTATGACGGCTCCCTGTTAATAAGCTGACATACCTCTTGTATCAAAGTCTCCACTCGTAGCATGCTGAACTTTATAGAAGCGGTATTATCATTTCCGTTGTTTGCTTTTCGTTCGTCAGGCGAATGTTCAACTTACGATGAACCAGTCTGAGTTCAGCCTATAAGGCTCTGTGCTCGACAGGCACATTTTTAGCAAAACACAGTATACACCATAAGCACTGATTGATGATATTTCTACAGTATGACAATGGCGATATAAACGTTGGGGCTCTTTCTATTCATTGCGAGCCTGCCATAGACCTTCAAAATATGAGAATACTTTACTCTAACCTTACTGACTTCCATCAACCATATTTGACATAACGTATGTACAATGATGAGACGCGTTTAGACTGATAATGTAAACCGGTCGTCTGCTCTCCATGAGCTTCCTGCCAATGTCAGCCCAGAAAATTTATAAGACCGACTAGCATTATTTTTCGCTTTTGAAAATTTTCTTGCAGGACTCGTGACAGCGAACGCCTTTGCACACCCATAATATCAGGATTGTGAACCTTGTCCTTTAAATTGCAACTTGTAAAATACCTCGGTAAGAATTTGTTCGCGTTTCATTGAAAGCTATGATGATATCTGTTTGCGATAGGGTTGTCCAAACCCGCTAGCACCTTAAATTGCCAACTTGGGTAATTCTTGATGCATTTTATAATCTTCTCTCTGAGCTTTCTCCATTGCAAGTCGTTGCTCGTGACGTTATTCTTCATGACTTTTTATGCATGCCGTCCAAGTTACTGATCAGTCCAGTCGCCTTTTTCTACCCTAGGTCGCGTTTGTTCAAGATATACTGGTCATCGACAAGAGTCGTCGTCAACAATTTTATCGGAAATTGACAGAAGGTACAATATAGTCACCTTTTTATGAGTGTATAGCGGTTTGAGACACAAGTAGTGAATGAGGTACTGACTATCCTTTGATAGATAACTATAATTAATTGCAACATACCGGATCACGCATTTCGATAAGAATGGATCAGGAGCCATGCTCTCATGCTGTACAATACAACGGCTTGTGTGCGATATGTGGTCAAGATGTGTACGTATTATATTTTTGATATCAAACCAAGCGCAACGATTGCTTTTAAAACTAAATGCTCATGACCTTATAGAGGGAACTCAAATACCGAAGAAGGGTCACGCGCCAATATCAATATGTCACATAATGTCCATGGCTTGATGGTCAATCGATCTGTATGTTGATTTTGTTTTTGTTGTTGTCAAGCAGTCTGTGCGAGGATACTCATTTCACTCTCCTTTTTTGCACCGCTACAGGAAGCAGAACGGTTAGAACAAGAGAATGCGGCGAGACTACTGGAGACTCGACGGTTATCTCTTATTGTTGATTTGGATCAAACCATCATACATGCTGCTTGTGACCCTACGGTTGGAGAATGGATGAACGACAAAAACAACAAAAACCATCCAGCCACCAAAGTGAGTTTGCTCCTGTCTTGTAACGTAGTCTAATCATGTAGAATCCCGTCTGACTTTATCTTATCACTAAAGGACATCAAGCAATTTGTCCTTCCCGGCAGCCCACTTGTGTACTATATAAAGTTAAGACCGAAGCTACAAGAGTTTCTGAAGGAGGTAACGAAGCAATATGAGCTTCATATATACACCATGGGCACGCGGAATTACGCAGAAGCTGTAGCAAACAAAATTGATCCGGATAGAACGATCTTTCGAGAACGAATTCTTTCTAGGGACGAAAGTGGCAGTAAGGCTTCATGTGTACCTAATACCGACCGTCTCTGCCCCCATTTTATTGAAACCTTTCTGTATTAGGTTTGACGCAAAAGAATATTCAACGACTGTTTCCCTGTGATACCTCCATGGTGGTTGTTATGGATGACAGATCCGATGTGTGGAACTGGTCGCCTAATTTGATCAAAGTGAAGCCATGTGAGTGCACGCGAGTTTTCAAAGTTGTGTATTCCCTAACCCCTGTTCTGCATTGCTAACGCACCTTGTAGATGATTTCTTTGTGGGCATTGGTGATATCAACTCGGTGTTTTTACCGAAACGGGTACGCGTTTGCGCTGTCTTCCATCTCGTTTTTCCACTTCTAACCCAATAGTGTATATTAGGAGCCCATTCCAAAATCTGAAACACCTAATGAACAGCCTCAAACTAAAGATGCTGTTAGTAACGGAAAAGAATCAACCGAAGAACGAGAGGGTAAGTTGATGAATATCGGTTAAGCACAACTACTAGGGCATACAAGTTGACTGACCGACCTTCCCTTGTAGAACTGGATCAAGTAGACGCTGAGACGCTAGCAAAGCAACAACAAGAACAGGATGCCATGGTTGAACAGCAACAGAATGCTCGGCCGTTGCTGCAAAAGCAAAACGAAATGTCATTATCGCAAAATCAGCCAGTGCTGGTTGATAATGACGAAGAATTGGACAAGATATTGGAGGCGAGCACTGATACAATGAGGATTTATAGCTACTCAGATGAGCCATGCTAACCCTTCTTTAAATACAGATACTTAAGGAAGTGCATCGCAAGTTTTATGAAGACTATGATAAGGCTATGAAGATTTCACCTTCACATCGAATTATGCCCGATGTAACTACCCTCCTACCCGACATGAAAGCCAACATTCTTGAAGGCACCGTGCTTTTGTTTTCAAGTGTTATTCCGCTAGGTCAAGATCCGCAACAGTCTGATATTTGGCGGCTGGCAGTTTCGTTTGGTGCGCAGTGTACGCCTGAACTAACTGGCCGTGTTACGCATGTTGTTGCTGGCAAAGTAAGTTTTACGCGAAAGGAATACGTGATGGTATGACAACAATGACTTAAAAGACGTAAATTTAGGCTGGCACACAAAAGGTGAATGCAGCACGGAAACATGCACATATCCATATTGTGCGCATTGAATGGCTTCTAGATTCAACCTCCAAATGGGAGCGCCTGGACGAATCTCGTTACCTGCTACCGGAACTAGCCAATGCAAGTAATGCTGGTGATAGAGGCAGTGTTGATGAAGATGAAATTGACGACCCGGAATCAACCCCACTTGAACTTGATGACGATGCTTTTTTAAATAGAGATAGTCGCACTCATCGACTCAGCGTCTCGGAGGAAGAAGTATTTGAACACTACAAGGATGTCGATTGGAATGAAGCTGACCAAGAAGTCGACGAAGTGCTTGCTCTGGAGAGCGGTACCGATTTTGATGAGGATGAGGACGATGACGATGATGCAAGCGTGCAAAGGTAACTAGACCGATCCTATCTTTATAGCAACCCTATGCTATGCTGCGATGCAAACATTTGAATATTGACTTTTTTCGCCTGTTGACTTCATCAGCTCATCGGATAACAAAAAGCGCACTCGAACTGAACGGGGCTCCGAAAACGATAGTTCAGAGGATGATACAAACACATCTGAAACCCCACGATCTAGACTGGCAAAGCGAAAGAGAGCCTCGCGCCAACGAAAATCCAAGCTATCCAAGCAGGTTAATATGAACGGTACTGATTCAGCTACAGACGACGACCGCTTGTCCAAACGTCTACAGGCTGGGAAAAGTGCTAATTCAAGCATGGCGTCGACGCCCCAGCGACAAGACAACGATGGTGAAGCCAACGACAGCGATTTCTTGGACGATCTGGCTGGTGAGCTAGATGACGAGATCGAGTAATACCTCCCAGAGCCAATCCAACTTATACACTTGGGCGTTCATAACGCTCTATAACATCACCCCCCAAAATCCTTCCTCCCTCCCTTGCCTCTCCATGTAAATTTACCCTTCTCCTCCTTATCCTGCTGAGCTTTACTTTATATACTGCTGTGTAAATACAGATGGTGAACGAACAGTAACAAAATTTGGGGTTATTAAAAGCGAGATTGTCGCGATATACGTATGGATTTAGACACAAAGTTACAACAATGACGCGCATTGAGTAAAGTAGGGGTATATAGGATGCATGTACAGTGGAGGTTGGGCCAAAGCTTTCAGTACAAAAATGGAGCATTATCGTAACTGTCTAGCTAACGATGGTTCTCTCTTTCGTTTAGTGGATAGCTTTCGGCGCTGTCGGTCGTCGACAGAGGAGTCTTCAACAATCCATTGCGTCGATGCGTTACGCTCTTTACGTAAAAGCGATTTCCGATGGCGCTGATGCCCAACCCAAGCTGCATTCTCTTTACGTGATCCGCCTTCTTCCCCACGATCAACATTGACTTCCCATGTTGCGCTTGGAAGGCTATAAGGAGACCGGTAATGGTTTGTTGGGTTTGGAGGAGATTTGGATTTATTGTGAGAGCCGGACTTCATGGGAGGCACGGAACGGTTATATGAGTGTGCTTTCAATGGGCCGTTGGGCTTCTTTCCAGACAAGACCTTTTTGATAAGGACAGAATTTTTCGGGGACGTGATCCTGAGAGGAGCAGTCAAGGTGTTTTCAGAGTGTTCCTTGTCGGCTACGGCCTGCTCTGCCGCCTTTGTTTGGCGAGCTAGTAATGTTTCCCGATCATTCAACAATGCTAAAAGATCAGATTCCATATCATCACTGGATTCAGAAGATGAATTGCTATCGTTGCTATCACTCTCTGAGCTCGAGTTTGCATGGTGCTGGGTCGTATCTGTGACGCTGGTTAACACTTCAACAGGCTCCACTTGTTTTTCCACACTTCGCTCATCTTCCTGTTGATTAGGCGTTTGATCTTCCTGCTCTACTGTTTCTACCAACTTCAGATTAAGACCACCTTGGTTGGAGCTTTCATTTACTTCTAGTACATGGTATGCATTAGTACTGACAACTTTACATGCATACTGGTTTTAGTTTGACATGCTTACCTTTGCTCGCAACGTTAGCATTATCTGGTAAAGCAGAAGTACCTTCAGCATCTGATACATTGTCGTCAGACACATCGACGTACATGGATTTTTCATGCAAATCCTTGTTTTGATTTTGTGCGTCCATGTGAGAGATAGATTTGCCGCTCAGTGTTTCTTCCATAGGTTGAGATTCTTCAACTTCCGGGTTTTGTACATCGTTGCTCACATTATCATCCACGTCATTCACCACTTCAAATGGATTTTCTTGCTCTTGATTATTGACTTCTTCCTCGTCGGACGAGTGACTATGTGTACTTGATTCCTCGGAATCTGGGAACAAAGCGTGTAAGAAGTCGTCTTGAGGGGACTGCTCCATATCCAAAAATCGGACCCGACGAGCAGCGGACATAGGCGTTAAAGGCATATTACGATGAGCTGAAGGCATTAGGTCGGGTATGATTGAATGTCTACTGATATCAAAATTAGGACTGGATACAGCGGCTCCTAGGCGCGCCACGAGACTTTGAGAAGGACGACGCATGTCACGACGACCAGTGGCAGGCTTGCTTGCTACAGGCGTGCCCATCGACAATGGTTGTTTCTTTGTGGATGAAAAAATCACGTTCTGCGAAGTACCATACTGGTTTTCGATATCGTCCTTCCATGATGCTTCGCTTGGATCGACCACCGTTTTCAATGGCAACTTTCGACGTTTGGGAGTCAATGACCCAGTAGCCGGACCACCGGCTTTCGACGCGGTTAACGGCGACATGGGCGGTATATTGCAGTCTTGCAATGCTGTGACACGTAGCTCTGGAGAAGTCGACATGCAAGAGGAATTGAGGCACAAAAGGTTGTTGCTTGACACGTTCCACGCGATTCAAAAAATATTTTTTATTTTTTTATTTTTTCTCGGCCAAAGACGGAAATTTTTGGATTTCCCATTTGTCTTGAATGAGTGGGCTCGTTCAAGCAATGATGTTCGCAATACCGCTGTCAACCAATTTTTCAGCAGATAATGGCTTTTCAATCACTCCAGCTTTGATCAGGGTCTCTACTGTGACATCAAGAGCTTTGCGGGAAACATCTCGAAGGTTATCTTGGTAACGAACGGTCTTGAACCACTCGCGAACATCCACTTCTTGGTAATCCAGGATGCGCATGATATGCTCCACTGATTCCTTATCTTTCTGAGCAATGAACAACTTGGTAGCCTTGTTGATGGCTTCCAATGCCTTCTTGACTCCCTCACTGTCTTCTTCGAGCAGACTGGTGCTGGCGGCGAAACAGAAGGCAGGCCATGGAGGTGTGATTTGTCCGATACGCTTGACTTCACCAGAATCATGGTATGGCTTTGTGGTGAAGGTTTCCCACATGAAGAAGTCGCTAGTGCCAGCATTGACAGCGTCGCGCATGGCTTTGAAGTTACTTAGCGCTGTGAATGTGAAAGGTGGGTTTTCCTTTACATTGGGAGCGAGCCAACCCTGTTGATCAGCAAGCACAAACGCCATGATATGGGATCCTGAGCCGAAGCGGGAGATAGCTACGTCAGTGTGGTTAAGCGTGGCAATTGAATCATGTTTGGAATCGACTCCAGCGGAGAGTGCCCAGCCTGTCAAAAGTATCCATTTCATGTCACTTTGTAAATCCCTTTCCTTTATGCATTACGGCGGTCAGAGAAATACTTACAAAGGGGTGCACTGACGTATGTGCCGACAATTTTGTACCAGTCCTGGCCATTGGCAATACCAGCTGTCAAACCTTCTGTCAAGGCAACTGCCAAATTGATGGAACCGTCCTTGAGTTTGGATGTCATCTATGAGTTTAGAATAGGGTAAGCTACTGAAATACCATCACTGTATTGCAAGCCGACAATTGAGCATGCTTTTTTTGTTTTTAAGCTTACCTCACCGGTTCCTCCAGGGCAGCACACTAATTCTACTTCCACTCCAGCCTCGGTGAAGTATCCATTCTCGTTGCTCATGTGCAATGGAGTAGAAAAGTGTTCAGGAACTGATATAGTCAATAACAGGCGTTAGCTAAACAATATTAGGGCGCAATAAAGAAAGCGTGCGTACCATATCCAATCTTGATAACCATTGTGAGTGGGTTGCGGTGCGTTATGTACTTGAACTGTTGGTGTGCTCTTGCTGCTTTGAAATCGCAGATGGTGACTGCCAATCAGCTCATCAAATTTGACTTTCGGGAAAACGTTTTTGAAGGCGATGTGCTAGAGTTTCTCGTACTGATGCCATAAGTATTGTTTGAATAAGATGCTGCATGAACAGCTCAATATTATTTCGCTACAAAACATGGCTCCAACGAAAATGCAAAGTAGGAGCCACAATTTGTTAAACTTTATTATACTCTCTAAAGTATAAGACAAAGATCAAATAGCCTCTCTGTCGAACTGAAGTTTTGGAAGTAGTTCGTAGCATGTACCTCATACCGCTTTCTCTTCGTTGCTGTTTCAAGATGTAACCAGCATTGGTGCACACTCAACCGTTTGCAGTAACCTGTTCACTGGATGCACAATAAACTCTGGTGCGAGCAACACGCAATTATAATTGCAGACATAATTTAACCTCGTAGAAATATCCGCCTTCCAATATAAGCCTTTACATACACGAACTCGTTTAACACATAACACTAGAATACCAAAGGCTCAAGCAAAAATAGCATTGTCTTTTAATGATATGCAAACAGAATGGATAACGTAAAACAAGAAAGAAAGTGCATACACTTTCTTGCTTTAACGGTAAGACTTTTGGTAGCGAGCACGGGCACCGGGACCTCCGAACTAGATTGATTGTAATGTTAGCAAATGAAGAAGTTGAAAATATGAAGTCATGTCAATGTACAGTACCTTCTTGGGTTCGCAGCGACGGGGGTCAGCGACGAGAAGGGTACGGTCGAATTGAACAAGGATTTCCTTGATCTCCTTCTTGGAAGCCTCATCGACAAACTTTTGGTTGAAAGCGACAACAGCCTTAGCAAGAGCCTGACGGATGGCGTAGATCTGGGAGACGTGACCTGTAGTAGAGAGAGTGTGCAACAATGAAAGTCAGAAGATTACTCTTTGTGGAATGGATTCATATAAATCTCATAATGCGTACCACCACCGTTGACACGGATGCGAATATCAATGTTGGCGAAACGTTCTTGGCCGAGGAGAAGGACAACTTCGTAGACCTTGAACTTCATGATCTCGGGTTCAAGGAGCTCGACAGGGGAACCATTGACACGAATGAGACCCTTTCCGCGCTTGCAGTGAGCGACGGCGGTGGCGGTTTTCTATAAATGAGAAAAAAAAAACAAAAAGAGTACAGAAAGGTTGAGTAAGTGAAATGTTGAACATGTTGAAATGGTGTGGTATTGGGCGAATGGGTGATGGAAGTCGAAATGGGTATTGAAAACACACCTTGCGGCCAAAGCACTGGACTGATTCCATGACTAGATGAAGCGATGTGGTGAGAAGGGATGGATGGATGGATGGATGGCTCAAAGATTTTCTTACCAACAAGTTTCAAAAGAGAAAGAGCTTGAGAAGGTGCGGAAGCGGAAAATTGAAATAGGGCGAGCGGGGACAGGCCGCCCTACACCCAATAATTGCCCCCGACGCCGAATGGTTGAACCTTCCTTTTTGCTCTTGGTACATCATGGTAAGGCATCCATCCATCCATCCATCGCTCGCATCCTTCATGGTATTAACGTAATCGATCAGCCTACCAGACTTCATCATAACAGGAAGAAGCGTGGACACGTTTCAGCCGGTCACGGTCGTGTTGGTGAGAGAAAAAATACATTAGCTGAATCATTCAATTATAAAATGGCCCCAACAATGCACCGGCCAAACTTACACCATTCACCATCATTCACCTTTTAGGAAAGCATAGAAAGCATCCTGGTGGTCGTGGTCTTGCTGGTGGTCAGCACCATCACCGTATCAACATGGACAAGTACCATCCTGGTTACTTCGGTAAAGTCGGTATGAGATACTTCCATAAGACCCACAACCAGTTCCATCGCCCTATTGTCAACCTCGACAAGATCTGGACTTTGGTTGGTGAGGATGTCCGCAACAAGTACAAGAACACCGAGAAGGTCGCTGTCATTGATGCCCTTCAACACGGTTTCCACAAGGTTCTTGCCAAGGGTCGTTTGCCCGAACAGCCCGTCATTGTCCGCACCAAGTTCGTCTCTCGCCGCGCCGAAGAGAAGATCAAGGCTGCTGGTGGTGGTAAGTTTGCTTCCTTGATGCTAGTCCAAATCTTCGTTGCATGAAAAAAACTAAATTCCTTTTTCTCTTACTTAGTTGTCGAGTTGATTGCCTAAACAAAAAACACTTATGTCCATCGTACCATAATACAATAAAAAAAGCGATATCTCACATCACTATTTTGGAGACTTCCGTTGTGAAAAAAAGTATCAGTGAATATTACGGGTGATCATAAGCTACATGTGATTACACAAGGGTCAACAACAGATGTTGTAAAAAAAAAACAGTTTAAGCTATGAAGCAATAGATAATGACTGGATTTAGAAGGTTGTAAGGGAAATGCAAACGAGTTAGAGTTATAGTGGTAAAAAATATAATACAGTAACATTGAGTTAACTTTCTATCGCCTCAGAGAGGCTTGTTAGGCAAGCATTAGCTGGCTCATCAATCAAATAGCGTCTCAATAATTCTGCCAAGCTATTTTGGTTTAAGGGTTTGGTGAGGTAGCTGCAAAGAAAAAACACCACATGCGTTAGAATAACAAGTACATCGCGGTAGCTTCAAAAAGGTCAGTCAGCACTTACCCATTCATGCCGGCTGAGGAACAAACATCGCGCGCCGTTTGTTGAACATCTGCCGTTAAGGCAATAATGGGTAGCTTGCGCTTTCGGTTGCTGGTCTTCTCGGTATGCCGGATACGTTTCGTTGCTTCCACGCCATCGCACTATAAAAACCGCAGTATGATTAGGGTATGAAACCATCAAATGAGGGTGAGATATGAGCAGTCGTTACTTACAACAGGCATATGATGATCAAATAGAGCCACGGCATAATATGTTTCGGGGTGGCTCTCCCATAGAACTACAGCCTCAAGACCGTTGTTAGCACAATCGACATTGAAGCCTAAACGAGAAAGCTGGGGAAACAAAAGTAGCTAGTCAGTCAAATAGCTCACAATGCCCTTTCACTGTTCAGGTCGTTAACTTTCGCATACCTGTTTAAACAGCAATTTTTGGGCAACCGGGTTATCTTCAGCGATCAGAATTCTGACCGTCTTGAATAACTCAAGTTCTTGGGGACTGTAGATTTGCGATACACTAGACATCTTGATAGATCTTGATGCCTTTTTGGTGGGGGCAAGGTTGAGCAAATCGGCAATCGCCCGAAGCAGCTTGAGGCGTCGAACAGGAATGGCCATGCGAACGAGCTTGGCCGAAACTTCTAGTAGATTGGACTTATCTTGGTGCAAATGCAAAACATCACCACTGGGATAATGCAAAACAATGATACACATGTTTTGCCACTGAGTGCCTGACTCCACTACCCGGACCTGTTGGGCGAATTCAGCAGTAATAGGGAAATCGAGAATAAGGATATCGTAGGATGTTTCTGACAATTCCGCCATAACCGCAGGGAAAGAGTTGGCACTGGTCACGTCGAACGATTTCATAAACCCGCACATCATTTCGATCATGGACTTCGCATTGGATCCGACCAATATACGAGGTCTTCCAAGCGCTTTGGTAAGACCCTTGATATCATCTCGAATTTCCAACTCCAGATTCTCGTGGGCCGGATCGTCCGCAGTTTGAACCTTGATAGTAAAGAAGAAATTGGATCCTACACCAGGTGTGCTCGTTACACTGATCTTACCAGACATCAATTGAACTAGCTGCATACAGATGGACAAGCCAAGACCTGTTCCACCATAGAGACGACTAAAAAATTGCAATGATTCAATAAAAAAAGGATAGCAGCGGATAGACGACAAAAGGGATACTCACGTGGTACTGCCATCGACTTGAGAGAAGGGCTTGAATAATGCCTTTAGTTGGCTTTCACTGATACCAATACCGCTGTCGACAACCTCAAACAACAGAACGACATTTCCAGGTTCCTCAGGCACCTGCTTGGCTAGAGAGCATCGAACAACCACTTGGCCTTGGTTGGTGAACTTGATGGCATTGCCGACGAGGTTCATAAGCACTTGGCGAAGTCGGTTTCCATCAGCCATGACACAAGGCGGGACGTCGTCATCAACAAAATACACGACTGTCAGGTTCTTGCGAGCTGCCATCGCTATCAAGATCTCAACCACATCGGCAATGACGTCCTCTAAAACAATGCGCGAGACATCCAAAGTGACTTTCGCAGCTTGCAGCTTACTGAAGTTGAGCAAATCGTCAATGATACGTAAAAGCATTTCGCACGATTCTTTAGCCGTTCTGACAAGGTCCTGCTGTTCTGCATCCAATCTAATTGTGATAGTAGAGCGGTCAGATTTACAAAAACATGCAAATGAAAATAAAAAACCCGTAAACGATATACTTACTGTGTTTCAGACAACAACGATATCATGCCATAGAAACCTGAGAAAGGTGTACGAATTTCATGACTCATGTTCGCCAAAAAGATTTCACGAAGGTGAGTAGCACGCAGTGCGTCTTCTTTACTCTTTCTGGCTTCCTCAAGAGCAAGCTTTTGCGTCTCGATCATTCTGTAGTACGACATATGTGACTTAGAAGGGGTGATACAGTGGTGTACAAACTCTGTTGGGAGACAACTTACCTAACATTGGTCATGGTGACTTTTTGAATGGACTTGAACAAGAAAGCGTTGGTCAAAGAAATGCCCATTTGTTGGCAAAGCAAAGTAAGAACAGTGATATGACGTTGCGTAAAGATACCAGGTGAGCCTTCCAAATAAAGGCAGCCTGCAAGAACACCTTTGTGAAGAACTGGCAAGCAAATGATAGACTTGATACCCGCTCGTTCAAACCATGAACCAACGGCAAATCTTGGGTCGTTTTGTACATTGGGTATCAAGGTGCTTTCACCCGTATGTAACGTGTGCTGCACAATACGATTTGAAATCATGTCTTCTTCTTCGCGCAAAGGTTTGGGTGGCTCAAATGTTGACGGGCCACCATGGCGAGTGCCAAAAGCACAGATACCGAAGTACTCGTCTTTGACAATAATAGCACCACATTCAGCCGCCGAGTTATCCAAGATAATGGTCATCATGGATTTCAGGAGACTGTCAAACTTCACTTCAGAAGAGATGACTTGACTGCTCTTCAGAATGGAGGCGAGGTCAACAATATCCAGCGTCGCAAGTGCTTGTTCTGCAGTCACCGCTGTGACAGAGTCAGTAGGTTCTTGATCGTTGAATATAAGTCCATTTTGAGGATTGGGTAACGCAGCTGGTTGTATATTGGACATGGACAGTTCACCCCAAGAATCACGGTGTCCTAGTAATGGAGCCACATCAGTCTGTACGCCAGCGTTAACTTCCTTTGGTTCATCGTCTTCCACGAGAACAAAGACAGAATGATGCTTTTTGCTCAATTGCTGGGCTTTTCCGTAGGAGCCATGAGCAGTGTACGCTTTGACAGCCTAGTGGTGGTGAAGTGTGCGCAGACGATGAGTATAAAGGAATGCGTTACGAAAATAATACTCATTGCCTCTCCCTTTCTGGGTACATACCTTGTGTAATAAGGCAACTCCAACGTTTGCAATTCCGTTACGTAGATAAAATTCGCCAGCGTATTCGTGGGTTATACATTTTTCGAGCATCCAGTGCCCATCTCGAGCTAAATCCATAGCCTTTTCGTATAATTTACTTGCTTTTACAAAGTTATCTTGAAGGGAGATCGTTTCAGCCTCGACGAGGACATACCAGAGTTCATAGTTGATCCGACTATTCTGAACCCATTCATTCAGAAGCCTCTGATTCTGCTGCACCTTATTCAAGTAATGAAAGCGATTGCGACCATCCATATTAGGCGTCCTGCGAATAACATCGATGATAGCCAGCGAATGTAAGAACATCATGAATCGGGTATGTCGTTGGCACGGATGATTATGACTTTCAAAGTGGCATTGGTCACCAACTCGTATGGCCTCTTCGCTGTGCCCATAGAGCACAAGTGGAAGCATTTTGAGAGATTCGTACCAGTTGACTGGCACAGCGGGGTTGACAGAATGAAGGCATATTTCGTTCACAAAGTGAGCATCATTGAAGCCATCGTCGCCATCAAACACACATTTTGCATCGGCTATGTAAGTCTTGCCCTGAAGTGCCTTGATAGTACGTAAGAGGGAAATGATCAAAATGTTGGTATCGATAGATGGTGCCCAGGTATGGACTTCCTCATAAGCCGTTTCTGCCGACTGAAGTACATCCCACAAGTTCATGCCAGAATAGAACGTGAACATAGCAGTTTGAAGAAGCCCATATGAAGTGTAGATGCGATCACCAGCAGCTGCGGAATATCGAGCTCCGGATTCCATAACAGGGATGACGTCTTTAACATGGTATTTCCAAATGGCGAGGAAGCTGGCATAGGTGTGTTTAGCTCTTCCTTTTTCAACATTCCCTCCAATTCTGTCTACAAGCGCCAATCCAGTTGCGCCGAGATCCTAGGAGAACGAATGGAGGGTTAGGGAGATATGAGGAGGAAAAAAAAAAACAATGGGTTCCAAAGATGAATATGGTATATCAACTTACATGGCCATAAGAATACTGTTTGTAAAACTCCACAGCCGCAAGTCCTAGCCATTGGAAAGCAATACCAGTGCAAGCCACTACACCACGCTGAATTGAGATATCAATGATCTTTGCCGCGATATAAAACATTAACGTTTGCTTGCCAAGCCAGTAGGCAACATTAAGTCTAAATGGAGTACGAAAATATGTTAAATATGAAATACATTGATCCATTCAGACATGCTGTATAAAACCAAACTTACGTTTCTTCCAGAATGCCAAGTAACGCTTGATGTTTAACCTTGTCTGCGGTGTTGCATTTGCTTAACTTTGCTACTTCGTCTAAGCCGATGGTGGTCAACTCGTTCTTCAAACTATAATAAATCTCATCCACTTCATTTCGAGGCGGGTCAGCCTTGATAGACGTGACTCCGAATTCACCAAGACAAGCAAACAAGACATTGAGTGCATCGTCATGTATGCCTTTAGCATAATAGTATCTGCCCTTGATGCGATAGGCGGGAAGACGTTCCATGGGTTCGGTAACGTTATCAAAGATGACATCCAAGTATGTTTCGGTATCTGAGCTATCACCAACAACCAAACTCAAGCTAGCTCCTAGAGTGTACAGGTGAAGCGTCTGATCGTACGTGGAAGGCTTCCAAGGATCATCGTCTATTAACTGTAAAGCAGCATTGACATAGCCTAATGCGCATTTGTGCGCTCCTGAATTATGCTGCTTCCAGCCAGCTTTGGACAATATGTCGCGGTAGTGTGGTCTATTTGAGCAAGTGGAGATTAAATCAGCGCAGTGAAGAAGATGATCTGCGACAATGACCGAGTCGCATTCCGGGTCTGTGTAATTCAATTTTGTGATGGATGGTGAGTAAAGAAACACAGCAAAGTACATAACATGGAAGCTCCGCATATATTACCTTGCAAGTAGTATACGGCAATCTTGTAATGTATCTGCTCTCCCACCGAAGGAGTGACCATAGACATTGCAGCTTGAGAAAATCGATCGTGGCTCCATCTAAACTCATCTTTGTCAAGAGGAACAATCATGCCTTCTTGTAAAGCAGTTTGCAATCCATTGATTGCACTACGCTTCTTAGATAAACGACTTTTGCGAGGAGTGTGGCTTTCGTCGTATGTATGCGCCAACTTGACAAGTGGGTGAATCGCAGAAAGGGATGCAGCAGTTGTGGGCGCTTCCTCCTCATGGGGATTGTCGTCTTCAAAACTGGAAGACATGAGGTAATTTATGGCATTCCATGAGAAAGTGTTGCCTATGAAGGAAGCATAACGCAGAAATCTGGAAGTTGAATTCATCATAGTATTTAGTATCGGAAACCGTCAATTGACAAATCCTATGTGAAGTTGGGCGTACCTTTGAGTGTCTAATGGCAACTCCCGAAGACGTGCTACAAGGTAACTGACGTCCAAGTCAGAATCTAAAGCACCCTCTTCGCCAGAGGTGATATACGCTTCAATTCCAGCCGTGTCATAATCCCATTTATTTTCGTCCCAGTTGAAGAAAATTAAATTCTCCTTGCCAGCAAACGCCCGCAAAAGCTGACAAGTGTAGAATGGGTTGCCTCTTGTTTGGCGGAAGATCAAATTCGCAAGAGGGGCAACCGCTTCGGCATCGGTTTGAACGGAGCGGTGCAAAGTCTGACATATAAAGTCCGTCAAAGCTGGCATGTCTAGGTTGTCTAGATGAATATGCTGAACGGCTGATTTGTCCAGCTCTAATATCTGTGTGATCTTCTCATTGACGGTCTCTTCACGGTATGAAACAATGAAGAGAATTTTGGTTTTGGCTGCGATCAAAGCGAACAATAGATCCAGAGATGGTTGATCTGCAAAAACGTATAAAGCGTTAATTATTGCTCGATCACAACACTGCGGTTTTACTCCTCCTAATTTAGCTGAGTTTACCGGCTTGGTGAAGATCGTCCAAAAACTGACAATGTAAAGAAAACAGCGTTAGTATTAAAAAGGCACAGGTGGCTGACCCAAAAGGTAGATCTGCTTACCAAAGTAATCATCCTGTGTTGGGCCAATGCACGAATGACTTGAACAAACACAAAGTGAAGCTCAGCTCTGTTGTCAGAAATAGCTATATCGGCGATGGTAGGTTTGTCTTCATCCTCCATTTCAGACATAGCAAACGACAATTCAGGGACCCATTCCAACAATTTGTGAACATTGACATATTGGGCTTCGAGGGTTTCCTTGACAACATTGAGGACATTTGTATCACTTGATTCGGACATGATTTGGCGTAAAATTTGAGAAATACAGCGGGCAATGCAAGCAAAAGGCACTTGACTCCTATGATCAAATTTAGCAGTGGCCAAGTAACCATAGTGTCTTGCCGTAGTTTGGACTGCATTGAAAAGAGCCGACTTTCCCACACCGCTTGGTCCAGTTATGGCCATGAGCAAAGAGCTCGATTTCCTTGACCCATAGTTTCGGTTGGTACTACCGGACATTTCGCTTTCCCCAGCCATGCTCTCATGGCTTGGAGAAGATCGCTCGTATTGCACATTAGCACCAAGACCGCTTGATGTATCGCTAATAGATTCGACTACACTAGCACTGCTTGGATTCAGATCACTTGCCAAGTTGGAAGATTCTGTTGCTGTTGCAGTGACAGTCGATCGATCTCGGCTCGATCGCTTCCGGTTATAGAAACCAGCCGTCCTTCGTATGGTTGAACAAATTTGATGTATTTCATTTTGTCGACCAAAGAGAATGCTTGGCAAAGTGAATATGGAAGCAACGTCACACTGGCCCAATGGAAATGTCTGAATAGCCTAAAAGCAAAAACAAAGGTCAATCCAAGAGGTGAAATGAGTGTATACAATAAGGAGAAATGACCTGTTACAGTGTTTGCAACATTGACATAAAGGTATATATGACATACTTCATATGAATCTGTACCAGCAGATAATCGTCTTAGACACTCCTTGAGGTCTTCTCTAATGCCAATAGCGCTGTTGTAGCGGCAATCAGGTGACTGAAATACATAAACTATTAGACTTGACGACACGAGACAGCAAAGGAAAAAGGATAAAAGTATACCTTGGCAGTCATCTTTTCAATAATCTCAGTAATAACAGCGGGAACGTCAGGACGTAATTCGTGAATTGGAGTGAGGCTACGACTCAAGATGCCATTTAATATATCAAGAGGTCCACCTTCGAAGGGCTCTTTGCAAGCGAGAAGCACAAAGAAGATTACACCAAGCGAGTAAATGTCAGCGCGATGATCAGGAATATAATTTGTTCGACCAGTTTGCTCCGGGCTCAAGTAGGTCAGAGTGTTTCTGAGCTTTGCTAGGCCATCCTTGGAGCTAAAATTTTTGCGCCAGCCTTCGCTTGTAAGATAAGACTCGAAGCTTCGAGCACCTTGACCAAAGCTGGCAATCTTCACTTTTCCTTCGTCTTCTTCGCTCCAAAAGAAAGAACTCAAGCGTAATTCGCCGTGTACTGTATTATTTCTATGGATGAATTCAAGGCAGTCGGTACACTTGATAGCAAAGCGAAGAAAGGTTGCCAAGTCGTACTGCTGCGTGTTAGCCTCAGAGGGGGCGGGGTGAATGACGATTGAAGTAGATGTAGTATCAATTGAGTTGAATTCAGATGTTGTGGAAGTGGATAGTGAATATGACCGAGTTTCTCCAGTTTTTATGGTGTCCTCGGATTGCAAGCGATGTCGATCGAATCGACTAGTGCCTTCATCAGCCGATATTATGACAGTAATGCCATTACGTACATTGATGCGTTCGAGAGCTTGGACTAATAGTGGAAAATGTGGAATTACGTTTGGTTATATGACTCAATGCTGACGGTGCGAAAGGATGAGTGGTTGGACAAAACTTACCAATGTACTTTGGGCCATCTGGCTGTTGATACAGCCGTCTTAGGGTGTGATATTCTCTCTCTAACTTCAGTGTGTTCGAAGAGAATTTAGCGACCACAGGCTTTCGATCAGCAATCCGGTAACCTTTTGCAAAATCGTTGCTCTCGCCAGTATCTGAACCTGATATAGGCGTACTAAAGTGGTAGCCTTGCATTTGCAACATGTCGTCGCTATAGAAACTATGAGCCGAGGTATCATTCACGGATCGAGCTGATCCAGAGTCCCCGGCGTGCGACATTTGCGAAGGCTCTACAACGGTTGGAGGGTAAGGATTTTTCCTATTGGAGAGTAGGGGCAATTATTCGTTGGCTGCGGGTGCTATGCCCTTTTTTTTTTTCATGATTTTTGGTTTCCCGCAATTGGGAATTCGTTGCTCAGGTGGGGGCCGTTCTTTTTTTTTTTTTTTTGATGAAAAGACGACTCAGCAGCTGGAAAACATGTCTAGCAATTTCATACAAACGTTCAAAATGTAAGTATTTGCGCTCGTATCCAGTGCTTCACGTCGTAGTAGCAACTTTTGTTACCACCTTTCTCAACGTTCCCCTTACTATGGCGTCATCTGTAGTGTCGAGGTGGGATGATGTTCTCTTTCAGTCATCACCTCAAAAAAATTTGTTTATGCCACGAATCATTTGCAATGTTGTTACTTTCCCGATAACACTCAAAAATGACGGAACACACTTTCTCTTGCTGCATCGTTACAGAATGTCGGTACTTGTTACAAAATATCAGCCACCATTACGTATCATATGACTTCTTGTGCTATGTTGCCATTCGTCCGCATAGTGTTGGCCGATGCGACTTTTCGGCTCATTGGTTCCTCCTACGTCACCGTTGCTGAGATTGAAAGACTGAACATCTTTTCTAGTGTAATAGACTTTGCTACGGTGAATATAGAGACGATATATAAAGTATAGTAATAAATAAAGATGAAAATTATACTGCAGGGTGGATTGTGTGCGAAATCAACGACAAGGTTGAAGAGAGATACTCGCGTTACTGGTTAAGCGTGCGGACGGAAATGTACCTCTCCTGTAACGTTTGAAATGGACAGCTCTGCTTCAGTCGGAGTTCTGTTTCGAAAATTTGTCACAGCCAGCGAACGGTAGGACCAATCCTGGACTGTATGGAGCTCGGAGAATGGGACCTTCAATCAGCAGGGCATGATGGTGCTAGACAACATTGCACGTAACCGGCTAGTTTTGAGCATCTGTTTCATGGACAAAATTTTCAACAAAAAACAGCTTTTTAGTTTCGATTTGTTGTTGTTGTTGAGAAACTGGCTGATGTTGTCAGATTGCGCACTAGGTGATTCCACTTGCGTCTAGAACTCGCCATTTATTTTAGCATTTAGAATCTAAACTTCCCTTGGGTTGTTGTGCCACTTTAAATAGGTATGTGGAGCTTTCCCTGACTCTAACCATATGTCATAGCTATACCAGAAAAATTCTCCCTCCTCCCAAGCTTCCTTAATCAGTTACCACAAACATTCAATTGTTCCACTTCACTTACTCAAAATTGGCTTTTGAAATAAAGTCCTCAATAGACCTCCGATAATATACATTTATTAGTTAATACTGCTGTACATATTCTGGTTCGCGATGTAATAAAACTGGCTAATCGGAGACCTGCCCCATTGTCAGAACTGCAACTGACCACAAGTAGTTCATGTCGAAGAGCAATAAACGTTTTAGAGTAATCAAAAGTCTGTTCGATAACGTATTCTCATATCTCCATTTAATGCCTATATATATTTCCGGATATTGGTTTGCGACAGATCGTAGTTGGGAGATATGGAAGCAGAATGACGATTATGGTTTCAATGTCATATACATTGTTTGAATGACTGCAAAGGGATTCGATTGGAGCATGGCAATTTCTAAAACGTAGTTTTTGATTTACCTGAAACAAAATAACAGAAAAAGAGTGGCCTCGGTCCTCCGAGCGAGTGGTTCCTGGGTAACGGGTGGAGTTTAATGCAGAGCGGTGTTTATGGTTTATACTCTTGATCCAGCTTTGTTCACTCCATTGAATCTCATTTTCCAGGCATGGCTAATTAGTTTTCCCAGTACGATAATTGATGTAGAGAACTCCCTCCCATGCCTTTTTCACATTCATTGTCATTCCGTACTTAAGTCCTTTGCATAGAAGGTATTTGCCTGAGATTTATACTTATTTATCCTAATTTCACATCACAGGTAATCTCTACTGATAATGTCAGGTTTGGTACCATTACGTATGGAGTTGAAACCTACTTTCTGCACATCACACATGCCCACTATGTTTTGAAATGGTCTTACGACCTGTTGATATCCCGCAATTTAGTATAGCCAGTGACTGATAATAGGTGGGCAACAAACTTAATCAAAGCATTCTAAATATTGAGCAACAAATGCTTGGGTCGTTAAGCCAAATGCTGCTCAGAATTCAAAGGCAGCCATTCGTTTGTCTAGAATCCATTAATGTATAATCTATGGCCAACAATCCACTTGTACTGTTATGTTCGAGACAAGAGATTGTGAGTGGAAGGATGGTCAAAACGGAGGAAGCTTTCAACCCCGCACATTTACCATCGGGACGCTTCACAGTATCTCCGCCTTGGAGGAAGATCAAGCAGAGAAAAAAAAATTGCTTCCTAGCTGAACTGAAACATGATGATACATTGACCAATAAAAACATTGAAGAACTAATAGAAACGAACTCAAGTCTAAGCTTGTCGTAAATGTGCAGCATGTGCCCATGGCCCTCCGAAAGGGTATACGGATTAAATAGCTGCTTGCTTGAGCATTCAACAAGGGTTTGAACGAAAACTTATCACAAATATCTCGTTGAGCGTACCTGTTGATTTCATATGGCAATAGTGGCTCTCTTCTTTCAGTAACAATATCACGTTTTTACCGTTTGATTGGATTCCGAAGCCCTCCTATTCCTTCAGCCGACTGCCATTTTTGGGAAATGATCGACCAGAGCCCTTAAAATGCCATTACTGTGGCATATCATGATAAATTTGTACACTGGTAGAATGCATTAAGCAACATCCGTTTTTGATATCAAATGGTATGTGATATATCAGCATAAGTGTATGTTCTTTTAAGCAGGACACCTCGAAAAGAACATCTAGCGTAGTTTAACAAGCGACAGCGGAGTTCGCTTAAACACAATTATCCAGTTTTACCGAACTGAGCGACATAACATATATAAAGGCGCGCTGACACACTGATTGAATCCAACTTTGTTCCATAGAAGCAAATCACTATGACTACTCCAAGCAATGCTTCTTCGAAAACGTTAGATGATAATGAAATGTAGGTGACCCAACGGAATCATAATTGATTCTTTCTTTCCACATGTCACTAATCATAACATATATATCAGTTACAGGACACAAAGTCGCCGGATAGAGAATGAGGAGGATCCCAACCTCCCTTACCGTACTCTCAGTAAAAATGCAAACATGGATGAATACACTCATGAAACCGCTACGGGAAATATTGTCACACGCAGACTCTCTCAAGCTACTGGCCATCAAGTTGAATATAAGCTGGTGACTTTCGAAATTGATGACAAGGAAAATCCTAAAAATTGGTCAAAGGCTTACAAGTGGTATTGTACCATGGTGATTGCCATGGTCTGCTTCATTGTTGCCCTCGCTTCATCTATTGTCACGGCCGATATCGGAGGTGTCTCCGAAGAATTTGGAGTATCAGAAGAAGTTTCCCTCTTAACCGTCACTTTGTTCGTTGTCGGTTTTGGCGTTGGCCCTATGGTTTTTGCGTATGTATTCAAGAGTAACTTTTTTCATTTGCCTCGCATCCAAAATCACTAACAGAAATCAATTACAGTCCTATGAGTGAAGTTTTAGGAAGAAAAATCATTTATGTTACAACTTTAGGATTTGCCGTCATTTTCATCATCCCTTGCGCTGTCGCCAAGAACATTGGTACACTTTTGGTCTGTCGATTCATTGATGGTATTGCCTTTTCCGCACCAATGACTCTTGTTGGAGGAAGTTTGGCTGATTTGTGGAGAACCGAAGAACGCGGTGTTCCTATGGCTGCCTTCAGTGCCGCTCCTTTCATTGGCCCTGCTATCGGTCCTCTCATTGGTGGTTTCATCGGTGATAACCTTGGCTGGCGCTGGTTATACTGGATGACTCTTATCCTTGCCGGAGCTATCTATATCATCTTAGTGACCACTGTCCCCGAAACGTATGCCCCAACTATCCTCGCTAAACGTGCTGCCAAGTTGAGAAAGGAAACTGGAGACGAAACATACGTTACTGAGCAAGATCTTGATAAGCGACCTTTTGGTCAGAGAATGAAGGTCTTCTTGATCCGCCCATTCCAGTTGTTGTTTGGTGAACTTATCGTCCTCTTGATCTCCCTTTATATGTCTGTCCTGTATGGTCTTCTCTATATGTAAGTTCGATTTCATGTTTAAGCATTTCATCCATCCTTAAATAGTGGCTTGAAAACTGATCATCCGCATATATCTCTTTTAGGTTCTTTGTTGCTTATCCCATTGTCTTTCAAGAAGGAAAGCATTGGTCCGCCTCAGATACTGGTCTTATGTTCATTCCTCTTGCCATTGGTGTACTTTGCTCAGCTGCTGCCGCACCTTTGGTTAACAAGCATTATCTATGGGTCTCCAAGACCAAGTACAATGGAAAGCCTCCGGCTGAAGTTCGACTCTACCCTATGATGGTGAGCTGCTGGCTCGTCCCCATCGGTTTGTTCATCTTCGCCTGGACTTCATACCCTCAACTTTCTTGGTGGGGTCCTGCCATTGGTGGTCTTCCCGTGGGTTTTGGCTTCATCTTCTTGTATAACTCTGCCAATAATTACATGGTTGACTCCTACCAACATTTGGCTGCTTCAGCTTTGGCCGCTAAGACCTTTATCCGTAGTTTCTGGGGTGCCTCTACTGTCCTTTTTACCACCCAAATGTATCACCGTATGGGTTACCAATGGGCCAGTACGTTCCTTGCATTCCTCGCACTTCTCTGCTGCGCTATTCCATTCCTTTTCTTCATCTATGGTGCTCGCATTAGAGCTTATTCCAAGTACGCTTTTGCTGATGACAACTCCATGTCTGATGACGAAAAGAGAGCCGGTGCTGATGCCGCTCACTAAGTACCTTTAGCATTCGCTATTCATTCCCCCATTTCATAACCTTCAAACGGTTTTAGTCTTATGACACAAACCATATCATTAGACTAGCTGGACTTTGCCTCGCTGTATTGCATCAATGGGATGTATCTTCCACAGAAGATACTTGATTCTCTGTATATTTCAAAGCATTTACGAATCAAAAGCCCTAATTTTTAATCAACCATGAATACCTTATTGACAATAAATACACATAGATGTCACATTATCATGACTGGATGTCCTAGTTGCACTATGAGAAAGGCAAACATAACATGAGTAATTTGCAGTATAAATGCTTTTCAACAACTTGTTCATCATCGCTCACTTTTGCATTGGCTGTATAGTTGCTCAACCCCCTTCACCTTTTTTTTTTTTTTCTAAAGGACAAGAAGAACGTTAAAAGAAAAAAATAGAATATGCAGATTCTATAGTTTGCTGGCATTTATTTCAGATTAAAAGAAAATGTTGCAAAAATGATCAATTTTTTTTATTATATAGTGCCTTGTATGAATGAGATGAAGAGTATTGATTTATTCTCTGTGTTCTACGATTTTGATTGAGCCTCTGCTAGACATTCAGCGATTCCGATTAGTCTAGCATCATATCTTCGTCTTCATCACGCTCATTTCTTGCCAATGCACTATTAAGTTCTCGCCGTATTTCTGGAGTAATGCCGTGATGGAACTTCACCTTTACAAGTTCCAAAAGATCTTGTCTTTGTGCGGACACCAAGTCTTGTCGATATCTATAAAGGAGCTCACTATTAAAAAACTGTTCACTGGCTGGCTATGTATGCGATGAATAAAACCACTTACCGCTGTACAAAGACAAGCAGCGATTGATGCCAGAGGACAGGCATTTCTCTAGAGTCATTCTTGAACCGGCAAAAGTGTTCAACCAGAGCAATGATAACTTTGTAGGGCAAGGCATACTTCTTATCCAAAAGTATTCGAATAAACAAACTGTTGGGTCCAGTATAGTCCATATCGGCCAATCTCAGTAGAGCGGCAGATGAGTGAAGAACAGGAATGGATATCTTGGAAATGACACTACCAACAATAGCCGCCTCCTTCAGAGTACAAGTACCGGATTCACAAAGTGGGAAGAGGATACCTTTGAAGAAAGCGGATGGTTTGTAAGTGGCTTTTCTGAGAGCCATGTATAATTGATAATTGAGCTTCTTGTTTTCTGCAATATCGTCTCTGACGCGATCAAGCAAGACAAGAGAGAAAAATCTATAAGAAAGAGACGATACATCAGTATATTGGTGAAAACGTAGTTAAAAAAGTGAACCATCTAGTATATGCTTACTTGGGGACTTGCTTGGCCTTCAAATTGGACACAAAAACTCGTGTAGCTTGATATGTAGCATGAGGAGTCCAATCCTCAGGTCGTGTCAGATAAAGAATCTCTTCCCAGTTTCCAAGTGATGGTATAATTTTGAAAGCTTTGGGCGTTTTTCCTGACTTGTACCGACTGAGAAGGGTTCCAACTCTTTATAACAATTACAGAGGTTATTATCGCCGCCTACCGTTGATGACACAGATTGACATAGCGTAGCGTTTTGTATGACAATACTTACTTGGTATATGCCTCAACAACCTTTGGGTCCAAGCCTAATGGTGCAATATCTAAATCCTCTAATTAAAAGCAAAATGGTAAGCAAACCAATCATCTCCTTGTATGCAAGGACATTCAGAGGATATGCAACTAACCTTCACCGTTCATCTCCAGGTTGCCAGAATCAGCAGCAGTTTTTGCTTCAATCTTCTGCATAATCAAATCTGCAAGTGTCTTCTGAGCACGTGGAGCTGATGGCATGAATTTGCTCATGATCTCTGCATCCGCTTCGTCGACTTCAACTTCCTCATATTCCACTTCATTATCGCTGTAGTTGTCATATTCTTCATCACTAGCTTCCATAACAGACTTTGCGAATTGTGAAACTTGTGATGGTTGTGATTCGGATGCACTAAGAGGAGTTCAGTGTGTTACTCAAAGCTGAAGAGAGAACTATTGCAATCTATTTGCTTACCCTTTCGAGCCTTCAAGATCGGCTTGTTGTTCTTTTGCGATCTTCAAAATTTTCTTTGACATCTTAGCATCAAGATATCCGTCACCCTAGCAAATAATCGCAATGAGAACACATTCTTTGACGGCATTACATTTTTCTTTCCTCTGAAAGTACCTCTTCGTCATCGTCACCTTTCTTGCTTCGATCTACAAATTTTTGTCTTGGTTGCTTTCGGATCGGCGCGTGAGTGAAGTCGTTCTCCTCGTTGATTTGGACGTGGAGAGGATCATGGCGTTGTGGTTGGTTCTTCTTATGCTTATCTTTTGCCATGTTGGATATACTTGTGGTCTGTTCAGTGTTTTCGAACAGAATGAGCTTGTGGATTATAGGTTCCTACAAAAAAAAAAAAAAAAAGATTGGGATTGAATCAAAAACGTGACCTGAAATTAAAGCAGTCATTCAAGAAGCTGGTTGCCTGGAGACGGAAGGTTGACAGTATCTTTCGTCTGCGCAACTGACAACAATACGAAAAGTGCGAGGACTTTAACAAAATCAAATTGCATAGGCAGAACTTGAAAGGATGTGGCAAATACATCCAATCATCAGGTTTCTCATGTCAATTATCAGTTAGTTTTCCCACTGCCATTTCCCTGGATAAAAGTCAGCCAAACTTAAAATAAGCTAGGCTTAGGCTTTGCCAAGTATCGCTGGTGATTTTTGTGAAAATAAAGTGATGATCCTCATGCTCAGTACGTTTCCGGCAAAAACAAATGTAAGTATCGGACAAGCTTCACCGAGGAAACCAGTCCTGGCCGATGAGTTATAACCTCACCACTCATTTAACGAGAAGAGCCGAGAAGCTACATCTGAGGTATTCAATAGTTGATGAAGCGAATCAAGCCGAATACTTGAGCAGAAAAAGACGTACGATCAAAATCACCCAGTTTGTACATTCATAAATCAGCCCTCTCTTTTACTGCAAACCAAAGGTGTAGACTGAAATCACTTCCAGGGACATTTCGATCATATTGATTTTCACCTTTTTACTCTCATAATGATATCTTCTTGCTCCTCAACATATTTCAAATATAAACTGGTACTCTTGCTGGGCGAAGGAGGACAGAACACTATGATATATGGTACTGTTAGGTATCGACAGATGTTGGCAAGCTTTGCAAATTTTGAGACAACCTCTTTTTTCAAGTGAGCATTCATTGAGCTTCATTGTGCAGTGAAGCTTTTCGAAATCGTAAGGTAAAGGTATCTGAAGTCGTACAGCACCACTGTCGTCGACCGACGACGGTGATCCGCCCAATTTCTTAAAATAACATACGCTCATAATATATTATTTTTTACGACCATCAGTACGTTTTAGTGAGTTTGAGAATTCGGGGCAAATTGAGACTGAAAAAAAAAAATATCTATTGGGTTCTAAAGAGCATCTATGTTGTTCTTTGCTTTGAAAAAAACGTGTATGTATGGCGCTGGTTTACCACAGTATGTCCACATATCTAGTGTGATAAAACTTAGTAATTTTGGTCACGACGATAGCTTGGACGGAGTTTACATATAGAACGCTTTGGAAGTTGCTTGCTTTGCCAGTCTACTATGTCGCACCAAAGCACTTGCGCGATATTCGCCTTGAAGGAATGTCAGGTCTATGATACATAATACTTCTAATGCATTCTATATCAATCGATAGCGTTCGTTAAGGTGGCGGTTAGTTGTTCTTCGCCTTTCAGAGTTATTCTCAAACATTCGATGAAATAGGACAAAAGCGGGTTCTACAATGAGATGAACTCCCGTTTACTTTATTCGGATACTTCTGCAATTATGATGCCCAATGCATTCCGATTATTTGGTAAACGTACTGGAACAGAGGCGTTCCTTGGTAGCCGCTTATGAGGCATACTTCGCTCTTCAAACACTAAATATGAAACCTTACGATAAATGTGACTAGATGTATGTGCTAGAGAATACGTTGAAAATACGCTACTACGACCGTTGTCGCTGGCAAATACTTTGGCTAGATAATATGTACGTGCTGTAGTTTTTTGCCGACTTTAGTAATCCCAGTCATGATAACTTTAAAAAAATTCAAAATCAATATAGATACATTGTTCTCAGTCGCAATAAACGTAGGACATGCGGGCGTTGTAATAATATCTCAATGCACAGAAGTTCCTCGAATTTTCTATCACAATCCTTGCCAAACGCTTTCTATATGTTCTCTAAGGAAACGGTGAAAGCCAGTAATATCAATCGGCAAATAGGGACTGGCGGCAAGAATAGAAATTCAAGTGATTAAAAAAATAAATGCGAACATGTGGTTTAGTTTGGAACAAATGTTATGTTTTTTATTGGAAAGCACTTCAGTGCTGTACAGAAAAAGAGTAGATAATCAATCGTATATGCACGAATTTAAGATAACTCTACTCTACCGCATTATTCGATTTATTTGGCATAGCCATAGAATTTCCTATTTTTTCTTTCCTTCGTCGCTATTTTCTAAATTAAAATGGAAGACATGAGAAGACTCAAGAGTTTCATTCGCGTCCCAATTAACCGAGTCGTGGCGATTATTCGCTACTACATTTTCTTTGAAATTCTACTTTGAGTTTTATCGCGCAACTTGCAGAACAAATATGATGTTCCGTATATTGTTAGAGTTTCTCTTATTTTCTATAACACTAACTAATACGGAGCCGGAGCCTTGAATCAGTTGAACCAATTCATTTATGCAAAATCTACAGAAATTTCGAGAACAAGAAGCTGGAGACCAACACTATAGCTTTGGCATAGTTCTAGAAATGAGGTATTCATTTTAATGTAAAGGGACATGGTGGGTCCATCATCGGACATGGAGATTAAATTGCCATATTCATCAATGAAGTAGATGCATTCGTACTTCCTAGATTATGACATAAAGACATGGATAGATTTACTATCATCATTTATTGTTGGCCAGATATTATATTACGATTGCCTAAGCTTTACTGCCTGCTTTACCGTACTCTCATCTGAGCTCCAGTACGCTCGGAACTGTATCAAGACGCTAAAAATTGAAAGATGGTGTCTCATATTCCGTAAGCTATACCCAAAACATCAATTGAGTATTTTCATGCAAGCGCAAAACATAGTATGTGTTGCTCGGTGGGATTGTATTAGTCAAAGGTGATGTTGTACCCTTTCATTTTTCGGTTCTCAGCATAGCATATTCGTGAACTCCGTCTTCCAAGCCACCAAAAACGCGGACTTATTACGATGGTGGAAAAAAAACATAGCTGATATCCCGAAGTAGATATTTCTCAGACATGCGATCTGAACCCAGCCAAGTGTCTGCTCAATGTCCACAAAATTACTTCTGTCAGGTTCTTTACATTTTTCCCTAGTTTACAACCGGAAAGCAGTCCTTGGACACTGTCATTCTTGTGCGGATTTTCTGGGCGCGCACTATCCTCCATTTGGCCCTGCGAAATCATACGATTTTTAAAGTTTGCGAGCATACATAGTCCATGAGAGACTAGCTATGGGCAGCTATCAATCAAACTACTTCAGTGTCTAATTCAAAGTAACTCAAAAGAACAATTCACATTTCGGACGATTTGTGGACAGTTTTTTTTGGAAGCAGTGGTCAAGCTAAGACCACTAGTGATTATATTGAAAACATTTTTTGCTGAGTATGTACAAGGTGGCAGTTGGGTGATCTACAAGAACGTAAGACAAGAAACTAATAAGAAGAATTATGGTATGGCTATGAACAAGAAGAAACAGTATGTGACAATGTGGGTTTGTTTGCAAGAACAGGTTTGCTGCAGCAAGGGTAATACAGCGTTCATGAAAAGTTATTAGATGGTGATGAACAGGGCGATGATGAGATAGAAGGAGATTGATGAGACAAGCTGCTTGGCACGCCTATGGAGTTCAGTTCTGGAGTGCTTGGTTCACCCACAGAGGGTGATTGGGGTGGCATGTAGCTGTTGCTTGCCATTGAGACGGGTGTTGCTTGGTCACCATAGTTAAGGAACATGGACTCTTGTGCAATAAGGGCAGTAAGGCGTGCCTTGATATCATTTGCTACTCGCCATGCATCCCAAACGTCTCTTCGGAAACTTGTTATGCGTTCAATGCGAACAGAGCCTGAAGACTCCATTTTAGTAAGGACGAATAGTAGTACTTTGCAAAGTCTTGTAAATTTTTCAAATGTGGTGTCGAGATAGTGCCGAATACTGTTTAAAAATTGTTCGGCTGTCTCCTTCTGGTTGTCTTGTCCATGAGTCAAGTTGTTCTGTCGCAACATAGACATGCGCAAAGATGGTGAAACGTTTGCACTGAAGGCTTGGAGCTCTTTGACGATTGTCTTGGCTTGATATAAACAGCGGGAAAATTCGATGAAAGCCTGGTCGTTGCCGGCTGATAGAGTTGGAGTTCTCATAATGGCTCTGTGATGCCGAGGCATAGAGTGGGTGTGAATGCTTTGTGATCTTGACAGGAATTTTTCCATATCAGGCGATTTTGGTTTATGTGGTTGGTTATTTGGATGATGGGGGTTGTTGTCTGCCATGTCGAAATGTGGGAGTATATATAGGACCAAGGCAGGCAAAGAAGTTGAGAGAAACGATTTGTGTTTCAAAATTTCAGTTGTTCGGAAGTTGAAAACGATTCGGATTTTGATTGGTTTGATTTTTTGGTATTCTTTCGCCTTCTTCTCTTCAGATCCATTGTCACGTTATCACGTTATTTTTGATGACTTTTTGAGGCTTCAGTCCACAGTTTACCCTCCGTTTGCCCACCCAGACAATGAAAGTTTGGAGTCGGCTCCACTCATAAGAGTTTCAATTTCTATTTCACAAAAAAAATTTGCAATATACCAGATATTAGATAGCTGGAATCATTCAAGAAGGAATGATTCAGGTAAGGACTTCGAAAACGTATTACAGCCACACTTGCAAAAATGACGTTCCAAGCTCATGCTATATTGGACAACTTTCTCCCAGCCTGCTGGTAAAAACCGCCAGGGACCAACCGAACAATTTCGAAGTTACCATAATAGATAATTTTTGCTTGAGGTACTAATGTTTATTTCTGGAACGAATCTATGTTTCCTTCTCAAGATATTCTTTGCATTCTTTTCGACTTTTCTTGACGTCTACCATAATCAGAAGGAAGGAACTTAAAATGCCTAAACCTAGCAGAAATGCGAATGGCATGTTATCGTTGCCACTGCGATCAATGATAGCTGAAGACACAAATGGTCCTATGAAAGAAGATGTTTTGCCAATGATGGAAAACAATGCAAAGAATAAAAACTCTTTGCCTTTAGGAACCACCTCGGATATCATTGTTTGGGAATATGAATACCATCTAAAATTAATGCAACGGTTAATTATGGATCAGAACAATAAGCAAACGTCACAGTGATGAACTTACGGGCAGACAAAGAATCCGTAAAATGCCTATACGAAATTGTGGTACCGTTTTAGTGACAAAAAGAACGATTTCTCAAGCATAGTTCGATTGTTTTGAAATACATACCTGGTACACCCAGACTTCCCATACATTTTTGAATCCAAAGTTATCTAACCAGATACCAAGGAATCCCCAGCCGTCCAGCAGCAAACTGATAAAAACAATTTAAAGGAGATCAGCTTACTGCAGTTCGATCTCTCAAATCGGGTATTTCAGCCACCAAACGACTTACATGAAAACAACATTGACTAAGAGCATGGTTTTGGTATTGATCTTGAACTTTTTCTGAATGATCCAGAACACGTAAGAGCCAACAGCGGAAGCAAAGATTCCAACGATCAAAAGTAGGGTCAGTTGGAGTGTAGAGTAGGACACAATGGAGCTATTGGCAAGTGATATAAATGGATATGTTTAGTGAACGAGCCTCTCCCTCCCGCTAGTTTTTTCTTTTAGCACCCATAATAAATGCACCATATTCTGCTTACTTTTGAAGTGTACCGACAACTGTAACAGTGGTGTTCAGAGTGTCTCCCATCAAAAAGTAAAATATCAAATACAGGACTATAACGTGGAGAAATTAGTTGGGTCGGAGACCACTTTAGCACACGTTTTGTAACACACTTACATGTTTGCTTTAACTTTAGACATTCCTTCAACGCATACCATACGTTCTTACAGGCTACGGTGAAGTAATTGGATCCAGCCGGTAACGCCTTTCCTGGCCTGTGCTTTTCGAGAACGAACCATGGAATGGCGCATATGATCCAGCAAGCAGCAGAAAATGCAATCAAAATACTGAATGCTTTCGTGTTTTGTTCAACGCCTGCATCTGAATTGACGGCCTTCAAGATGCCCACCATAATAGCTAAAATAATGACTTCTCCAGCGTTGCAAACCACAAAAGACATGTTGGATATCCGATTACGTGACATGACATCCAGCGTTTCATGCTCTTGCATATCCTTTTCTCCCGCCAGTAACTGCTTCTCACTCTCCATCATCTCTGGCAAATCCCTAGCCAGTTGAGGGAAGGCTGCAGTCCAGAATGTCAGTGCACCTTGGTAGGCTATAAGGCCAAGGATGTACAACACAGCACCGGTTTGCCATTTGTCGGGGGTTTCAACACCCAGCCAGCCAAATGATATACCCCAAGCCAGAACTGTAAAGGATATTGTGATCCAGGGTCTCCACGATCCATAGTCCGCAAATGAACCGATGAGGAGAAACATGCCAGCTTGAATGGCAAATGATATACCATTGCAGAGTAGAACAATAGAGTTGATATCACGAACTTGACCTGCAAATGGGCCAAGCATGCATGGCTCACTGCTATTACATGGTTGACTAGGATCGCTAGCACTCCATCCTGCCAAAGCTGCGGTGATAAAATTAAGCGTGAGTCAGTGCCTTCCAGGCAGGGATTGATCTCCCGCTTGATCAAACGTCTCCACTTACATAATAGATTTTGAAATTGCGACGGCTTTCAATTTTCCAATTGGGTTGTACGGCAAGACGTTACTAACTTTGTATGGGAACACACCGCTCCATCTGATCAAGAAGCTACACTTACCCCAAAATTAAAAGGACCAAGGCCTGATAAGCGGAGAAAAATAAAAATGAGCCATCTGAACCTTTTTTTGTATACCTTGTTTGCAGGAGCTCACTTACCGTTATTTCCAACATAATATGTATAGTAGGACCAGAGCTCTTTTCGAGTGGTGGCAAAGCGTACATCATCATTACTTCCAGGCAGTCTACCACCGGGTAGCACATCAGCTGAAGGATTACTATCAAAGGTTCCTAGCTCGAGACCGGTAGCCTCGTCTTGCTTGTTCATGGTCAGATCGGTCGTTTTCTCTGTATTTGATATGGCATCGATGGACTTGGACCTCTCATCTCTTTTGTCCTGTGGGGCGTCCATAGCAGTCAAATCTACAAAGTTTAGATTAGAAGGAAAAGTTACAACTGAAGTGACTATCGCATGCGAAGTAGTTTACAAAGTAGAGGTTTACGAGGAAGAAAGAGGTTGCTGTGTACCTTTTTTCATTCGAGCCGGATATCGTTAATCCGTCTCAGGAATTTTTTCCTTTGAAGGTCACTGAATTTTAACTGGCTGATGCTCGATATGGGCATTAAGCTTCCGCTTCACCACTTACATCATGTAATTGGATACTTCTTAATGTCTCAGTTTTACAAGAGACTTTGAAAAAGCGGCTCAAAGTCTCATTAACATGATCAATTGCAATGAGGGATCCTGATATGAACATGGAACACATGGTTTGAAACAATGGTCTTTAGAGTGAAATAAATTTCCTTCAAGTCAACGTCGGTGCCGGGAAACACTGGGTATCAAAGTGGATAAAAGAAAATGTTTCTTTATTTCTTATCATAAAATCAAAACAAAAAAGTATGATTTGTATTTACAAAAGGGGATTTTGGGGTGAAAAGCATATAAATGGGTGAATGAAAGAAGAAAAGGCAGAATGGGTTGAAAAAGCTAAATGTAAATATATCAGAAGCATTGATGTAAAATTTAGTTTTTGCTTCTAATGGCAGTGATGATACATGGTTTTGAAAATGAAGGACTGAAAATAATGTACGAAAGAAGGTGTACAATGAAGAAAAAAAAAAACAAGTAAAAATTCGTAAAGCAATTGGAAATGGTTTTAACAATGGAATGGGAAGCAATTAATAATCATGAGCGGCGACTTCGTGTCTTTTGTCACAACCTATGAAACCAGTTCACGGTGAACTAACACCGGCTGAGGATGGAGCAGATGAAGGGTTGGACTGTGTATTGGAGAGAGCCAATACTGATTGACCAGCAAGTTTCTTGCCTTTGAGCATATTTTTCAATGCCCTTAGTGCGAAGACGGTCAATCCAATACCGGCCCAGTCTTCATCGTGAAGATCACGGAGGTCGCCTACAGTCATGATGTCTTGATTTTGGAGCTTTTTAATCCATTCCGTGGCCTTGTCCATATTCCGATGAGTAGCAATGGCACAATCTCGAACGAACACATCAATATCAGTATCATCAGCATATTCTGTAAATGCAAAGGGTTATGTTAATGTGATTGCTCAGGCGGATTGTGAATATGTCTGAATAGCCCGAGTGCTATACCTTCTAAAATGCGAGATACCAAAGCTTCTCTCAACGCTCCGGCATCCTTCTCTTTCAACTCCATGTCATGCTCTGATGGCGAGAGGCTAGCACTTCTTGAGAGCGAAGCTTCCGAGATAGGTACGTCCATAAAATGGATTCCATTGGTAGTGGCATACTGTTTTGGAGATCCAGGAGGTGATATGACAGTGGTGGCAGTGGACTGAGAATGGTGTTCTTCGCTATCAGAGTGATGAGCACTGCTAGCAACACTACTGGCAGTACCAGCATAGGCATGATGAGGGGCTTCCAGCGCTCGCTCTTGATCCCGTAATTGTCTAACAGCATCTCTGTATTTGTTTTCAGAATGGATGGCTTGAAGCTCCAAAGATTCGCATCGTTTTTCAATATCCACCAAGTGCTCGTTGGCCATAGCCAAACCTTGTCTTGCATCTTCCAATTCAGAGCGAATATCACTTTCTCGTCTCCAAACAGATCTTCGAACCTGATCTGCCTGCTCTGATTCAGATGGCTTATCCAAGTCACGCAGGATGCGGTTAATTTCTTTGGTTATATGGTGCTGGTATCTTTCGGGTAGGACTTGTTCATCAATCTGAAAAAAAAGCAGTCAGCATGTCAAGTAGTGAGAATGGCTATACAGAGGTTTGAAATCCACCATCAGCTTACCATTTCCCGAACAACTTCTTCGGCAGTATCAGTTTCGGCATTGAATTCAAACTTGACTGAGAGTTTGTCCATTCCTTTGAATACAACTTGCAGTGTCAGGTTGACATGGGTGGGGTCTGCAGCCAACAAAACGACATCGGGTTCGACGGCCAAAAAGGAGTGCTCAAGTATTTCTTGAGCTGACATTCTGTAACATTTAATGCCAGTCAGTACGTGCATAGACAAAGTTTGCAACATGGTAAGGAAAAATTTCACGGACCTTTCCTCTTCTGGTCCGAGACAATTCTGAATCACAACAAGGACCTCGGATTTCTGTATTCGCTTGAGACATTCAGGTTTGATGCCCTATGAGGGAAATAACGAAATTGAGAATTAAGCATGACAGGTACATGTATCAGATACAACGTGGGACGAGCGAAAGTGATCACTTACAGATGTCACCTTCTTGTAAATTTGTGCGGCATTTCTGCATTCATTGTATGGATATTCGCCTAAAATACAGTTGATATCAGTACATTGGTCTAATTTCATCCAAAAAAAATATAGTAGCAATTACCTGTTGCCATTTCTAAAAGGCACATGCCGAAGGCATAGATATCAACCTTTTCGGTATAACCTTGCTCTTCATACATCTCGGGAGCCATGAATTCTGGTGTACCAATGACTGTATATCGTTTGGCAGTACTCATAAAGGTCGATCTTTCGACAGCATTGGCATCGGCTGAACCAAGGTCACCAATTTTGACTTCACCATGTGCACCGTTGATGAAAATATTGTCGCACTTGATGTCACGGTGGATGATGGCAGGCTCATGTCCATGAAGGTAAGCCAAGCCTTTCAAAATTTGACGAGACCACCGCTTGACAATCTTGATATTTGGTAAGGATAACTTGCGAATATACTCCCGCAAAGTACCCGAAGTCATTAACTCCGTTACGAAGACAAATTCATTGTTGCTATACCATGCGTCGTGGAAAGCGATAATATTTGGATGGCGTACGGATTTGAGGATCTCAATTTCGTGCTCAAGATCATGATGATCTATAGATGGCATTGCCTATCATGTAAAACAAAAAGATTATTCAGCTGTCCAGGTAAAATCCTTTTTTTTTTTTTTTGTTGGGGTAGACTTTGGCAATATAGAAGGATGCTAACCTGAATAGTATTCCAAGCTACTTCATAGCCTTCTTCTCTGTCAATGGCTTTGTATACCACCTTATATGCACCTTTACCTAAGAGAGCATTTAATCTGGCAAAACGTTCGTTAGGGGAGACTTCGACAACCTTTTCAGAATCGTGAGCTCTTGAGTGATCTATGACTTCGTTTGTTTGCGACATTGACAGTCTTCCATATTGATCGTAGGTGGGTTGCTGGGTTGATGAAAAGGAAGATGACAAGCGAGTTGGGTAGTTTTGATACGAATGGCCGGACGAGGTGGCTGTCGATGGCGTATAAGATGCGGACGTCGGCGCACTTGATAGCTTTTTTGGATCTTGAATCGAAACCCTCAAAGGTTCATGGTCATTCTTTTGGGACGACACCATAGAACGATAGCGCTGTTGCTGCAAAATTTGAGCTTCGCTGTAAGTTTTGGACAGCGGTGCGTAATAATTATTGAACGCAGGAGGTTCTTCTTCGCTAACGTATCCTGTTTTCTGCTCTTGACTAGATATTTCAGACATGGCAGAGGAGGTTGCGTATTGCAGAGTATATAAAGTATATAGACGAAGGTAGATGGAGTAATATATAAAAGAAAAAGTGGGGTGTGTGTGCTGAAGGTTGTAAGGATTTGAAGTAAATGAAAATAGGGAGCACAAAGCGTTGATTCAGAGAAAGAGATAAACTCTCCAAACTCTAGGCAATTGGGTAGTGCACAAGATCAAATGGCGTGAAGCTGGTTTTCTACAGTGATGACCGATCCATGAACTGGGAGGGTGACAAAGCGAGGTGGTCTCGGTTCTGACAAAGACAGGAAAAATTCTAAGCCACCAAAGTCTTAGCTTGGAAAAACCCTAAAATGTGTCTCTTGCCGCACACCGGCAATAAAATCAGTTAGGTAATTCTACGACTTTTTTGGTTTGAGTTGAGCGATGAGTTGTATTTTATTTACAAAATGGAGTTTGCTGGTGATAATGTTATTGGAGAAATTAGTAATAAAAAAAAAAAACGGACAGAGTTTTGGGGGGGGGGGAAAAAAGTGAGGGTAAATAGCCCTACGACGACGACGATGAAGGGTTGGAACCAAAGATATAAGATTTTGCCCACTGCACGACATTGCCAACTACTGTTGCACTCTCGCTGGGGTTTTGGTGGTTTCCCATTTGGTAAGCAAGCGTTCTTAGTCGCTCTGCAGCATCGCCTTCTTCTATAGTGGAGTTTGGTTCATTAAAAAATAGAGTTGGAGGTTCCATATCATCATCGTCCTCAAAATGGTCTTGCTGATAATTTATATCCCGGTATTGGTAATCATTGTCTTGTTCTTCTTCTTCGTCACTGTCTGCTGCCCCAAGATCCCAAGCAGCCCAATCGTAGTTTTGTATTAAATCATCATCCATATCTCTACTTCGACCCTGGTTGGCTGCGTCATATTCCACGGTTCCTGATTGGCCGATCCATTGAATAGGTTGTTGCTTGTTGAGACGCAAATCATAGGAGCCTACGCTGCTGGTATCGCTGTCTGCCCCAAAGTCACCAGGAGCTTGACGTTTGAGTCGTGTGGGCTCAATTTTCATGATGCTTGGCGTTGAACTACTTCGTTTGGTGACATTTAATACTATGACGTCGTCATCTTCATACAGGCCTTCTTGATGTGGGCTGCTGACTGCTTCTCCTTGCGTGTCAGTGGTATTAAGTTCATCGTCTTCTTCTTCGTTGTCTGACAAAGCAATACACTGTTCCACATAACTATTGAATCGGAGCTTTGGCTGGCGATGAGTGGCTAAAACTTCTGGCGATACAGCATTCACACGATTGTTCTGATCTGTCAATGATAGTTCTGACGTGCGCTTGGGCTGATCTACCAAGAGTACACGGGTTGTCTTTGGAGGTGGTCTTCGTAGATAATCAGATACAGAACGCTTTTTAAGGGCAGGCTTGAGAATTTTTTTGGCTGGGTTGAGACCTTTAATTGGAGTTGAAGCGTTCATAAGGCCAAGCTTATCATGTGTTGATGATTCCTTAGGTTTAGAATACTTGTCATCTTGCTTGACAACTGTGTGTAAGGGTCCATAGAGCCAGGTGACATCGCTATCTTTGAGCCTGTCAAAGGTAAAGGTAACAAGGAAAATGTTACGATAAGGGCTACCCGAGAATGATAAGATATATCTTTAGAAAAATACTTACCAGTTCAGGGTCTGCGGACTGACCGTCTTCAGATTGCCTTTCTGTTTAGCCCAGGTGCGCCAAGATGCGTTTTCCAGACGAATGCCGTTAACCACTGACTTCTTTTGCTTTGTCATGACCCTCCAGGATGCAGCAAGATCCATTTCGTCAAATTTATAAGACAGATAGTCTACACATATCTCCGGACCTAATATACTACCACCTGACGGCGAGTCCATATCATCATTGATGGCTGGACGTGCCATGATGGATGTAATGGTTGTATGGATTGTAGAAAAAATAAAAAGGTTGCGTAAAAAAAAATGACAATTCAAAGATTCACATTTCCTAAGTGACTTTGATTTCCAAAAATATCATTTACGAAAATTGGTTGGGCACCAATTGAAGGTTGGCAGCTTGCTGGAACAAAATTGTGTGCGTTCACCATGTTATTTCTGGGAACACGTCAAATGCATTTGGTTGTCAGACCATTGTCTACCGTGAAAACTTCTCTTTTCTATTCCACTTCTTCACATGTTCCAGCCAGGGCTATGGTTTACGCACAATACGGTAAACCCTCAGAGGTGTTGAGGTAAAGAACGTGGATACTACTATGCAAAAATCTGTCTGGGTTGTTTCTTAATACCTATTTTCTTATGCCTTTGCATAGAGTGCATAAGCACGCATTGCCCGATATAAAGCCACAGGATGTCCATATTCGCTTTCTAGCCGCCCCTATAAACCCTGCTGACTGCAATCAAGTTGAAGGCGTCTATCCCATCAAGCCGCCATTCAATACGTCACTTGGCAGTGATGAGCCAGTCGCTGTAGGAGGCAATGAAGGCGTGGCAGAAGTCATTGCTCTAGGTGACCAAGTGAAAGGCTTCAATGTGGGCGATAAAGTAGTCATGGCTCAGGCAGGAAGAGGCACCTGGAGGACCCATGCAGCTCTGCCCGCGTCCGAAGTGCAGCTTTTGCCGGGATTCAACAACCAAGTCAGCCTGGTTCATGCCGCTACTCTAACTGTCAACCCGTCGACAGCCTATCGCATGTTGAACGATTTTGTTGAACTGAAAGAAGGCAAGTACGCCAAATTTATGCTGAATTGCACATCTGCATATAAATGTTGACAAAGTGGAAAAACAATAGGGGATTATGTCATACAGAATGGCGCCAATAGTGCAGTTGGACAATTCGTCATCCAGATCGCTCATGCCTGGGGGCTAAAGACGATCAACGTTGTGCGTGATCGACCTAACCTAGATGAGCTGAAAGAATATCTCACATCTTTGGGTGCCACGCATATTCTGACGGAAGAAGAACTAAGTAAGCGGGAGACAAGATCCAAGTTGAAAGGTTGGCTCGATGGCAGAAAGCTTCGCTTAGCGCTCAACTGTGTTGGCGGAAAAAATGCCACAGAATTAGGACGATACCTAGAGTAAGTGATAAAAATCCACTCACTAGAGCGAACCAAGTACTAACCGTCTATCATCATGTAGCCATGAAGGAAAGCATGTTACCTATGGAGCTATGTCTAAGCAGCCCATGGCTGTACCTGCAGCCCCTTTGATTTTCAAAGATGTGTCATACCACGGATTCTGGGTATCACGATGGACAGACACACATAGCAGACAAGAAAGGGAAGCCATGTTTGGCGATCTGATCGATCTCATCAAACAAGGAAAGTTACGTGAGCCTGTGTGGGAGAAGGTTTCTTGGAAGCTCAATGCATCGGAACAAGAAATCGAGACTGCATTCAAAGAAGCAGTGGATAAGGGAATCACTGGCTTTGGTAAAGGCAAGCAGATCGTCTTCTTTGAGGACTAGATGTTCATAGAGGCACTGTACAGAGACGTTTTTATAAATAAACGCTATCCTATTCTACAATGTGTTGCAAGCGATAGACAATTACCTAGAGCACTTTGCTATATGATAACGAGCCTACATCAACTGTGTCCATTTGCCATGTATGGTGACTTCAAGCCTCAATATTTATTCATCAAAGGTTTCCTACTACTTCAGAGATTCGACTGTTCTTTTTCTCGACAAGTTGATACATTTGAGCTAAATGGTCATTTATTAAACGCAGATCAGGTAGGCTGGGGCTACCACAAAGGAGCATTCAAGAAAAAAGTATGTTTGGAGAGTGGACACGCACATGGGCTTGGGATATATAGAACTGAGAAGAAAGTTAAGAAAAAGAGTTGTGAATGGAAGATTGAACTGATGAATCACAAGGTTGCTTTTCTTGTATGAAACAACGTTAGATTGAAGTGGTAAAAAACGAAGAAATAGTATAAGAAAAGAGGATAAAACGAAATAAGAAAAAACAGGCAAAGAAGTAGAACGAGCAACAAAAGAGAAAAGGGAACTGGTTTCAACTTGTTATGTTACATGTGCAGAACAAAATAGGGTTGAATAATTAAAAGGAAAAAAAAGGAAAAACGTTTGAAAAGAAGAAGTATCGAAAAAGAAAAAGAGGATAAACGCGATAACCATGGTCATTCCGCTAACTCTTGCGCTCAGCGATATGCACAATTAGAATGTCTCGTCATAGTGCACCTGTGATGATGCCATCCTATGGTATGATCGGGAAGTAGTGGGAACTGGAGGCAGTGTTCTGTTCTGGTGATCATTGGTAGCCTCCCAATTGTTGTTAGGATCCACAGCGGAGGCTTCCTGTAAGTACGAAGATATTCCGTCATGATAGGAAGGAGGGGTCATGAATTGCTGTGTGCTTTGGGGTACAAGGTTGCTTGTAGATGACATGTTGGTAGTCTTGGCTTGACTACGTAAAACTCGACTTGAGCCTAATCAATTAGCATATATTATGTTAGAAAAAGGAACTGTAACGCTGAAAAAGTTTCGATTGAAAACTATGACTGTACATACCTGCGGCTTTGTCGTCACGTAAAGCTCGTGCATTTGGCGAGCTGCTATAGCCATATCCACTCATAAGGTTATAGTCATGTGAAGAAGACGGAACTTGTTGTGGTTGCTGTCGATGGTGATGGTGCTGCATACCTGCTATAGAAGAATGTTGTTGTTGCAATAGCTTTTGCTGCTGTTGTTGATATTGTAACATGACATCGTCCAATTGCCGGGATTGCTCCGGCGTTTTTGGTTCCAACGTTCTATAGGGTTGTACACGATGAGCAGTAGCGCTTGAAGGAAGGACGGGAGGAATCATTGTTCGTCGTGGTGGAGGTTGTTGTAGTGGTAAAGGAGAGGATTCGTGGGAAGGTGGTAAAGCGGCCATGCTTGAGATCATTGGATCCAACCCCAGTGAGGAATTGGACTCCAAATGTGCCTGGGATTTCTTTTCCTGCTAAGAAATGCCCTCGCGAATTAACATCTCTTCCTTTCTCAGCATGCCTGTCATTAGCAACTTACCATTTTCTTAATCGTCCAGTCAAAGACGTAGTCATATTGGAAGCCCTCTCGTACAAACAAATCTCGGAATAGTTTACGAAGGTAGCTGTAGTCGGGCTTATCATCAAATCGCAAAGAACGTATACAGTTGAGGTATAAAGCGAATTCTGGATGTAGACCACGACAAAGTTGCTCCGAAGGTGTTGTCATCTTCTTTTCCATGATTTTATCATATTTTTCTTTCTTAGTTTTGGCTCGAATGCCTTGCCATGGCAATGAACCTCGGCAAAAGTAGATCAAGATGTAGCCGAGAGATTCCAAGTCATCACGTCTTGATTGCTCTATTGACATCCAGTTAGATATATCCATTGTAGCAAAAAAAGGAAAGGAAGTTGACATTGATCTTACCAATACCAAGGTGAGTGTTAACACTCGCATATCTAGGTGTCCCAGTGAGATTCTTGTTCTCCTTGTAGGGTATATGTGCATTGGTTTTGGGGTCACGGTATCTCTTTGCCAAGCCAAAATCAATCATATTGACTTGGTTGCCACGTTTACCAACTCCCATGAGGAAGTTGTCTGGTTTAATATCCCGATGAATGAAGCCTTTGGAATGACAGTATTCGACACGGGAGAGCTAAAGGAGAGAAACGAGGTCAAAAACTGGGTCAAAAACCTTGAAGCCATCATGGGTCGGCTGAAGCGGCTATACATAGCATTATATGCTTACCAATTGATCAGCGAGAAGTAATACAGTTTTGAGTGAGAATCTTCGTTTGCAAAAGTTGAATAAATCTTCCATGGAAGGGCCCAAGAGGTCCATGACCATCACATTATGGTCAGACTCTCGCCCAAACCAACGAATGAATGGGATGCCCACTCCACCAGCTAGCGTTTTGTAAACACGAGCTTCGTATTCCAACTGAGGATGAGCAGCACGAACACTTTCTAGTTTGATAGCGACATCTTCACCATTGGTCGTATTTGTACCTAATGTTTGTGCAATGGAAGGTTTAGAAATGGTCATTGGCCGCAGTCAGGCTGAACACGCTGCCATAAGATGATGATAAGTAGATGTAGCGTACCCAGGTATATTTCTCCGAATGAACCAGCACCAATCTTCCTCCCTAGCTTGTACTTGTTTCCCACTCGAATTTCCATTGGAGATGAGCAATAAAAAGGGAGCAGAGAGCGGGGCGGATTTTTCTGGTGGCTGACTTTTCTTTGTGTGCAAAAATTTGATGAATTGCTGCTCAACACGAGTCCCAATGTTTCTGTTGCCGTTTTTAAGTCTCAGATGAATCGAATCGGTTCAAAGGAGCCGTTCGTAAAGAGGATGAATGCACCGGCTAATATACCGTTATACAATTCATTTAGGTGTGAGTTATTTTTTGTATTTATTTATTTTCATTTTATTATGATTATTTCTCTTTGTTTGATTCTCAACAGAAAGGGTGGAGGGATTTTTTTGCTTTCAGAAGTTATATCTACATATATTGAGCACAAAAAAGAAAAAAGGAAATGGAGGGCTTGAGAAGAAAAAACCCGATGTTTTTGTGCTTTGCCGAACTTTATGGAGAGAAAAAGAGGGGTTGTTGGCTTGATGTGGGGAGAAATCTAACGATCTTTTTCCACAAACAGTCTAGGTGCAATGTTCATAGCCATAAGCTCTTGGAACAATAGCTTGCAAGCATAGGGTATGTGAATTTGAGATACTTGAGTCTTGTTCTTACAAGCACGGCATTCAAAGCTGTTCTTCTTCAAATTGGCAATGGCCATCAATCCACAAATGTCGCAAACATGCACACGGTAGGCATCCGAAGCATCGAAGAGACGTTCCTAGAAGCGAAGAGGTTTAGTTTAGTGGCATGCAAACGAGTAAAACGCAAGGCATGTAAAGTGGCTCACCTTCAAAAATTGAGCAACGCCGTGAGATATCATACTACAATGGAGGAGGAGCCATTATTCAATTAATGGAGTCAAACATCACGTTTTCATCATTCAAAAATATACATACCAATCACGTTCCATTTCACCGAAACGTAAACCACCATCTCTTGAACGACCTTCCACAGGTTGTCGAGTTAGGATTTGAACAGGACCACGAGCACGACTGTGAATTTTGTCGTCCACCATGTGCTTAAGTCGCTGGTAGTAAGTCGGTCCCAAGAAGACTTGAGCGGCCAATTTACGGCCGGTATGACCATTGTACATGACTTCAAAACCGCGCTGTTGGTAACCCTGCTCAGCCAAGGCTTGTGAAACTGCTTCAACCGTGACGTCCGTAAACGGTGTAGCATCACCTTCATTACCGGTCAATGTGGACACTTTTCCGAGAAGACACTCGACCAAATGCCCAATAGTCATACGAGAAGGAATGGCGTGGGGATTAATGATAATGTCAGGTGTAACACCTTCGCCAGAGAACGGCAAGTCTTCATGACGATATGTAATACCAATGGTACCCTTTTGACCGTGACGAGAAGCGAACTTGTCTCCCATTTGAGGGACACGAGTAGATCGTACACGTACTTTAACAAACTTGAGACCATCTTGATTGGTTGTGACCATGACTTGATCGACAATACCCGTTTCTGTGCTTCGTAATGGTGTGGAAGCATCTCGCTTATTGTGGCCCTTGGTTCGTTGACCAAGTTCTTCAGAGTCCGCAGGTATGGGTGCGGTCTTGCCAATAATAATGTCGTCTCCAGACACTCTCGTTCCAGGAGCAATAAGACCATCCTCTTCCAACTTTTCATAGGTACCATGCTTCAATCGCAAAGTGTTGTCTCGTGTAGGCTTCTCAAATTCTTCCATAAACATCATACCAGCCTTCTTCTCAGCATCCATGTAAGTTCGCAAAAACAAACTACGGAATAGACCACGATCAATACTACTTTGGTTCATAATGACGGAGTCTTCCTGATTGTATCCAGAGTAACACAAGATAGCGACAATAGCATTTTGTCCAGCAGGCAGTTCACGGAAACGCAAGAACTCCATTGAACGAGTGGTTGTGAGAGGCTTTTGAGGATAGTACAAAATATTGGCAAGGGTATCCATACGGACTTGATAGTTAGTGAGATAGACTCCCATAGCTTGTTTACCCATAGCAGATTGGTAGGTGTTACGAGGAGACTAAAAGCAAAAATGGTGCACAACAACGTGAGATGAATGAACTCCATATGATGCGCTATATCGTGGTTAAACTCAAATGCGATATTTACCTGATTGTGATCTGGGAAAGGAATAATACTGGCACAAATACCAAGAATCATACTGGGATGAATCTCGCAGTGCGTCCATGTATGCGAATAACCACTTTGTTGTGTCTTCAATCGGCTAGCGACATCACGATCACTTTGTAGCGGCTTACCGTACTCGGCCGAATATCTAGATTCGGCAAGATCTTCTGGTGTCATACAAATCATGGCTGTTTCTTCTTCTTCAGCATCAATGTATTCGATAATACCATCCGAAATCAGATCTTGCCATCTATAGTTCGAATCAGGATCTTGCAAGAGAGCGACATGGTCTTTGGTCAACTTGAGTTGTTGATCTTCAACAATGAAAAGTGGGCGACAGCATCGACCGGCATCTGTGTACATCCTCAATTCTTTTTCTCTGATATCGCGAACAATACTGACTTCGGGTGAGATATCCACTGAACGTCGCATCTGTTTCAACGATGTAATCAATTCACCAGGGTCGCGGTGAATACCAACCCAGACACCATTCACGAAAATCTTGGTGGCATCTGGTATATTGCTTGCGCTCAGCTCTTCTAAATTCTCCATAGCCCACTCTTCCAAGAACAGAATGAGAGGAGCGGCAGCAGAACCAACGGAAATGTAGGACATCAAGGCCAAATTCTTGACAAGACCACAAGCTTGACCTTCTGGAGTTTCTGCAGGGCATACCATACCCCAATGTGTGTTATGCAATTGACGTGGTTTAGCGATTTTTCCATCACGTCCAATTGGAGTATTACAACGACGCAAATGGGAAAGTGTGGAGGCAAATGTATAACGGTTAAGCACCTGAGATACACCTGCCTTGGACTGCATAGCCTTCTTTTGGTCACCCCAGTTACCCGTCGCCAACGAATATTTGAGACCATTGGTGATGGTGCTAGATTTGACTGCAAGCGTCAAGTTAAATTCTCTACTAGATTCGATACACTGGTTTGAAGATAAGGTGTGTTAAAGAAAAGAGGATGGTATAAGCATGAACCCATCTTTGCTGCCGAAATCTTACCTTTTGTAGATATTTTGCAACATCCTTCGTCAGCTTCTTGAACAACATCCTGAACAAACTTGCCATCAAGGGTCCAGCAAGATCCATACGCTTCTTGCCATAATGATCACGATCATCTAACTCTCGTCGTTCCAATGCAGCCAACAACAATCTGTGAATCATATAACCAAAGAAATATGACTTTCGAGTTTCGTTTTTGTATCCTGTTCCAACGTGAGGCAGCAGTTCCTTTTGCAGAATCTCGGTAGCATACTTGATACGCTTTTCTTTGGTGACACCAACTGTGGTACCACGCTTTCCAATGAAATCGAGGGCAACATCTTGGTCTTGAATGACAAAGGCTTCTTCGATACAAGGCTTGAGCATTTCCAACATTTCATAGTCATTTCTGTCGTAACAAATATGTTCTAGAACGTCACGATCAGCCACTTGTCCAAGGGCTCGGAAAACAATGACAATGGGAATGTCAGCGCGGATATAAGGAAGTGTCGCGCGAATGTATTGACCAGAAGCGCCTTTATCAGTAGTAGGACGTAGCATTTTGATATAGAGTGGAGAGGTGACCTTAGAGCCTTTCTCTACTGCAGATCGAATTTCCGCAGTAAAGCATGTATTGGATGGAGGTGCTTTGCTGAAAACGTAAACAGTATTTGTTGCCATTCGTTCCTGAGCAATCAACACTTTTTCGGAACCGTTAATGACAAAGTAACCACCCATATCGAAGGGACACTCGTTCAACTCGTGCATATCTGCCTCTGGCAAGGCGTGCAAAATACAATATGTCGATCGCAACATGATGGGGACCTAAACGGACAAAGTCAGCTAATGCCTGCATGAAGCATTGGATAGGTTGCTAGACAATATTACCTTGCCAATAAACACTTTGGACGCTATATTAGATTCAGCTTCATTCTCATCGTGGAACATGTCGTTGGGATTTGTTTTTCCGGCATTACGCGGGTCATTCGGGTTAGCAATTTGTGTGCGCTTATTCATATCCACATACAACGGTGAAGCATATCTAAAACAGGGCGCATTAGGACACCAAGTCAAGCAAAATGATTTAAAGGCGCGGTATAAATGAAAACATACGTTAAGTTACGAATACGTGCTTCCTGAGGGTACATGGGCTGTGCGCTACCATCCGCTTCCGTCATAGTAGGCTTGGAGAGATAAATCTGTCCGAAATCGATAATATAACGCTTCTGTACGCATATCTTAGCAAACTGAAAACACTCCCAAAACAACACGCAGCCATTTTTGGATACTTGCCGACATATCACTATCGCCTCCAACATGTTGCAACACCAAATCTGAACTTTCGTCGACCAGTTCTTGCATGGTATTTTGAACAAATTCGTCAAATGAATCGAGCTGTTGGCGTACAAGACCTTTTTCATCGAAAAAGGCGGTAATAACTGTCCAACAGTCCTCTTGACTGCAAAACGCGATTAACAGTTAGAGCGAATGCTCCTACCAACTTTCAGTAAAATGGCAATAAACAGTACCTAATAGGCTCCTCATCGATATACTCTTCTCCCTCGGGCAAGAAGTACTCTGATTGATCGGATTCGTAAAATCGAAGATGGCGGCAAAAGTGATTATTAATGATTGCGTCAAAACAGAGATTTTTTGAGTGAAAGTGGGTGATCATAATCGAACGCAAACGTTAGAATGGTGAAGCAATGGCATTCAGCACTCCTGCAATCACTAACCGTTCTCGTTCATCTGAAATTCTTCTTCCATGTTTGATGTACCCGAGCTAACGGTTGAAAGTAATGAAAGGTAGATTCACGCCGCAGCAAAAGAGGACTAGCAAATCTGCGAAGCTCAACAAAGAGTGAAAGAAAGTTTTCGTGTCTACTTTCTTATTTCGATTCGATCTGTTATCCCAAACTGCTTGAGTAGTCAGATCCTCCGGAGAACTCTGATCACGACGAGAGGTTGGATTGGGTTAAGTCTTCGACCTGACAAAACTGAAATTTGCCGCAATTTTAGAGAAAAGCACAGAAGATGTGACGTCGACAAAGCGGCCATTTAAAATTTCGGGTTGAGACCAATGCTGTTTGACGAAATCAGTTTGCTAGCACAAATAATACCCTCTACCACCATAATAAATGTCACAGCAATGGCAAGCATTTGTACGCCAATGGAATGAGCCATGCTGTTTGGACTACCAAAAGTTGAATGAAAAAGAGAACCATATGCTCAAAGAGCATCTTGTCAGCATTCTCGAGACTCAGGTTCGACCAAGTTTTCAGAAACACACGCATCCTGCTTTAGATAAACGACTACAAAACGGTCGATATGTCGACAAGTCCATGGATTTTGACTTTCATGAGAATCAAACGTGGAAGCAGATTGAAGTCTCTGGTTTTTCTGCAATTGACGTGATAGAATGGATAATTGAACGTGCATCGGTAAGTATTTCTGTTATCGACTTTTACATTGTTAAGCAGCAATTTGCTTCTAATACTGAACAAAATTAGGCAGAACAACTTCAGCCCGTGTATCATATGGTAGCTCCTCCTATTCTCATTGTTCTAGACGATTATGAATCAAACTATAAGCTGAGAGGAGTGCAATTAATCCAAGCTGTGTTGAGGAAAGTTGAACCAGTAACTCTACGACGATCTGGATTAGGAAATGTGTTTTTAGAGGTAAAACCTTCACTCGATTTATATAATTAGCCCATGGTGAAATCATTTAACCATGTACTTTTAGAGCCTATTCCAATGTCTTACATATGTTCATGGAGAGAGCGCGAATCCAAGACTTGTGGAGGCTTCATATAGTTGCTGTCGTGACCTCATCAATCTCTTGGAATCAGAAACGTCAAAAGAAAGAAGCCGGTTGTATGAAAAGCTGGTTGTGGAAGGGTTACTTCTTAGTCAAAGCTCAGAAATGCTGGACATTCAACTGATCAACATGAAGGAAGTCCCTCCTATTTTCAGCGAGTTAGGGATCATCAGTGTACAATACCTGAAGGTAAGCTATGCTTAATTTGAAATACTGTGCAGAATTGAAACTGAAACATTGCAATAGCCGATACTACAGCTCATATGTGAAAATCTGCAACGGCCGTATTCCAATATGGACTTGAAAATCGCGTCAGCATCAGCTCTACTGGTAATGTTACAGTCCTGTACACCAAGGTCAGTTGTCGTAATGTGATCATTCTACACTGGCAAGTAATACTAATGCATTTTATATGCAGAATCCCGGCTTACAGAGGACAGATCATTATAGGTCTGCTGAATAGTTGGATTATGGTTCAAAACGACCAAAATGATGATAGTCAAGGTAACAGTTCTGCATATGTTGATCGTTATGCAAAGGCTGCAAGTATTAACGTGGCTTTTTCCTTCCAGATCTGCGCAAACTCTTGACAGAAAATTGGCAGTTACTTAGAAAAATAGGTGGATCGAAGGTTGAGGTACGTGCTTGATGGGACCAAAATTTTTGGGGAAAACCGTTATACCGACTACATCTTTTTTTTTTAATGTTAGATCGATATTGAAGCCATAACATCAGAATTGAAAATTAAAAGTTTGCCTTCTACCATTTGAACTCCGGTCGTTCTCTCTGTCTGTCGTTTTCTTATTGTTCTGAATGTTGAAGGAGATCTACATTGTTCGTCACGGCTACCGCAACGACTGGGAGCATCCAGGATCTCTTTCACCAACTGGGCTGCCACATGATCCTTCACTTTATACCATAGGTGTCCAACAAGCAGAAGAAACCGCACAGATTTTGAAGGAAAAGCCCATTCAAGCGATTTTCTCATCTCCGTTCTACCGGTGTCTTCAAACTGCCAAACCCACAGCTAATGCCCTTGGAATGAACATCAATGTTGAATATGGTATTGGGTAAGTAACAGAAATTTGGAATGGTGGGAATCAAATGTATCAAATGAGGAAATTTCTAAATCCACAATGTCGCATAGTGAATGGTATGGCACTACCCGCTCCTTCTACCCGCTGCCAGCGTCTATGGATCGCCTGAAGGAGTTGTATCCAGAAATCGATACTTCATATGTGCCTGTATTGGCAGCTCCTACTGGAATGGAAACTATGAGGCAAGTGCACGAGCGTGTCCAAGCAGCAATGGACAAACTGGTAGAGCAATGCGACGCCAAGTACGAGCAAGTAGTTCTTTTTGGGCACGCAGCTAGCGTTATTTGCGCCGTACGTGCCCTCCTTGAAGATTGGAGCTTCTACGTCAACGCCGGCACATGCAGCATCTCAAAATTAGAAAGAGAGGAGAATGGAAAATGGAAGTTGGTTCTCAATGGCTCGACGGATCATCTGTCACAAGGCAATCTTCGAAGTTGGATGTTTGAAGGAGATGTCCCAAGTTACGAGGTCCACCAATGAATGACCTCATGTGTTCAGATTCATACGGTGTTACTTTGTCCTCCGACCCTTTAAATAATTTTGTGCTAGCTTGTCCTTTTCGGTTTGAAACCTCTTTAAATTAGACAATTTCTCCATTTCAATAATGAAGTATGTGGCCGTCTGTAAGGCCCTGTATGATTATGACGCTCAAGCAGCCGAAGAAGTCTCGATAAAAGAAGACGATATATTGTATGTCATTGACAATTCAGACCCCTCGTGGCTAGAGGTTCAGCTCAAGATGCCAAGTGTGGACCAAATTGGTCCAATAGGTCTGGTACCAGCATCTTATGTAGAAGAGGTATTGTCCTTTCCGTCCGGCAGTTAGTCATTATAGCATGGCATTTGCTAATGTAGACATGCATTTCGTCTTTTTGTTAGGTTCAGCCAATAGGTACTGTAACGGCGGAATATGCTTACGAAGCTCAGCAAGACGAGGAAGTTTCTTTTGAAGAGGACGAGGAAATGACGCTTTACGATAAGGACGATGCCGACTGGTATTTGGTTAAGGTCAAGTCGGGAGAAATAGGTCTTGCACCAAGCAATTACATCAGACAGGTATGTGTATATAGAACCTCTGTGGACCTGCACGTCGTACAGATGCTGACTTCTCGCTCTCAATAAGGCCGACACACACGAAGAGTCACAACCCACACCTATAGCTCGACCTCAAGAATTATCACCTAGCCCCCCACCCCTTCCTGTAAGTGACAAGGAATTTTTAAACGTTGCAGCTAATAACCTCTCACTCATTGGTGCCGTTTTTCATTATAGTCCACTGAAACACCAACCCTAAATGACGAACCTAAAACCTGGTCCGTTCACGAATATAATCCCGAGAAGAAAAAGAGGAAGAAGGCCAAAGGCACGTTGACTGTTGGCAACGGCATGATTACTTACGAAAATGACACAGACAAAACAGCTCCTAAGCAGCAATACCATGTTCTCGATATCTCAAAATATTTGCTGGATACCAAAAATGTTCACATTGAGATAATCAGCAGTCAGCCAATCGTGTTCGATTTTCAAGCGGCTTCGAAATCCGAGGCGAAAGGCATTCTTGTGAAGATTACTGACTCTCGAAATGCTGCTGCTAAGTTTGAGAACAAGCAAATGCCCGCTAGTCCAGCCAGAGCCGCTTCTATTGACCCTATAGAATCAACTCCTCAATCCCCCAATTGCGAGCCAAAGTGGGGTATTGTTCTATTCAGCTTTGAGGCCGATGGTGGAAACGAATTATCCGTCCGTGAGCACGATCAAGTTTTGATTACGGATTATGTCTCCAGCGAAGAATGGTGGCATGTCGAATTATCTGATCAGCGTTCAGGTATTGTGCCATCGTCGTATCTTCAATTCCACGAGGATTATGAAGCAGCTCTCGCAAAGGAAGAGCGTCAAAAGAAGGAAGAGAAACGCCAAAAGGAAGCGAGTCAGCGTAAAGCAGATGACGAACGTCGCCGAAAGGAAGAGGAGCAAAGGAGAGCAGATGAGGAGCGTCGTCGTGTGGAACAGGAGCAAAAGCGCCGACAGGAAGAAGCAGCACGACAAGCTGAAGAAGCTAACAGGAGACAAAAGCAAGAAGAGGAGAGAAAGAGACAACTTGAACAGAAGAAGCAAGCGGAACGTGCAGCCATGTACCAAGATTTGCCTAAGCCTGATCCTTCACAAGTGCGATTATGGACTGATCGAACGGGAGCATTCAAAGTTGAAGCACAATTTGTCTCTGCCAGTGATGGAAAATATCGCTTGCATAAGACCAACGGTGTCAAAATCGACGTTCCAGAGGATAAGCTTTGTGTTGAAGACGTAGAATACGTTCGTGACTTTTTGGATAGAGAAGAACAGCAGAAGCGGAAACAAAAGGCTTCTCAGGATGCTGCCAAAAGTACCGCTGGCCCATCAAAGGCTACTTCGGCTCCCCAAAAGAGTTACAACCAAGACTGGGATTGGTTTGACTGGTTCATGATGCTAGGTATTCCAATGCAACAATCCCTTGTATATTCATCGTCTTTCAAGTCTGAGAAACTGGATGACTCCGATATACCAAAATTGACTCACAAACAGATGAAGACTTTGGGTATGAAGGAAAAATATGTTCAAAGGGTCCAAAGGTTCATTGAAAATGAAAAGGTTGAACCGCCCTCCGATGAGGAAACTGCAAACGAAAATGATGAAGATCAAGATGAAGCACTTGCACGCAAAATACACGAAGCCGAGAATGAAGGAAAAGCACCCAACATTTTCAGAAAGAAATCAAAGTCATCGGAAGGAAATGGTAAATTACGTTTCTATCAACGATGTCCATTGATGAGCATTCACTAACTTATACTCTTTATAGCATCCGCAAGACCAAAGGCAACATCACCTGCTCCTGCCAAGGTTCATGGCGATATATTCGATCTTCTTACAGGTGAACCGGTTGAAGAAGAACCAAAGCCAGTCAGCCCAAAAGCCACTGGTGATTCTGCTTCAAAACAGCTTACTTCACCCACAAGCCCACAAGATGGATTTGATGACGATGCATGGATTCCTCGGACTGTTCAGGCCATCAAAACTGGCACTTATAAGTCTAAAGCAAGTACCAACGTTGCCCCACAGAATACTGCCAGCAGAATGGAAGCGAACACTATGCCACAACAACAAAATGGTTTGCAACAGGCTCCAGTTCAAGCTGTCAATATGTCAGGACAATCACAGCAATATCAACAACAACCTGTCGCTATGTCCATTCAGCAGCAACCTAGTGGCTTCCAGCAACCTCCAGTACAAGCTACAAATCCTACTGGTCAATCAACAGGAAGTTATCAACAATCATCCGCGCCTTTGCAACAGCAACAATCTGGATTCCAGCAGCCTGCTATTAACCAGTCGTATACTGGATACCAGCAATACCCTAACCAAGGCAATTCTATGGCACCTCAGCAAACAGGCGTTCAACAGCCTATCCCTCAGGCTCCTCCGATTCAGTACGTTCCTCAGCAGTTGACGGATATGTCCATGAAACAACAGCAAATGCCTGTCCAACAACAGCAGATGCCCATGCAACAACAGCAAATGCCTGCACAAACTCAATTTGTTCCTCAGCAGATGACTAATACCCAGTATCAGCAACCGTCTGGCATACCAATGCAACCCCAATTCACTTCGCAATCAATCCCTAATGCTCAATACCAACAACAACAAATGACTGCACAACAACAATATGTTCCACAGCAAGCGACTGGTATGCAATTCCAGCAACAGCAGCAACCAGCGTCGTTCTATTCGCAACAGCCCGTTCAGCAAAACTTTGTTCAGCCAATACAGACTACAACAGTTCCACTTTCCAACATATTGCCAGCACCATTGGTACCGTCAAGTTCCACCTTCAACGGCCAACTACCCCAAATGACTGGCCAAGGCTTTAATGGTGGCATGCAGCAACAGCACTCCAACTTCCAGGGAATCCAGCCTCAAGCTACTGGAAATAGAAACTGGCAATCTGCGAGTACGTAATACGATGCCTTGTTATACATCCCAATAGTATGATTTTTACCATTAACTCATGTTGATCTACTTTTGCAGCTGCTGATAACCCATTCGGATCACCAACACCGTCCCCACTTGTACCTCAAATGACAGGTATGCAATTTTCTACACCTAGCCCAGACACCTTTGTTGGCAACCATGCTAGTGCGATCCGTCCTCAATACACTGGCATGAGCACACAGCAATCAGGCTTCGGGAACAACTTTGGTAAGTTGAATGTTCTATTGAATGCGGTGCTTGATATCATAGACTTATACTGAATCATTCTTGATATCGTGTTTTCAGGAGGAATGTATGGCCAACAAAATCCAGCTTTCCAACAGGCACAGGCTGCCAACAATATGTTCCCACAATCTAATCAATATAACCGAGGATGGTAGTCATATCTTACGACAGGAACTTTTTTTAGATGATTTCTTTTAGTTTTTTTTTTTTCAAATGCAGAGCCATGTGCCCTGTAGTCTATATTACAGAGGCTTTTATCTATTATGCTTAAAGAACAATATAGAGCTGAACGGCTACTTTATGTCTTCTTATCCTTCATGAAGTTGCTAGCTCGGATAGCATCCCGGTTCTGTTTTCGGTGGTATTGACGATTAGAGGGTTTTGAAGATTTCTGTTTTTGTTTCTTCTCATCGAGCAGGTCCCACAACCATTCTGGATATTCGCTGTCATCGAGTGCAACAGGGTCTTTGCCTTCCTTCATATAATTGATGCCCTTAAGCACTGTTCCCTGAGGTGCTGATGATGCAATAGCAGCCTTTTTTGAACCTGCAGCTATAGACATCGGTTAATGCTTCGCTCCATGTTAAATGTTCGGTACCGTTAAAGAAACAAAGCAGTACACACCTGGTGCTGGTTCTGAAGCGGCAGCAGCTGCCTGGTTTCTTAAAAGAAATCCTGTGCTGAAGCTTCTATAAAGTACGGATGGTGAAGCAACGCTATGACCTAGGCGGCACTGTCGAATTATGTGAGCCATTGAAAATCGAAAGCAATCTGATTCGCACAAAGGTTTTGTTGACGACCACAGCAAAAATTAACAAAAAGGTACGTGACGGCTAAAAATGTCTTAATTTTGTTCATAAAAATCTCAAAGAAGTCTGTTAACGTGTGTGGGGGGTGGAGGTATTGTTTACAAAGGTTCTACTACTTTTCTTCAAAAGATCGCTTGCTCTCCTTTCGAAGCTCATAAAGCTGTCCGATTTGCTCATCGCTCATTCTTTCAATCAATTGAGGGTCTATTCTCTTTCCCCAGGCTGATCCCTGTTGTTCTCTGCCCTCAATAGCTGCCTGAGCATCTTGCGAGGCGGATATAACTTCAGCTACAGGTGAAGTCTGTTGCTTGACAGTATCCAGATACCTAATTATTTCATATATGAGATGTCTGTAATTTAATGTCGATGAGATACAACGGGTAGTTGCTTACTTTTCCCATTCACCGAGGAAGCCAACAATGTAGGCTGGATTGTCAACGTCCTTGTGTCGTTTGAATTCCGCTTTGACATAATCGTCCCCAACTGCCCGTAAAGCAGGAGGCATTTGTCGATGTGCTCTAAGAATATTGCGGTAGAGGACCAGAGGAGGTGTCAATGGCTTGAATGTAGCTCGAGACATGTTGAACTTTAGGAAAACGGTTTGGCAGAAAGGGCGAACCCCCCATGAAGCAATTTTGTCAGCATGCACGTGACAGATTCGACTCATTAATTTGCTCACTATTGTGCAAGCCGATACGCCAAAGCTCAACTATGGAAGGCACCAGAGCTTCGCGTAGAAGACGACATCTACCTGTCGATGTTACAAGCTCCCGCTCATTAGGGAAATCGAATCGTCGTAATCTTCCCTTCTTGCACAATGCTCAGTCAAATATACAAGCTAATCGCATGCAGTATCTAACTGCCATTTGTATGGCACTGTTCGCCATCATTGCATGGCGCTTTCATAAACTATGGAGCGACAAGTTAGCAAATTGACGTCATTCAAAAATGACAATAGAGAGGATTGTAACTGAATCATATATGCAGTCAAGATGATATGCAACTTTATTGATACATTAGCGTCTGAGTGGCCGCTTTTCAGCAGCGGCGTCCAAATCATCACTCTCCTCTTCACTTTCTTCTTCATCCTCGTCCTCTTCTTCGCTGTCCTCCTCGGAGGTGGTGGCTTCGCTATCTTCTGAAGATAGAGCTTCTTCCTCTTCGCTCGTGTCATTGTAGAAAGCTTCCAAGTCATAATCTTCGCCATTCTTTTTCGCTTTGGGTGTCTGGGAATGCACAACATTGTAACCCCTGGCTTCCACACTGGAAAATGCTGTAGATGCGGGAGAACGACCTGAACCATCACGATACCTGCTCTCGAAGCTATCGCTACCAAAGCCTTGCTCCACAATCCGCGCCTGACCAACCGAGTTCCAGAAATCTTCCTCCACATCACGAACAGAAGGATCTGGCTGCTCTTGAGGATAGTCCGGTATTGGCTCATACCCGGGTAGACTATGTTTTACCATCATTGAAAGAGATCCTAAAGTGTACTCCGTTCGATCTATAGAACAATTTCAAATAAATACCATAGCCCATAATACTAATGATGGGTACGACTACCAACCTTGCATATCACTCTCCAGTACTGGAGGTTCTTTATCGGACAGTAGGATTTGTTTTAGGTGTGAGCTTAATACATGGCTATCGTCGTTGCTGCCTGATTTCTCTGCTTGAGCACTGTAAGGTAATGTCAGGCTTCTAAGTAAACGAGCACGATCTCTGATATCGTAGTTCTGATCATATCGTGCAAGATTAAGAACGTATTGATTCAAAAGACTGATGGTTTCGTGGCTCGGGTTTAAACACGTAAGTTTAGCGGAAAGGGTGAGGATCTGATACTTTACAACATCATGCTAGAAAAAGAACAATAAGTTAATATCACATTGTAATTGTCGCTGGCCAAAACCATCCCATACCTCGTCGGTGAATCCCTTAACGCCTTTGCGTAAGATGTCAGGTGCCGCTGCACTTATGTTCTCAGTATACTGGCCAACTAGCCAAAAGATATTGGCGCGGGCAACAGGTACTGTGGTTTTGTCGAGTAACTTGGCTAGGCGTATGATGGACTGCGTGTTTTCATTGCCACGAATTTGCAATAATCGCTTGATGACCGAGACAGATTCCGCAACAACCAAATCTACCAAAGCGTGCAGCAAGCGGATCAGTTTGGTAATCGAACAAGTGAGGTAAAGTCAACAAGTCCCGTACGTACCATTAGTACTCTTCAAAAGTTTCATCAATCCTTTCATACAGCGATCTGCAGTTTCTGGAACGGTCATGGCGCACTTGCCAATGGCTTGGATTGTTGATGCAACAAAATCCTTGTTGGGGCTCTTAACATATTGCTGTTAAAAGAAAGTAGTTTGAGTAATTGTACCTAGATAATTGAGTTCAAGCAGCAAAAAGTCGTACCTGTAGTTCCCCTAGTATTGAGTTTATGTTTTGCTCGGTAACGATGGCCGTCAATATGTCTAGTTTGGTATTTCTGATGAAGACTGAATCGGTAGATCGAACATAAAACTGTGACAAATATCCGTGGAAAAGGTACTGTGCAGAGTGGCTCTTTTAGCTCTCCGTATATGCTATTTATTCCAGCGAATGAAAATTTGACTTACTGGTCTACTACATGCCATGGTGGCAATGTTTGTAAGAATCACATACTGCAGTTCTCTGTGAGATCGAAGCAATCTGACCAAAGGCTTGGCCAATTGTGATGCTTCTTCTGACGGCGCAAGGTGAAAGTAAATGCGTGCAACTGCCATGACAACCTACATCTAAAGTCAGCATCAAAACTCTATTACATTGCCATTTTCGAGAATCTTACCCCGCTGTTGCGACTTTGAAGTAACGGCAGGCAGCTTTTAATCAAAAGACTGTGATCTTCATCCAACTCCACATCCTCAACCTCATCTTCAGACTGCTCCTCTACTTCTTCAGTAGATTCCTCGTCGGATGAGTCAGAGTAGAAGGATTCGTTTTTGGTATTGCTGGAGGTGACGGCCTTCGGCACCTTTATGCCCTATTAGGTAGCCACATAAGCATAAGCAACCCACTATTTGAAAAAATTACACTGTACACAAGCTGCTTACATTTGGATTTGGGTCTGTGAATTGATTACTGTTCCAAAAACCAAAAAAATTGGATTAGCGAATGATGTCAGTATACTTCCACAGTCGAGTGTCCATGCTCTTCCTTACCGGCCATATCGCAAAAGCAAATCCAAAACGGCTATCTGGCCCCATTCGTCAAGGTCGGTCAGCATGTTGCAAAGTTTTCGATAATAAGAATGTATCAAGTCGAATCGAGTGGGGCACACTTCGTTGAATGCCATGATGGTGCTCCCTATGGTGATAGCTGACCTATCCTTCAATAGTCCAGATATAATTTCAATTAAAGAATCTTCCTGTGTTGGATCCAGACTATGAGAAAAGCACAAGGGTAAGGTTTAACACATTGAAGCTTTCTTTCTTCGCTTATAAGGATATATTTACCTATAACACTTTGGTATAGCATGAGCAGCCGTTTTCCGTACATAGGGGCTCATATCCGCAACACATTTCTTAATACCCAGTAATACAATGGGACTGATGACTGGAACCCTGATGCCACTCATTACTCGAAGTGCCATAGCTCTAATGATCTGATTCTTATCGCCAAGATCTTTTTGGAAGGTATTGATGGATAATAGCGCAAGATCGGGTTCTTGCTCTGCATATCGTAAAAGGTATATATAAACAAGCTTTCGAATTTCGATATTTTGCGATACTACATTTTTGACGACGTCAGGGAAAAACTCGGACACATCGCGTCCTTTCGATATCATCTGTGATAAACATGTAGTTAAGTGACTTGTGAAGTGGATAGGTAGGAACACGGCAATCTCCACCGAGGACCATTTTCTAAACGAATAAATCAAAGCCAGGTGTTCCACATACCGCGATTAAACGTTTAAGACCATCCATTTTCTCTCTGTCATTCCTTGAATCAAGCTGTCTGCGAATGTTTCTCATCTTTTCTTCGGAAGTATCAAAGTATTGCGCTCCAGCATCGCCTCCAGGTAATCCAATTTCAATGGCATTATCCACCAGGCCTTGGGATACTTTTTGAGATAGCTTGGCTGCATTTTCAGCAAAGCTCATGGCTTTGCTTATGTAGTCGGCCATTGTGGACGATTCCAAGCAGCAACCGACTCTCGCGCACTTCAAACTCAACCCACTCCATTTGAGCAACAAACAGTATTTCTCTCATAAAAATGTCGCAGCCACGTCATGCTTTGATCAGCCCAGACCTTTTTTTTTTTCTTGCGCAACTTTCCAGCAATTTCCAGGAGCACGCAACATTACTAACATATGCGAAAAGCACCGTAGAAGAAGTGAAAAAGTTACTGAACAAATAATAAAAATACATGCGCACTTTAACAAAAAGTCAATAAAGAACAAGACCCTTTGTTGTCCTTTACCCCCACTCCAACCCCCTTTTATACGCAATCACACCTTTCCGGTGTTGTTGCTGTGCCGTCTTCCTCAATTCCAAAGCCAGCTTCAGTCAGACGATTTTTCCACACTCATTTTTCCCTTTCTTTCTCTCTCATCTCTTCTCTCTCATTGGAATTATGGAACTTGACGAATTTGTTGATATGGACTGGTTGAACTCTCACAGTTCCACCACGGATATCAAGGATGAATCTTTCGACACCTCTGACCCTTTCTACTATATGGACTCCACGTTTGAGCCTGATTTTATGTCGCAAGATATTGTCACCGACCCAGACTTAGATGCTTTAGACATTCAATCTTCACAAGTAGAATCTACTATCAAAGCTGAAGAACAACCTGCCATGGACACCACCGCCCCTGCTAGTGAAGTGAAGGTGGATAAGCCTGCCTTACCGCCAAGCTTTCCTTCTACTGAGCAGATAAAGCTTCTCATCGAAGCGGCAAAGAAACAACTGGCTTTGCAACAGCAACAACAGCAACAGTCAGCTTCCATGTCGACTGTGACACCATCTGAGACTCAGCTGGGAATCGAAGTCGACACCGCCGAAACCGCTCCCATCACCACCGTGTCTCCTGATAAGCTTACCATTAAGCAAGAGGAAGACAAGCCGGCTAGTTCAGAAGATTTCAGGCTAACACCTGAGAGAACCAGCCCATCATTTGGCCGTCGTAATTCTAAGATGGATTATGACTCTGATGAAGAAATCCACTCACCTGAAGATATCAAGAAAATGACTCCCAAGGAAAGAAGACAACTTCGAAATAAGATATCTGCGCGTAATTTTAGAGTACGAAGAAAGGGTAAGTGGTATGAGAAGCGATTGCGTGCTCTGAATTTTTTCAATAACACATGCTTTGACCCCTTTATTAGAATATATCTCCACGCTTGAAGCTCAAGTACAAGAGCACAAATCCTATGCCGATCAGCTGTTTGAAAAGCTATCCACGGTAGAGAATGAAAATATTTGCCTCAAGGCTGAGGTGGATTCTTTGCGCCGCCAAAATCAACTCCTTGCCACTCAACACATGGCATCCCCTCCGTCCCCTCCCACCTCATCCGATTTGGTGCGTACCGCTTCCAACTCCTCCAACGCTTCTACATCCTCCAGCAGCCGAATCAGTTCCCCTAGAATCAACCTCAACAAAGATATCAGTATCACTGGTAGCAAGGCTATCGATACATATCGTCAAGATACGCGCATCCTTGTGTCTAATGCTGTCATACCGACATGGAACGTGGAACAGATTTTGAAACAAGATATTAAGCCAGATGATATGTTGTTCAATACTGTGGCGCAATATATTGTTTCAAGCATTGCGACTTTCATGCTAATGGATAACCTCCAAAAACCATCTTGGTCCAACTGCCGTGTAGATCCTGCTCCTACTACCATCTCCCCAGCTTACATGGAATACCTTTATGACACTGTCATAATGTCTTCCTTGGGCGAAAAAGGATCAAGCTTCCGTTGGTGGAATGTTGCCGCATGCTAGATGTAGCAAAAGAGACGCTAAAATTCATTGTACATAAACTCTTCCTCCCCCCCTTTCTGAACCGAACTCGAAGACCTTTTAACCTTTTTCTTTGGCTGTATTTTTTTTTTCCCTTCTTTATAATTCACATTCCCCACTGCACACAAATTCCTCTCAAGCTCCCCCCTTTTTTTTATAAGAAAATTTTCTGCTTTACACCATATGTCCTTTTTTCTTTTCAATCGTACTTTCGCTCTCTTCATCAGCATATTGTAAGGGAACTTTGATAATTATGAAATTACAAGAAAATAACATTTCTGTTTCCAAACAAACAAAAAAAAAAAAATTGGGAACTTGGTGTGATTATCTGGGGCGTTGGGGGGGGGGAGACCCAGGCATTTTCTGGTTTCAGCGATGCTGCCGATATCAGTCATGTAACTGGCTCTAATTTTTCAGTCAACTGGCCATTTACATTCGGGTTGGCCAGACCATCTACTTCCTTGCCTCAGCCAACTTAACAAAACGCTCACGTAACTTTTCTTTGCCTTCCGGGAAATCGCGGTTGCGTGCTTATCGGCGCCAGGGCCGTTGTCTTCACCAGGCTACTCATTACTGCTTTGGTTCCTATCGAGAAATGCCCTTCTTGTGCGTGATATTTTGTCGCCTTGACTGCCTGAGCAGACGTAATATGACGTATAGTACACTCAGCAACGCTTTGACCCGCACCGGTCTTTCATACGATCGAAGATACATTGTGTTTCATTCCTCATTCATTTTACAAAGATGCATGCTAGACAAGTCATGTTGCTCTTCATTTATATACTGCCTAAAACGCTTCAACATGTTGGACGCACAGCCAGCTGTTTTTCTGCGAAATGGAAAACCGGGTACGTGCATTACTTCTCAGCGCGAAAGTCCGATGTTCAATTATCAGGCGTATCAGGAATGGATTTTTGGACTGCACCATCTTTATAAGTTAGATTTTGTTGATGGGAACGTAGGCGCAATATAACATAAAGTGTAGGAGTGCTGACGGCTACCATTCTTTCATAAAGGAGCTCTGAAAAGTGGATGTAATTCTGGCTGGCGCAGGTTAGTATAATGATCATGATAAAAAAAAGTCTAATCTGTTAGCTTGAAAAATCTGAATCCTAAATCATCCGATTCCTGCTGGCAAGTTTTTCATTATAGGTCTAGGTAGTGTCCTATGAATAAAAGTACAGCCTTACGCATAGAATTAGGTTGGAAATAGCTAATAGGGATCTCAAGGCGGGCAAAAGTTAGTTTGAAGGCTGATGCAACAGCAATGGCCCATGGACTCTCCATATCGGACAGATCACTACAGCTGTGCCCGAAACTTCGCATGGCGATTTGCTTAGCTTAAGTGACTAAACATAGTTGTAAATGCACCCGCCAATCATGGTAACCTCGAAATGGGTTATAGAACAAATTCTTTTTTGTTTTACAGTTATGATGTAAACCATGACACTTTGCTTAATCTCTGGAACTGGCAAAGAAAAGTGTCAATTTGTACTTCTGCCGCTCGCTTAGTGAAAAATGATGTAGAATGGTTGCAACTTTCAAGCTCGCAGAAAAGAAGAGCCTGTGCCTCATCCGCCCTCTTTTAAAATCTTGCAAGCCTGCCAGGCGCAAACCCGAGGATTTTTCGCAGGGATCCTTTGATTTATTTGAACCAAAATGAGACAGTAACGATTTCATCATCAGACATGAGAAGTATACTATTGACACTGTTCATGAGGTATAGCAAGACCCGTTGCTGTTTGGCATAGCATTCTTTGCCACACGACCTCTTTCAAAAATTGTAGTTAACTAGTCCTCATCAGGTGTGCATCCACTGATTAGCAGCCATTAAGAATTTCTCCAAGGCGGAGATTCCCAGCCTGTGTGTTTCCTCCGCTCCAAAATGTGCAAGCGCAGATGACGCGTCGACCCACACCCAAGGATTATATTAACGCCGAGTTACAAGTCCTTGGCGCTTTCTCTCTTCGATATCCACAAGTAGAAACGATCATGTCTTTGCCTATTAATATTCCTCAGCGTGAAATTGGAAAGACCGGTGTCAAAACATCCGTCGTTGGCCTCGGATGCATGAATTTGGTAAGCTATAAACGGACTATACAACTGGCATAAGCAGTCGGAATAGTTCTAAAAGGTCTAATCAATGCAACAAATTTCAGGCCCCAGGAGTATACGGAAAAGTTGATGATGCCGAGAGCATTCAGTTGCTCAACACAGCCTTGGAGATTGGATGTAACTTTTGGGACACAGCAGGTGGGTGGAGCGAAAACGGTAGTGCATGTTTCATAACTAGGACTCACTGGCTTCTACTGTAGATATCTATGGAGCAGACGGCTATAGCGAGAGGCTCATCTCCAAAGTCATCAAAGATCGAAGAGCGGAGGTGTTTTTGGCTACGAAGTTTGCATTTGACGTCAGCTCAGGCAAAATCAACGGATCTCCTGAATACATCGCGAAAGCTTGTGCTGGATCTCTAGAGAGACTGGGAACCGACTACATCGACTTATACTACATGCATCGTATGGATCCATCCACGTAAGGACGCAATACGGAGTTTGAATCCTGCCATACGTGATTTACTCAACGATCTGATTTCAGACCAATTGAAGAAAGCGTAAGTGCCATGGCTAAGTTGGTTGAGGAGGGAAAGGTCAAGTATCTTGGTCTATCTGAATGCTCTGCGGAAACTCTCCGTCGTGCACACAAAGTGCATCCCATTACTGCAGTGCAGATCGAATACAGGTAGGAAATGGTTGGTGGAATCTGTGGTGTTGCAATTTAATTTGTGTTAACATAACCAAAACAGCCCATGGACACTGGACATTGAAAAGAATGAGGTGTTGAAAACATGTCGCGAACTTGGTATTTCCATTGTTGCCTATTCACCTTTGGGTCGTGGCTTCCTTACTGGCAATTACAGATCAATTGATGATTTGGAAGAGAAGGACTGGCGTCGAAGCAACCCTCGGTTTAAGGGAGAGAACTTTGCCAAAAATCTTAAACTTGCTGATAGCATTAAGGAAGTTGCCGAAAAGAAGGGTGTGTCAGCTGCACAGGTTACACTTGCCTGGCTACTTGCTCAAGGTAAAAGAAACCTGGCGATTATTGACTCTTATAATGAAACGAAAAGGCATCCTGAAACACTAACGTGTGCGATCTGACTTGTACAGGCGACGATATTTTTGTTATTCCTGGAACTCGTAGAGAGAAATATCTGGTTGATAATGCTGCATCTGGTAGCCTTCAGCTCTCGAAAGAAGACTTGAATCAAATCCGAACTCTTTCAGAAGCATTCCAGCCTTCAGGTGATCGCTATGATCAATATGGAATGGATATGTTGAATCGTTAGATTCTAGTGACTATCAAGATTTTTCTTATTTTTTTCTTTCAAAAAAAAAAAGATCTCTTTAGGATGGGAGCAGTAACTTGATAATAAAAGATCCCACGTATATCCCACCATAGCCATCGAAAATATGCATAATTATTTGATCATTACAACTACTTACATGAAACCAATCTGACCTAATCTGTATGTGTATGAAGATATGAAGAAAAGACAACCTGTTGTGTAATATGTATACTAATTTTACTATGAAGATGAATCATACAAACGTCCCATACGATATTTCTCCGTGAATGGACGCATGTAAATCATTCCAATTTTTTTTCGAGATGACAATGAAGAATATAAATAATAAAAATCTTACTTCAGAGATTTGACAAGTCTCTACTTCTGCTATAACTCTCGTAAAGTGGTAATCGAGTCACAAATCCCACAGCACTAACACCTAGCTCAACGTTGTATATCTTCAACATGCAAACCGAAATACATATTTGCGCTTATTGACGACTAGAGAAATCAGCTTCGTTTATGGCAAGTTTCAGATCCTATTCTAACTGGAAAGTAATATCTTTACGTTGACTATTGAGCCTCTATAGATCTAAGGAATACATTCCCATTTCATCATATCGTGCACCAGCAGGTTGGAATGAATCTGCCAATGTTCGGATTTGATCCAACTCTTCTTTCTTCAGTTGAAGACTTCCACCAGCGGCATTTTCGAGAAGATACTTTTCTTTGCGAGTTCCAGGGATAACAAAGATATTATCGCCTGTAAATGTCACAAGTTAGACTCAATCCCTTTTGTCACCGTAAAAATGAAAGCATCTGCTATTTTTTTTTCTTACCTTGAGCAAGTAGCCATGCAAGGGTAACTTGTGCAGCTGTAACACTTTTCTTCTCGGCAACAGCCTTGATGCTATCAGCGAGCTCAAGATTCTTGTAGAAGTTTTCGCCTTGGAAACGAGGGTTGCCTCTACGGTAGTCGTCGGCATCTAACTCCTCAAAATTCCTGATGTTACCTGCGAGGAAGCCACGGCCTAAAGGTGAATAGGCGACTACAGAGATACCAAGTTCTCTGCAAGTTTCCAAGACATTGTTCTTTTCAATATCCAGAGTCCATGGGCTGTTGATACAATGTTAGTACCGAGCAAACCAAGTATAGTAAGTTCATTCATTATCTCTTGTCCTACCTATACTCCATCTGCACAGCAGTAATGGGATGCACTTTGTGTGCTCGGCGAAGTGTGTTTGCTGAGCATTCCGATAGTCCAATATACTTGATCTTTCCTTGCTCGACTAACTTGGCCAGAGCTCCTACAGTTTTTTCAATGGGTCTACACAAACGTGATGTTGAGTAAATTAATCGTGGGCGATATTCAACTTACATATTTGCAGCAAGGACTTACGTGGATGGATCCATGCGGTGCATATAGTACAAGTCAATGTAATCTGTTCCCAGCCTCTCTAAGGATGCCTGACAAGCCTTGGCGACGTATTCGGGGGATCCGTTGATTCTAATAGTACCTGAGCTGAAATCCACAGCAAACTTAGTAGCCAAGAAAATATCCTGCCTGCGATCCTTGAGTACCTTGAAGATGACTTTCTCGCTATGGCCCATGCCATAAATATCTATAATGAGCAATATTAGACTGTTGTTGAGGACTTGCATTGTGCGAATACATTGTTAGATTGATCGTGATTCACGCACCTGCTGTATCCCAGAAATTACACCCAATGTCCAGTGCTTTGTTGAGTAATTGGATGCTGTTATCGTCATCCACAGTCCCGTAAACGCCAGGAGCCTAAGTCAGGAATAAATTCAAATGCTTATTACTTCTTTTATTCCCATGATAAACGAGAAAATTTATAGACAGATCTGACTTACCAAACTCATACATCCAAGGCCAACAGCCGATGTTTTGACACCGGTCTTTCCAATTTCGCGTTGAGGAATACTTAAAGGTAGAGACATAATTGATTTTGTCAAATATCATATCGACCATTCAATACATGGTATATATACATCGAAAACTCCTTGCGTGCTGCCGCGTCATCCAAAATCAACTTCATTATTCCACCACGCAGCCATTTAATTTGGCCAGTGGCTGTCGAGGCGATTTCGGAGTTCGGTTAAACCTGGCGATCCCAGATTGTCGATGACGCGGCCCACACGCAAAGATTTGTTCGTACCGAAACCAAACATAGCTTTGTTTTTCTTCTTGTATTCGTCAAAACTATCAAACATGTCTATTCCGCTTATGATTCCTCAGCGTGAAATCGGAAAGACCGGTGTCAAAACGTCAGCTGTTGGCCTTGGGTGCATGAGTTTGGTAGGTTGACGCCGTTTAAACATTGGTTTTTCGGCACGAGAACTGAGAATATTGTGTGGTTTTAATTTGTCCGGCACTTAGGCTCCCGGTGTCTACGGAAGTGTTGACGACGACAATAGCATTCGCTTACTCAACAAGGCTCTGGAGATCGGATGTAACTTTTGGGATACCGCAGGTAATGAGTTGAGGACTACGTTTGTAAGTCCATGCAAGGTTATTGATTTGCTATAATCCACAACCAGATATCTACGGAATGGGTCATAGTGAGAAGATTATCTCCAAAGTGCTCAAGGATAGAAGACAGGAGGTGTTTCTCGCTACAAAATTTGCTATTGACCGCTCAGGACCAACCACCAAGATCAACGGTTCACCAGAATATTTAACAAAGGCGTGCGACGCATCTTTGGAGCGATTGGGAACTGATTATATCGACTTGTACTATTCCCATCGTATTGACCCCAACACGTATGTATATAGTGAAAGATTCGTTCTCGAGCGTTATGCAGTTGTGCTCATGTAGCTTGTCTTTAGACCCATTGAAGAAACCGTGGGCGCCATGGCCAAACTGGTCGAAAAAGGAAAGGTCAAGTATCTTGGGCTGTCTGAGTGTTCTGCAGATACACTTCGTCGCGCCTACAAGGTTCATCCCATTGCTGCCGTCCAAGTTGAGTACAGGTAAGGTGGGGCTTGATATGGATAATCTAATGTCGTTCACACCGGACTGATTTGTGTTTCTAGCCCGTGGACTCTGGACATCGAGAAAAATGGATTACTCCAAGCTTGTCGGGAGCTTGGTGTGTCAATTGTCGCCTATTCTCCGTTAGGACGAGGTTTCCTCGCTGGCAATATCAGACATTTCGATGATTTGGAAGCGGATGACTGGCGTCGCACCAATCCTCGCTTCCAGGGCGAAAACTTCACCAAAAATCTTAAACTCGCTGATAACATCAAGGCTTTTGCCGAGAAGAAAAACGTTACAGCTGCGCAGCTTACGCTTGCGTGGTTACTTGCTCAGGGTAAATTATACAGCCGATTTGTTATGGCCATGAAGAAAAGAGATAGAGACTAACAAGCTGAATTGACTAATGTAATAGGCGATGATATTTTTGTCATTCCTGGAACTCGCAAAGAGAAGTATCTTTTGGATAATGCTGCTGGCGGTGCTATACAACTTTCTAAGGCAGAGGTGAATGAAATCCGCAATACAGCAGTGACCTTCCAAGTTTCTGGAGAACGCTACCCCGAAGACGGTATGAAAGCCTTGAATCATTGATAAATTGTAGCTGGCGTATGTATATGAAATTCTCGTATGAAAATAAAATATGATATGGTGCTGCAAAAGTGCTCAGCCAGAATGAATTTGCCTGTGACTTGCCTTTGACCCTTGATTCACTGCAGCAATTTTCACAGAACAGAGTATCCAACTGATTGTTCACGTCCGAGAATGATCGATTCAGCAGTCTTGATAAAGCAAGGCGCAGAGGCTGTAGGTCCAAGTTCTTACATGTTGGTTTGACCCTCTCTCCTCCATTCGATTAACGGCTATATTTACAGCGCGTTTATGAGCTCAAGCCTTTCCTTACAAATCCCAATGGCTGCATTGTGAAGGAACGATTCAGTAAGACGTACCGACATCCAGTTCTCGACAAGCAGTTGACACATAGACGAGTATCACAAGAAGCAAGGTGCCTATTTCGATGCAGAAAGGCCGGTATCGATACCCCAGCATTGTACCTAGTCGACCCAGAAGCCGCCACTATCTACATGGAGCGAATTTTGGGACGAATACTCAAAGATATCATAATTGAAGGAAAGGCAGACACAGACGTCCTAGCAGATGCCATTGGAGCTGCCCTTGCAAAAATGCATGATGTAGACGTTGTGCATGGGGATTTGACGACCTCGAACTTAATGCTGCGAGATAACAACGCTTCATTGGTCATTATTGATTTCGGTTTAAGCTACGTCTCGAAACTACCTGAAGATAAAGCAGTCGACCTGTATGTTCTGGAGCGAGCATTTTCAAGTACACATCCACAGACTGAAGCATTGGTACGTGTACTTGAGAGAGTGAATTTACTTTCGGCTTGATGCCGTCAGTTTTTGCATACTGACTGATTGTCTTGCAGTTCGAACGCATCCTGACAAGCTATAAAACACACTGCAAGCAAGCAAAACCTACACTAAGCAAGTTAGAAGAAGGTAATTGGGATATTTTCAGGAGGTGTCAATCTTATTATCCAGCAAACCTTTCTGATACTGAGCACTTTATTTTTTTGGTCTATGCTAGTGAGATTACGAGGAAGAAAGCGAAGCATGCTGGGTTAAGACCATTTCATTAAAAGATATACCGGCCGGCATCCAGCACCAAGAATAATAAAATCCAAATGTCACCATCATAATTTGAATACTGTGCTTTATTTTATTTTTTGAGATTGTGGTGTACGTTTGCCAATAGATTGACTGGCAAGTTACAAAGGCTACATTAGACTTCCACAAAGAGTGCCAATTGGCTCAAGGGAATATTGAAGAGAACATCGAACGCAGGAGTGGTCAAAGAAAAAACGAGGTTCAATGTAGGCGGAAGGGGCAATTTTTGTGGAATATGTACAGGTTAGGTTGAGGGGAGAGTTATTTTTCACAAGTGTTGGAGTTGGGAATTGGCCTCGAAGATTCAAGCAGTTTGAGGCTGCATGAAGCCCATACGTTCACGTAGACGCTTTTCTCGGATCATCTGGAGGATATGCTTCATGCCTTGGCGTGCCTATATTGTCATCAGGTTTAGCAGATGGTCATAATAAACGAACTTGCAAACGAGAAAGGAGGTATACCTTTGCTGTATTCTTAGAGAAATTGCTTTCGCCGAACATCTCTATACGTTGGGCCATGCCCCATCCAAATTTGGAAATAATACGAGCTTCAGTCTTGACCGTAGTCATATCGGGATTGACGGGATGCGGTGTAATAGTTTGCGTTTCTTCGACCTGCATAATGCGAACATGATTGAGATTTCTAGTACGAGTGACCATTCGCATAGTCTTGGGGTCGACCAGGGATTCTTCGATAACATAGGCTTCCGAATTTTTGACAAACTAAAGGTAGGTAGGGTAAGGTCAGTATGGCGTTCGATAAATGGGAAAAAAAAAATTGAACCAGCGTACTTGTTGAGGGAACCACTTGGGTAATTTACCCTGCTTTAATACCAGTCGAGTGGTGGTAAGCACACCGTCATCATTGATACTTCTGTCGATAACATCGGCACAAAGAACTACATAAGATAGGGATATATATTTTCGACGTTAGTGGAGGAAAAATATGGGGAAGCACAGCAGGAAGGATTTTTACCATGCGATGCAAATGGATTTGGGTATCTCAACCAAAATGCATATGACACATTTTCCCAGGGATGGCTATTGGTAAATGGACATTAGTATAGACTATCATTTTAATCGGTAGCAAAGCGATACTTACTCATAAGCGAATGTGTGTTGGAAAAACTTCACCATGTTGAACACTGAAAGAAGGCAGTCGAACGACTAGCACAGAAAAAATACGATGGAGAAACATGCACGTGATCTGTCTCACGTGTGTTTATCTGTTGCCAAAAAAAAGTTGACAGCTGTTAAAACCGTTTCTTGGAATCGGAGGCCAAGTGCAAAAAATCAGATCATAAAAATTTCAACCCAGTATTTCTCTATGCTTCTGTATGCCTTCATTATTATTAGAATTGCTATGCTAGATTCACCTGAAAATGGGGTAGGCCAAAGACGTAATTGCTAGTTTGCGCCACCGCGGAGAAAATTTCTCCTGGTCTTCCGCTGTGAGTCAATTTAACCGAATTTATTATCTGATGCGGCTGTATCCAACCTGGGCATTCAAGAGATATACTGGTATATTGTATGTAACTGAACTCGTAGACTAATTTTAGTTGTATCAAACTAATCATAACACGAGATGGTTGCGGGAAGACTCGCTACAGCCTAGGTTTGTCATGGGGATTGCCTGGGCCGGTACCAAAGATTTCCCGACCAGACTAGCAGCGGCCAAATTTGTTGACTTGGCCTGTGATTGGAACATTCACCACAATAGCCTCCAATCCTTTGTGCGCTATTAGCTTTGTCGTTTCTTGGTAATGTAAGACTACCATTATTACAACAGCTTCACTTCTTGATCTTCCAACCAAAAATTTATAAAAGCGAATATTTCACTGTGCCATTTTCTCGCTAATAACGATACGAGGGTTGCATACAAGAGAACAAATAGAAACGTTGCCTCTCATGACTGGGCATTATAAACCACAGCCATATAAAATTTCATAGACATCAAACACCGATAAAGGCTATAGGTAATATATGCCGAGAAGTTAATAAGCGATGAAAGGTATTCAAGCGATGATTAGAAATGCCGAGCCGGACTCCATAATTTATCCGTGCAAGCATTGGTGTAAGCAGTCATAACAGCATGCATAAGGGCGGATGATAGTGTTAAATTGCCTAGCGATCGACATACGGATTACTGGTATAATCAGTCGACGGTGATAAAGAATGAGAAGCATGAGCGAGCCTTTTGATCGGTTTTGAAATTTGAAGCAGCATTACTCAGCATATGGCCGGTTATCGCCTGTGTTGGAAATTGAATAAAAGTGAACGGGAAATACAATAATTTAGGGTGGCTACTAAGATTTCTAGAACACCTGACACGTCTTGACAAATGAGAGAGAAGATATTTGAGTAGGGACCAACATGAATCAAATTCAGGTAATTAATAATGCTTTTCCAGCGGTTACCAATCATCGTATATATAAGGGGCATTGGTGGGCACGGCTCCCAATTTACTTTTTCAAATACCGTCACTCACACACATTCACAATTCAATGACCCAACGGCCAGGGAAAAAGGTTTTAGTCACTGGTGTAGCTAGCTATATCGGCATTCATGTTGCTGATCAATTTTTGCAAGCTGGATACCATGTCCTTGGTACTGTTCAAACGGGTGAAAGGACAGATCACATTGTTAAATATTTTTTAAAGTACGGACATGGTAAATTCGTTGTCCAAGAAATTGGATACCCAGCGGAGGACAATGTTTATGACTTCGTTGTTCAAGGTACGTACAAAACGCAATTTAATAGCAACATGTCACGATGAAATTTAGTAATTAACCATCTTTGGCAGGAGTCGACATTATTGCTCATGTTCCTCATGTCGTTTATGGTAGTGTCCCGGGGAACCCAATGATCCACGTTATTGAGCCAGCTGTGAAGAGCATGTTGACTCTACTCAATTCAGCTCATCAATACGGCACAAGAGTCAAGCATATTGTCATCACGTCCAATTTGGCCAGCATCTTACACTTGGATACCAAACCTGGATACGAGTACAGCGAGGACGACTGGAACGACTGGGCAATGGCCACTGTTGAGAAAAACTTAAGGATCGGCAACCAAAATGATCCAATAATAGCTTATTGTGCTAGCAAGTATAAAGCTGAACAAGCAGTCTGGGAATTTCGAAAGCAGTATACACCACGATTCGCCATAACCACCATTATTCCATCGTATGTCGTGGGGCCAGTCATCCCTCGTCCAGAAACAACGAGAGACGTTGAAGATGTGTCATCTGTGAGACATTTTATACGGTACTTTTCTGGAGAAGCGCAAGACCCAAGGCTTAATACATTCAGTGGCAACTATGTCAGTGTCGTCGATGTTGCCCTTGCTCATGTCAAAGCAGCGCAACTGGGCAAAGCCGTCGACGGGGAACGATTTATTGTCGCAGCTGGAGAGTTTTGTTTCCAGCAACTAGCCGACATACTTCGAGAAACATTTCCCGAAAGAAGCGAAATCATAGCTGAAGGGCATCCTGGACAATATACTCACCCTGTACAACTTGTCAACAGCACCAAAGCTCAAAAGGTGTTGGACATTCAATATACACCCATGAGGCAGGTCATTGTAGATACCATCGAGAGCTTTAAACACCTGTATTTATAGAGGAACCAATAGTCAAAAACATGTTTTTCCACATGGCAACCTGTAAATAATGTAATAAAAGTAATTACCCAAAAATTGCTAGGCAACGAAAAGGCATAAGTGGAAGTGGATCAGCCTGCAAGTGAAGCAGCGTAAATGCCCACATTTTTTTTATCTTTTAATTTTTTTATCTTTATTTTTGAGCGAGCAAAAGTGGTGTCAATGTCGCAAAAGCGTCGTCTTCCTTGCTGGATAGAGCCATTGCCCATCTCGTCGTGATACCCCACGTCAACATAGCCTCACACCTTCATTGATATTCTGGAACCTCCAAGGCTTAATTATATCAGTGAAACAGGATTACTAATCTTGGGGCGGGCCAACAGAAGACCGTATCAATTGACTCACAGCTAAAAAAAAAAGGGAATCAGATAGCATGCGTCAGCCTCCCTTTCACCTCTATTCTTTTCTTCCCACTTCTTTTTTCCAAAATTCCGTCGACTCACTATGGAGAGCGCACTACTTCAAAATTCGCCTTTCACTATCTCTGACGATCAGTTCGATCCAAGCACTGTAGACTTACTTGCTGATGCTATTTTCAGCAACTCCATACAGCGAAATAAAGCTCGGCGCTCGACTACAGGAGACGACAAGCGCAAATTTGACCAGGTAGATGGCGCTATCAGGTCAGCAAATCCCCCAAAAACTACTCGTGAGTTCGACTTCTTTCACTTTTTATCCTAGTCAACCGACTCACTCATATTTAAACGGCGCCTTCCCTGTCTTTCTTTGAATTTCCCAGACACCAACCATAGAGACTCTGTCCATTCCATGAGTTCTAACGACTCTGGCATTAGTGGTAAATAGACATCTTTCATATCCGAAGATGTCTTGTGCTAGTATATTAAAATTTATTTTATATTAGTAGACAAGTTATCTCCTGGCGCAAAGCCACAAGGCAAGCGACCCGGCCGAAAGCCGCTGGACCCATCCAAGTTGGTGAGTAGTCTTTTACCAACATTCATAGGGTCATTTGTGCCATATTTGGTTTTTGTAACGTTTCACTAATGCCCATCAGGAGAATACCAATGATCCAAAGCAGAAACGCAAGGCGCAAAACAGAGCTGCGCAGCGAGCATTCCGCGATAGAAAAGAAAAATATGTCAGCGAGTTGGAAGATAAAATCGCAGAACTCGAGGAAGAAGCGGCAGATTGGGCCGGTAAATATGAACAAGAAACGAAGAACCTTAAGAAGCGAGTTGAAGAACTGGAAGCAGAAAATTATGTACTCAAGGGTACAGCATTCACATTTGACTTTCCTTTGGAAAAGGCAAAAGCATCAGCAACACACACTACTACTTCCCATTCACCACCCAAGGATGCAGAGTCTGATGCTTTCAGTAGTCCACAATTCTCTCGTGATAGTAGTTATCCATTTGAATCCAATAGCGAAAATAATTCCACGGCCAATTCACCTCCTAGTCTAAAGGAAGATAGTCCTAATAGTGTCAATAAGGATAGCTTGTTCAGTACCAGTTTCGGCGACAGTACCAGCAACAGCCTCTTTAACGATAGTAACGATCTATTCTCTACGACTTTCCCTACCACCAGCGATGATAACAAGGATACCCAACAACAGTTTGATCAACTTCTCTCCGAGCCTATATTTGATCAATCTGGCGGTCTGACGGAGTTCATGAACTCGGCGTTCACCACCAACAATATGGATCCAACCTTGTTTACTGAGTATCGTTTGCCAACCAACGCACAAATCGATACTGGTATCGATCATCTTCCCCCGCTCTTCGAGGGGGATATGGATGACCTTGGTTTCTCACCCGTCAGCTCGGAACCCAACATCACTGACATTGAACATGATCGACCCAGTGCATGCTCTGAAAACTGGAGGCGTCTTAAGAAGCATCCGTATTTTGATGATATGGATTTAACGTGGCTGTGCGAAGAAATGCGAAGCAAGGCAACATGTCGTGGATCGATATATAGATTATCAGAAGACGATGTTGATAAGGTCTTGAAGCGCCTTGATAACTATGGGCAACTCAAATGAACCAAAGATGCCCCCCGTCTCTTTCATTTCGCTTGATTTCCGCCCTCCACTCTACCTTTTAGTGCGCCTTACCATACCAAAACTTTAAAGTTCTTTTCCATATTTACTGCATCCCCAACCTTTCGCTCCCTCCCCTCCTCACTTTGACAAGATTGATCTTCGTTTGTATATATGTCTAATTTTTTTTTTTTTTATATTTCAATGTAATGGGTTTTTTTTAAAACACAAAAACTGCATGCTTGCTTTAGAAACACGCCAATGTGATTAAAGCCTTTTTATATGTTGACATAGGTGACGCGCAGATCATCGTGATGTATTCAGCTTGCAAAAGGCATTAAATGCCATACCTGTAAAGATAAGATGTTTAGCGCGGAAGGAATATACGGGAGACAAGAGAGAAAAGAACGTACCACTTGGAGCGGCAATCAACGGCCTGTCTTCTGACCAAACGCTTATTGTCATCAAGACATAAGCTGAGCTGCTTGATAGCATAAGTGGAGTGAGGTTGCAGAACGTCTCTGGTAAGACTGACGGGGAATTGAGCAAGACAGGTTAATGCGCTGATGCGGACAGCCATTTGTTTGCTATGTTGTGCGACTTGTAGCAGTGCAGGGACCAATCTGCGAACATGCTGAGATATAATTTCAGGAGCGTCAATCACGGCGATGCGGAACGTATCTAGGGTGGAAATTTTCAGGCTTGCATCGTCAAGCTCAAGGGAATCGAGCAAAAGTGGTATGAGCTGCATAATGGGGCGAGCAGAATGGTCAGTCAGGTTTGCAAACAAAAATTTTCGTCCTATGATGGTTGCCTTTTCTGTGCGTATCACTAATAGCCAATACACTTACGGGTGGAAGCTCGTTGAGAAGGACTTGCTTGCGCACATTGCGCAGCAAGTAGGACAAGGCGATTAAATAATTGGGCTTGATATCTACGACACCAAGGAGAACAGGTCACTAACGACGGCATGAAGGAGATCCTCACAGAATATCATGTCTCTTACCTGCTTGAGAAGACTTAAAATTCTCCACCAGTTTAGGAAGACAGTAGTTGAAAAATCTTTGTTTGTAAAGTAGCTGGATGGGAAAAGATTGCCATGCATTAGAGCTTTGATAATCGGATATCCAAAAAATATGTAAATATATTTACTCACATTTAAAGTAGCACCAGATGCTCTGTTCAAAACCAGGTTATCATCCCCAACGATAAGCTCGAACCCGTGGGCAGTGCGACCTCCGAGTACCGGAGAAGCACACCAAGTGATCAACTGATCAGTGATGGTATATCCAATGGGTTTGGCCATAAGCACAAGGGCCTTGCAAGTCTATAGGGGGGTCTCGCCGTTAGAAACGCATGATTTGTGCTCACTTAAGAATAAATATAAGACGATGCTTACCCAGAGCAATATGGTCAGAGCAGCGTGGTTGCTTTCAGCAATGGGGACTAGCTTGGACACCAAGCCTTCAACATAGGTGTTCCTCACAGCATCTGTACCCCAAATATTTAGCCATACAGCGCATACGTATGGAACAATCTCACTGATCAAATGAACTTACCGTCTGCCCACTTGTTAACAATAGCACCATGAAGCTGGGCAAGAGCAATAACCTGCAGTTCGCAGGAGGAGGAGGAAAGAGCTGCACTGACGAGTTCATCTAAAAATTCTTCATGACTAGCGATGGGTAGCTGAACTGTACGTGAGTAGGAAGACACAGCCACCGCAAATAAGGTGCTAGTCTTCTTTTGAGCATCAGGGCTTGATGCGTCCAAGGGTTTAAATGTGTGGTCTGATTCAAGCTTAAGGCTAGAGAGATCGCTCTTGGTGTATATGTCGAACAGGCGGTTGATATACTCAGATTGAACACTGAAATAACGTACAGCATATCAGTAAACCATTCAAACTCGCTGCGAATGTAACAGAATAACCTGAGCTCACCTAGCCTCGAGATGTTGGAAAATTACGGCAGTGATGGAAGCGATAACGGAAAGAATGCGATCGTCAAGTATCGAGCTGGTGGTTTGACTGGCAAGTGATGCTGATATACACTGTCCAAACAACTTCTCAAAAACCAAATCGACCCATTTGCCAATATCTTGCTTCTCCGTTTTCTGCTGTAAGATGGTGTCGAAAGCATGGATGATTTCGTAGGCATATATATATTGTTCTGGCTGTTGGCGGGTTGCCGTCTCAAACTTGGATACTAATTGTATACCAACGACATCAAAGATGGCAGGCATTGAGGACAACTCGGTCAAGTACTCAAGGTTTTTCTGGTGAGCTGAAGCCTTGTCGTCTGCCTCAGAAGCTGGCATGGTATCCATTAGTACAGGAACGGTGTAGTCTAAAATTTGCTGCTGTTGTGTTTTGGCGATAGACAATAGCGATGACAATGCTTTGACTTGCAGCTCGTTGTCATTTTGATCCACCAAGATTTTTGTAAATGTTCGGACTGCCAACCCAACCTATAAAGTAATAATGTCAGCTCCATGAAAGTGTTTGTGGAGTTTGAAGGAAAAACCTATACCTCATTATCAGCTAAGTAATTCTTCATGAGAGTCATGACATGAAGACCTTTTATGCCTGCCAGACGAAGTCCATTGTATTCGTTTGACGCCGTAGTTGCTGACTCAAACAATTCCCAAAGGCGATCTTTATAACCCAACAGAGGAGTCTGAAAGTCAGCATCTATTCAGGTTGGAAGAGAGAAAGGGTTTAGACGACCGACTCATGGACCTGAAACGAACTACATCAATGTGAGATTTACCATTCTTTGCGTCAGTTCTTTCTCCATACAGGGTCTTGCTAGCTTCCAAGAACTCCAAAAGAACATCTAGTACAGCCTTCTTCTGCGTAGCTAAATCCGTTTCTCTATGATGTCTAAGCAAAATTGGCATGATGGCATCGATTATGGAGTTGAAAGCAGGGTCTACGAAATTGTAAAGCCATTAGGATACAAATCAAATCATTTTCCATTGATCTACCGCTTTACATACCAGAGGCAGAGGCAGCAGCTCGTAAAATCCGGCCGGCCGGCTTAGCGTTTTTGAGCTCTGGATCTTTCAAATTGACCATGCACTCAACCACCAGTGGCTTCAATGCATTCTCGGCTGGATCATTGGCGCTATCGCTGCTAATCGTTGTACTCAGAGCAGCTACGACTTGGTGGATAGCCTCAAGAGCTGTGTCTTCAAGAACCGGGTCAGTGGCATGGAAAACTTCAACCTTGAGGGCATCAAACAATTCATTGATATCCGGCAATAAGGCATTAGCACCATAAACCGGTGCACATTCAGCAATAGTTTCCATGGAGTCTTTCTGTTAGTTTAGGACGACGATGTTAGATGTGTCTTACTGCATTAGATCGAAGATGGAGTCTGTTAATACCTTTGCACTACCAGAACTGGATGACAACTTCTCCAATAACAAGGGCATAGCGAACTTTGCGAACAAAGGTGAGCTAGACAAACTGTGTCTAAAGATCCAAAATGTAAAGTGGGTCAGCGCATATACATTAGATCGATACCGATAAACCTTTCAAAACACTCATAGTTTACCTCAAGGTAATTTTCAAATCTTCGGCAGTGATACCGTATGGGTCATCCGGAGGAGGCTTAAAGGTGATTGGAAAGTAACAGAATGTGACCTCAAATAGATCTTCTACGTGGTTAGAGATATCAAAGTTCACAACAATCTCCTTGACGAGTGCAAAAGCCTTCATCAAATTTCTTGGGTCCTTTTCACCATCCATTGCCTGGCTGAATCCAAATACGAATTCGTTGTTCATTGATCTCAAAGCTATCACAATGGTTAAAGATGAATATTCATTTTCGATGACAGATCATTTTACTACAAAGAGTACAAGCAGACTTACCACTAGAGTACCTTGCTACCAGCGATCCTATTATTGAGAAAACTCTATATCTGGCAGTCTGAGGGAAAGATTGTGTCTTGACATTTTCAAACAGCCTAACCATTGCATTAGTCCTATTGGATCGGCAAAGCCCTTTCCTTCCAGGATGCAAACCGGCACTTACATCTTGGAAACAGTCACGGCACTCTTCTCCTTGAAGTTATCGAAAGTGACGAGGGCATCGATTCCCTCTAGTAGTTTCGGGACACATGTTTCGTCTGAGAGGCGATCACAATAGAAATGGACCAACACATCAACTAGGTGGAAGGATTTAGTATACTTCAGCATCCTTTTTATCAATGAAAGCATATTGTGTGAGCAAGAAAGTACCTGCTGCCGCATTGATGCTGGATTGATTGGTTTCGGAAAGCACATGGGACAGCAATCCGGTAGCTGAGAATGAGATCATTTGTCAGCAACACTTTCAGTAACGACGTAGATCTGAATACCATGAGGCTCTACCTTTAGCTCGAATGAAGCCATCGTCGTTGGTGAGATATTCACCGAGGGATTGGATCAATTGCAGTAAATTGGCTTGAGTGTCTCCGGAATTGACAACTGTTGCGATGGCAAATACGGTCAATTGAAGGTGTCGGTTACTAGGGAGTGGGATCAGCAGCCGCACTTACTTTTCGAGATGTCATCGGAGGCAGAGACAGCCTCGGCTGAAGCATCGCCGGTTGCCACCATGTATTTAGCGACATGCTTGTCCATTGAAGTCATAGCGAAGATGGGAGACTGTCAGTTTCAAGCTTAAGCTGATGGATTGCAATTGCGAAATTTGTGACAGCTGTCTGTTTGATCAACCCTGCCTGCCTGGAAATCTTTTTATTTTTTTTATTTTTTGGGATTTGTCCAACCATTCAAGGCCAAATGCTGAGAGCAACCACATACCGCACCAGCTTGGTAAGATGCACGGAAATGACCCCGCGAAGGAGTTATCGCCAAACTTATGCTTTCGTTCTAGAGCATTTGCAAGCTGAGCTCCCCAAGCTTTGCTCTTCGACCCATTCACACTACTAAACCTTCCGATGGTAAGCATAAACCTGCCTATGATGCAAACGTAAGCCCCCCAAACCTAAACAACTGTCAAATGTATCAGACCTCACCACCGACAAACTTCCTTCTCCTTTGAACGACGTTTTGTATCAAAAAGTGGAAGCGGATATGATAGGAACACCCGACCCTATCTCAAATTTACGACCAGTCAAATACTTTGTTGCAGCGAATGAGACACCAGAGGTAAAAACAGCATTCCCTTGCCACGTTTTACTTAGACACATTAATGTACTCACTGTTGATGGAAATTTTCAGGAGACGGAGTGGCGGTTACATCGTCAGCGTGTAGACCAATTCAATGAAGACTTTTGGAGTTCCAACAATGCGTTGTTCGTTAATGCGAAGGCCGAATACGAAGAGTCAAGTATGTGGAATTCATTCTATAAAAGGCTTGAGTAGACATGGTGAACTCAACCCACTTTCGTTTTTAGTCAGGGCTCGTGGAGAGAAAGTGACGGCTGAAGCACTTTCTGTGTTTTACAAAGATTTCCTCGACAAAGCTTACGACCGACAAATGGCGTATAACAAGCAGTGGTGGAAAGAGAATATCGGCATGTTATACCCAGGAGCAAAAGCAGCATTCAGACAGCTAATGCAAAAAAAGAAGCAAGAAGCATTACCCCTTAGTTTCTGGGACAAAAACTTTGAATAGAAGACAACCACCACCGTAATATCCCCCTTCCGTCCACCCCATCATTGACTGCATGTAAATAGAACTGAACTGACGATGAGAGGAACAAAAGATTCATTATTACACGATTGGCTTGCTTTTACAAATTGGCAGTGGTGTGCTTGAAAAGCAATTTGTTGACTTTGGTTGCCTCCTGGTATTCCTTGACGATGTCTTGGATGCCCTTGAACTTTTCGTGCTTGGCATCTCTGACAAGCTGGAATAGTATGGACTCGGAAGTGGTGATGACTGCACCTGCCTGTCTCATTCTCTAGGTGAACGCAATGTCCGATTAGTGAACAGAAAGTTGGATTTCCAGCAAAAGAGGATTGGGAACTTACAGCCAAGGCAATATCAATTTCTGGGTGATTTTGAGACGAAACACCATCCGATAGCACATGAACATCAACGTTATTTTCCAGCAAATCCAAAGCAGTTTGAAGGACACAGACATGGCTCTAAAAGAAGATGTGAACTTTTAGTGTCCCGTAGGATATGACCCAACTGTGCACAATTGAAATTGTCTATACCTCAATACCGAAAAGAATGACGGATTTGATGTTGTTCTGCTTTAATGACTCTGCAACTTCAGGTAAGTACATGCTAAACTTGGTCTTTGGCAACACTGCTTTGGCATCCGACACGTCGAGTTCGGAAACGGTAGCGCCTAGACCTGGAGAGACAATGTGAGAAAAAAATATGGATTTGTACACCAGGGTATTGATGGATTATGAATTTACCTTTGGGGTATTGTTCGGTGACATAGACTGGCATATCCAGGGTTCGAGCAGCTTTAATCTTGTTGAGATAGTTTCGGTTACATAATGGGATATATAAAATTGGCTCTTGTGTAGACCCCACAAGTGGGAGCTTACCATTTTTCCGGCAACCGATATGACGGATGGAAACTGCCAGATACGGCCACGAAACTTTTCTTGAATGTCGCATACAAATACAGCGGTGGATTGGGGAGCGATGCGAGCGATCTTGGAGATGGACATGTTTAAAAAGTGACTCTCACAGGGCAGGGTTTGAGTTGAAGTCCGGCATCGCCACTAGGCAGGGTTAGTCAAAGCTGCATCTGTCACGTGGTTTGACTTTCGGACCTGGGCTCAGAGAAAAAAGGCGGGCAGGCAGTTTCACTATGGCTGTCCCCCCCCCATCCAGCCAGTCTTCCCTTACTATTAACAGGTCGGTATATTATGTTCAAAGGGAGTTCAGCAGAAGAACAAAAAGCTAAATGTGGCTGTTGTACTAGCATCGACTGCCTTGAATCCCCCTCGGTGGGACACACAATTGGTAACGATCGTCAAAATCAAGGCGCTCTCGAGGCGGGCCAAAGCGAAAATCACAATAAACACAGAGATTCCTTTTTTTTTTTTTTCTCGCTCTCTCTCTTTTACCCTTGTCCTTCTTCTCTCTCCTTTAAGGTCCTCAGTTGCCCTTTTTTATCCATCATGATGGCCGTGAAAGCTGACTACTTACTGAGCTTACGCTCAGTACGTGAGCAGACCAAGCAGATGCAGCACATCGTTCAATCAGGCAGGTTACAGCATTTTGACATCGATCTAGGGAAAATGGAAGAAGTTGTACGATTTGTCACGTTGCTGGTCAAGCGAGACTTTGACGATCCGAGCGATATGCCATCGCATTCAAGATGGAGACACTTTGAAGTGGGTGGAAAGCCAAGAATAAAACAGCTGGAGTCCTCTTGGGCATCAGTGACTCCAACAGAGAAGGCTAAACGTCTTATTGACCTGTGTGTTATGAGTGTACTACTTGACGTAAATCCTCTGCATCACTGGGCGTACCAAGAAAAATCAACCGGAAGAACTCACAAGCGAACCGAGGGGATTGCTATTGCTGTACTTGATCTTTTCAAGTCTGGTCTCTTTTCTAGTGATCCTGGTGATCCTAATCGCGTCGATGGTAAAGTTTATAAAAAAAGAAAAAAAAGAGTTCAGTTGAATACCCGCTTTGTCCACCCTCTGACTGTCCTACACTCTTCTGCAGCATCGGCATTAGCAGACTTGACTCTCGACGACTTGGCCAGCGGATTTCAGTTGAATGCAAAAAATACTTTGATTGGCCTCGAAGATCGAATCAATCTGATACAACATGTCACGGAAACAATGAAGGATTATTCCAACATTTTTTCGGGTAATGATAAGTCATCTTCTCGACCTGGAAATATGCTAGGTAAAAGATCTATTTATTTATATGACCTGCAATTTTACCATAATATGTCAAACCATGGATGATCACTGACGATCGCTCTCCTTTCCAGATTACATCTTGTCGCATCCTTCCACCGTTCGTTCAAGTAAAGGTACTGTGATTCAAATGGAGACGCTATGGTCTGTGGCTATCTTGCTGGGAGAACTATGGGCACAAGGCTCACCGGTTGAAGGAAGATCGGTTGGCGATGTGTGGCCATGCGAAGCGTTGAGATCTGCTGGCTTTTCGGATCCCTATGTGCCCTTCCACACCACCACCCAATGGCTTTGCTACTCCATCGTTGAAGTACTTGAAACTCAACTCGGTATCACAGTGGATGGCAAAGATCAACTCACTCCACTGACCGACTACCCTAATGGTAACATAATATTCTGTTGTGCATATTAAACACGTTTTATCATACCAAACCAACCTCTTACAACCAGGTGGCTTGCTTCTGGATACCGGATTTCTTACCTTGAAAAAAGGAGATCTGGAGTCGGGTCTGTCCAACTACCGACGTAACTCTCTGTTACCGGGGCAACCCAAGATGGAAGTCACCCCCATGTTTGATATTAGCGACCCTGTGGTTATTGAATGGCGAGCGCTGACTATCACCTATAGTGAGATGATAGCGTCTAAGGTGCGCGACAAACTCAAATCCAGGAAGAACTTGTCATTATCACAAATCCTCGAAGGAGGCATCTGGAACGTAAGTAACTGGTTACTCATAAGTGGATGGGGGGCGAACCTACCCAAAGCTTTATATTGTCGATACTGACATATTTGACATGCGCAGGCTGGACGGGAGCTGGCGGAGATTTCTAGGCCAAATACTCAAGAGCCGCCTATCGTTATTAAAGTAAGCTAGTCTGGGGATAAATATTCGATAGCCATCTCATTCACTGACAATAACATGCACTAGATCGAGAAGAACACCATGTTCTAGGCATACCTGATCTACCTATTATTACTAGCGATAAACTAGTAGGCATTTTTTTTATGATTTGAGAGACCATATCTCCTTCAAAAAATTTGTGTACAACAGAACTACTTAGCATGATGTGGAGAACGGTATTCTATGAACGGTGATATCCATTTTTTTTTCTCACACACACGTTCCATAATAAACGCATCCATTACCAACAGCGTATGGCGAGCACCTTGGCTGCTTATCGTTTTGCGTGATCACAGCCGAACGAGGTAAATTGTCTCATGCATCACAAAAGCTGTTGTCTGACTATGTTTCCATGCGTGTGTAATGCCAAGTAGGCGTGTTAAAAAAAAAGTGATGTTGGACAAAGGCCGTTTAACTCACGATTAATTGCAGCGTATGACAATACTGCGCACAAACCTTAGGCAGTATCATCAGACAAATGGAATGCAGTTTCGTCATGGGGATGGGGTTTCGGCCGTCGTACGATGGAGGACACTTTTCTTGTCGTATCCTGTGAATATTTTGCCACAAAAGCAACACAACAACAGAATGTTGCAGGATGAAACATTACAATTATTTGTGTACTGATAAAACTCCGTCCAAGCACGAAAGGAACAAATCTGCATCAAATCGTAATTATTTTTTTTAGAGATTGAGGACATACAGCTTTAAATTCAAAGAGCGCCTCTGAACAATGAGGACGACAGAAATTGAGGAAAGGTACCATTTTTCAATTGTCCACAGCAGACATCTTGAAATAAAAATAAAAAAAACCACAATAGAATTGTGCGAATTTTAGGTGGAAGGCGAGGGCAAAAAAAAACATTCAGAGAAAATATACATAGCGGGAGCGTGCTTATAGTACTAAGTGATAAGAAAGGTATGAGTTTAACATTGTCTTCCTGGCCTGCGGTCGTCGACAAGGGGAATGACCATCAATTGTTCCTGAACAAAATCTATCATTGCATTGGAATACTCTTTTTGAGTCAGTTTAGGTTGGATCGATCCAGTGGCTGATGTCCAGCATCGCGAACAGAAATCGTCATCCTGAACCATGTAGCGATTGCAGGTACTGCACTTGCGGTGGCAACGAGAGCAGAACCAGTCAGAGGAGAGGGCAGTATCGCAAGTTCCGCAAATCACTCCATCAGTTAATTCGGCAGTCTTCCTTGTCGGTGACATGCTATGGAGAGAAGGACGAGTTGAGTGGGGGTATAACCTTTTTGAATTTAAAGAGAGAATGGAAAAAGGGAAGGAACGAAAATGAAAGGAGATTTTTTTTTTTATTTCATTCATTCCTTCCTTTTATGTGATTCATAACCGGACATAATATGAGTATAACCAGCTTTTCCGTGCCTACACTGACTTACTTTCTATGGCCCTCCGCAATGACCTTGCTATATTTGTTCACTGTCTCGTGTTTGTTTTTGTACCTTTTATATTTCATGACGGAAAGAGGTGGATGGAGGAGGAAAAAAAAAAAAAAAGCGTCGGTAGGGTTTGGTTCAAAGTGAGTTTGATTGATGCAATGCAAGATGATGATTGCCACATGCTCTCTTTTGCGGTCCAACTCCCCAATTTTTATAACCTACCTACCCCGATTTTTTAAAGTTCCATGGTGCTATAATGGGAGAGAACTCTGTTTTGCATGGTGTTGATTTGATTGAACTGCACATTTTGTGGGATATGCGATTGTCTGGCTTCTAAACGTAACTACGGCAAAACTTATTCCGTGCGTTTACACTGGGCGGAATTTCTGTTGTGTGTCAGCCCTAGAAAAGAGTGGTAACTGACATGTAGTTGATAGCTGACTTTTCTATTGAAAAACCCCCTTACATCTTTTTCTTTTTAATATGGGCTGTACAAACAACATGGTTTTGGAAAAGAAAACGGCGCGGATCATGTGTGCAGTACAGTAGCATGCCCTTCCGTGCCAATTTTTTTATAACCGGGCGAAATATCCTTTGAGCCTCAAAATGCGTGGTGCTCATCGTTTGCTGCGTGAGTAAACCGACAAATAACGCCAGCCTAAACATGCATATCGATTTCTTGTAAGTTTTCCCAGTGCGGTATCATACAGAAAAAGTATGATCATGAGTTCTTTATCATTCGCATTTTTAAAAAGCTGGTTCATGTAGGACACACTGTAATGGAATGCATTAATGTCCGGTCCCCATGTATGCAACAACCCGTTTCGTTACACTGTTGTGACATGTTGCAGCTATCGAGAGACGAAGAACCCTCAAGAAAAAAAAGAAGGGAACTTCCATTTCTCTTTTGTTTTTCTTTTTCTTGTGCCTACGATGTTTTTATTTTGGTTCAATCAAACATAAACACACGTAATGCATCTAAATACTCGTGTTAGCTAATTCCGAAGGAAACGGCTGGTCAAAAAGAGGCTGTAACACTTGCAAGTCTCGCAAAAGAGAAGGTGGGGTAGTATGGTTGGAATATGCAAATCTCAGATGGTGCAACGCGAGCCAATACAATGCACCATTTTCACCACCATTCATATCGACTTTGGACACTTTCCTCGTGCAAACGGCCAGAAGCATATCTCGCAAAATGCTTTCATTTTGTTCAGGAGGCTGTACATACGCTTGAACTCCTCCCAGTAAGTCCGTGATGGGGACACGAATGGTCGGTAGGGTATCAATCAAATCGTTCCACAGATGATGTTTGTAATCGATTGGACAGCTGGACATCAGCGGAAGCAACAAGAGTCTGGCAAAGGAGCGATCACCATAAGATATGGCAGCGTATTGAGCGGCAAAGTCCTGATAGAACTGGTAAAATGGTACAGCCGCTTTTCGGACATGACACGAACTGTCGGACCAAGCTTCCTGCAATGATGCATGCAGCTGTGCAGCTGACATGCAATTCAGCCACTCTTGGATTCTTAACGTCACATTGCTGTCGCGGAACAAGTCTTGTCCATCCTCCGGATGGCCAAAACCCACTTCCACTTGGACGTTTCGACCTGATCTCTCGCCAAGAAGGAACAGCTTCATGAGTGAAACGGCTACAGTGGTTAAATCTTGGTGTCCACTAAACAGTTTATAGATTTGAAGCGTTTTGTCCAACGCTGCTGTGACAATATTAGGCTCCGTGGCATTGTAGCCATGTGGCAAGTCTCGAAGTATCTCCGACTTATCCGCGTGATAGAGCTCGTCAATGGGAGACAATAACAATGCCAACACATTATGAGGTATTTTAGTATCTTGAATACCGCTTTGCACCATGGTTTCGATGAACCTTCCATCATGTAAGAACAGACCTTTGGATTCTTGCAACTTAGCGTCCGACCCAATACATTCCTTGTAGAACGGTAATAGTACACCATCATCATTGCTTTCCTTTTCAGTCGTTGAAGACGTTGAAAGAACGTGGTTTAGAATCCATTGAACTGGCCACTCATCTCCGCTGGATGATTTGTGCATGAAAAAACCAGCTAAGATCGACATGGGCTCTATAGTTGATTTAGGTAATGCACGTGTACTCAATGTCAAACTGGTTACAGAATAAAGGTGTGACCATACAGTCTGAGCTGGATACTTTCGAGTGTGTCGGCTTTCCATCCAACTGAAACTGGTATGGTGTGCACCGAGATAGAGTTTCGCAATTTGGTCGATCATAATGTGTGCAACCTGATCATGTATTAACCATTCACATGCTTGTTGCGCGATGTTGGCTAATGGAATCCTACCATATGATCCCAGCAGCTGACTAAATCTAGCCACAACATCAAGCACAATATCTCTCTTGCTTAAGCATTTGTAGTGATCCAGAGTGTCCGGCCCGTATATCCCGGAAAGGTTGGTGTACTGCACAGGTTGTGGACGGCTTGGCCATGACTGTCCAAGATGGTCCAAAAGACGTTCCAACGCCGAGAGCCAGCTCGACTGAAGAAGGCTATCAGCAATAGCAACCCAGGTATCCTCAACGATTTGTTTATCAGCGGGAGGATTAGAATCCAGATATCGACACCACGTCGCAAGATAGCCAATGGAGACTGCTATGAGGCTGAGTTGTGCATCGTCTTGAAGATCCGTATCCTTTTTTGTACTAATAGACACCAAATCGGCAGCACTCTTCTTTAGGATGGAAACAATTAGTTCATGGAAAGCCATTGGTTGCGCCCAGCAGATATCATGTTGAGGCAGCGTTCGATGAGTATCGGATGCATCGTGAAGATACGTTTCTAATAGCGCGATCACCGAGATACTTCTTGCGTAGGTTAGTTCTGCCGCCTTGTCCCATTTTTCATTATCCAGTGTATCCTTGGCCATGATCCACAGTGGTATTTTTGGTGCCAGATCAGCCATCACATGGCAGTAGAGACCATAAGCAGCAAGCAAGCGGTACAATTCGAGCGTTGCCAATTGTAACTCAAAAGCGTGTATGACAGCTGAAGGATCGGACATGGCGGATGGAGACAAAGTGAGGAAACGAAGCGTATTATCAACATGACCAGTTTCGATACAAACACTGATGGCAATTTGTTTTTTGGCAGCAGCCATAGCGTGTAAGAAGTGAATCGCTTCCAATGATGGCCAACCAACATTAGACTTATTGGACGACTGGCTGGAGGAAATGATGGGCCATTGTGTGTTTTCAATACCATGGCTAACAATCAGGTCGACTATCTTGGGCTCTTCCACAGCAATCATTTCGCATATGCTATCACTGGTCCTGGCTAAGCGTTCAGTAATGGAAATAAGTCGCATAACGGTCCAGCTATCCAGCCCACCAGGTTGACACATGTGCTCCAACAGATAGCGAATTCGAGGCAATATGTTCATCTGTACTAAGGCTGATATGACGTCCTTTTCTGCCAATTTGGCGTGTGCTTCCATTGTATTCGCTTCTGGTTCCTCGGTGTCATCATCGGCGGAAGTGTTGTTTAAAGTATCAACCGCATTGGTAAATTTTTTATCCAGGCCAGAAGCAGAGGTGGCGCTGTCAACTTCACCTGCGGGGATTTGCCAAATCCTCTCATATCCTCTATCCAAATTAAAACGAAGATGTTTGTACATGGAAATATCATCATCATCGTTGCAAATGAGAGAAGCAAGGGCGTTGATAGCAGCAGCAACGGCTCCAGTATATTTGTCGTCCAAAGCAGCTCGCAAATAAGTAGCGCCTTTCATATCAGATATAATAAAAGACCAAATGTTTCCAGAGATCGAACGCCCATAACCTTGCTGTTTGGTTTTCTGTATGATGCGCGAAATGGTATTGAGAACAATCACTCGCTGAGAGGATACTTGACTTCGCATAAGGTGGAACAATTCCGGGATGGTGTAGCCAGCCTCATTCGGATTCTGCCCATGGTGATGCAAACCTTTATGGACAGGAACGGATTTATCTGTAATAATATTTCCGGCAAAGTCAAATCGAAGTTGCGCAGCAGCGTTTGAAAAACTGGGTACATCTGTCGTTTGATCCTGCTGCTCGCCAATGCCCATCCAAATCATCTTTTCAGGTTCAGACTCGACATTTTGAAAGTATTTCTTCTTCATAGCGATAGGATGATCTTCCTCCATGACATCCGCGGCAGTATCGATGGTATCAGAAAACTGTACCTTTTTGACATTAGGTGAAGCAGATGGAGTGTCTTCTTTTCTCTCACTCATTGGCTTCCTCTTCATCAACTTTTCTATCAAAGCCGGGTCCATGGACGCCATCAATTGTGCTCGAGCAGCGATAATATCCTCCTCCGACATTGCATTGATGGCGTTGGTATTCTCTTCGTGGATATCTTGATACTTTTCGTTCACAAACTCCTCATCATCCTTCGATGGTAGGTCGCTTAAAATGGTTGCTTGATCTTTCTCCTTGTTGAGTTTTTCGTCCATTCGCTTTCGGAATTCGCTTCGATGTACAGGTTGTGGAAATCCAGTGGATTGTCGAGCGCGATTGGCGAAGCCTAGGTCAAAATCCAATTTCACCACATCTTTCTTCGGTTCCGGGATGCTTTCTTTTACAGTGCCGATGACATTTCCCAGCATAGAGTTGACGTCAATGAGGCGTTTAGTAACGAGCGGCTCCTCCTCCTGCTTTGGCGCGCTCTCCGCAGTATTGGAAGCTTGAGCTCGACGAGAAGCAAACAGGGACTTTTTCTTTCCACTCTTCATCTTCCTATCTGGTCGTTTTTCCGGGACAGCTTCGAGTTCTGGAACGTCCTCTAGATCGGGCATACCCAAATCCTCCTCCTCCTCTATCTTTGCAGGTGTTGGAGCTGATCCAAATACGGGCGGTGGCCGTCGAATAACCTTTGCAGCAGGTGTAGAATTCATAGAGATAAACTCTTCCTGAAGACGGAGTAGATCCTCTTCATCCTCTATGTCTTCGAGCCTTGGTCTAATGGAATTCTCCATGTCTTTGTAAGCAATGGAGCGGATCTTAGGGATAGGTCTGCGAGATTTTTGGCAGAAATCGTGACTGTGTTTTAAGCGAAGGTACAGCTTCTGTTGAAGGATCAAAAAGATCTCTGCCTGGTAGGTAGGCTGCAGCACCAGCCAATATACATCAAGTAACCAAAGTCAATAGCTTCTTCAATCACGCTTAAAAATTTGTCAAAAATACCAACTCTGATCGTATAAATTCAAAAAAATAATGTGATAGTGCTTTATCAAAAACAGTATTGTACAAAAATGACATAAAAAAAAACATTCTACTGCTGTGACCTAGATTTAAGGTATTTCTGGCATTTCTTCTTCAGTTGAGCAGCGGTTTGCTGGTATTCATTGAGCTTCTTGTCCCAAAACATGGCCTCGTAGTCGTCTCCATGCTTTGCAATCAGCTGAGCAACCCAATCTGATTCGAATTGGGTCTGGTGTCGTTCAACGACGAGTGCATTGGCAGCTTGTTCCTCAAGAGCTATAACAAAACAGGTCAGATCACAAATAACTCATCACGAAAAGTAAGTGTCCGGGTGGCAGCATATGACTTACCTCGAACAACGTCGGTCTTGGCTTCAACCTTCTCTGCTTCCTCTTCGAGGATCTCATCGTGCGATTTTCTGTCACCAACAATGATTCGAACAACATTGCCTTCGTCGTCTCTTTGAATAAAACCTTCACCAGGCTTGAGTGTCTTCTTCAACTTTTCAATTTCTTCTTCTGTAAGTTCCTTCAACTCGGTAGGCTCTTCTGCTTCCTCAGGCTTAACAGTATTCAAAATCTCCTTTCCTCCTGTTGTTCCATTCAACGATGTGAGCAAACCGAGCTTTTCGTAGCTGTTAGACAGGAAAAGTTAGGATGAGAATTTAAAAATTCGTTCAATTAATGAGGTTTAACTCTTACTTTTGTCGCAGCGTCTTCTTCTTGTCCCAGTTGGCTTTTATAATGTCATTGCCCTGCAGCTGAATCAGTACGTTTTCACAATCGGAATCCAGGCAAGAATGGTTTGACTTACAGTTATGACGACCTTCTTCTTATGCTTGTTGGCGGTCCTTCGGGTAACCCGATTACCAGATCTGTTCATCTTTCTCTGTCTAGGATTCGCCATTGTGCTGTTAACTGAAGGGCTAAAGTAAGATCTGGTTCACTTTGAAAAAAAAAAAAAAAGTGCCAAATTTGTGATCGTGACTGTCACATTCCCTTTTCCGACCTGTAGTATCTTAGCGTTGAACCTCGGCTGTACGTACGTTTACAGGTGAAGCTTTCCTTTGCATGTTGTCTTCAAGCGAGTAGAATATATGTGTATTTTAGTAAATTGAACATGCTCCTATACGATCCTGAGCTCCATCATGCAGCAATAAGGAATACCAACACATATTGAATAGTATCGTCCTTTAAAAGTCGCAGGCATCCTAGGAAATCGCATTAGTTACCTGCTTCGGCGGAAACATCTCTTGACTATATAATAAAGGGCACGCTGTAGCAGAAAACATTAAACCTTTATATTTTACTACTTCAGAAAATCATGACGGTGCTCTTTCAGTCTGAACATGCCCAACAATGATGAGTGTGTGCCATGCGGCGGGCACTTAACGCCATAGGGGTTTCGTCCTTGAAGTATCCTTCCATTCTATATTGGTCACTATCTTTGAACCGTCATCGGTGTCATCAATAAATGGGGTTGGAACTCTGCAAGAGGCTCTACCTAACATGTTTAGATATGCAGCACTCGCTGTCGATGACGTTAAGGTCGCCTTTAGACCCGAATCCATTTCGCATATATATCCCATCACTGACTTTGTAGTAACCCCCCATTCAACACAAGCCTTCACGTAAGTCTTCGTTCAAATAGTTTATATACAATGCTTCAATGAAAATGAGCTTGGATCCAAGATGTACATCTATTTCTTCTTTTGTTCAGCCCTCTTGTTCATTTCGTCAAACTTCTTCTGGGCTTCCTTGGGGATGGGAGAGGGACGTTGCTCCTTGCTCTGTTCTTCCTTTCGAATCTTATCGGCATGCTTTTTGGCGAGTTCTGGGGTCTCTGTTACAAGAACGTAGACTTAGTGTGGAACTCCACGTAGTGATCTTGGTTTAACTGTACTTACGTTTTGACTCTGCTGACACGGCAGCGGATCGAGAAAAGGCTCTACGTGCAGTTGTGGAGTAAATTCTTTGTAGGGAAGTGCGAATCATGTTTAACTGGAGTGTTGCTGTCAAAGCTGATATAGCTCAGTGGAAGAGAGAGGTTAGGGATTTTATACGGAGAGGATGAGGAACCAATGACGTATTGGTGAGGGAGAAATGTTGCATTTTTTTTTTTTGGGGGGGAGCGAGGCAATGCCGCACTGGCTGGGATTTGGACAATTGCCCTAGCGTGGTGGCCCAAGTCCCAAAAAATAATTAACACTAAGCCCACGCATTTTTGTCCACAGAAACACCCTGTTCTCCAGTAACTGGAAGAAACCTCTCATACAGCAGTGAGTTGCTGTCAAAGTGACACTCCAACCAATGTAGCCGCAGAATAAATGCAACGTATCTTACCTACAAGCATGATCAGCACGCTACTCCGATTGGGTGTCTTATCGCGCATTGATTGGGTTGGCGGGCAGGTAGCTCCTACAGAAACGAATAGTATGGGCTGTTAATTCGAACATCGCGTACCGAATCGATGACGTTATTACTGTATTTATTAGAGCAAAGTGGTATGGAGGAAAATCAGTAGGCACTATATGAAAATGTACAAAGCGGTGGATAAGAGGTCAGGATCACGAGAGAACAATCTACTGTCTTTGATCCGGCAGACGCACTATACTCTTGAAAAAAAGCTACAGCTGGAATGACCCATAACAGACCGAGTGTGCTGAATAGTATCAAGATCAATACTGCAGCAATCAGCAACCAGGCGTCTAAGAGAGGGACAACCAGCTACGACCCGTCTGACACCAAAGCCGGTAATCTTGGTTGAGGAGGATATATCAAGTGTCGTAACGTGCTTGCACTGGGCCAGGGCTGTCATGACTTCATCGTTGGCATTAGGGAGATCGTTGAGCACTACGTTTCTCAGGTTAGGACAGGCGCGAAGCAGTGACACCATGGTTTCCGAGCTGAAATGACACCTTGATAATTCTAAAACCTGAAGTTGAGGCAGCGGCTGTAGGCAGACATGTTGTAGGCCATGGTCCGTCAAGCTGGTTTCATACAACGTAAGTGCTTGGATCTTTTCGCGGCATCCAGTGATGATAGGTATGAGCTCCCAGTCATAGAAGCATAGACATGCTAGTGAGAAGACACGGATGTTGGCGGAATTTCGTTCTAGCTCTTTTGCTTCTCGAGCAGATAGAGTGTTGGTTGTATCGGTTCTCAAAGCCGATGAGAGCCTTTGTTCGATACGAACACGAAACTGTTGAAGATATGGAAGTGATAGGATAAGGCGGTGGATAAATGTGCCAGGTATGCCGTCCGTGTAATGTAGACTGAGATTTTCCAGGTTAGGAAGGGAGCCGATATATCGTACCATTGGTCCAGCAGTGTATCCTCCAGCAGCAGGCAATTGTGTTTTAAAGTGGAAGTTCTTGACAGATGAGGCTGCACGACTCGGATATTTCAACTCGTTGTAGTCCAGGCGTGTATAGTTTAAGCACACCAACGTCTCCAAAATATCACATTCTTCTATGGCTGCACATATGTAATCGTTGCTACTTGTAGCATCCGTAGCGTTGACATATCGCAAGGTCGACTTGTTCTGCCTTAAAAGTGATTGAGCAGTAGAATGTGAAGCTGACCAACCTGTAAAATCTATTTTGCATTTCATGAATGATTGTCCGTTGTGCAAAGCCTTTTCATTTACAATTAAAGCTCACCTATATGCTGAAGACATTGAGGGGCGTTCAACAAGTCCTTCATGGGCTCGTTGCCTCTTTGCTTCTTGAACGATATTGATCCCAGCGCAATTGTATGAACTCCAGCTGACCCGGCACGTTTCAAGTAAGTGGTAAAGGCAGGAAAGGTAATTCGGGTGGATGGATTCGTGATGGTCAAGTCGCGCCAGATGGCAGGCGTATCTCTCAGTATCTGGTGCCAGTAGCGGCAAACGCGCATCGAACGTACACGGTCTTGTAATGGAAGAGAAAGAAAGATGGAATGTATCAATTCCAACGGTAATAGTGGCCAGTAGTTCTGGATGGGGGTGTCAATATCTTTGGATGTTTTAAGTCGTTTGAGAGCCGGGTATAGCTTGTCAAAAGCGGGCACACGCCTCAGACTGACACCAATCACTTGCTGAGCTTTATCCTTCTGATTCAAATGGGTGAGTACTTTGTATAATCTCAGGTATCCCCTAGCCTGAGTTGGTTCGAGTTTGACGATTAAGCGTGCATCTTCTAATGCATCTTTATGCTTTCCAAGTCTTTGGTTTGTGGCTGCTCGGCAGTCCAGGACAACTGCGTTTTTTGGATTCGCCTTTAATGCATTTGTATAATGCCTATAAGCCGATCTGAAGTCGGATTTTTGAAAAGATTCATTGCCTCTCGCGAAATCGGTACTTGACATGCTAGCGCATTTGGGTGCAGTCGCACTTGTACCTTATGATCTCGTGTGAGTTGTACCGAAATTTTACGCTGACTTCGAAACCGATCGATCTAGTATGCAGCCGTCTTATACAATAGCGAAACCGTTCCATATGAATGAATGAAAACATATGATGCTTGCAGTTATAACAGACAAAATACGGACCACATTATTCATGAGAAGGTTCCCAATTACTGCAACAATACCAAGAACGATTTGCACATGTATATTTCAAATTTTTCTTGTATACATACAGTGGTAAAGTAAGCTAAAATAAGACCAGAACAATATCTACAGTTTCTTGATAATATAGTATTGCAACGGTTTACTTAGGAAAAGATGCAGTTGGTTGTCCCCAAAGTAGCCCGAGTATATTCCATTGCACTTGGTTCAAATTGATTGGGACCAAGGAAGCATACTTTTTGAAGAGATTTGGACTTTCCAACCAAGAGTCGTAAGCCTTTGCTGGTATATAAGGGAAAAATAGATTTGGAAGAAGCAATATTGACGATTTGAAGAAAAGCACAATCGCCCAAGCATGATAACAGTGTGTTGTTCATGCCTGTAAGGTACATAAGTTCGACTTGTACAAGTTGTGGACAAGATTCAATGGCCAGTTTCAATCCATCCATTGATATGTTTGGGCAATGTGCTATTCTTAACGTATGGAGGCAAGGGAGTTTGAGTGATGCCATATGCAAGAGAGCTTGGTCGGTGATTTTTGATACGGAAATCTTCAAGACCGCCAGCCGTTGGGAGCAGCCGTCCAGGACAGCACTGAGTTCATCATCACATACTGCCAATGCGGAAGGCGAGGAAAAGGACAGGTATTCCAGGTTACAAGAGTTGATGGTGATTTGTTTAATGTACTCGGCGGTAAGTGACTGTGTTCCTATTTGTGAAGGGTATTCGAATCCTGGCCAAAGAGGCATCCTGATGTGTAGTTTTCGAATGCTTGGAAGCTCAATGATGAATCCAGAGAGACTCAGTGGGTTGCGTATTCTTATGGAGTTAAGTGTGACCTCCTGCAGATTGGGAAATTGCCGTAATCTAGAAATTAAATTGCTAGTCACTCCAAACGATCCACTTGCACGTAAAGTCTTCAAAGATCTCCTCAAAGGTAGTTCGAGATCGGGTAACAATTCTGGATAGCAGTTGTAGTATTCGATGTGCTCCAAATTTTCCAATGTTAAGATGGCATGTTTCCAAACAATCTCAATCCAAGGCAGGTTGGAGAGATTTAGGTAGCGTAAGGACAGCCTTGCTTCATTGAACAACTGTAGACAATCAGGTGTAGGCAATCTCCAGTCCGACATATCTAGTGTCAATAAAGATACATGTTGCGATTAATGGGCGTATTGCCAAACTGACATCATGATGCATGAATGCGAAAACATACCAAGATATTGCAAATTGCCAACGCCTTGTTCGAGCAATGCTTTTATGAATAGTCTTACATCGAGTTTCATCGCGGTAGAAGAGCCAAGAGACACTTTTCGAATGCCATTTTGACCAGCTCTCTTCATATAACGCTCAATTGTGTCCTGATCAACGCTATACTCGTCATCACAGCTCATTTCCTCCCAAAGCGCACGAGTGTACTGAATGAACTGATTCCATTCACGGCAGACTCTCATGCAACGTACCAATGAATCAAGGGGTAGCCATGATAAGATTGATATGAATATTTCTTGTGGCAGCGGCGTCCACCTTGGCTGTAGGTGGTAAGCCGTCGTACCATAAGGCCAGCTCTGCCTGTCAGGTAGTGAGTAATTGAAGTCGGGGTCTGTGAAGTGTAGCACGACGTCTGGTAAAAGTTCATCCACTTGATTTGGAATGCCATGGTAGGTCGATATTGTTGGGTGCGTTGGAAGTGAAGATTTGTTCTTTGTTAAATTACATGTTTCTGATGTAGCACTAGACTGTGGGCAGGAATTTGGTTCTTTGTGCGATCCAGTACATTGTTCAGGTCGGCGATCTAAGTTTGTGGTAACAGGTTATAAGCGTCAACTACTAATTTCAGTAACCGCCCCACGAAGTTGTCCTACCTTGCAAAGACGTAAAGTTTGCCATGCTAAAGCTAATCACAATCTAATAACAAGGCAAACAGGTGTCAAAGCAACTGCCAAAAATACCTACAATGGGTGTATTTTTGGCGGTGGCTGGTGGGGCCATTAGCCACTCTCGACCAACATGAAAAGCATTGTAATGCTACTATTCTTATGACAAAAATCAATTTAATAAGGGATGACCGAATCGTAGGGAATACCTGGTGAGATCCAAAAAATTGGCGGTGGTGGCATTTTTTGTATTACCTGCGTTGGAGCTGTAGAATCCTCGGTAGTTATGAGTAAGCCGAGTTCAATCTCAGTTTCGAGGAATTGATATCTAAAGCTAATGTAAGCATCAAGTTATGGGGGTCATCTAATAATTACAAAAGTCTTGGTATTAACGGAGTCCCTTTGAACAGTTGCATCCGAGTATCTTGCGCCGAACTTCCCCATCCTCATGCTGCCGTTCACACGTCTCATTCTTTACCCGCATACCCCACTACATCTAGATCCCGTGTGTCTACTTGGCTTGGCTTCTTTGATGCAAGGTGCCCCCCCTTTCCTCACTCGAATAGGAACTCGCGCGAATTATCGCAGAAGCCACTCTGCCGGTCCTCGAAATTTCGCTTGTGGGTGCGTTCTCTGAAAGTCTTGGCAACAGCAACGGTATCTTCAAAAGATTTTCCACTCAATGTTGCACGAGCCAAAGCAAACCAAGGAGGCGTCGGATGATCAAAGTGAATAAAAAAAACCACAAAAGTGTGTGCTATTTTAAAACAGATATTATCGTTTGAAATTCTACAATGTATGTACAAGTTTTTGCCACTAACTGAGTTAGTAACACAAGGCAACAACCAAATTATCTTTTCTTTTTTTTTCAAAGTCGCACTGAACGGAACAATTAAAAAAATTAATGCACAGAGCAAAACTCCCCTTCATGGAAACAATGGATGGGTCGGGGGGTTCATATGTCTGGAGTCGAAAGGTGAATCGACAGGATACTCGTGCCCTGGCCGACAAGGTTCTTGTCGTCGTTTTGGTGACTGCTCTCCTGCTGCAGTTATGAATTCTGGAGGTGTGTTCGGTTTGGATGCACCAAGGTGATACTGAGCAATGTCAGGCATCACTTGATGAAATAACGGGAATGCAGTTATGGGTTCGCGATGTATAGATATATTCATTGGCGAAGTACTTCGTATGGGAATAGGAAGAGCTGCTATATCTTGTAATGGCGCTTTTAGATATGGTATGGCACCAGGTGGAGAACCTCTGTAGTGTTCTGATGGTGGTTGTTCTCTTGGATACACCGCTGTTGGATAGTCTGTTCGTTGCGGTGTTTCTCTCTGATATTCTGACGCATAGACTCTGGGTGGTAGTTCCCTTGGAGGCTCTGTAGCATATTCTCTTGGTCTCTCGCCTTGGTACTCCGGGTATTCTCTTGGTTGTGGTTCTCTTGGATGTTCTGATTTAAATTCATTGGAGGATTGCTCTCTTTGATACTCCCGTGCATACTCCTTTGGCTGATCCCGCTGCTGCTGGGGTATGTGAGGTCTTTCAAATTCCACTTTACGATCTTCGATATTGACCGACGTCTCGGAAGGACTGTCGTCACTCAATGGGCTACTTTGTAGTCTTCGTTTACCATAGGGTTTTTCACTCTCTGGCTGCTTTCGTTTTCTAGGTGATGAGCTGTAGAAATGTCAGAAACGTGGTGGCGGTTGTTATATGTCACACATACCAGGGATGCAATGCCACTTACACTTGGATTCTATGCTCCTTCCGTATACGCATTCGAACTCCTTGGTCTGAGAACGAACGTGATAAGAAGGTTGAAGGCAGTGGCCCCGGAAAATGTCTTGGGGCATATACAGTGAAGATGTCAGATAAAATCGTTTTCCTAGTTCTGACTACAGTACTGTGGTGGAAATTTCATTAGAAATTGATAGCGGAGCGTTCTGACGAGAATTCAAACTTACTCTACTATTTCGAACAAGCTGAAGAGCAATCGAAACTCCCCTTCCTCCTTTACGGCCAAATCACCAAACACAAAAAATGCACCATCTTTTGAAAAAAAAAAAAAAAGGAAAAATCGTTCCGTTAGAAGGATAGATTGTAAAAGGTTTCAGTATGCCTATCTTACCACTATTATCAATATCCTTCAGTCGGTGCAAGGAGGACACAATGGTGCCAGTGAGGTAATTTTGGACAGGAAGGTACAAATTTGTGTGGTCGTGCGGGTGGACAAGATTAGCACACATGAAGTAATGAGGGCTTTGCGTGTGGTACCTGAGGATGGATAAGGTTATTACTCCGGCTTGGTTACAATGTCTTGGCATTTCCCTTTTCTGTGTAAATTTTGCCACGATACTTACTGTTCTTCCTCTGGGTCAAGCCCATCCAGTGACATACGCAAAATGGGTGGCGGGTCAATTGGTCTGCGGTCTAATAGTTTCACAGTCAGCGAAAATGTTTTCCCGGACAATGAACGAATTTTCTTCTGATAATCTTCCCACTTTTTCCCCTCTCTATTAAAATCAATATTCAAAAAGACACTTACCACGCTCAGGGATCGTGCAAACTCTAGCATGAGCAGGTTGTTGTCGAATAGTGAGGGTATGTCTAATGAATTTTGTTCGGAAGTGGGATAAAATATTTTGGGTTTGGTAAATATTTTCGTTGGGTGCACTAAATTAAGACCAATTTTTTTTACCCTGACGAAGGCGAAGTTTGACTAGGAATGAATTTGTATAAACTGGACGCAGAGGTTGAACTTGATCCAGACGTAGTCCGCGTGTGAGAGTTTGACATTTTGAATATCGGAAAAGAAAGGAGTGAAGGATAAAAGAGAGAGAGAGAGAGAGAGAGAGAGGTGTGGAACAAGAACAGTAGTGATGAAAGAATAAACGGTTTTAAAAGCTACCAACCCAACTAGCTCATGGACATGCCCCCCCCCCCCAAAATTCGGTTCTACAATTTTCCAAGGTTCTGCAGCAAAACGCACTTTTGCAGTTCTCTCCGATGGGATAGGGAAACACTTTTTACTGAGAAGGTATTCGGTCACGCCCGTCATTGGGTTTTCATTTGGATACCCGGCACTGGCAGATTTCCCAATTTAATCCCAAAAATAATTTTTTTTTTTTTTTTTAATGAAAAGACGCCTGGGAGATTCATGGTCCGTGGCTTAGTTAAGCTCAAAGGCAAAGCTAGACACAAGTTTTAAGCGTTCGGCTGAGAAGTTCAAGGCCATTCTCATAAAACGATTAGCAACAGTGGGTTCTTTTTCTAGCATTCGATTGAAGTCTTGCTTAGACATTTTCCAGAGAACAGAGTCTTGTTCAGCGGTCAGCGTCTTGGTGCGGGGGGATTCGGTAAACAGTCCCAGTTCACCCACAATAGTGCCAGGCAGAATACTTTCCGTGGCAATAAGCTGAAGTCGCTCTGAATCCTCAGTGCGCTCGAGCATGCTGCTTTTTAGCAGCCCTTTTTCAATTATATACAAGCATGTCGATGGTTCACCGGGAGACCAAAGGATGGTACTGGTTGATATAGTGACTCGTACAAAGTAGGGTGCCAAATGCATATACAGATCTGGGTTGGCGCTACTTGAAAGCTCTCCAAAAGCTTGGGTCATGATGGCAATTGGCTGGGCCATATTGGATTGCACCACAGGGGCATCTGATATGCCAAATTTAGGACTCCGTGTCACCGATTAAACCAATAGATCAATCATTAATACTGCTTACCATTGAACACCTTTTGGACCGCTTGGACCAGCATATTCTGTCTTGGCGATGATGCTACTGTACCTCGTAGGGCATCTCTGTCAGTTGAATCACTCTTAACGGATTCTAAAAAAGAAACAATACATTTTAGAAATTTAGGGATATGAACTTCCGTGGCGGGGCGGTTTCCTTTTCCATGCCTAACACACGCGAGACCACCGCACTTTTTGATGCCGAAAATAAATGAAACTCCCTGCTTACTTGCTATTGTAGCTTGTCGACGCTGCTGTGCCAAGACAGCATGCTTGGCATAATAAGTTTCCAGCAATATGTTTTCACACCATTCCAGAGCTTCGTTTAAAATAGCGAAACATTGTAAATTGTTACCGGCTTCTTCTTCCGTGTGCATCATTCCTGCCTTCCAAAGAGCATGGCCGATTTCGGTATCAAGGTCAACATTGCATAGCACTAGATACACGTCTTTTGATTTGAGAAGACGCTTGAGTCGAACAAACGCTTCGGAAGCACTAAAGTCAATGCCTTGAACCAACTTGAGATCCAATACAAGGAATCGTATCGGAGTTTGCTCCCATGCCATTTGGTCTAGAGCATCTCGTATGCATCGTTCGACTTGGCCAATCGTGCCAAAGAACAAATAGCCTTGCAGTAAAACGATCATAATCTGGTTTCCAACTTGATTCAAAAACTTTTGTTGGCGGAACAATCTTCGCACAGTTGAATGAATGGTATTTCCAGAGTAGACCCCTCGAATGGCACCGCGCTTTGAGTTGGTCACCACAAAGAAGATGCAGGCCATAACGATGCCCAAAAAGATACCTTCGACGAAACCTAACCATGCCATGAAGAAGATGATGGCGCAAATGGTGATGTATTCAAAGTGGTGAAGATTTCCCCACGTGTCGACCAAGGCTTCCTTTAAGAGGTCCAAGCCCAAGTGGAAAATCAAAGCTCCTACCACCATAACGGGTATATAGCCAACGATGCCAGGTCCTGCAACCCATAAAATAGTGGTAGCACCAGCTAGCATAAGACCAGCAAGTCGACTGTCGCCTCCAGACTTGATAAAAAGTAAACTGTTGGTATATACAAGATAATCTAAAAGATAAAAGATAAGACAGTTGGTTATCGCTTGCTGGAGATAACAAAAAAAAATTATGGTTTGTACAACATCGCAAGAGGAAAATAAACTTACTTTGAACTGAACCAAGACATCCTGACAATGTATTGGAGATGCCATGAGCGACAAGTTCTTTATTGACATCAACGTCATCTCGGTTGGTAGATACGCCTAGCGCAGGGACGTTGATAGGAACATGGAGAACGCCAAAGAAAGTCAACGCCAACATAGCCGGTATGGTTGAAGATAGCGCAGCCCAGTCAATGGCGCTGAAGTCTAGAAGCCAACAATCGGGCACAAAGTTAAACCACAACAATATCATTGTTTTTTTTCCGCGGCTTGCTACGTCAGCTTACCGTAATATGTATAGAAATGCCAGAATGGAACATCACCCTCGACAAGAGGGAAAATCCAACCGTCGTTACGAACTTGGTCGACATCCAATCCTGCCACTAGGACAACGAACCAAAATAAGGATGGGACGATCATGAAAAATGCTGGGACCAATAACGGGTGCTTAATTTTATGCTGCAGTGCACGGAGCAGTAGTGCAACGCCAAGCGCTGAAGTCCACAAAAGCAGGGTATGTGTGTTGAGAAAGATCTCCTTCATGGTTGGAATATCGTAGACCATGCCACCTTCCAGTCGTCCTGATACTTCGATTCCGGTAGCCACCAAGAACCAACCCACTCCACCAATGGTACCGACCAAGATATGGCGAGGGAAAAAGCCTATGAGAGAACCAAGTTTCATAGCTCCCAAGATATAGAATGCCACACCAGTCATGATACTACTGATAGCAAATGCCACAATAGTAGTTGCTATCACTTCATGGGGCTTGTCCTCTCCAATTTGCCTCGTTATCGAATCCGCCCTAACCAGCAAAAAATAGATGAGATGAAACGAACGCTATGATAAAGCATGTGAAAAAGATGGTGAGGGTCACTTACATGATGTGGAGGAAAGGCACTACCTCAATCATCATACTTCGTTTTTTTAAATAATAATAATAATAATAAAAATTGTGATTTAGCCACACGTGGGGAACAACATTTCAAATCCATGGAGGAAAAAAAAAGGCACCCGAAAACGGTACGGCTGTTGCCATAATTCCATCTTATTGCTTGCCTTACCTTCCGTTACCTCCACCAAATATGCTTCCGCCGCATGAATAGGTCAACTGTGATACGATAGAACTGTCACCGCGGACAAGGGGGTCAGTAGGCAGCGGCATTATTCAAAAAAGCTGTCATGAAATGGGCACGGAGCTTTTACCTGACGAAAAACATGGATATACCATCTGGCCCAAATTTCGCAAAGATCGCGTTACTGGTTGGAAAAGTAATCATGCCTATGAGCAAAGATGATCTATTAGTGGCGTGATACAAAGCTGAGGGAAGATCTCTTGTAACCTGACAGATAAGGCAATGCTACATACCATAGGAGATGGCGTCAAGCAAATTAAGCAATAAGCCTAGAATCACCGCGGGTATGTATCCTGCGGGAACTACCACTGCCTCCCGCCATACATCCTTTGCACGCATCATTTTCATCCTTTTGATACCATGATTCCATACATTTGATCCATGCACTACACTTTCACGTGCCTGTCGCAACGGGCTTTTCTTCATAGGAGGTGGTAGTCGAATTTGTGGTGGGCTTTGAGGGTTGACGTTGAGTTCCGAGTCTACATTTATGGCATGATAGGCGGTATCAGATTGTGAACGACTTCGTAGTAGGGGGGTATCTTCAGCAGCTTCGGATAATGAAGCCGGCGGTTGCTGACAGTTGGCATTTTGAAGGAGTAGTGATAGATTACTGGTATGATTGACTGGCGATCCAGCGGAAACAGATAATGGAGGTGAGGCTTCAAATTCCAAAGGCTCTTCACTAGGGTCAGAATCCTCGAGAGCAATATTTCCAAGTGCGAGTGATTGCTTTCGAATGGCCTCTATAGAAGCACTGTATTTTTCAAAGGCTGTGAAGAACAATAGAGTGTCTGGGTTAAAGTCACATTTCGCAGTAGGGGGTGAAAGGAGATCTGTGCATTACCTATATCAGGTTGGACGTGAGATGAATAGTACGAGCGAGAGGGTAGATCTTTAGAAGCCAAATCTTCTGAAGTAACCGAGCCTTCAGAGATAGATGACCGTCTGTGATCCATAAGACAAGCTGATAAGAGAGAAGGGAGACAAAAATGAAAAAAATTGTGTTGAAAGACTCTGCTTATTTTCCCAAATTTCAATTCTCCGCCTCAATCCTTCCTTATTCATTCGTTCGCCTTGCTCTTTTGAAAGCAGAGCAAAATCTCAGTCGCCCCCCACAAAACTCGTCAAGTCTACTGCAACCATCGACTTTCTCTCGAACAACCGTCAAATTTTCCATACGGATTACTTGCTATGTCCTATCCTCTTTCTATGTTCCATCCACTGTACGCAACTTGCTTGTAGAAAGGAGTTTTCAAGTACACACGGGCCTTCCGTCCATCGCTGATTCTACAGTTTCAAGCAGCGATCCGGTTCGGTTATCCTTATCGGGGTGACACCATTCATTATCGAGCCATAAGCGGGTTTCTCTTGGAATAGCTCATTCATGTCATAAACGTCAGTCTTCTTTCGTGACTGCTTAAATACTCTCATCGATTTGCCAGCCATTGCCAATCGAGATACAATTGAACTAGCAGGTCAAGACAGTGTCCACTATGGAAATTACAGAGTCAGTGCCTTAATACGTCTGCTTATATCGGACTCTCTACAAGCTCACATAGCGATTTCGAATAGCGATGCTATTTTAGAGGTGCGCAATTTTTTCAAAACAGCATAGGTGAAACGAAGCTGTAAAATGAAAGTTAGACTTTTTAGGAGACTTATATCATTCGATTGTTTACCGACACACTCAACGTTGATTATTTGATCGTTTCAATTCATCTTGGCAGAAATTATCATCGTTACCCTCATTATAGAGTTTCGCTTCATCGTGCTATCCTCACCAACCAGTACAAAAATTACCTTTTGCCATGTGGTGCGGGCTTTTCAGTGCATTACACGATGTCGAGAGCTTTTTAAAGGACATGTCACGCCGTTTTCCAATATACTAGTGAAGGACCTGCATAGATGTCGCCCAAGTTGATGTTTCTTCTTGTTTGTCAATGATACATGTATATGAAGGAAGGTAGGTCGCCATACAAATTGTACCGGCAAGTGATTTTTTAGAGTTTGTGCCTTTGTATTCAAAGAGAATTAGACTTGAAGAATAAAAAAAAAGCATGGCAGTGAATAACAAATGCGACGAAGAATTCCTGGTTTTGATATGTGAGCGACATAGAGTTTGTGGGCTGGTTAGCGCACACTAGAGAACGATCGGACCATCTACAGGGCCGAATTTTCATAAAGTAGTAGTGCCCGCCTACTGCTGGAAAGTTTTCAGATCACAAGCCACAGTGTCCGGTTTTCCTCCCCTTCGTTCTTGCAAGTCCACCGGGTATAACTTATACCAGGGCTCCGTTTGCAATACTGTTCTCCATACTGCTCACCCATTAGACAGTACGTGTCTGTCATGCCCATTCTACAGCACTCGCAAATACCTCTCCCTTCGGTTCCAGTACCCCCTTACGACAACAAAAGAAAGCATAAAGACGTTTGGTACCTACGCTCGACCAATGAAGTTTTTACTGACTATGAGTATGTATCCATTACCTAGCATGAGGCGCATCAAAACACCTTTTTCTTGCCATCCATTCCTCTAATATACATACTTAGAACTTACATTGAACGCTTAATGCAATATCGATTGCCGCAATGGCAATGCGAACGAACGGGACGCGCCGATTTCACTTATGATCAAGCACTGGAAAGTGAAAACGCACAAGATAGTCGTGCGGAATATCGGTTTTCCTTCACTCTTGCTAAAAGAGTATTTCAATGTGTTCAATTTGGTAAGGCCCTGTTTCTTCCTATTCGCCCGAATTCTTCAAATGAAGGTTTATCTTACTGCATACAATGCTAGAAACGTCAAGGCTAGATACTGTTGTTGAACACGTATTCGACACGCTGTGTAGCCAATATGAAGTTGGCGAATATATCAACTGTTTGTGGGATGATGGAATTGCGTATGTGGATTATCTATTATTTTTGAATCCTATGCAACTTTGCCTGAGTTGACTGACCCCTTGCATCCATCATTAGATATAACGCTCGCATTTTGGAAATTATACCACCTCCTTCTGTTAATAAGGCTCCCAACGGCAACAGCTTGTCGGTCATATCTGATCATGCCTCGGAAGTGACTGAGTCAGACGACGATCGCAAAGAACAGGCGATACATTCGACTCAAACCGCTACGACCACACTCAAATTCCCAGATGCATTTTTACTTCCAGAACCCGAGGCTGAAAGCACACCAACTCCTCAGACGCAGACTCTTGAGTCTTATTTTATGGAGGAAGAACCAGAAGCATCAACAGATATGTTCAAAGTGCAACTTGTTGATGCCGACGGTGAAGGGATTGATGAGTGCATCAAATGCGTCCATAAAGGCGATATTCGACGTGATCGTTTCTATTTCTCCAAGCCATTGATAAAGCGATTGATTCGTGAGTGTATGACAAAGGAGAACTATGTGGGAGCTCCATGGATTTTGAAGGTATTGTATTACGAGGAGAGTTAATGTTGCTGATCAAGTGATGATCCAATCTATTGAGATTAATGCCGATGTATGTGTTATTATACAGCCTTCCATAGCAGAACATTACGGTATCGACATGACCATGCCAAATCATCTCCAGGTTGCTCGAGATATAGCGTACAACAAGACGCGCAAGCGAAAGATGGTTTCAGATTCTGAGAATGAGCGAAAAGCGCCACTTGATGCAACGCAACGTGAAAGGTTGAAGGAAGAAAAGGAGAGGATAAGAGAGGAGCGCCGCCAGCAGGCTGCTATCAAATACCCCATTGAAGATATTGATCTGCCAATATACCGAAAAGATCCAGTGAATAGCTGGCAGCTGACGGACCTATCTCTTACAAACAACGCCTTACCATGTCCCGTACCTTATCCAAGCGGTGGTCGACCACCCAGACCTGTGCCATGGAAAGAATTTACTGTACCTGCCGAGTATTTTGAATCCTACATCATGATATGGATCTTTCTCAGCACGTTTGCTGAGCCTTTGAATCTTGATCCTTTCACTATCGACGATTTTGAATCCGGATTATGTCAAAATGCCAGCAAATCTCATATCACCATCGACAGCTTTACCTCTCTTCTCAATGCCATTGTGCGCGAACGGAAGGATGGTGTTTTGCCTGGATGCATCGCCGGAGGTCCAGTGGCTAATGTGCTCTCCTCACGAAGTGCCACCCCTAATAGAGCAACTTCAACGCCGAAATTAGAAAAGATGCAAAGCGAAGGTAGCCCTATGGACATTGACAGACCTGAAACGACTTCTGAAAATGGAAAGGCTGGTGTCGACATGGATGCGTCGCCCGAGTCATCTTCGCCTGATCCAAATGTACCTGAAAGAGGTCAAGGTAGTGCCGATGTACTCAAAGTGTCAAAAAACTGGGATAATCGGGAAATCAGGAGCGATCGACGAGGTTGGGAATCAACCCTGATTGGATGCTTGAATGAGGTGGGTTGGAGTTGAAGCAAACGATGTGTTTATAGAAAGGCGTAATAACAGGGAGCTGATGTCATTTTCTCATAGCTCGCAACCACTGATAGTATACCTGACTTGGATGAAATTCTCAACCATCTCGTCCCGCGCACCAACTGTACTATGGCTGATCGCGAAAAAGCGTTCATTTCCCTGGATGTCACATACAAGATACAAATATTGGAATTCTTAGTCAACGCTGTTAATGAGTGTAGTTTGATCAAGTAAGTTGAAGAAAGGAAGGCTCAAAGAACGGCGTATCTGTGTTGATTAATGTATATATGATTCTTTGTTTAGGGAGTATATGGAGCAGTGTCAAGAGCAATTGACCGAATTACGGCGACAAAAAATAGATTTAAATAGAGAAAATAAGAGAATGTAAGTTGCCGTATATTGCTGATCGCCCTTCAGTCCTCTCTCATACTAACATGCGTGATATGTATTCTTAGTTTGGCTTCAAAGATGGCTTTAAACCAAAAAGATAAAGAAGATCAGGAGGAAGAAAAGGAAGAAGGTGGTGAATCTGGAGATAATGCGGATGACTCAGACGGGGCAGAGGACGATGCCGACAATCAACATACGAGCGATAGTGACATGGCATCTGGCAATGAGTCAAGTGATTCTGAGGAAGATGAAGAGATGACGGATCATGAAGATGACACCAGGTGAGTGATATGCTTACGTCGCGCTGGGCATGTTCTTGTCGCTGATTGTATTTTCAGATCCTCTCGACGAACTAGGCACGATAAAAGACACCAATCGCGACAAGCTAAGCTCAAACGACAGCAACAAAAGCGTGAGGAACTTGAAGCATTACGTGTGAAAAATTATCGAGAAGAACGTGAAAAGGCGAAGATTAAAACCCAACAGGCTAAGGCAAAGGCTGAAGAGCGAAAACAATTAGAAGATGATGAGAAGGCACAGCAAGAGAAGGTAGACAACTTAACCCATCATACAGTAACGCGTTTTAGGTAACTAATAGATGTTTCTTTCATAGGAGGGACAGATTGAAAAAGACATGCGGAGGTACATGACGCTACGAATAAGACCTCTTGGACGTGATCGATTCTACAACCGATATTTTTACCTGGACAATATCGGTGGCGCTGTGGGAGATGGAAGTGGCAGATTGTATATACAAAATCCTAGTTACGCCGATATTCGACTAATTCTTAATCGCAAACCCACTGAATTGGCTGGATACGGTAGTGAGACCACCCAATTTTTCTTGGAGTTGATGAAACAGCAAGGATTTGACGAAGAGAGTGAATGGCTCGAACATCGACTTCAAGAGGTTATCGAGGAAGGCGAAGGATCTGTCGTTCCACCGAATGCCTGTGCCAAAGGATGGTGGATGTATTATTCGCGACCTGAAGAGGTAAATGCCATAAAAAAAAAAAGCAAAAAAGAAAAGAAAAACTTTTTTTTGGTACGTATAACTCATCTTTCTTGCGCGCTCACTTTATAGATTGATGCACTTTTGTTGTGGCTGAATCCAAAAGGAGTGCGAGAACAACGGCTTCGCAATGAAATCACAAAGCAATACAACAGCATAGTACAAGGCATGAAAAATCACCAAGAGGTAATTAGTGCAATTGGAGTTTCACACCTTTTTGTCAATGTTATGATGATATATAACCTTTTGTTCCATTTGTTACAGGCTCAGAATCCTGACCATGTCAAGCCAACCCGGCCCCGTACAAGATATGGACCAACGAGTTAAAATGGCTTTATATTTATTAAAGACGATGATGCCAAAGCAAACATACCAAATAAAAATGAGAAATTATATTACAAACGTTACTCCAAATACGAACCCATTCGGTCCACCCCTCTATATAAAGGAAGAATGGCAAGCCTTTAGTCGGGAGAAGTGAAGCGAGGTTTTGGCGGGTCCAGACTTGAGATCTCTCTCCGCTCACATTGCCCAATGTCGTGCAAAAGTGTTACAGGTTTGATTGCACAGATTCACATCTTTATTTCAAAGCGGGTAACTCTGCTTTCTCCATCGCTCGTCTTTCTTCTCTCTTTATGTCTACCTTATGATTTACCTGGTATTGATTCCCCTTGCATTCCTTTGATATCTCCCACTTTCCAATCTATTGCTCTCTAGAATCCATCTCGCGTGTCATCTCGAATACCTTAAATACTCCCTCTTTACTTTATCAATCAATCCAATACCATCCACATATCATTCCGTACATACACCCACTATCTTTTATTATGACGACAAATCTTTTATTACCTTCCTCGACATCACCAGGCTACTTTCCGTCCATCCGAGCCCTTAGCCCCATAGGCAGCGAAATATTGACGATTGGAGGCAGTTTGATCAGCTTTGCCAATGTTCTTGCCTCTGTGTCAGTGGTCTATGTTTGTTTAGTCCACCCGCGAACAGACCGAATATCACATCTGTGCACAGCCGTAGCAGAACTACTGTTAGGAGTATTAACTATTGCTAGTTTGGTTTACTCCATGATGTATGATGTGCTTATTCCCCAGGCACCGTGCACAGCCTTTGGATTTCTGGTTCATTTTACTGTCAGTATCGACATCGTTTCTGCAATGTGTCTCGTAATCGTCACCTGGCTAAAGGTCAACCATTCCTATCGGTCAAAAACCGGAGTATATGACTGGAAATTATGGGCCACTGTGGTAAGCTGCAGTCTTTTTTTTTTTCTTTTCTTTTTGCCATTTACCAGCTCAGTTTGAAATAATAAGGCGGGGAAAAAATGCATTGTACAACAATGCTGTCATGAAATGAATCTAACTTGCTGTCAATTGTTGTTGTAGATGAGTATCCCTTTGATTTTATGCTGCGTCACAGTGGGAATGGGTGGATATGGTCAAGATATTTACTGGTAAGAGAAATAATTGGGTTGCTATGGCAAAATCAGGTCGTGGCGTTTTCAGCGGGTGTACTCATGCTCCTTTTTTATTTTCTTTTAAACTTGCCAACAGGTGCCATACCCAGCCAACTACAACTGGTGCCACCGTCGGACTCGGGTCACTGATTGCTATCAACTACTTGGCTCTCGGGCTAGTGACCTATTTCCACTTGTCAAGCATCTCAAAGCAACATCAAATCTCCAACCTGTCGTATACCGTGGGCATGGGCGACATGAGAAAATACCAGCGAAGACCGAGCAGCATAGTCGAACCTATTAATATTTTAACTCCTCACCTACCGCTCACACCCAACACCAGTCTGTATCCTCCAGCTAGCGCCATAGGGTTTGAATTGCATTCACCCGCACTAGTGTCTGCTAATGTGACGCAACCAGTCCATCGACCGAAAAACAACTTGAACGCCTACATTTTTGTCCACTTTCTACAACATACAAGTACCACTGTGTATTGCATATGTTGTCTTAGTAACTACCAACCGTGGTGGGTGTATTTTATCTTCATCGCCGGTTTCCATCTTGGAGGCATTGGCAAAGTTGTGTTGTTCCATAGAGGAAGAGATCGTCGTCCTGTTGGATCACGGACAACGCGTGCACTGGATAATCCACCTACCATCCGTTATCCAACCACATTATCCATGGGACTTGATAATAACCCCGAATTCAGACGGCCGGCTCCGTCTTGGCAAGGTGCTGGACACAATAATCTTTCTGATATGTGGCAGAGTAGTAGCACCTTAGCCACCAACAACAGCCCTCTACATAGTCTTTCCACCGACGACCACCCCCCTACCATCCATCATATTAATACCGCTACACCTAGTATCACCAATAATCCTTCCGCTACACGTCAAAGCCTCTATCCCGAAACCACAGCCTACGTATTCCGACATGCGTCGGCATCATTTGGTACCAGCACAGATTCATCCGGCTCAGCTACCAACAGTGTCTTGGCCAGTCGGCGGAATATGGAAGTTCCTCCTCTGCACTTGAGCAAAGGGTCCAGGAATAATCTGAATCACCAAGCACAAGACGCTTCGCCTGAAGGGGAATATGACGACGACGATGATTTTGAAGAAGATTTTGAAGAAGATGTAGATATTGAAGCGCATCCTGTGCGAGCTGAAAGAGTTAGCTTACACCCATGAACAATGGCTAAAAACCCAAATAAACCAAGCATCGTCTTGACTGACCCCTTGCCAAAGAAATCGATTTCGTTGGTGGTGTTTAATGAATTGAATAACTTTGAGACAAGAAAAACTATATAGCAAGGGACCATGCTGAAGGAGTGAGAAAAGGACATTTTTTTTCTTTTTTCAGATAATTGGGAGGCAAAAAGATGACTAAGGTAGGATACTGTAGAATTAGGTGTGTATGATGGACACCCCATACACACGCCCACATAAGTAAAGGAAGAAAAAGAGGGGAGGTCAAAAAAAGAAAGAACGATATAGCAGAAAAAAAAGAAAAAAGTATAAAATAAGAAGAACATCAAAGACGTATGATACAATTGATAATTGGAAAAGAGGTCTCATTGCTTTCCATACTGCGAACGCCTAAATAGGGAGGGTGTCAAAAGTGTCCAGGTGGGGGGGGGGGAGAAGAGAGGAATGGCATGAGGCAAATGTGCAGAATGGGAAAAAAGAAAGAGTTAGATAATGAAAAAAGAGATGTGGTGAGGGAGATGAGCTATAACTGAGAGTGCAGTGGAAAGGATAGTGGAAGTGCGGGGGGATGTTGTATTTATACCGTAGTCCATATCATCAAGTTCTTTGCCTTGCTATGGCTTGCACTTGCAATCAATGTCTGACCATCTGGACGACAAATGCTTGCAATACCAGCAACTGTGCCTGATTGAGCAGATCGAATGGCTTTGGGAGAGTTGCTGCGAGAAGTAAACTGCCACAAACAGATAGCCTCATATTCACCATAGGCAACGGCCAATCCTGCTGTATTAGTGTTTTTATCCTGAGTGAATACGAACGCACAGCCAGAAATCTTGGTCTGAGTGGGATGTATGGCGACCTGCTTCCAGTGTTGTGTCTCGTAGACACTCACCATTTCTTCAGATGAAGCCACTAAATACGCTCCATCGGGGGACCAGTCAATCGAGGATATATTGCGTTTGTGCGTGGTATTAATTGTTCTGGTCGAAATATTATCAGTGACGCTGGAATTGTTTTTGCAGGCACTGATATCAAGAATATGCAGAGTAGTGGACACCGCTGCAGCCAATATATTATTTCCTCTAGGGTTGAACCGGAGTGGGTTAGGCGAGTAATTCGACTTGGACGTGGACTAGCAACGGATCAAACCACGAGTTAATAACAGATCATTCTTCAGCTTACGTTTGAGCATTCACTTACCATACGAATAGTCTTCTCGCACTGACTAGCAGTCAAATTCCACACTTTGAGTTCTCCTTCAGCATCGAGAGAACAAACTATTTCTGGACGATCGGGCGAGAAATCTACAGCAGTAACTTGGGTCTTGCAATCGAATTTGTTGATAGCCTGTACTGACATACTTCCACTGCTCAAGGCAGTTCCTACATCCCAAATACGAAGGGATTTATCATAAGATCCAGTCGCTAAATAGTTACGGTTGTCAGGACTAAACCGCGCGTTGGTCACTTGGTTACTATGCCCTTCAAGGCTCAAAGCCAGCTTCTTCTCAGCCACGTTCCAAACCAAGACCTTTTTGTCATGCCCAGCACTGGCAAGCCAGCTTCCATCCAACGTAAAAGTACAGGTAGAAACTTTGGTGGTATGGCCTTGGAGATCACAGTAGAGTTGGATGGGTTGACCGTTAGTATGGGTGGCAGCGTTCGAATCAACTCCAGTACCGCCACCCATGCTAGCTAAAAAACCACCCCCAAATGGATCCATATCGTTGCCTTCCGCTGCCATCAGCATATTAGAGTCACCACCTTCATCGTCTCCAGCAAACATGTCAGACAATTCTGCAAAATCGCCACTATCTTCCATGACAAATTTCTCCAAGTCAAAGTTCATGCCCATATCTCCATTTGCCCCCGCGTCTGCAGCTCCTTGTTGCGGATGGTTGTTGTTGTTAGCTACCATCTGCTGTTGCAATTGAGTGTTTGCCTGAGCTTGCGCCACTTGTGGAGACTCGGATGGGTTGGCAGGAGAACTGACTGAGTTATCTTGGTTGACTGAGAAAGCTGGAGAATTCATGTCCATGGGTGGTTGATTCCATGCACTTCGCTGTTGACTGGCCGGTGTGTTGACGTTTTGCCGGTTGATCTGAGGCGATTGACTAGCTCTAGGATCTGAAGTTTGAGAGCCAAATTGAGCTTGATGTTGCTGGGCCTGCTGTTGTTGTTGCTGCTGTTGGGCCTGTTGCTGAGCCTGCTGCTGCTGCAATCTCTGCTGTGCCAATCGCTGTTGCATTTGAACAAGCGGAGAGCTGGGGGTGTTTCCCTCCAACGTAGTAGTTTGAGGAGACTGTTGGATACTCCCGACAGTTTTAGGACTATCAGCATTGTTTGTTCGCATCTGGGGAGATTGCATCGACTGTGGAGTGCCAACATTATCGCCTGCTTGTTTACGCTTTGGGCTAGCAGTAGCATTTACTGTCTGTTGCTGATGCTGTTGCTGAAGCGCAGCCATTTGTTGATTAGCTTGCTGTGATTGCTGTATCATTCTCTGCATTTGTTGTTGTCGATATTGCTGCATCATTTGCTGATTCTTGTTCAACTGTGCAAGGGTATTCTGATATTGTGCTGGATCCTGGTTTATTCCCATCATCTGTTGATTTGGCATACCCGGCATCATTTGGTGATGCATGGTTCCAGGCCCATTCATTGGCGGCTGCTGTTGTGCAAATTGCTGCTGTTGCTGTTGCTGCTGCTGTTGCTGCTGCTGTTGTTGTTGCTGTTGCTGAGGGCCCCCTTGTTGTTGTTGCTGCTGCTGTTGTTGCTGTTGAGCCTGCATGACGCGTTGTTGCTGTTGAGCGCGCCATTGCATCTGCCTATGTAATTGCATTTGATATGCCTGAAGCTGAGCTGGTGGTAGATTCTTTGCTGCGGCCATCTGCTGAAGTACCAAGGGATTCATGCCATCTGCAGGATTAAATGGCATATTGGGCATACCGGGGGCGCCTTGAGGGTGTTGCTGATTGGCAACGGTGCCCGGAGTAGTGGCCGATGTCACTTGCGGTGAAAAAGCCTCATTGGAGGCATTCCGTGGCCTCTTAGCAGCAGGCCCATTTTCATCTGGTTGAGAAGGATTATGCTGGCCAGCAATTACATGGTTTGCTTGGACAGCTGGTGAGCCTTGACCGGGGTGCGGTTGCTGAGGAGACTGCTGAAGCTGCTGTTGCTGTTGTTGCTGCTGCTGATGTTGTTGTTGCTGCTGCTGTTGCTGCTGCTGCTGCTGAAGAGCAGATGGTGGTTGACCTTGCTGCTGCATCATTTGCTGGTTCACGTTCATGTAAGCCTGCATTTGCATCCTAGCATGAACTTGCTGTGGGGTAAGTCCACTCATGGCACTAAATCATATATAATAAAATAGTTTAGATGTCGATCAAATGTAAATGAACACTTTCCATCCAAACTTACGGGTTACGAGATAGGGCAGACTGCATTTGTGCCATCTGTTGTCTTTTTATGTGATTTTGAACGGATGCCTGGTAGAAATGGGAACGGCAAAATTATTACCAACGTTCGAATTTCATGAGCAAAAGTCATGTTCAGACACTAACCTTTTCCTCAGCAGTCAATGTCGCAGCGTCTCTACCACCAAAACCAAGAGCATTCATTGCAGCGGCAATCATACTACTGTGTATCATTTGCATGTTGGGACGGTTCATAGGCGGTTGACCTGGGATCTGCTGACCACTCCCAGGCATAGGTGGACCCATCATTGGTTGATCACCAGGTTGTTGTGGTTGATCAGGTCCAGGACCTTGTCTTTGCACCTGTTGTGGAGAAAAGGACGGCGACGCGCTTACACGTGGTGGTTGATTAGGTAGAGTACTTGGAGCAGTTTGAGGTGTGTGAATGATATTGCCGGCGGATGGGGGTGGCATATTAGGATTATTAGGTAATGAAGTATTACTATTAGCTGGTGACGCGTGTGCCATCTCTTGACCCATTTGCTGTGCCTGCTTAGCCTGAAACTCGGACATTCGTCGCTGCTGCAAGACTTGATTCATCATTTTCTGTTGATTGAAGCGATCACGCTGTGCTCGCAAAGCCGCCTGGTGCTAATGCGAAATTGGGTTATTTTTTGAAAGGAAAACAATATTTAGCACATGAATTTGATTGGTTACGATCAGTTTTCGTTTCAAACTATGTTGTGCCTTACCTCATCGTACAAAAAGGCCTCTTTACTTGCGTTTGGATCTCTAAGTTTGGCATTATATAGATCCCAAAACACGGCCCACCATTCTGAAAGAAAACCTTCAGGGGCGTCTATTTGAACTTTTTGATCAACGTTGACGTTGGCTTCGCTCGCAAAAGCATGAGCAGCGTTGAGATAATTGCGCTTGATACAATAATCGTATATATAGCTATGCAACGTATCAATAGGATTTATTTCCGCAGCAAAAGTATGGTATTGCTGTTGCTGCTGCTGCTGTTGTTGTACCGCTGTTGGTGGTTGCTGAGGATTGAAACTGCAATATGTGAAAAAGTGCAAGAATGGATGGGATTGCAATGATGTTTTGTTATTGTTTTGTAGGAAAGACGGTTCATTTAGTAACAAGGTCATGGAGGAACTCGATCCAGATTGCAGTCAATCAAAAAAGCAATTTACCCTTCCCAAGTGTTTCTTCTAGCCTGGGCCTGAGCCATGTCTTCTAACTTAGATTACAGCAGACCAGCACGTGTAAGGTTAAAAAAAAAGACAAGGTAGCAAAAAAAAAAAAAAGGTAGAAACGGAAGAGAAGTGAACCGGGCGAGCGAAGGGAAAAAATTGTGTTCCTCCAATGAAATTTTTTTATTTTGTCTATCGAAAATCCCAGTGCTTAATGTCAAAATGCCTGGGTATGCTGTAAAGTCAATGTTGTCATTAATGTTAGTAAATCTGCTGGAAAATATGTTGGTTGAAATAGAAATGATTTTAAATACCTCATGCGTATGAGTTGTGTTATAATCTATATGAACAAACGCTCTTTCTACATTCTCCATGAGCTCCAGTGCATTCTGAAGCGCTTCGGCTATATCGTGGGCAATATGGACTAGCATATCAGGTGGCATGACAATATCAACCTCGACAAAAAGCTTGTCTCCAACATAGTATGCCCTAACTGTTTCTATAGCTTCAATCTGAGAAGAGAACCGATATGCCATGTACGTCAATTGCTTGATATCATCAATCGTGGCTGCACGTCCACTCAGTCGTCGGATGTTGTCCAATAAAACCGCCATCCATTCGTAAATGATGTATATGGACAAAAGTATACCGCCTACAGGATCAATCCAACCAAGTTTAGTCCATATACCGACTAGCGGACAAATAGTCGCTGCAATATTAAATACGACATCGTTTTCGTGGTCTTGAGCGAGTGCTTGAACACTGGAACTTCCTTTAATCGATCTACACCAGAGCCATAAGATTGCCTTGATGATAATATTCGCTACCAATACTGCAATAGAGGCAAAGCTTAAATCGATAACCTCAGAAGAATTATCCGGGTCCATTAGTCGCTCAGCGGAAGTGATTAGCACTTGGGTAAAAGATGTAGTAGTAATAACAGCAAATATAACGATTCCCAAGGGTTCCATACGCGACTGTATAATAAAAATGGTTACAAAATTTGACCAAAAGCACTTTCTCTCTGGCTTGGTGTGGTTACCTTTCCAATAGGGTATCCGTAATAATCCTCATGCTTAATAACTCTGATTGTGTACCAAATGATGGCATTTGATAGCAGGTCTAGAAGTGTCTCGAAAGCGGATGCCAAAATAGATATAGAATTAGATACGTAGGCAGTTACGACCTTGGTCACAAAAAGTACGACATTGGCCAACATGGACAAATTGATCGCCAGGTGAACGATAGTCGAGGAGTGAGACTTCCTTAAGTTTGGTTTCGCCAGTAATGGCTCGCTAGACCCATTTGCTATACCGCTTTCTTCATCTTCAACCTCGTTTGTAATATTTTCAAGAGGATTTTCTCCTCGTTCCAAGGATTCGATGATATGATCAACTTCCAAAAATCGATCGACCATTTCATTTTGATGCTAAGGATGCAAAAATACGCTATATTAGTCAAAGCGGTATAATATTGGTAAAAAGTAGTTTGAAATATATCTACTTCATAAAACTCGCGAACTTTGCGATTCTTTATCGTTGCAATTTGCGCTTCGTCCATTCGAAGAGCTCGGAATCGAGTCGGCGCCGGTTTAACCGTCTCTTGTATTGAAATGGAAGAGGGACGCCGCGAGCAGCTACGTCTTCGCGATCTTCCACGCTCTCGACTGGGTGATATGGACATTCAGCTGGTGGTGATCAAAAACTTTTGTTAAGAAAAGAAGCAATGCTTAAAGGTGGAAATGCTAGCAGGTGGATTTTTTCTCTTATTTTTTGTCCATCAGACGGCTGGGACTTTTAGCAGTCCGACTAGCTGCAATCAATCCCTTTCAACATGCAGGACCTTTCTTTACCGTAAATAAGCCATTTCTTTCTTTGAATGAAGCTTATTATTTTATGTTCAATTACGATGATAGCTCCCGAGAGGTGTCTATTCTGTCTTGGTCATTAATCCAAGCCCTAAAGGTTACAAGGTTGCATGACACCATGCTTACGTATATTTTGTTCGGTGAGGACACCTTAATATACATATTGCACCAACTTGTATCGAATGAAAAATCCTATACAGCTGCAGAGTCCCTGAATGAGAAGTATAACCGCTGTGGTTTTCCCTTCGTTCATGGGCCCGAACCAGACCAATACCAAATTGATGAGAGTAAAGTTATTGCAATCTGTCGGCTCTCCTTGCTCGTTGTAAATAATGCGAACCAGTCCAAACGTAGAGAATAATTTCAGGATAATCTTTCCAAGTTTTCCGACTGGTTTTTTCTGGAGAGATGCCATGGATGGTTCGAGTTTGTTAGTCTCAGGGTTGTACTTTGGCATGCGGTGACGAGGGCATTCGATCAATCGGAAGATTTGCGGTGCTGAGTATATGAAGTTGAAGATTTGGGGTATAAAGAACAGCATGAGTGTCTTTGTAAAGTGCCCAAGTATTCCGACAACAGCAAATGTCATTCCAGCAAAGTAGCAATATGTGTCTCCAACAAAAAGTCGAGCTGGATACCTGCGTAAAGTACATTGTCAGCACTGAGGAACAGAGCGCTTCAACCTCAAGTTCAAACGCACCAATTATGCCATAACAGGCCAGCTGTCACGCCGATGAAGGGTAGTATAAGGTATAAGCTGAATAAATGTGTTTCAACAGCGGGTGAAGTTGCCTGCTTATCCTGAATAAACAGCAGATCGTTGATAGCGATTGAGAGCGCGATGACTATCGATTGGCCAGCCTCTAAACCATTGATTCCAGCAAGAATGTTGATACTGTGTGTGCAAAACACAGAGTATAACAACATAAATACATAGTACAGCCATCCTATAGGAGTAATTCTCAGTCACATGTCTATATACAATCCTTACAGCCTAATTGACTTACCCAATTCTACTAATTCGCCAAGGTAAGGCCGAAGTTGTAAGGGTACCATTACCCAAGTCACTCCAAAGTTGGTGTAGTAGACGATCAACAACGGTATGGCCGCGATTGCAGGAAACCATACTTTATAACGCCATCGAACGTCAAAAACATCATCAGCAAATCCTAGTAATGCCATGGATTGGATTGCGAGAAGTGCAGAGAGAATTTCCGACAGCTGAATTACAAAGCTTGTTAACGCCATGATCTCAACACGAACATTACTGATGTACCTACTTTGTGGTAAGGAAAAACTCCAGCAATAGGTTGTTCGTCATGCACCAAAGTCGCATTTCCGTTGAAGAAAGACATGAAGGGAAAAGGAACGAACAGAAACATGGCTACGAGATAAATGATGGCGGCTGGCAGTCCCATTGTCTCGGCTCTGAGGTAAACGGGTGATTTGATTAGAAAAAGCTGCTAACGGATAGAATAAAAATAAATAGCTTATTATTTATCTCGAGACACGTACAGCACTGGCCGGTCCTTCTTGAGAACATCCTTGCCGACAATGTTGGAAAGGATGAAGACGGGAATCAGCTGTGGCAGCATATAGTAAGATACAACGCCAGCAATAGTTGCAAATCCCAATGAAATGGTCAAAGTATCATGGGAATAACGTATTATGGCAGCCATAGAGGCCAACGTCGCTACTGCTAAGCCAAAGAGGGTTGATTGTGAAAGCATTAGTGGAAGACCATAAGATTCAAGGGCCAACCATTAGAGACAAAATCATTAAATGTCCGCCACATAGAGCCCACCAACGTGGCAGACAGCAAAGTTTCTGGTCGCCAAGAGTGGACGAGTTTTAATAATGTAAAGAAACGACAAAAAAAAAAAAAAACGAGGATGTGCGAAGGTAGTAAGTCTACATGAATGTATGAGGCAATTTTTATTCGTGATGGCCTCGTAAATCAGATCGTATGGGGTTGACGACAGGGTGCAGTTGAGCCATGTAAGTTATCGCCCACCTATAGATACAAAAAAAAACACAATCGTACTTCAGTAAGGCATGAGATACAATATATACATATAAACATATAAACAGATCTTACATGAGGTAGCAGCAGCCTATGGAAAGGATAATACACGTTCGTATGACACTGTCGGGTATAATCAGTTTTAGTATCATGAGTCGGATTCCGCATCAACATGAAGATCGACCTACGTTTGATTAGAGCTTTTAGGTATGACAAAATAAGAGGCCACGCTAATAAGGGTGCATAGCAGAAAGACCCAGATGACAGTTAAACCAGACATTTGGTATATTTAGTTGTTGCTGCCTGTACGGTTTGGAAAAAAGTTACAGTGAGCTGAGACGAGAATGTGAAGGAAGTATCGACGTCATGCTCATTTTTGCAGGTGGGGTTTGGTTTTGGTGAGACTGCTGCTTGAAATTGCGCGCCTCTCGCACTCAAGAACCTCACAGGCAAACAACCTTCAAAGCAACTTGTTTATACTTTCTCCTCCCCGCATAACTGTATTTTCACAATGGCCGAGCCTGAGCATAACTGGAAATTCGCTCAATGTTTTGGTGATAAGGGAGATTCTGATGACATTACAGAAGGTATTCATCGCTGTTATTTTTTTTTATTTTTATTCTTTATCCACCTGCGCACTCCAACTTGCGTAGATCATGAGCTTTTTACACCCTTTCTCTCGACCTATCCACGAACCTTGTTTGCAAGCGCACACATTAGTGTCAAAGATGCTGTCAATAATTTCAAATCCGTGTTGGCAAGAGTGTCATGACCGAGTCGAATACGACCATGACCCTACGGCTTTTTGAGGTGACATTAGGAGACCCGCTAAAAGTTGTTGACCTGCGCGCGAACATCAAATCCTCATACTCTATCGATACTGCTTCATACGGGTCGATTCAACCCTGTGTAGTCATACTAAATGATTCGGAGTAATTACTATCGATAAACGCCTTGTAATAACGACTTAATATTGCAAAGTGACGGATGGTGCCATCCACGAATACCGAACACTCCTTTTGAATTTATACTTTTGACGCCTAACTCTTACTATTGTTTTTATTTCATCCGTAGCCGATATTATCTCTACCGTGGAGTTCGATCACACTGGTGACTATCTTGCAACCGGTGACAAAGGTGGCAGAGTCGTTCTTTTTGAACGCAACGAAAGCGTGAGTGCACTATTTCGGTTTCATCCCCGCTTGAAGTCTATGCATGACAAATCGTCTTAACATACCATTGCCTGCTTTGTAGAAACGAGGTTGCGAATACAAATTCCATACCGAATTTCAGTCACATGAACCCGAATTCGATTACCTGAAGAGTTTGGAAATTGAGGAGAAGATTAACAAGATAAAATGGTGCAGGCGGCAGAACGCTGCCCATTTCCTTTTGTCTACCAACGGTACTTGTGTCTTTTTCATTTTCATGACCGTGAAGTCACGGGTGTGATGATATAATCATTTACTTTTTCGGCTTGTATACTGACCTTGACCGCCTTACAGATAAAACAATCAAACTGTGGAAGGTATTCGAGAAAACTTTAAAAATCGTGCAAGAAACCCCACTTCATCAGGACGGCATCATGCTCCGGCCCAGTCTACCAACTTCCAATAATCTCGGCACTTCTCCAATAGCTGCTGGCAACTTGCGCTTACCGAAGCTAACGCATCACGATACAATCATTGCAGCAGTCCCGCGAAAAATCTATGCAAATGGTATGCCGTACCTTTCTATTGCATTGTAGATGAATTTCAACCTTACTTACTCTACCATTTCTTATCAGCGCATGCTTATCATATCAACTCTATATCCATTAACTCGGATGGAGAAACCTACATATCTGCAGATGATCTTCGAATCAACCTTTGGAACTTGGATGTCTCAGATCAAAGCTTCAGTAAGAACTCCCCCCCCCTCTCCCTATTCCTATGAAATAAGCATGATCATTATTAACGTTGATGAATTGTTGTTTTTAGACATTGTCGACATTAAGCCTGTTAACATGGAGGAACTTACGGAGGTCATTACCGCAGCAGAATTCCACCCACTTCATTGCAACTTGTTCATGTATAGTAGCAGCAAAGGAACCATTAAACTAGGTGACATGCGCGAATCGGCATTGTGCGATCAGCACAGCAAAGGTAAAGCTAACGAAAATGACATTTGAAAAGTGATATGGCATACTAAACTCAGTCACAACACAGTCTTTGAGGAAGAAGAAGATCCTTCCAACAAATCCTTCTTTTCAGAGATCATTTCATCGATATCTGATGTCAAATTCAGTAAGGATGGTCGATATATCCTCTCTCGTGACTATCTCACTCTGAAGCTTTGGGATATCAACATGGAGAACAAGCCTGTTAAGACTATTAACATTCACGATCACCTTCGAAACAAATTGTGCGATTTGTATGAAAATGATTGTATCTTTGACAAGTTCGAGTGTACTTTTAGTGGAGACGGAAGGTATGGGCAGTTTATGGCAAAATGGTTTCTGATTCAATATGTGCCTCCTCCTTAACATTAATATCGATCAATCTTGTTTCTAGTTCCGTCTTGACCGGATCATACAATAATTACTTCCACATTTACGACCACGAGGGCAAGTCAGATATTACTCTGCAGGCTGATAAGAGTGCTTTCAAGGCAAAGCGTGTGGGCTCAGCCAAGAATAAGATGACTATGACTGGCAACCGAAAACGAGACGATTTCAATGTTGATGCAATTGACTTCAATAAGAAGATTTTGCATGCGTCGTGGCATCCCAAAGAAAATTCTATTGCCGTTGCCGCTACCAACAACCTGTTTATTTTCACGTAAGTTGTGCATTGGTGTCGATTATTGGAAGCATGATCCTGACTGACAATACGCTATTTTCTCTTTACAGTGAGTAAGTAGATGGAAGACGTAACAATGTGTAGCTACAATACTGCTGGTTCTAATCGTTTTGCCTTCTACAGACTTTGATCTCGTTTTTCTTCCTTTCCATTGTTTGTCTTTCTTCAAGTACTTCTTTTTTTTGCGCCAGTAAAATAAAATAAAAATGCAGCCCAAAAACATTTGTGCACTTGAACAATTGGCTAAATCGTGAGAATCGCGCGTAGAGATTTGGTCCCCTGATGGAACACAGGCCCGGGGAGGAAGCTCTTTGTATATGAACCATGTAATTACAAGGTCTGTCCCAGGTTTTACCATAGATTATCAATCATTATGACATGTTAAGTATTCATCGAGAAACTCAATTTTTGAAGTTAGATATTACTTATGAGCCTTAATGCGCTATGTACAACGAGTCAAAGTCAAAAACGCACGCCAATGGTGCTGTAGATGGTAGGATTGAAAGCACAGCAAAACACACAATGGAAAAGTGGCGAGTGACTGCTTAAATTTTGCACAGTTGTTACAATTTTTTATTTTCTCGCTGCGGACCTCGTCAAGTCTCGTTGACAAGTCGTTTTTTTGCTGCTTGCATATGCTTTGCAACCCTGAATTTCTATAATTTGGCTTGATTTACTCTAAATAACTATCAGTACTACTTGTTCATCCCCATACTGAGTGTTCGCCATGAAGGAACAGGTGCTTGACATAACGCCAAAAAAAATGTACGTACAAACATGCTGCAATTATTGTTGACTTCAATGCTCGTCATGCGACAACATTCAAAGCAGACGACTATGGCCGACGATGAATGCCAGCGATTATTACTCAATTATTAACACTGTGTTTGATTTTCTAGTAAGCACATCCAATTTGGTGTGCTGTCTCCTCAGGAGATGGTCAAGATCGCCGAGTTCGAGGTCACCCAACGAGATTTGTACAACATGCCAGACAGAACACCTGTTAAACATGGTGTGCTCGACTTGAGATTGGTATGTACTTTCGATACATACATTATTTTGAAAAGCGGCTTCCCCACTGACCTTTTGTCACGCTCACTAGGGTACCTCCTCGAAAGATGGTACTTGCGAAACTTGTGGACAAAAAATGGCAGATTGTGCTGGCCATTTCGGTTATATCAAACTTGTTTTGCCTGTATTTCACATCGGTTACTTCAAGGCCATTATCTCCATCTTACAAGAAATTTGCAAGGTATGATATGCAGACAAAACTTTCAAATCAGAATGACAGAGAGCTGACTCATTGCAATCCAATAGACCTGCAGTCGTGTAATGCTGGATGAGACGGATAGACGAGCATACTTGAAGCGATTACGTACACCCGGTATGGATAACCTTACGCGCGAGCGTGTTGTAAAGGCCATTAATACAAGGTGCAGAAAGCACAACAATTGTCCACACTGTGGTGCTTTGAATGGTACCGTCAAAAAAGTTGGAGCACTCAAAATTACACACGACCTGTTCAAGAGAGACTCAAAAAGAAATGAAAAGCTCAAAGTAGACTTTGAAAAAACATTTGCCGAGTCCATTAAGACTATGCCGGAAATCAAGAGTCATATCAATAAGGCTCAAGATGATATGAATCCACTAAAAGTACTTAAACTATTTCAGCGAATTTCACCAGAGGTAGGTTAAATATCCAGATTAACTACATTTCATCGTCAGATTTCCTAACTGAACATATTGTATCACTGAATAGGACTGCGAGCTGCTTGGCCTGAACCCTGCGCATGGTCGACCTGAACTTTATATATGGCAGTATCTTCCTGTTCCGCCTGTCTGTATCCGCCCATCAGTCCCACAAGATGATGGCAGTAGCAATGAAGACGATTTGACAGCTAAATTGACGGAAATAGTTTTCACCAATGCGATTATTAGAGCCGGTCTCGAAAAGGGCATCACGATCATGAACTTGATGGAGCAATGGGAATTTCTACAGCTTACAGCTGCTATGTACATTAACAGTGAATTGCCTGGTGTACCCTCAGCCAACATGGGAAAACCAAGTCGTGGTCTCTGTCAGCGCTTAAAGGGAAAGCAAGGTCGTTTCAGAGGAAATTTGTCCGGCAAACGTGTTGACTTTTCTGGACGTACTGTTATCTCACCAGATCCAAACATGCGAATTGACCAAGTCGCTGTGCCAGAACGTGTAGCCAAAATTCTTACATATCCCGAGAGAGTATTCGAACATAATATCCATCGCCTGCGCCAGCATGTCATCAATGGTCCAGATATCCACCCTGGTGCAAACTATGTACAATTCGCAGGAAGCGGGTTCAAGAAGTTTTTGAAGTTTGGTAATCGCCAATACATTGCTGCTGAACTCAAAATAGGAGATATTGTCGAAAGACATCTTTCAGATAACGATGTTGTCTTATTCAACCGACAGCCTTCACTTCACAGAATGTCCATCATGGCGCATTATGCTAAAGTCAAGCCATGGAGAACCTTCCGATTCAACGAGTGTGTTTGTGCACCCTACAATGCTGATTTTGACGGTGACGAAATGAACATGCATTTACCACAAACCGAAGAAGCCAAGACCGAAGCCATTGAGTTGATGGGCGTCAAGAACAATTTGGTTACGCCTCGAAACGGAGAACCTTTGATTGCCGCAACACAAGATTTCATCACAGCCGCCTACCTTATTACTAGAAAGGATCGCTTCTATACCCGCGCTATGTTTGTCCAAGTCTGCTCCATGATGGGTGATGCTGAACTCAAGGTCACCATCCCGCCTCCAGCTATTTGGAAGCCACAACGTCTGTGGACTGGCAAACAGATTTTCAATGTTTTGTTCCGACCCAATACCGACAGTAACATTATCATCAATCTGGAAACCAAGACCAAATCTTTCATCAAATCTGACAAGCGAGCTAATGACCTTTGCCCGGCCGATGGTTGGTTGGTTATTCGAAACAGTGAGATCATGTGCGGCTTGATGGACAAAGCGACTGTTGGTGACGGAAACAAGAACTCGGTGTTTTATATCGTTTTGCGTGACTATGGACCGATTGAATCTGCAAAGTGCATGAACCGTCTGGCCAAGCTCTGTGCTCGCTGGCTCGCTAATCAAGGTTTTTCTATCGGAATCAGTGATGTAACTCCTGGTGAACGTCTACGCAACATCAAAGATGAACAAATTGCTACCGCGTACAAAAAGTGTGACGATGTCATCCATCAATTTGAAACAGGTCAACTTGAAACTATGGCTGGTTGTGACGAAGAACAAACTATGGAATCCCAAGTGTCTGGTATCTTGTCCGAAGTCCGTGGAGCCCTGGGTAAAGTCTGTATGACGGAATTAAACAACCACAACGCTCCCAGTATTATGGCCCGATGTGGTTCCAAGGGTTCCCAGATTAATGTGTCCCAAATGGTTGCTTGTGTCGGTCAACAAATTATTAGCGGTACTCGTATTCCAAATGGTTTCCAAGATCGTTCTCTACCACACTTTTTGAAGAATTCCAAACAACCCGCTGCCAAAGGTTTCGTTCGCAATTCTTTCTTTACCGGTCTTACTCCTTACGAGTTCCTTTTCCACGCTATTTCTGGTCGTGAAGGTCTTGTTGATACAGCTGTCAAGACTGCTGAAACTGGTTACATGGCTCGTCGTCTTATGAAGGCGTTTGAAGATTTGACTACCTTTTATGACTTGTCGGTCCGTAATTCTGAAGGTGCTATCGTCCAGTTCCGTTATGGTGATGACGGTTTGGATCCCATGACGATTGAAGGTGATGGAATTCCTGTAGAATATGAGCGCAACATGAACCACATTCGCAACAGTATTGGAATACATGCCGGTGATGCTGCTCTTTTGCCATGGCAAATTATGCATATCACAGAGGAGGAAATCAAACGTCCAATTTGGAAGGCAAATTGTATGGAATCCTTCATTCAATCCACTCTTAGGTTCATCCGCAATAATGTTGCCGAACGTTTGGTTAAGATCCGTCAAATGTATAAACTCCAAGCTGGTATGGCTATGCCTAGTGAGGATTACATGGATATTGACATTGACGAGGATATCACTGGTGAGTGCACAATAATTTACGCTATGCGTGTACCGTATGGGAAAATAGCATCGGAGCATCAACGACTTACACTACTTGATTTCAATAGATGATGTTAAAGCAATCGTCAACAACAAATACACTGTTACCGAAAGGCAACTTCGTGGCTTCCTTAATGTTTGTCTCTCCAAGTATATGAAGGCTAAAATCGAACCTGGTACTGCTGTCGGTGCTATCGGTGCACAATCTATTGGTGAGCCTGGTACTCAAATGACGTTGAAGACTTTCCATTTTGCTGGTGTCGCCTCCATGAACATTACGCTTGGTGTCCCTCGTATCAAGGAAATTATCAACGCTTCGAAGATTATTTCAACCCCTATCATTACTGCTCACCTGGTGTCCGATCGTGATGTTCGAGCAGCCAGAGTGGTGAAGGCTAGAATTGAAAAGACTACCCTTGGAGAAATTGCTGAGTACATTGAAGATGTGTTCACGCCAAATGACTGCTACCTTGCTATCAAGATCGATATGTCTGCCATAAGCAAACTACAGGTAAGAGTTGTCCGCACAAAGCAATTGAAAATATGTGTACCGGTGTTCAAGTTACTGACATTCCTTCTTAGTTGGAAACCAACGTCAATGAGATAGCAGATTGCATTGCCAACGCTCCAAAGCTTAAGATTGGAAAGTCCGTGTACTCTAGCCCTCCGGACATGATTCGCGTCCAAATCTCTGCTGACCCAGACGACAAGACAAAGGAACCTTTGTACTTTAAGATGCAGAGACTCAAAAGAGCTCTTCCTCACATCATCATTAAGGTATGGAATTTTATCATCGCTGCCTGTAGACTTGGCAGAAGCCAGCCTTTCTTACTCTCTTTTGTTTTCAAAATAGGGCTTGCCTACTGTGGTACGTGCTGTCATTTCTGAGAAAGAAGGTGGTAGCGGTGAGAAGGAGCTTGCAGTCGAAGGCTATGGCTTGCTACAGGTCATGACTACAGACGGTATCATTGGTCGCTTGACCACGTCTAACCACATTATGGAGGTTGCTCAAGTTCTTGGCATAGAAGCCGCAAGGTGAGACTGATATCTACAGCCTAATCTTATATGTTGTACACAACTTACTAAACTTGCTATTCAAGAAACACTATCATTCATGAAATTCAGTACACGATGGATAAGCACGGTATGACTATTGACCCTCGTCACGTCATGTTGCTAGGAGATATTATGACCAGCAAGGTAATATTTCGAATGAATTTCATATGATGATGTCTTGTTGATGGCAACTGACGTCTTTTATGTCTTATAGGGTGAAGTGCTTGGAATCACACGTTTCGGTATTTCCAAGATGAAGGACAGTGTGCTTATGTTGGCGTCCTTTGAAAAGACTACGGACCATCTATTCGACGCATCATTGTACAGTAAGCGAGATGCAATCGAAGGAGTTTCGGAAAAGATCATCATGGTAAGTTTTGTACTATTGTGTTTTATTCGTATAGCGTTTACTGAAGTCCTTGTCCATTTCAAAGGGTATTCCAATGTCTATCGGTACTGGTCTATTCAAGCTTGTCCGACAGACTGAGCAGGATAACATTCTGCCACCACGCAAACTCTTGTTTGATAATCCTAATAATCACATCGCCCTTAAAGCATAAGTTTTTTTATATTAAAAATCTTCCTTGTTTTTTTTTGGTTTATTTTCTTTCAGTCTTTACTTGGTGGCTATATTTGCTGAGTGTGACGATAACGTGTGCGTGCTATGACGAATTCCGCTTGGTATCACCAACAGCGTGGTTACGGGGACGAACCCTCCACGTAACCCCGTATGTCTTACGCGGCTCTCGGCGGCTGTAAAAGAAATAAGGCGTTGTAATGGTGATACATTTCAAATGAAAGTAAATACCTTTCCAACGGTGATGAATCAGTCATCGTAAAGTCACAAGTGGAAAGGTTTATCAAATTTCATATCGCGCGAATCTCTTGCGTGCTGGCACGAAGAAGCGGGGGTCTGACAAATCAAAGCAGAATTTTCTGCGCACGTAAATTGGGGATAGGGCTGATCTGTGCAAAACTGGTAAATCACAAATGTACGATATTTGGCAGTGAGATTGCAGATGATGTCTCTGGGTTAAACGACGCCTTTGACTTTTTATAAAAATAACAACCCCTTTACAGAATGTGGCATGCATTTGTACAGTGCTGGTTGCTACCTCCTGGATGCCTATCGCAGGTCCATTTCGCGAATTGAAGGCTCTTTAGAAATAAAATCCCATATTTCGTGATTGGGGATGTGTTTTTCCGAACCACTCAGCATTTTTTCCAGCTCCTCGAGAATGGTTTATCCTGAAAGCATATCTTTAGATCGCACATACTATTTTTCATTGACTCCGTCCCAAGCTTATAAAACTATACATTTCTCCTGAGGTTGAGTGATTTGATTGATACAGCTATGAGGAGAAAGCTCAGTTGCTGTAGTGATGACTTCGAGATTTCGATTTACTTTTGCTCTTAGACCCGATTTTTTTTCTTGGCTGTTGCCTAATTGTTGAACAAGGTTCATCGTATATTAAAGCTGTAGGCTGGTTTGGTCCATTGTTTAAACTTATAGATTACAAGGTAATTACAACATGATCGTCAAAGAAGAAAACATTGTTTATTAATTGTATGGTGAAGGATCGATAAATAGCGCTTAAGGCGATATTCATCTGGGGCAGCCGGAGAAGAATTTGTAATGGATGGGTTTATAAGCCGGTCCATTAGATTAAGTGACGAACAACGAGAGTCGAATTTCGCAATTTCAAGTCAATGCGATTGGCCAGATGGTGATCAGATTTACAAATTCCGACGTGTCTCCACCACTTTCAATCAAGCACCGTACACTATATAAACCAAACGCGGCTCCGTCAGAGACTACTTTTCTCTACACCTTTGTGTTCATACAGTAATAGAAAAATAGATAAAATGCCTGTCAGCACACAATACACCATTCAATCCGGCGATGACTTGACTCCTGAGCGCTTGGAAGCACTTAATGCCCAGCTCGCAAAATTTTCTCCTCAGGAAGTCTTGGAATGGGCCATCGATAACTTGCCCAACTTGTACCAAACCACAGCCTTTGGCTTGACTGGTAAGTACACAAACTACAAAAAGCTTTTTTTCAGCCATTGAAAAATAGGTATTAATTATCTATGATCTCTTAGGTTTGATTACCCTCGATATGATCAATAAGATTAGCGTCCAACGTCAAAAAGATCACATCGTCTCACTCATCTTCCTGGATACACTTTATCACTTCCAAGAAACATTGGACCTCGCTAAGCGCTGCGTTGAGACCTACGATGTTCCACTTAAGGTCTACAAGCCAGTAGATTGCGATAGCGTTGCCGATTTCGAACGTCAACATGGACAAAAGCTTTGGGAAAACGATGAAGATGCTTACGATTTTCTTGTCAAAGTCGAACCCGCTCGCCGAGCTTATGATGAATTGAACGTTAAATCCATCATCACCGGCCGTCGTAGAAGCCAAAAGGGTGACCGTGCTGCCATCCCCGTTATTGAAGTCGACGGTACTGGTCTCATCAAACTCAACCCTTTGGCCTACTGGGATCTTCAACAAGTTCGTACTTACATCAGAGCCAACGAAGTGCCTTACAACGCTCTTGTTGACCAAGGTTACAATTCTATTGGTGACTGGCACAGCACTAATAAGCCTGCTTCCAAGGATGACGAACGCAGTGGTCGATGGGAAGGCAAGGAAAAGACCGAATGTGGACTTCACAAGGATTATTTCAAGATGAGAGCCGCTTTCATGGCTTCAAAGAAGGCAAAGCAACAGCTTGCAGAGCAGAAGAAGCAACATCAAATCGCCGATCATGCTTCTCCCGTTCTTGAAGCTTCAGCGTAAAGAAAATGACTTAACAACACCCTCCAACTTTACTATTCCATTTTTCACATCTGTGAAATAATTCTTTCTTCATTTTCAATACCGCTTTTCCTCTACTTGTAAAATTCCTTTCATGATGCCCACCCCCAGCAGTTGTATATAGACATTGTGTGTATGTTTTTTTCATACCATTTTTTACAGACAAGAAAAAAAAATACATACTCTTAAACATTTGAAAAATATGATCCCGTTTATGCAGCGACTGACAAGACTGGTGTGTAAACCCAGGTCTTACGTTGTAGACTAAACAATATAATTCTCAAGAGCGATGTGGTCATTCATTTGCATGGTTTCAATGCCACAGGCACTGACATGTGTATTATATCGCTTGGGGGCTACATAGATTATACTATAAGTTTTTGTGCTCACGTTGCTAGCGAAGACGTATTTAGAAATTAAATTTGGTGGTAAGCTCAGGGTAGTGGCCGTTGATTTCGCCAGGGTACTTGGTGGGGTAGGGGATGGTGTCATTGCATCCGTTGGCAGCGTTGGGAACAGTGGGGCGAAGCTCAAGGTTGCGAACGGGTCCCTGCCAAAAAAAAAATGGTTAACAAACTAATGCTTTCTATTGCTTGTGAAAGTAAATGCTTACCTTAGCATGGAAGTAGAGCCAGACAGCGTTCAACTCGCCAGTGGTGTAATCGCATTGAAGGTTAGGAACGGTTCCGAATTCCTTAACGAGAGCCTTGGTGAATTGTTCAGTCTTGTACTTGTGACCGGGGACAATATTGTGACGTTCAAGAGCCTTGTAGACATTGAACTTGTGGTAGAAGTTAACGGTCATGCGGAAGAAATCAGCCATTTCTTGTCCGGTCTTGTAATTGCTGTAGCAGGAGGGGTTGAAAGTAGAGAAGCAGGTACCGTGCTTGCCCCATTCTACAATATATGTTTACGTTAGCAAAGGAAAACTGAAAATATGGAGCCTGCGAATTTAATCCCAACTACGTACCGTGAGCCCAGAATGAGTCGGTGGAGCCTTCGCTGTTAGTCCAGACATTGTTCATTTCTTGCAACAATTGGTATTCACCAAGATCCTGGAGAATAGCAGTGACGTTTTGATACTCTCTGGCACTGTAGGAAAAAGTTAATATAGAACAAGGCTAGACAATACGAGGGGTCTTTACTTGCCTGTCACAGAACTGGTCCCAGGTACCACCTAAAATATTAAAGGAGGAGAAATAAGTGTGAACAAGTGAAAACTATCGAATAATCAAATCATGGATTAAAATCTTACCGGAGCAGTGGTCAGACCATGTTCCGTGGATGGTGAAATCATAGAGAGATCCGGCATGCTGATGTGAGGACGAAACAGTTAGCAAGCAGCATTGAAAAGGGTCTATGTATAATACTATCTATCGCCACTATGATATTGTATCATAATTCTTAAAATACTTACGATATCCCAGAAAGCGGCAAGCATGACCAAACCGGACTTGTTCTCTAGTGTGTATACGAAGTGTAGTAGAGATGTATGTAAAGCATGCATGAATCAGTATAATGAAATTATTGATCTTCCGATGGAGTGCATAAAATTAACAAAGTAAAATAGGTAAATTTCGTACCGACACAGCATCCATCAGCAGAGTTGGACAAAGCAGCAGTAGAGCAAGACCACAACTCCTTGGCGGGGCAAGTATGACCAGTGCCAGTGGGGACAGAAGCAGGGACAGCGGAGGCGACGATAGAGCCAAAGACGGTGGCAGCGAGAGTAGAGAACAACATTTGATGTAAGTTGAACGGGGTTTAGCCTAAAGTACGCCTTACGATTGAACTCATTGTGTATTTATATGTTTTTTTATTTGATTTTCACAGTGTGGTACTTTCCTAGTGTAATTAGGAAAAGGTTGCCATGTTTGGCATCAGTGCATCTATTCGTGTTGAGATAATTGGTTATCAACAGTGTAGATTTTTCTTGCATTTGGGGCTGATGTTACACGGGCCGGTGGAGGCCCAAGTTTCAACACCAGGTAATGCGGGTTGGTATGAGATAAATAAGAAAAGCGTATCTTTGTCCTTGGTTACATTAATAAGATAAGCATTGCAGTTCATTAATACAGCATCAGTTACTATGAAAAGTTCAAATCATGACGCCTTGCATACAGCGACTTTTGTGCTCTGAATATGCAAGTGCACAATGTGCAAAGATGCACTAGTAACCATCGGTAAGCCGCACGTGGACTGCCGCTGCGAGAGTTTGCAACACGAATCAAACTGAACTTCATTCGTAGTCCCGGAGAATTGGTGAGCGAAGTACCTCACGGAACACCCTGTGCTACCAGCTATAGAGTGTCCAGCCTGCCTTCTGGTAGCAAACAAGACAGAGTAGCTGCCGTTTTTGTGAAGACGCTCGCTTCCGCTCCGGCTAGAGGTTCTAGGATTTATAGATTGTGTTCGATGGTAGCTAAGTAAAGATGGAGAACCCGGATACCCAACTCCTTAAACGTTTCTTCTGGAAAGGTTAGAGGACAAGGTTAAAAACTCATGACCACTCGTTAAATTGTTTTGATCGCCAGTGACCAGATAGGTCTCTTCTCTTGAATTTTCCATTTCAGGGTTCTGCAGTAATTTGTGTCAAAGCGAAAGTTTCACCACAGCAAGGAGATCGCCGTAAGTATCTTCTACGAGGGTAAAGATACAAAAGCGTAATGTAGATAGTGAAAGTAAATACATGTACGTCTATGGAAACGTAACAATCTACTATATTTCTATTATAATGCTATTGTCCGAAGTGCCGCCACACTTTCTGAACCCTCCTTATGTTTTGTAGTACGGCTTTCCCTTTGCTTTTCTCGTCATGTCTCGATAAAGCCACCATGAGATGTAGCCCTCTACTTCGTAACTTTCCATTCACACCAACTGCAGCCGGCGTTAACTTGATTCCATTTTACTATTTTAAGTTATGCTCGCCTGGGTTGCCGATCCCGCGGAAGGACATTGCATTGCAAATACTCATCTTAGCGAAAAAATATAAAGCCTTATTGAACCATAAACTTGGCCACAAGTACAGCATATATTTTTAATTATTCGCAAACAAAAACGTTCTTTTGGGAGACATAAGTTTTGGTAGTCATTAACTTTAGTAAGATCGTGGCATAGAACAGTAGCAAAAGTAGACCGGTGATAGTGGAAAAGCGAAAGAACAGTGCAGTGATCGGAGCGGTTGAATATGCATGGTCAAAGTCATTATTGAAAAAAATAACTGCTATTAATCGGCATAGAATTATGGTAATGATGTATCAACGTCTAGAATCCTGTTTGGCTTGTGTCATACTCCTACACTTCATACTGTTATAGTATTGTAGTTAATAATTGCATTTGCCAATTCGAAATAATCAGCTGCCAAGCGCTCAGAACCAGGTAACTTGCGAAATAGAGAAATTCAATTCTGATGAAAATTTTCACCAAATAAATCCATCGTACGATAAGACAACTATATACAGATGCTGATCAATGATTTCGTAGACTGACAAATTTTATTTTCAAAAAGAACACAGGTTTATTTTGTGATGTCAAGTTGCATTTGAAAAAACCAGTCAAAAACCCTTCATACTTTCTCTTAATCAACTATCCCGTACAGTTTGGCGAAAAAAAAAGATCTTTGTTAAGAAACCAAAATTAAGAGCGACGAAAAAATCATACATGATCGCGTGTAAAATGAAACTAAATTATTGAAGCGTGAAATTAAAACTTGTCATTGAGGGTATAGTTATGAACAGAGGAGACAACTGCAACGTCAGTGACGTGTATACTCTACATGAGGTGCAGTAAGGAGAGGTCAGATGTTGGACTTCATACATATTGCTGACGTCCATCCATGCTATCAAAAAGTGGACCAAGGAGACGCTGAAATCCTTGGCGGGGTAAGACAGCGCAATTAAGCTGACCACGCGCGATCACTGTAGCCGTGCGCGGAACATCCTTGATCAAGGCGCATTCTACGTAGCAGCGGTAGAGAAAAGAGAGAGAAAAAGAGGGGTTAAAAAAACGCCGGTGGGGGGGGGTTGATATTATGACTACTCAGGTGTTTAGGACCTATAGGATCTGGATTTATATTTTCCTTACCTCCAAAGTATTGACCTTCCTCAAGCGTTGTGTTGCCAGAAGTTTTGTTGATGGAGTTCGTTACTTCCGCTTTGCCCGACACGATCAGGTAAAAATAGTCTCCAGCATCGCCTTGAGCAATCACGATATCTTGGTCATCAAACGTTCTTGGCTCTAATGCATCTGCAATTTTTCGTCGCTCTCCAACTGAGAGAGACTGAAAGAATGGGATATTCGTGAGGAATGTCTCATAAGTGATTCTCTTATGAGCCATGTTATTAACGAGCAGTCTACGAAAGGTAGTGCGATCCAGCGCGAATAAAATGGTATCCTCAGTGGCCGTGATAGTTGCCGACCTAGGAGAATTGTACATAAGCGCTACTTCTCCAAAGCTTGATTTTGATCCATAGACGGCAACTTGCTTGGAATGACCGTCCTTCCTGATATGACACTCCAGACGACCAGATTGCACCAAGTAAAAATAGTCACCGTCGTCTCCTTGTTTGATCACACGAGTTCCAGAGGTGACAGGACATTCCTTCATAGCGGCTACGACGTCGTGAAGCTGATCCTTGTCCAAGTCCTTGAACAGAAAGATCTCCGCTAGTGCTTCTCTTATGAAGTTAGTTTGTGACTCTGTCTTTGGTATTACGACTTTATCGTAACGTGTGAGGTTGCTTGGTATAATCGACTCGGCGCTCACAGAGGTGCGTCGCACAGGGCTAAAAGGTAAGCATGTTTGGTGAGGAAACGATACGAGCGATGATATTTGATCAGCGCTTTCGTCTGAATTTTCGTAGAATATATTGGTGAATGTCACAGGCTGATGAATTTCCTGCTGCATTTTTGCTAGAGAAGAAAGAGAAATGATTTTTCAAAACGCGAAAGGATGCTGTGCTCTGTCATATTTTTATTTTATTTTATCCCTAGAAGCAACCTCATGCTCATTTTCCATCTGCGTCTCGCCCTCCTTTTCTCCCAAAACTCACTGGAGCAAAATGAAATCTGCGTGGAGCAAGCCTGAGGGCGGGGCTTGAACACAAGCCTTCGAAACAGGCACAATCCCAAAAAAAAAAAAGAAAGAAAAATTTTAAGGCTGCGCGTGTCGAACACCGAGAGATCGCTTATTTCATCATGGAAGTAAGTAGTAGATTTCTTGACAGCAGACTTGACAAATGACTTATTTCTATTGAATTTTAAGCAATACGTTGCCGGGCTGGACGATACCCTGACTAAATTGGCTCTTGGCCAAGATTCAGAAACCATTAGAGTTGTAAGTGTGTTTTCTTTTCTGCTTGCTTACTTTTGGAACAATGCTTCCAATTACCCCCTACATCTATGGCCCAAACTGTTTTTTTCTAACCTTGGAACATTTCCCCCGGTAGGCTACATCCACTCTGAACACACAGTTTTACAACACTTCCCAGTGTGTCCCTGCTTTGGTTGAAATCATCACAAAGTCTCCTCACGTACAAGTCCGTCAGTTAGCTTGCGTCGAGTTGCGAAAACGTATTAGCAAGTGGTGGTTAGAACAAGATGAAGCTACAAGCGCTGCCATTCGAGCAAAACTTTTAGATATCGTTCTTCACGAACAGCAGTAAGTTCAATCGATCAGTTGCTGATGTTTGTCACTCTAGATTTGCTGATTATCTGCATTATAGGAACTTGGTTCTCCATGCTGCTGCTAGAGTTATTTCTGCTGTTGCTCGGATTGATATACCCGAAGGCAAATGGCAAGAGTTGCTGCAGTTTTTGTACCAATGCTGCAACAGCCCCAACGCCGCTCACCGTGAGGTCGGCATTTACTGCTTGTACACCCTGTTTGAGACCGTTTCCGAAGTCTTCCTGGAGCATTTGAGCAACTTGTTTGAACTTTTTGCCAAGACCTTGAACGATCCAGAGAGCAAGATTGTTCGCGTTACAACAGTTCAGTAAGTGGAAATCAAACGTGTTTCTTCATGCATGACCGGTTTATTAACTTTCTCGACCCCTTATTTTCTCAGAGCTTTGGGAAAGGTCGCCGAATTTATTGAACCTGAAAACAAGGAGGATGTCGTAAGTTATCATTTTGTGTTTTTCGATACTCATGTCTTACGTGAACTTAAAAAGCTTACCTGGTTGTACAGCGTATGTTTAGAGAGATGGTTCCCGGTATGGTCAATGTTCTCGAGCAGTGCCTGGCCGAAAGCGACGAAGAGAATGCCGGAAAGGGCTTTGAAGTTTTCGACACCCTACTTATGCTGGTGAGTGCAGAATCTTGTTTACCATGCTCGTATAGATCCAATCAGCTAATGCCGATGTGTGCTACCCTACAGGACACTCCTCTCCTTTCCAATCATCTTGCACAACTTGTTGAGTTCTTCTTGAATGTTGGTGGTAATCGCGAAATCGATGATTCTCTTCGTGTCATGGCCTTGTCTTTCCTCATGTGGGCAGCTGTTTAGTATGTATTGGCACAGTTCATTTGTTCTCTAGGACACGAACAATTCTTTCTAACCTGAAAAATGGATTTGCAGCAAGCAGAACAAGCTTCGCAGTCTTAAACTTGTTGGTCCTATGATTGAGAGAATCATGCCTATTGGTTCTGAAGAGGATCCCGAAGACATTGATGAGGATTCTCCATCCAGAGTAAGTGATACCGTGCTCTTATAGTTATATTACTTTTAGTCACTAACCATCTTTGTTGTACATTGATCTTTCTATCAGCTCGCTTTCAAGGTTCTCAACTCTCTTGCTACCAACATTGCTCCTCAGCAAGTCTTCCCCATTGTTCTCCAGAACGTTATCAACTATATGCAAAACCCCGATGCCAACTATCGTAAGGCTGCTATGATGGCTTTTGCTGTCGTCATTGAGGGTTGCGCTGATTTCATGCGTCCCAACTTCAACGATCTCTTGGCTATTGTGTGCCATGGACTTAAGGATTCCGAAATCATCGTTCGTCGCGCTGCCTGTATGGCATTGGGATGCCTCGCCGAGGAACTTGATCAAGAAGTTGCTGAGAACCACTCTACTTTGCTTCCATTGGTGTTCAACCTTATGAACGACACCAACCCCGAGATCACCAAGCATGCTTGCAATGCTTTGGATGCTATTCTTGAAGGTCTTGGAGATGACGTTGTGCAATACTTGCCTATGCTCATGGAGAAGCTTCTTCAACTTTTGGACAATGCTCCACAAACTGAAACCAAAGCTACCGTCACTGCTGCTATTGGAAGTGCTGCTCATGCTGCTGGTGAAGCTTTCCAACCTTACTTCCCTGAAGTCATGCCTCGCCTTCGCCACCTTATGACCTTGAAGGCTAGCAACGATGAGCAATTGCTTCGTGGTGTTGCCACCGATTCCACTGGTGCTGTTGCTGAAGCCGTTGGTGCTCAGATGTTCACTCCTTACATTCAGGATGTCATGCAGCTTGCTATCGAGGGAATGCAATTGGACTCATCTCGTCTTCGTGAATGCTCATACTGCTTCTATTCCATTATTGCTCGCGTATTTAAGGAAGACTTCGCTGTCTATCTCCCTACTATCATGCCTAGCATTATTGCCTCTTGCCAAGCTGAAGAGAAAGATGACTTCAATTTGGAGGGTGAAATCGATCTTACCACCAGCGATTTTGATGATGATGATGACGGTTTCAGCCCATTCAGCTTCAACTCTGCCATTGCTGACGAGAAGGAAATTGCTGCTGATGCTCTCGGTGAGATCTTTGAGAACACTCGCTCTCTTTTCTTGCCCTATGTTGAGCCTACCATGAATGAGCTGGTTCTGCTTTCTGCTCACATTTCTGAAGGTGTCCGTAAGGCTGTCACCAACAGCTTTTTCACCTTTTTACAAACCTTCTACGTCATGTCTAGCCCGGCACAATGGATCCCTGGCTTGCCTTTGAAGTACACTGTCCATGAGAACGTCGATAGCATGATCAAGTTGGTCTTACCTGCCACTTTGAAGATGTGGGATGAAGAGGATGACAAGATGGTGGTTGTTCAAATCTGCCAAGAATTCGTCGAGACCATCAAGATGGTTGGTCCTGCTGTTATTGCTGATCACGTTGATCCTATCTGCCAACACTTGCTTGAGATCTTCGAGAAGCGTGCCTTGTGCCAACAAGAGGACGAAGTCGAAGACGGTTTGGTTGACGAAGATGAGCAAGCAGAGTACGAATCAATGCTTGTTGGATCTGCTTCTGATTTGGTTGGAGCTTTGGCTCAGGCTATTGGAGAAGGTTTCTCTAACTACTTTAACGGATTCTTGCCCCACATCACCAAGTTCTACGTAAGTTGACAGGAGCCGAACTGTTTTTCTTATAAAAACCTAGCGTATATCATACTCACACTCTATCTACATCACAGAAAAAGACCAAGACTGGTGCCGAACGCTCCATGGCTATCGGATGCCTTGGCGAAGTTATTGGTGGAATTAAGGGTGGCGTTACTCCTCACACTGAGCAATTGCTCACCCTCTTTTTGAAGGCTGCTGCTGACCAAGAGGAAGAAGTCCGAAGTAATGCTGCATATGCCCTTGGTGTTTTGTCTGCCTACACCCAATATGACGTTAGCAGGTATGAAGCATGAAAATGGCTATAAAAGTGTGGTGAATGAATCCTAATCTAACTCTTTTATTTTCCCTTTGTCTAAAGTCAATACAACACCATTTTGGGAGCTCTGTACCCATTGTTCCAGAGTCAAACGTTACCTAATGTTACTGACAACGCTGCCGGTGCTGTTGCTCGTTTGATCCTCAGAAACCCCGAAGCTGTCCCTCTCGATCAAGTTTTGCCAACATTCACCACTGCACTTCCCCTTAAGCGTGACTATGAAGAGAATGAGCCAGTCTTTGAGTGTATCTTCGCTCTTTTCCGAGCTAACAACAGCTTTGTCATGGGACATATCCCTCAGTTCCTCCATATCTTCGCTCAGGTTCTTGGTGAGGAAGGTCAAGTCAAGGACCCTACCAAGGCTAGCATGATTGAACTTATCCGCGCATTGGATGCTCAATCTCCTAACCTCAACATCCGATCCAGCGAATTGGCACAATATCTCTAAACCAAATGATCTCCATGTTTTCCTCCCCCTTTTTTTTTGACCTCACATGGCATTCACAAAAACTCCTTTTTTTTACGATACTCTATAATCCACTCATATGCAAAGCTTGACCTCTTTCTTTCTAACGTTTTCATCTTTTCCCTTTCCAAGATGAAGGGAAGAGAGAAAGTATGTTCTAAAATGTTTTAGTTACCAAGTAGAAAAATATAAACGAAATATACAACTATAGCATCATTACAATTGACACGCAACGGCCTGAGGGTTGGTGAATGCTATGGCTTCATTTTTCATCATGCATTGTTGCTAATAGCAGCAGTGTAGGAAGGTTCAAATCGAAGTAAAAGCTTTAAATATATCAAGCATTTCCGTTTTATAGCTTCTTGTTCAAAGAATATCAATTAAATACCACGACACTACTACTTCAGTAGAGAGAAGAAAGGGGGAGGGATTATTTGTTTTCGCTAACTGAACGCTTGATCATTGGTGTTATTTTTTTAAAACTTCCTTTTCACTCCTCTCGCTCATAAAACAGCATGTAGGCTTCACTGGATAGCACAGTAGCCAAATCAACCTCGTCAACGCTATCATCACTGACACGCCAAAACTTGGGTTCCTCAGGAGGCGGGGTTTCGCCAGGTCGCATGACTTGATGGCCAGTGGGTAGTCTCTTGCGTCGAAAGGTGACAAAGTGGCCGCTATCGTGGCTTCCATAGTGGACAATCATAGCTTGTAATCGATATTTGACAGGTCGAGTGGTGGGTATTGGGATTGAGAAACTAGGACGAAAGGTATCCACGGGCTTCTTCCCCAAGGCAACATTAAGACCGTCTCCACCAGCAAGAGATCGATGTCCCAGCGCCATATTTCGCAAGTAGACAAAATTTCTTCGGCTACTGACGTAACTGTTGCCATTGTTTTGTGAGTCGTCATGGCTGGTAGAGGCCGACGACGGTTGAGGTGTCGACAAAGAGGACTGAGGATCAGCGGTATTCAAAAACCCGTTGGTAGTGAAAGGTGCCAAGTCAATCTCTTCCGAGAATCGAACACGACAGTGATTTTTTTGAACATGACCAGAAGGGTGATACACCGATCGCGACAAATGCAAACATAGTGCTCTAGGGGGATTTGCAAACATAGTTTGCTTTGTAGTTCGGGTGGGGAGTTTAGATGGCGTCAACGTAATATTTGGCTAGGACTGGATTAGCTACAAACATTACTCTCTACTTTCGCTAGCACAAAATCTTACCAGCTGTTGCTCAACATTTGTTCTCAGCGCATGTTCCAAAGTCTCGATATCTTGTTGTAATTTGGTAACCCGGTCACTCGCACCATTAGTTGCAACTTTTGCAGCGGTGGGTTCTTTACCATTTGGACTTTCTCTACTCTTCTTCTTGGATGCCTCTATTTCTTTTTTAAGCGTTGTGATAGTGTCGGTAATCGCACAGCGACGACATTGAAAATCTGTCAATGTATCAACTTTTGTATATAGGCTGAAACAATCTTCCAAAGTGCATGATATCTAGGATAAACAAGTCTAAATAACCACAACAAACCAGTATTGTAATCGCTCATCGCTATGCAGGTACTTACTAGTTGTGGAACAGTAAGTGAAATGTTGTCAAAAGTATGGTGTCGGATAGCGGCTGTATAACCGCATTTTAAACAGCTCACTTTGCTAGCTGCCAATCCCGTAAAGGGATTCCGAGGCCGACGTACCCGGGGTCGTAAATGGCCGCCAACCGTCGTCACGGAAAAGGAACTCCACATGGAACCCAGTGTTCCAACCGAGGACATGGATGAGGTCTCTAAGCTATCAAGCATCGAATTTGACACTGGCAATGTCTTTTTTCAATCAAACATCCAGTTAGACGCTAGTGAACCTCATGTAATGCGCTGCGTTGACAATATAAACCTACATTTTTTTCAAGAGCCAATTTTCGCACGGCGGAGGCATCGAATAGGGAAGTTGGTGCCTCCTTGTACTGCTCTTCCTCTTCCGAAGTCAATGTAGACGTAATAATCTGGAAAAGTTCATGTGCATCCTGGAGTCGCATATATTCAGTTGCCGAACTATTTCTGTTGAGTATTGTTCAAATCCAAAGCACACCATACCTGCTGTTGTCGACTGATAGTACAGTTCGTCTTCCTTTCCAGTGCCTGCACAATATCAGTTGGGAGTATAGATTTCGGCTTCGAGAGTGGCTTATTTAGCACTAGCATAATATACATTTTAAAAAACATAAAATAAAGATGATAGTGAGAAAATGACGGCATCTTTACTGCAGAAAGATCATAATTCAGGTGCTTTCTTGCTTACCTTCAATAGTTTGATACAATGCATAGGCGACTGAAGCCAATATGAAATCGCGGTTTTGAGGGGGTATGGCTACAACAGCCTCGTCGCCTGGGTCATCAACTCGCTCGGCCTATGAACAGTAAGATATAGATATGCAGGAGTGATGTATAATGGAATATGTACAAATCATACCAAGTAAGATCTAAGAGACGGTAGGGTAGCAAGAGCCTAATAAAACGTTGCATAAGTAAAAAGCGAACGTGTAGAATAGCTGGGATTAGTGGAGAACAGATCAGCTTCCTTACCTGCAACACAGAATTCAAGAAGCAAGAGTTCCCAGAGTTGATGAGTCCTAAAATATATTTTCCTTCTCGTTCTATAAGGTAAAAGTATGTCAGATGGGAACGTGAGGGAGTAGATTCGTGCCGACATGGGGGCGGAGGGTAATTCGTAAGCCAGTCCTTACCTCGTTGAAGCTTTGACTTGATGCGTCGTTTTCTTCTTCTTTGTTCCACCGATCGTGGAGAAGAAGATAGAGCAAGAGTACTTGCAGCAATAGCCAAGCCTGCCACAGCAGCAATTGCTGGTAGCTGGTAATTAGAGGATGTCATGAATATTGGATCGAATACTACTGCAAAAATTGAATTTCAGAAGCTCGAGCCGACCTGGGAAGCTGGGACAGCCAAAAATATCAAGTCCGCAAGCAAGAGTTGGGCGCGGGCAAGAAATCGTTGGCCATAGGCGGAAGGAAAGAGGGCGGGCGGCAGGGCAAAATGAACCAAAGGTATTCACTCACTGATAGAAGACGATGTTTTATAAAAAAGTTCTTTGATCTACAGATAAGCAATGAATGACATACATCCTTTCAAAAAGAAGCTTGCCTCAGCTTAAAGAAAGATCTTCCACAACGAAAATAAACCACACGCGTGGGCCCCCTTGTTTGCACAGTGGTGGGTTGGATGGACCAGCATTTTTCTTTTCCGCCCAGATATTTCGCCAGCTTGAATATTAGGATCTCCTTACATCCCTCATCCTTTTTCCTCTTCCCTCTCCCCGTCGTCTGTTATCTTCCCCAACGTTTCAACCGTGCTCGGCTTTTTATGTGGCGACACGACGCACTGACCACATACACTACTTGTTCTCCCGACTCGGTTAGAAAGGTCAAGTCTGTCGATGCCTTTCGAGACAAGCAAAGCCTTTCACCTTTGACAACTTTATCTACAGCGACTTCAAAGGTTTGCATTTCCAAAAAGCTTTAGCCACCATTTAAACTTGCTATGATCTGCGTCCGTTGCCGGCCCGATGCAGAAAAATGTTTCAAAGCGAGAAGCTAACCTCCAGCTTGTAACTTTTTGTTTTTTTTTTCGAACGCCTAGTTGTCATCGGCAAACAACATTGATCATAAGCATATATCAGACGTGCAGGATACCACACCTAAGAAACCTTTTGTAATTGTTGTCTCGGGGGCTCCCAATGTTGGAAAATCCGCTTTGATCAAATTAGCTCACCACAAGCTGCGTATAGCCGAGACAGTCACCTCCAGTAACACAGCGTTTCCATGCGACGATTGCTAATGTACGAAAACTTTGGCTAACCATACAACGTTTTCAGATGACCAAAGAGTAGTGCACACGTTGAGTATAGAAGATATGTCGTATCCTGTCGAACTAGTTGAGCTCAGTATTGACAAGTTCGATACCTCAGTCGATCCCTTACAGCTCCCTAAAGTCAGTCATTTACTGCCACTAGCACAGCTTGAAGTTTCGATGGACATTATACTGAGAACTTCTTTATTTTGTTGAAACAATGACAATGTAGGATACGCCAAAGGTGGATGGAGGCCTTATCTGTTTCGATTTAACAAACAAGGACTCGATGGACTGCCTTCCTGATTTGCTCAGTAAGGAATTTTTTCCCTTGGAGTCTAATCATAGCCACACTTGCTTGAACGGACGTCCCTAATGTTTTTTCCCTTTTCGTTTACCTTGTTAAAAACAAAAATAGATTTATTCCATTCGCTGCAGATACCATTGTTTTTGCTGGGGCTCAAATCAGATTTAACCGCCTTGCGCCAAGTCGATGCTCATTTAGCAACCAATCTTGGAAAACTTTTCAACGCTCCTTTTTCCGAATTCAATACCTTTTCACTTCACTGCTCACGTCGCCTGATTGAAATATGTGCTAATATTGTACTATCGTGTGCCAGTAAGCGACCAGACGTCAACATGAATAAGATGAAATCCACCTCAGATTGGATAAGCAACAATCAACTTTCCGCCAGAAATCCTTTAACGTTGAGGGAACGACGATTTGCTGGCGAACCCATCATCAGAATAGGTACCAAGGGCAATGCTGGAGCCTTCACAAAGCCGCCTCCAATCTCCTCCAGTCACGGAAAACAGAGCCCCAAGAATTCGCCTAGTTTCCGCACTGCATCTTCTCCGCCCGATCATCAGCGACGCTATCCCGTTGACGTGATGCAGTCACCTCGTCCACGAGCGTCGAAATCGATGCCTTCCACTCGGAACCGAAATGATTACCTCACAAATGGCGAGCGCACGCCTAATTCTTCTCTTTCTTCCAATCGTCTCTCACCAACTTTTACTTCTCACCCTACTCCAGGCTTTGTGTATGCGCCTACTCAGAGCACATTCGATCCCACCGCAAACGTACCATCACCATCCTTTAAGCCTCTCCCGAGCTTACCCACAACACTTCAACCCTCTGTCTCAGAACAGTACCCACATATCGAACCAATGAGCCATATATCATCAAATATGGGCGTGAACGATGCTAAGCGCAACAAACGAAGTTCAAAAGACAGTGGGTAAGTACAGCTTTTGTTTATGTTAGTGTTAATAAATAAGTAATCATCCACCAACCGGATTGATGGTTACACAGGGAATCTTTTAGTCCAGGCATGACTATAGAGGATATTATAGATCGGTTAACACAGGTCAATGGTCCGCCGTCAGGTAAGTACACAATGAAGGGTGCAATAAACTTTTATCAGCTTAGTAGAGCATCAACTCATTATCTTTTCACATGTACAGATGAGAAGTTCATGCTGGTGTTTATGACATTCTTTCGCCGCTTTATGAAGCCAAGGGAATTAGCCGAGATGCTTACGGAAAGGTATCACCGCTATGGGAGTGATGTGCTTATGTCATGCAGTTTATTCTCTTACACGTATGAAATTGATAGATTTGCGAGCGAAATGGATGCCACCAAGCTGCCGACTCCCCAACAACAAAAGTACGTGAGATAGCCCATAAATTTTTATTTTTTTTGTGTTCAAGCGGATGGCATCATGATTTTTTCATGCTATAGGCGGCGTTGGGAAACACGTTGTAAGCACATGACAACTAAACCATCCCTTACAGAATTCATCACTTTTTTTGTCAATGGTTATCAACATACTGGGGCGACTTCTGTAGCGCCCATACGAGGAAATTAATGATGTTGCATCTAGACCAACTTTCTCAACATGCGGACCTCCGACCCATGTGTGATGAATTGGCGCCGCTCATCATTCGTGAGCCGTTATCGGGCGACCCTGACACACGATGGGGATTGTATGATATTGAAGATTCCGCCCCAGATCCATCTACTCCAGCCACTTTTTATACGCCCAGTACGATACCGCTCGGGAAAAAGGACAGTGGTTATATTGGGTCCTTTGACTCTGAACAATTTCTCGACCTACATTCTCCGGTTTTACAATCCATGGATGTTGATCATGCAAAATTTGGAAACAACGACGATGGAAATCGAAAGCAAAGACCAGATCCGCCACCAAAGTCCATTAGTAACGTGGTCCACCCTCAGAAAAAGCGTACCGCCCCTCCCACGCATGGTGTTCCACCGCCGCGGTATCAGGAACCGGTGAAGCCCAAGCAAGATGTAATATACGACAAAAACAAATGGCAACCAGAATTTGCTGGTGGCCTTATCAACATTGATACCCATACCCGACATGGGCCTAATTCTTCGGCTGCAAGTATAATGAGTACAATTGCAGGTGGTGCTACAAGGCAGGAGAAGGACGTGGCTCAGTTATACTTTAAGACGTTTACAAGTTTTTCAGATGATGCGCTAGCAGACCAATTAACCTGGATTGAGGCGGAACTCTTTTATCGCATTAAGGTTTGTTTAGCTTTCGTTAATGGGCTAACGACAAAACTGTAAAGTAACAGCGGTGTGCTCACCATGATCTCATTCTGAAATGACAGCCGCGGCAACTCATTAGAAACGTCTGGTCAACCAAAGCAAGAAGGCAGTATTCAACATCGATATCTTCTTTGGACCAAATTAAATCACCGGTCTCCAAAGAGTCGTTCACACCAACCTTCAATAGTCAACACGCATCTTGTCCAGTGCTTGCTTCGATCGCACATTTCAATTTTATATCGGCCTGGGTGTCGACCATGATTGTGACCCAGCCAAAGTTGAGTCGACGAGGAAAAGTATTGGAAAAGTTAATGCATGTCGCAGTAGTGAGTTGAATTTTCCAAGATATCATGCCAAGGGAAAGAAAACCGATTTAAAACTATTCTTTCTCTGTGACAGGCATTGCGAAATCGCAACAACTATAATACGTTAATGGCCGTACTCGCTGGCATTAATAGTGCCGCCGTACTTCGACTACGGCATACACGGGATTGGGTGTCGGTGAAAAAGATATATAAACAATTCCAGAGCTTAGAGAGACTAATGAGCACCGACCGATCATTTGGATCGTATCGACTTGCCCTTAAGGCCTCAGAGGCACCTGGAATCCCGTACTTGTAAGTTTGGCTCTATAGCACTTTTATTGATTGACGCACAACACTAACATGTGGGTAACAGAGGAATACATAATCAGGATTTATTGTCGTTGGCAGAGGCCAACAAGGACTTTAAAATGGATGGCACCATCCATTGGGAAAAATTTCGTTTAATGGGAGACACAATTTTGGCAATGATACGATTCCAAGAACCAAAATTCAGCATACAACCTGATGCAAGAATACTTGGCTTCATTGCAGAAACGGAACTAATGAATGAAGATGTAGGTGGCTGGCGTGTTGTGAGGAGACTCCATATTTGTCTGTTAGCTAACGTGACGTTTTTGAAACCTTTCTGTTCCCCGCAGGAGCAATTCCGGCAATCGACAGCTATTGAACCACGGCTAAAAGCGGCGGCAAGCTCCAATAGACTCCGAGATCTCTGGTTTCGCGTGTAAAAACATATTAACATCATTTCAATAAAACCCACAACCATCTAAGGCTCTTGTACATATGATAGCTGCAGATGCATTTGCAGAAAAGCAAAGTACTGACCATGTCAGCCATGATGTCAGCACCATCGAACAACTTGACATCAAAGAAAACGACCAAGCAGCCAGCCATTCTCCACAATATAAAACCATCCACTTTAAAGCCAGCAAAGCAACCCTTAATCGAAGAAACACTGTGTCACTTGCAGATTTAATCCCTGCTGCTGCTGCAGCCCTTAATACTGGCACCAACTCTCAGGTGACATCTGAAGCAAGTTCGCTATCGAGGGCTTTGACTAGAGTGAAAACTCAGATGCGGACTCAGCGACTAAAGCAATCGTACCTTGGCAAAGAATGGATACGACTGGCTCTATGGCTACCTGTGGATGAAAGCAAGATCAATTGCTGGCGAAAGCCGCTCTACCTAAGGGAAAAGGATGAGGAAGAAGAGGTCATCATCATGGAGAAGTCTACACATGGACACCGCAACGAAGTGAGACTCGCCAATCGTATGGGTCGAACGTTTGAAATCGCCACATGGTACGAATGGAAACGCAATCCGTCCTTGTTTGGTATGGAGCAAGTAGAGAAAAAGGTCGAGCGACTACGAAGCATTAAATTGGATACCCTACATGCTGATGAGCTGTCAAACAATATAGAATAACACCTTTTCACAGCCTGATAGGTCCAAATACCATGGATTCCCAACCAATGCATCACACATTTCTACTTTTTGGATTCTTTTTTTAAATTATTTCATTGCCCTTCTTTTGTACAGTTTTAATTGGTAATTTGAATACCATCGTTTCGTCTTTCTACTATTAATATTTGTATTTCGTTGAATAGTCTTTAAGAGATACCACCAGACCACGACCTTTTCTGGCACCACGGTAAACGATCTAATTAACATGAGATCAAACAGTTAGTCACAAGGAAGCAGCTTGGCAACGAAATCAGTGATAGTATACATACCTCAATAACGTCAATCATCTCCTGCTTATCATCCATTGCCCAATTGATCTTGTTGTTGTTACCAGTTCCCAAATCTATCATGATATGTTTGTTTCGGTAGAAGAACATGACAGTACAAGGATCGTACAATTCGTACATCTGCGAAAAAGGAGATCGTTGAGAACATGAAGCACAGAAAATGACGACAGAAAATAAATTTGGACATGACACTTTACTTTGTTAAAGTCGGGTACTTCAGTAATATCGACAAGGTATATGACGGCAAAGTTCTTGACTCTTTCAGCAACACCGTACAGCGTCTCGTCCATCTTCATACAAGTTGGATCCCAGTCATGGCCGAAGCGAATGATAACAACACGGTCTTCTTCCGACAAAATGGCTTGATCGACTTGCCAGCCATTAGTTAAATGGGGTAGAAAGTACTAAGGAAAATGTGGATCAATGACAAGTCGGGTTTGAATGGGGCGTTAGGTACGAAACATTGAATTTACTTACGGACTGTTAGTGAAGCAGGTAATGAACCATAGAGAAAGAGAACATTAGTATCAAGTCGGTTATTCGGCAAGATTCTTGTCAACTACAACTTACCATGGCTACTGGTGATAACTGATCAAGCTTAGCAACTGGGCCACGAACGAAGTGAGTTTCACTTTTTGGACTGTGAAAATTGGGGTAGTCATTTCACACGAACAATTCAAGGTAATGACTTGTGAGCCTGACATTGCCACCGGTCAACCCAGCTCGTCCGTCGTGGCTCTTCGAATACCTCAAATTGCACAGACTTAAATGTCTGGACGAGAACGACCATCCCGCGCAAAGCAGCCTATCCAGCAGGACAAGTCGACTGAGCTACCATCGCGTTCGATCCCACAAACTGCTCCGTCGACAAGCAGGGTTGAATCGGCTGCCACCTCTGCCATTTATGCTGCTCGTGGATTAACCGTTGGGTTGGCTCGCTCTGCCCGCGACCTCATCCCAGCTTTCGATAGCTGGGCACCCTTTTCCCAAGTTGAATCGCTTAGTACTGTGCTGTTCACACCGCTCGGTTCACAACATATCTACAAGCGAGAGACTATGGAGAAGGCGCTCCAACTAATGCAGCAACAACATAAAAGAACTAACGATAACAACACCACCGATTTGGCTCACAGACTTAGAGAATCTCCAAAGCTACCATCCAGCAAGGATCTGCTGGCTATTGAAATACCAGACACGCAGGCACCGTTGTCTTTATTCCAAGGTTTTCACGCAAGTTACCCTGCCTATTCCAGCCACGGTGTGATTTCCAAACACCACATCAGGCGGAAAAAGCATGGTGGGTCTGACAAACGAAGAGGATCCGTCAGTGACAAAGGAAAAGGTAAGAACTAAAAATACCAAACACCTTAAAAAAATGCCTTTTCGCAAATATGTAACCAATCTATTTTTTTGCTTGTAGCAAATTCGTCGCTCCCACGATTGCAAAGTCAACTGGTTGCGGATAAGCACAAGAAGCAAAGAGAATACGATAAACTTCAAATGAATAAGGTGGGCTGTTTATACTTGCTTATGCACCGGCTATATTTCGCCGACTAAAAATGTATTACTTCCAATTCAGTTGGCCATTTCAAATCAAGTGAGCCAGATAGAAGCACAAATCGCAGATTTAGCCAGTCGACGAAAAGAACTCGAAGCCAAATGGGCGAAATTAGAGATCCGAGAGATGCAACTGCAAGATACCAGTAAGTTATTATTATCAGAATCATTCCGTCGTCATAATTGCTAATTTCAACTTCAGTCGAAGATTTAGAAGAGGCTATTGTAAATTATGAGGACGACCATGCGGATGAAATTTTGAAAATTGAGGACCGAAAAACTAAGCGAAGAGAAAGAGAGCATTTTGATGATGAACTTGACACCGATGTGCAAACCGGAACATGCTTAAAGGTGGGTGGACTAGCTCTAAATGGCTTGATGGAGAAAACCTTATAGTGAATTAACGCATAACCCTGACCAGACTCTTTATGGTCATCAAGATAGCATTATATGCCTTGATTTCGACCATTCTGGAGGTTCATTGGTGTCATCGTCCTATGATGCTTCCTGTCGTGTATGGGATTTGGCAACTCAGAAATGTATTGGAACGCTTTCAGGTCATTCCGGCATTGTACGCTGTCTCCAAGTTCGAGACAACAATCACGTATACACCGGCTCAGATGATTTCACAATTCGCAATTGGGATCTCTCACTCATACCACCAGCAAGATCTCAATCACCTTCGGTGATGAGTACTGCCTCCTCGCCCGCACAGTCTCCTAAACTTGATCCACAAACTCACCATGATATTGTGCCTAGCATTACTGAGTGTTGTATAGATACTTTGGAAGGTCATAGCGGTCCTGTCACTGCTATCCATGCGGATGAGAATCATTTGGTAAGTGATGCATTCTTGATGGATGGGTATAAGGCTTCAGCATTGACGCTTGTTGTTATAGGTATCTGGATCTGCCGACAAAACTATGAAGCAATGGGATCTGGAGACCGGCCAGTGTGTTATGACCCTTGACGTTATGTGGTCTTCACAGGGTAGGTCTGGTATAGTCGACTGGGGAACTATGCCGCAAGATCACCAGAGCAATGGAATCTATGGTGAATCAGTAGGAGACTTTGTCGGTGCACTGCAATTTTGGAACTTTGCTCTAGCAAGTGGCACGGTCGATGGCAAGATTCGCATGTGGGATTGTAAGTTGTCGTGTTCATGGATAGTGCACATCCATTTCAGTGTGACTAATACCTAGATAATCTGTATTAGTGCGAACAGGACAGTCTCATCGAACGTTATCTGGACATTCTGGCCCAATCACTGCTCTTCAGTTTGATGAAGTGCATGTCGTCAGCGGCAGTTTAGATAAAAGCATAAAGGTTAGTCCAAAAAACGAAAATTGCTATAGAGTTGGATTGATCTACAGTCAGTCATAATGCATTTACTGATGCACCCACATCTCAAAAAACTAGATTTGGGACTTGCGAACAGGATCCATTTTTGATATGTACGCATACGAAGGTCCTATAACCAGCCTGCAGTTTGATTCCAACAAAATTGCATGTACTGCTAGCACTAAACAAATCAAGGTAAAATTAAAGCGATCTGTTTATCATCAAGTGACTCACATATCAACTGAATATCTATTCCATTCTAGATTTATAACCGAACCTCTTTCCAACATACCGTAATCGATGGTCATACTCAGGCTGCAACAAGCGTGCGATTTAGGAATAATATGATTGTTAGCGGTGGCAAAGATAGCGTTGTAAAATTGTGGAGCTTGTAAACCCCGACCTATAGTCCTTTTTTTTTTCTTCTCTTTAATAGAACCGTTCATTCCTTTCAAACCATTCGCAAACAGTTAATGAACAAATTAGCAGCACTGAATGGAGTTTTTGCTGTAAACAAACCTATTGGCTGGACCTCAAGGGATGTCGTGAATCGTGTCCAAAACGTACTGACAGCCTCTTGGTATTCGGAGCAGAGCTTGCCAGTACCTAGAAAGAAAGTCAAGATGGGTCACGGAGGAACCCTTGTAGGTATTTTTCGTGCAGATTGCTATCCATTAAGTACATATATTGACTAGTTATTTTTTCCGCAGGATCCCATAGCTGAAGGCGTACTGGGTAAGAGGGACTGATTCACAAACAAATCGAGTGTTGTGTAGACAAAGATCGTGATACTGATGCGATCCACAGTTTTGGGAGTAGGCAGCGGGTGCAAGGACATGCAAGGGTATTTAAAAGGTACCAAAAAATATGTTGTAACTGCTGCCTTAGGGGCTGCGACGGACACATACGACAGAGAAGGAGTTATTACTCATCAGAAGTCTGGATTCAATGCTAGCAGAGCCGACATTGAAGCAGTGATACCCGAGTTTGTGGGAGAAGAGATTTGGCAAAGGCCACCCATGTAAGAACTTACTTGAATGGTTGTTGTGATGAAAGGTTGAATCAGGAAATTTCTTATTGTTCTCCTTTTCATTCATGCGCGGGTGGTGACGGGGATGTTACAGTTACTCAGCCCTTAAAATGAATGGCAAGAAGTTGTACGAATACGCACGGCAAAATCTCGAATTGCCAAAAGAAATCCAGTTACGACCAGTATCGATTCATCAGATAGATTTGACTCATCTAGATGACAATATGCTGCAGCTCACGGTAGAGTGTGGAGGGGGCGTCTATATGAGAAGCCTTGTGCACGACTTAGCCATTCGACTAGGCACTTACGGCCACATGACAGCATTGCAGCGAACACAACAAGGCACTGTCCTTTTGGGTAGAGATACGCTAGAGCTGGAATCATTAACCTCTTACCGGGACATTGTTTGGCTTTAGGCCGTATTGTCCATTTTCGGCAGACTTTGTTGTGATGTGCTGCAGTGAGAAAATAAAAAAATCCCATATTAATAACGCTGACCTGACCTGACCTTTTTATTCCTTTCACTATTTTTACTCCTGCTTGATCATAATGTTACCTTCTGCGCACACTCCAGATCGTAACAACACTCCATCTCCTACTCATTTTGGTTCCGCACCCAGCTCGGCATCATCGAGTGTCACTTCTTTATCGTCCAATGTCGAAATGGAGAAGAATCTTATGATTGTTGACTCGTCCACAGCGTCCTATGCGCAAAACCTACCATCAGAGATTATATATTCCATTTTGAAGCAAATCACTGCAATGTCGGACGTATACAGCTGTAGTCTTGTCTGCAAAACATGGTGTTATTTGGCTTTGGAAGTACTATGGTTCAAGCCAGGCTTCCAGTCTGCGTCAACCTTGGCACTCTGCAGTTCACTCTTGCGCCAAGAACCTTCTACGCTCATGTTTCCCTATCCATCGATGATACGACGTCTCAATCTATCAAATCTCTCTAGCGATATCTTTGACTCCACATTGTCTTGTTTAGCAGGCTGTCACCGACTGGAGAGAATAACGCTAGCAGGGTGTACAAGACTTACCGACAGCGGAGTGCTTGCCTTATTACAGAACAAAGTTGGTCAGAACTTGATATCGGTTGACTTGAGTGATGTCGTCAATGTTACGGACACCGCTATTCTGGCTATTGCAGAAAAGTGCCCAAGGTTGCAAGGATTAAATCTCAGTATGTGCAAGGACACTCACGAGCATCCTGAGTCTGTGCAAATCCATGATGAAAGCATTGTTAGAATTGCTGAGAAATGTCCAGCTTTAAGACGGGTATGTAATTTTTGTTTGTTGTGTTCCTTGCTTATGTCTAGATGGATATTCATCCTACTTTGCGATTTGCAGATAAAGCTGAGCAACTGTGTTCATCTGACTGATCGCTCCGCTATTGCACTGGCTACACATTGCAAGGTTTTATTAGAAATCGATCTCATGAATTGTCATTTGATAAGCAATGATGCTCTTATAGCTATCTTTCAGCATTGCTCAGAACTGAGAGAATTCCGTATCAACCAATGCAGACGAATTCTCGACACCGCCTTTACACAATCAGCTCTGGCAACCAAACCTCCTGGATTTTACCACCAGCTCCGCATACTCGACTTGACGAATGTAAATGCTATTACCGACCAAAGTGTCGCAGTCATCGTGAAAGCTGCTCCCAAAATACGAAATTTGATATTAAACAAATGCGACAAGATCACAGACGAGTCTGTTTTTTCCATCTGCAGACTTGGCCGACACCTTCATTATCTCCATCTTGGACATTGTGACAAACTGACCGATCGGTCCATCATACAACTTGCGCATCAATGTATGCGGATACGCTACCTGGATCTTGCTTGCTGCATACAACTTACGGATCGCGCAGTCATGGAATTGGCCATTCTTCCAAAATTGAAGCGTATTGGCTTAGTCAAGTGCCAAAACATCACAGATGAAGCCATTTTCTCTCTCACCAACCTTTCACGTATGACGAATTCTTTGGAGAGAGTGCATCTCAGTTATTGTACAAAGCTCACAGTCCCGTCTATTACCCACCTTGTTCGATCATGCCATCGCTTAACTCATTTAAGTTTGACTGGCGTTCTACCTTTTTTGCGACGTGATTTTCAACGATTTTGCCGTCCACCTCCTAGAGATTTTAATCCCCAACAACGAAGCGCATTTTGTGTATTCAGTGGAAAAGGTGTACGAGACCTACGAAACTATTTTACTCGAATCCGTCCATTGCACAACACTTTGGATGATATACCCCCCTCACATGTCATGCCAGACTTTCGCCAAACAACCATGCAGTCTTTACAAAATGACACTATCTACATGGAAATAGATGGTGATGTTGACGGTGACGGCGACGGTGACGGCGACGGCGACGGTGATAATGACATGGAAGACATGGAAGATGTATAAATATTGTGTATTGTTGTTCCCCCCAATTCAACTTGTTATCTGTCCATACCCGACATCAAAACCAGTTCTTTTTCATCCATTCAAACTGAAAATGATGGCAAAGACATCATTTCTTTTCTTTATACCAAAGTATAGTCCTCACTCATTTGTTCTTATTCTTTTTCACCAACTTTTTTTTTTCCCCTGCATTTAAGCTGGACTCAGCACTGGATACCACAACCAATTTGACATGAAACGTCCACTTCCGTAATCGTCAATAATAAACCTCTTTGCTGTCAGATATCTTTAGCTTTATGTCAATTCGGTTTGCATAGGGAGACTTAACACTGTGTAGGCTTGTGCAAGTGATATTCTACCAGGTCTGAAATGAAGCACCCAAGTGGTCGGTCATTGAAGTATCTTGACGTCAGCATTTATGCACGTGATCATAGTGTTTTTGAAATTTTGTGCCTGCCTGTAGAAATATCTTTTCCCTACCCTTGATTTATACAGCCCTTTATCCATCCATCCATCCATCCACATAATTTGCCATGGGAGGTTAGTATTGCGCGCGGTACATCATCTGAACGAAGGACAGAAATACTCATCGAATTACCTCGCTCTTAGCCTACAAATATCTCGAAGAACTCTACAAGAAGAAGCAATCTGACGTTTTCCGTTTCTTGCTTCGTGTCCGATGCTGGGAATACAGGTACATTGGGAGCTTTGACTCCATTTAGGCTTGAACACCATATTGTCTCCCATGAGCAATTGGTTAAAGTTCTTCCGATGAATATCAATGTTACCTCTGCAAGCATTTAATTGACCGTAAGACATTTTTGGTAATGTATTTTTTAGACAATTGAATGTGATCCATCGTGCCTCGCGTCCTTCTCGTCCTGATAAGGCTCGTCGCTTGGGTTATAAGGTGTGCTTTTACTCTCTTTTTTTTTTCTTTCAGGTCACCAACCGAACTCCTTACTAAACTGTTTCCTCTTAGGCTAAGCAAGGCTATGTTATCTACCGTATCCGCGTTCGTCGTGGTAACCGTAAGAGAACTGCTCCCAAGGGCGCTACTTTCGGTAAGCCCGTTAACCAGGGTATCAACCACCTCAAGTACCAGCGCTCATTGCAAGCCACCGCTGAAGAGCGTGTCGGCCGCAAGTGCGCTAACTTGAGAGTCCTTAACTCATACTGGGTTAACCAGGATGCTACCTACAAGTACTTCGAAGTCATTCTTGTTGATCCCCAGCACAAGGCTATCCGTCGTGATGCTCGCATCAACTGGATCGTCAACCCTGTTCACAAGCACCGTGAAGCTCGCGGTCTTACTGCCATTGGCAAGAAGAACCGTGGTCACGGAAAGGGACATGGTTTCAACAAGACCATTGGCTCTGGCCGTCGTGCCAACTGGAAGCGAAGAAACACCTTGTCTCTTCGTCGTTACCGTTAAATTTGTTTGTAATCTTTTTAGTTGCATGTATTATATAAAAAAGTTTGAGTTTATATTTTAGCAATTATTCCTTGTGTTGGTTGAACAAAATGTCTTGCGTAAACTCAGTGAATGCTGTATATCAGGAGGACCCTATATGTTTCTTTAACCTTGCCCACCCATTGCATACCCCAGAATAAGCATTTTAAAAAGCATTGATGTATTCATAATTATAGTACACGCACGTATTGAACATTTCAACTATTATAGGATCATGCCTTTCGCAAAGACTTTAGCAGCAAATCCTTTTCATCTAGTGCTCTGCAAAGCATCTCAATACGGTAATTGGCTTTATCATATTTGACTTGAAGTTCCTGAAGCTCTTGTTGTAGTAAGATGGTGGACTCAACTCCGGCCGCGGATGCTGCATCTACGTGTTTCGACGTGCTTCCATTTTGATATTCTAAACAACAAACGCTGTTCACTACTATATGCATGATACACCTTGTCACATGAGTGAAATTTTACCAGCTGCTATCATCTTCAGCTCTTCTACCTGCGCTTGTAATGATTCTATGATATCGGATACTGGTGTGTCGGTAGCCATACGTACCAAACGGAAATAAGTTGTGGAGAGAGAAAAATTTCCAATGTGGGCCAACAAAAAATGCAATACCTACGCACAGATCACGTGCCGATGATATGGTCAGCAATATGGCGAAGTCGTCACGAAGCCAATGAGTCATTTATACTTCATTGTTAACCATGCAATTAGACGCTGAAAATACTATTGACGAAGGGCTTTATTCACGCCAACTGTAAGTGGACCTTTCTGTACGTGGACTGCGTAATGAGCGCCTCATATCTTATTGTTCACGTCTTTGATAGCTACGTGCTCGGTCACGAAGCCATGCAGAAAATGAGCGTTGCTCACGTTCTGATTATTGGCTTGAAGGGCCTTGGTGTTGAAATCGGTACGATAAGTTCATCCATTTGATAAGAAGTTTTATCCGTAAGCTAATGCGTTTTCTCCAGCTAAGAATGTCATTCTTGCCGGAGTAAAGAGCGTCACTCTTTACGACCCTGCTCCTGTCCAAATATCTGATTTGTCAACTCAAGTATGATCATCCCCCCGATTGCATATCTTCATTGGAAACTTGATCTAACCACTCCCTTAGTTCTTTTTGACGGAAGAGGATATTGGCAAACCACGCGCTGCTGTATCTCAGCCTCGCCTAGCAGAACTCAACCAATACGTACCCGTACATGTATTTGATGGACAGCTCAAAGTAGAGGACCTTAAGAAATACAAGTGTGTTGTTGTAACTGAGCTGCCATTGGCACAACAACTGGAGATCGACGACTTTTGCCATGCTAATGGTATCAACTTCATCTCTACAGAAGTCCGAGGTCTTTTCAGGTAAGTCCAAGCTTAGTAATACCAGGCTTATTAAAATGAGCCATTACTAAATGTCACCCCTTTCCATATTTTGGTATTCAGCCGAGTTTTCAATGACTTTGGAAAAAATTTCGAAGTGATTGATGCAACTGGAGAGAACCCATTGACTGGCATGGTTGCTGATGTGTTGAAGGAAAAGGAAGGTGTTGTGACTTGCTTGGATGAAACTCGCCATGGACTGGAAGATGGCGACTATGTCTCTTTCACCGAAGTTCAAGGCATGACTGAACTCAATGAAATGAAGCCTAGAGCCGTGAAGGTTTTGGGTATGTATAGAGCGAATTCTCAAATCGAACAGTGTTCATAAATACTAATCACCTTTTTTAGGACCATATACCTTCTCTATTGGTGACACCTCCAGCTTCTCTGATTATAAGTCCGGCGGTCTGTTCACGCAGGTCAAAATGCCAAAATACCTCGATTTCGTAAGCATTTTCAGAATGTGTCGTTCTTTATGATATGGTCATTAACTAACTGGCTATGTACTTACAGAAATCATTCCGGGAATCGATTTCAAGTCCTAAATACGTTGATTCTGATTTCGCCAAGTTCGATCGCCCATTGCAATTGCACTTAGCCTTCCAAGCTCTCCATGAATTCGAAGCTAAGAACAACCGCCTTCCCAAGCCACGTAACGAGCAGGATGCCGAAGAAATATGGCAAACCACTCAACAATTGAACGAAAAATTGGGTATCAAAACAGAATTGGACGAGAAGTTGATCAAGCAGTTCGCATATGGTGCTGCTGGAGAAGTTTCTCCTATGGTAGCTGTTTTTGGCGGTCTTGTCGCTCAAGAAGTGCTCAAGGTAAGTTCCTGACGAATGGTATGTAGTATAGATGCTCGGTGTACTCAATCATTCGATCGGTTTTAGTCCGTTAGCGGTAAATTCCATCCTATCGACCAGTACATGTACTTTGATTCATTAGAATCATTGCCAAAGAACTACCCTTTGACTGAGGAAAATTGTGCCCCCATTGGATCACGTTATGACGGCCAGATCGCAGTTTTCGGTAGAGACTTCCAACAGAAAATCGCAGATACTAAGGAATTCCTCGTCGGTTCTGGTGCTATTGGCTGTGAAATGATGAAGAACTGGGCTATGATGGGTCTCGGTACAGGTGCAAATGGCCGAATTTTCATAACTGATATGGACACCATCGAAAAGAGTAACTTGAATAGACAATTTTTGTTCCGCAATACCGACGTTGGAGTAAGTATAAGTATTTTACGATACAAACCTGTCATCGCTCGCAAGCTAACTTCAACACCTCATAGCAACTTAAATCTGTATGTGCGTCCAAGGCCATCACCAAGATGAACCCAGACATGAATGGAAAGATAGAAACATACCAAGAACGTGTTGGACCCGAATCTGAAAATATCTATGATGATAAGTTCTTTGAGGCTCTGGATGGCGTGACGAATGCTTTGGATAACGTTGAGGCCCGAACCTACGTTGATCGACGATGTGTATATTACCGCAAGCCCCTCTTGGAATCTGGCACTTTGGGTACCAAGGGTAATACTCAGGTGGTGATTCCTTTCTTGACTGAATCATATTCTTCTTCCCAAGATCCCCCGGAGAAGTCCATCCCTATCTGTACTCTTAAGAATTTCCCCAATGCTATTGAGCACACTATCCAATGGGCAAGAGATCTATTTGAAGGTTTCTTCAAGCAGCCTGCAGAGAATGTCAACCTTTACCTTTCCCAGCCAAACTTTGTTGAAGCTACGTTGAAGCAAGGTGGTAACCAAAAAGAAGTTTTGGAAAGCATTCGCGATTACCTCGTTACCAAGAAACCATTGTCGTTCACCGAATGTATCGAATGGGCACGTATGAAGTTTGAGGAATACTATAACAACAACATCCAACAGCTTTTGTTCAACTTCCCCAAGGATTCAGTCACATCCACTGGTCAGCTCTTCTGGTCCGGTCCTAAGCGCGCTCCCGAGCCAATTGCCTTCGATCCCAAGAACCCTATCCACATGGACTTTGTTGTTTTTGCTGCCAATCTTCATGCATTCAACTTTGGCCTTAAGGGAGAAACTGATAGAGAATACTTTGAGCGTGAGCTTCAGAACATTAAGGTGCCTGAATTCAAGCCTAAGCAAGGTGTCAAGATTCAAGTACAAGAAAATGAAGCTCAACAACCTCAGACTTCTGATGAGGACGAATTGGATGAGATCATTTCCAGCTTGCCCCCCGCTAAAGACTTTGCCGGATTCCGTCTCAACCCATCAGAATTCGAAAAGGATGACGATTCTAACTTCCACATTGATTTCATCACCGCTGCCTCCAACTTGCGTGCTTTGAACTATGGCATTACACCTGCCGACCGTCATAAGACCAAATTCATTGCCGGCAAGATTATTCCTGCCATTGCTACTACGACCGCCTTGGTTACAGGTTTAGTGTGTCTCGAATTGTACAAGATTCTGGACGGAAAGGACAAGATTGAGGATTACAAGAACGGTTTTGTCAACTTGGCGTTACCATTCTTTGGTTTCTCAGAACCTATTGCTGCTCCTCAACTAGAGTACCACGACCAGAAGTTCAGCCTGTGGGATAGATTCGACATCCAGGGTGATGTGACACTACAAGAAATCATTGACTACTTCAAGAATGAGCATCAACTGGAGGTTACTATGCTTTCATCTGGTGTATCCATGCTTTACTCCTTCTTCATGCCCAAGAAGAAGTTGGAAGAGCGACTTCCTATGAAGTAAGTCTTAACGTTGAATTTCACGGTCTCACAATCGGCTCATGGAAATGTGTATTAATGTTGTTTTCTTTTATAGGATGTCGAAGTTAATCGAAACGGTTTCCAAGAAGCCAATTCCACCTCATGTGAGGGCTGTCGTTGTGGAAATTTGCGTCAACGACAGGGATGATGAGGATGTCGACGTGAGTTTAAACCATATATCGTGTTATGACTAATCGATCTCACGCCTCTAATTTTGTATTGCTTTGTGAATAGGTCCCATACGTTCGTGTTGTTATTCGCCCATAATTTAGTAGCATGTCAGCATTGAATCGAAATTTGGCGGCAATAAAAATGTTCATAAGACAATGACTTGACATAATTTTGGATTTTTTGTGTTTGGGAACCGGTAGCTTTTGTCCCACCTTCTATGTCTTCATAATGGCCACCTTATCCTCATTTCCAGGAATGTTCCCGTTTCAAGTTATATATTCGCAATACAGAGGCTCGCAAGGGTTTTTGTTATCGGATCTCATTATGCAATTTACAAAGCAAGTGCTTCGACCAAAGGTTTTGTTGATCATGCTGGCCGTCACGGTAATCATGTTCGACTTGGATGACTTGTTCGATCTCGAAGGAATCGAGTTTGAGGAAGACGAAGATCCTCATCAGCCAGAGGGCGATAACCACGCACCAAGCGACCTTTGACCAAGCCATTCAGTTGCCTATTTACTCTCCTTTCATTTTTCACATGTATCCTGTATCTACGTGCCTTAGCAACTATCTTGTACTCTTACCACTGACTTTGTCCCAATCACGCCTGCACTCAACCTCATTCTTGACCATTGCTCAACCACTTATCGATGTCTACTCGATCCTTACTCGATTGCGATACATTCCTATTCGCTTGTATATAGTATATTTATTCGCAACTTGTACAAACAGCAACTCATATTGCAGTTTTTTTTTAAAACCATATGCATGGTTGGCTTGATTATTTACTGTGGTGGTGGTGTCGGTGATGGACGTAATCCTTTAGCGATATTAGATGACGATACAGGCCGCTTGATAGGTCCTTCGTCTATAATAGCTTCTCGTCGCTTTGGTTTTGCCTTCTTCTTCTTTTTGATTTGTGAAGTCGTACTAGCACTATCTGTTGGCACCGCATCCTCCAGCACTGCAACAAGGGATGTTTGATTATCTTCCACTGCTGGTGATGATGAACCTGAGTCCAATGCAGGGCTGTTGGAAGTTGGTGACGCCGCGATTGGACTGGGGGGTATAACGACTTTTGCGGCAACCGACATGTCGTGCTCTTGATTCCTCTGTTTCGAGCTTGCTGCTTGCGCATCGTAATTAGTTCGCGCTGTATGAAGGTTTGCTGCTTTCTCCTTCAACTGACGAGATCTGATATTTAATGACTTGGAGGTAGCATCTATGTACAAAACTTTGTCGCGGTATATTGAAATTTTCGCCATCTGCCTCGCAATAGACATAAGACGTGTCAGAACAGCCCAACAATTAACAGCCAGCGCACATCTACCGATTACATACAGTTTCTTTGATATTAGTGAGATCCAGTTCTGTTAACGTCGAATCGCTAGCGACGTGTAGGCTATCTAAAAGCTCCTGCTGCTGGGACCTAATCTCGAGAATGAGCATAATACTTCAACTGGTTTGAAATACCGAACGTGAACTCACTCGAGTATCGTAAGTCGTCGATTCAGCAGGTCGAGTGTGGGGACGATCTGGTCTGTCAGACCTTTAGCTAGGTTTTGTGATGCATCTTCCGAGATTTGTATCATGACGGAGAGAAAAGTAAGCCAAACTACCAGTTGTGACTTTGCAAAAATACCTCTATGGCTTTTACTGCGAAAGATCCCTTTGATGCCAAGTCAAATTTATAGCTCATACCACATTGATAGATAGTATAGCTTTCATTTTCTGTATATGTTATTAAGTATATGAACTGCAGACAACTTTTAACTCAAGCATCATCGCTGCCTTTTAAACAAGGCTTTTCGAACGTAGGGTGCTCAGAGATAGGTACCTGAGAAATAACAGCAGTAGGTTGTCACTGTTTCATAAAATACTAGCTCAATCACAAAAGTTTCATTCCCAAACTACGAATAACTTTTCTCCAGCCAGTCAATAGATAGGAGAAGTACAGCAAATCATCTAATTCATACGCTAGAATTACAACGATATACTCACTCACCAAAACGCATGGAATTACTTCGAGAATGACTTCCTAATCCTTCCTTCGATGTCAAGCTTCGGTCAGGATATTTCTCAAAAATCATTCACATCGCAGGGCAAAAAGAGAGTAAACAGCAGATCCAGTAGATCACTCCTTCTTCTATTTATCATTCTCTATACCACTGTTATGTTGCGTGGTAAATTATGGCTTGTAACGATGTGTAAACGATTTTCTCACCCTGCTCGACAAAGGATTGCAATAGAAGCTATCTTTGAACAGCAAGACGAAAAGCTTATTGTAACTGACAAATTTTCAATCTAATAAAGTATAAAGGCATTACCAAAGTAGTGCTTTGGTAGCTGAAGTGTGAATATGATACATATGACACATATGTTATTTATTTTTATGCGAATTGTACAACGTTCTAGAATACATAAAGGCTGAGAGAAGGGCCGCTTCTAACGCTTTCATTGGCATTACATGCGATTGATTGGACTGTGTTGCATTGGGTAAGTGGGAAAGAATACATGAGGAGCGGTTTTCTTTGCTTGCTTTGTGCTTGCAGTCTTGGTGGAAGAGGCAGAAGCACCAGATGTAGAGCTTGCAGAGGATTTTGAAGAGTGCTTGAAGAAAGGCATGTTCTTTATAGCGTATAAGATTTGTTTCTGATGGATGGAATGCTATTCCAAAGGTTGATGACCATAGCCATTATATAGTATTCCTCGTCCGCCAAGTGCGTAGTACTTGCGCCTATGCCAACATGCTCGGCTACGTTTTAATCGCCGACAACTTGGCCCTTGGCATTGGCATCGTTCCATGGTGATACATACTACCAGTCGAATCAAGACGGATCCATACCGACCAACTTGCGTGATATAGAACCATGTACACTAAAAAAGTCTATGATCTTTTGAAATGAGTATGTAATCCATAAAAACCTGAGCCATAACCATAAAAAAAATCTTGTGATTCTTACCTGGTCAAGCCAAACTTTTAATAGCGAAAAACACTATCTATTATATTGTGGTCATAAGAGAAGAGGGTAACTTAAGAAGAAACAAAGCTTACACCCCAAGGACCTCCTTGGTGCCAACCATTGCCGGCACGTAAGGCCATTTGAAAACCGTACCGCAATTCATTTGATGAAGTTTTTTATTCTATGTAGATTTTTATACTTGGAATTTGATACCACCCATCAATGGTCATCGGCGTTCGTCAGCGGGAGCTTCTCTATTTTAAGGAGCTCATGTATTGGTGCTTGTAAAAGAAGAATATAAGGTGACGTAAATTGATAATACACGGCGCCAATTGCGAAAGCCACTCCAAGGATATCAATCATGCCTTTCCAAGTTGTCGGTGGATGATACAGCAGAATCACGCCATGAACCTCACAAGCTAAAAACATAGCGATAGAGTTTCCAATGGAAAGTATTCTTATAGAGAATGGCTTCTCAATATCTTTCATCGGTTCCTTGTTTCGATCACAATATTTCGTTACCACCATCATCATGGGATGGTACCAAGAGATTACTGAAATTCCCCAAGGGATTATTGTTTCCAAAGAGTATTGATGGTCCACACCGCTGTACCTTTCAGCAATATAGGTACATATTGCCGCTACGAAGATAGCCACTGAGGCATATATGACAACGGAACATATGCGGCTTATTATACGGCTTTCCGTGCCGAATCGAGCTTCATTGTAGTTGCGCATAAGCTGGATTGAGTATTGGGTATTGCACACGAAAAGAATGTAGGCAAAAAACATGATTCCCGCTTCTACTTCGAATGCGATACACGGACAATGTCGTTGAGCCACCAATACAGAGAGTGCAATTGCAACCATGAGATGTAGTTTACGTAATAAGCGTATAGGTGACCTGCCTATGCCATGACCTGCAAAGATATGCAAAGAAAAGATTGCAATCTGTGCAACAATAAAAGAAAGCGTCGCATTTATCTGGGCAGCAAGGACCGATGTGAAATTGATTGAAAAGCCGGAGAACATGAGCGTGGTGACAAGAAATCGCAGTGTGGCACATTTTATAGGTTTAGATGGGAACACAGTGTCACCATGAAACTCGTGCCAGTAGTGAAAGAGGCGCAGCAATGGTCTTTGCTTAATCTCCCGTATATCACTGCCATTACATATTGCTGCATTGTCGATCTGTTTTAGTAGAGCATAACACCGTTCTAGGTTTTGAAGTGATAATTCCACAAAGTGAAGACGTAAATTGTTAGTGCGTGAATTGATGTGGCAAACCTATAATGAGGACATGTGAACTGTGGCTGCACGTATGTGGCTAGCCAACAGCTATACCAAGCGATGTGTTCTAAGAAAAGAAAATGGTAGCGAAATTCCTAAGACTGCAAGACCTATGTCAGCTATTTCCATCGAGATTACTGTACGACGCTTGGGTCATCAACTTACCTTCATGAACCTAAATATATCGCGAATCGTCACAGACGTTTGTCGCCAGGTACCAACTTCAAAACGAAGTCGCCTAGCAAGTAAGTTATGTTAAGGCGCAGAATGTTTAGTACAAGTGTCAATAACAATTTTTTTCCAGAACAGCATTTGGTGTATTGAATGCCGCTGCTTCTCGTTTGCGGCTCGTGTAAGATTAGAAAAATTAGATGCGTTCTCTTGCCTTGCAATGGCGAAAACTAACCTCTACTTTCTGGAAAACAGCACTTCTGTTTGTAAAGTACTATTTTGCCACACTGCAGATACGGATTTGCCGAATGTACAACCATTGCGAGATAAGCTTCTGCATTTGATGAAGTAAATGAGAGACCGTATTGAAGCTGCTTGAGCAATTCACCGCTCAATAAGTTGTATGACATGATGTAGCCACTCAACAACGGGTCGTATCGGCTGCCTAAAATGGAAGTCTGTGCGCAGCGGCGAGCAAGGTCAGCCATAAGCACATTGAGTAACTTCTTTCCAGTTGAGCAGTAAAAGCTACTATCAGTTGTTGTCTCATTGATGTTTGGAAATAAGTACCATTTTTTTTGTTTCATGGCCAATTTTGATCTTCTCCCTACATTCAGCTGCAAAACTTGTAGCCTTATAAAAGTCATAGCGAAGCTGCCAATGTAAAACGGATTAAAGACGACTCAAGAACATGTGTATTATACCGGGTAATCGCAAAAATGTCACTTTATTAACAGACAAACGTGCTAAACAGACCATCAACCTGGTAATTGTAGGAGGTGATATCAGAATTTTATTATGAATAATGGTTTGAAATTGTAAATTAGTACGATATGTGTATTGCAAGGGTATATTACATCTATGCCTCACAGATTTCATGTGTATCCCTTCCGAGAGGGAGTGGTGTCATTACCGATAGCTTATTGTAAAACATTACGAAAAGAAGTGTAGAGAGCCTATAAAGCAGTGTATTAAGGATCACATTACCGACCACGATGCCAAAATCTTGTGCAAACAAGATCTCTTCTTCATATGTTGTAATTACAACATAGAGATAAAACGCAAACATCATGACAATGTACAACGAAAGTAAGCTGAAGGTCTTGATGATTGTGCTCCTTTTCTCATTGTGTGGCACTTTGGTGTGATATGTTATTCGAATAACCAGCAAAAGCAGTAGTAACCACGCCCATAGCGCGAAGAAGGTCCATAAGTCAGCTTTGTACAGTATGTATACATTATTGTCTGTACTTGGGGTTACGATAGATTGAGCGTAAAGGCCAGCCACAATGATAAAGGCTAAACATGCAGCAATTGCGAGGCTACACATGGCGGTTATTACAAAGGTTGGCCCTCCCAGATATGAGATCGTGAATTGACGCAGAGCCAGCACAGCAGTCAAGCCGAAGAAGGCGTCTGATATATAGCCCAGGATGACGAGTGCTAAAATTGGGCCATTTGAGACCATATAACTATTGTCAATGCCTTCGCTGATTGCATTTGAAATCAAAGAGAAAACATTGGCAGCCAACAGGAAGTAATAATGGAGCTTCACAGATCCACGGCGTACCAAGAGCTGTAAGACCAAGATGGCGACAAGGATGGCAGATACCGAGATGTTTATCACTACTTGAGCATTGGCAAGTTTGATATAGTCTATAGGATCAGCCATGTTTGAGAAAAGATGACAGTTAAGGTAGCAAAAGTATCAGGTTTATGTACTTTTTTTTTTAGTGTAACGCCGTCACCACTCCTAGAAATACACAGACAAATGCGTGACCGATGCGGACAAAGAATTTCCCCAGTAGCGAAACACATTGAACTGCCGCCTCGCAGTAATTCGAATGGGGCTCTTCCCCCGCCTTCAACCTTTCAAAGCACTGGCTTCAATTTGCACAAAAACCCTACCTCTTCAACCAATGCCTACAACGTCAAAACCAGTTGATGTAGCTGAATGTTTTTTCAGCACTAGCAGCATTGGTTCTTGCAAATTTAATGATAATCTCTCGATAGAAGAAACTTTATGTACGTCTTGCAGTATATCTCAGAGTAGCATACATTTCTAACTATAGTGATATTGCCACCAACGTTATGCTGCTGCGTAGATGGAACATTCTTAAAGGGTTTAGCTGAGGCTGATTGGCGAAAATAACTCAAAGCATGGAAAAGGAAAATGGAGGTTGTGAATAAACGTGGCGCGTTGCATTCGGCACAATTATACTCCGCATCGGAAACCTTAGGGGAAGGCCGTCGCCGCGTTAGCCCGTGTCAATGGGTACCTGCAAAGTGATATATTCCTTATACAAATTTTCACTCTTGCACCGAATCTTTCGTCATGAAAGCTGATTGGTCAATATGCATGCTCGTAAGGGTCAAGATTTCCTCATCTTCTTTTTGTTTACGTAAATCGAACATGAATTGCTGCATGGTTTCCATGGGAAATATGGTAACTTTTTCATGTTTATATATTAAAGGTCTTTACAGTACTTGACCGAAAAAAAAAAAAATTGTGCCATCTAAAAATTACGCATTGGCATTGGCATTGTCAGCTCGTCTATGTCTTCTTCCATCTTCATTCGTTCTTGTATAGGCACCATTGCAGATAACCTGGTATAGAATCCAATGAAGAGCAGAAGACTTACTCTTGTTAATAATATTGACAATGCGAGATCAATCTGTGCCAATCTTTCAACGACATCATTAGAAAATGGGAAATATCCTATGAAAACCATCCAGACAGAGTAAAGAGTGACGAGTACAATGAAAAAAGCCAAGAGCTCCCAATCATTAGTCATTATTCGTCTAATAATGCCATAATGCTGTCGAGAACCTCGAGTAGCCAACACGCGAATGAAGATGAGACCTAGAACAGACCATATAGATAATGCAGGGGAGGCCCAAAAGATGATCCTTGATAATGTGAGAGCATTGAAAGTGGCATTGTTGCCAACTACCACGCGAACCACAATAATAAGGACTGTGACCACGATAAGCCAGAGGGTTCCAAGTATTGCAGGGATGCTTGCTAATATGTCGCGACTCCCAAGGTAGATTTCAGAGCAACAATGCATTGCCCACAAGCCAGCGAGTTGAGTAAGTAGTAAAGTGAGGGCACTCATGACGGCCATAGCTGTTGACGATGGGTCCGAAAATAGAAGAAAAATTGTCATGGGTATGAAGGGCTAAGGCATCAAAGATTATTCCACAAATGACTGCCAGTTCCAACAGGTAGTAGTGCAACCTAGCGTTTGATTTGTGCCGAGCAAGAAGAGCAAGCAAGAGTATACCACAAACTGCGACGTCGACTATGGACGATATCTTTCTTAGTTTCAGGGAAAACGTTGGAGAATTAATAGACATATTGTGCTGTATAGTGTGAGCTGGAACGAGATGAAGATACCACCACAGTACAAGTGTCGCTTAAATACGAATGGTGCAAGTGACTTGTGCGCTTACAGCCACACGACAGCAATGGAAGCTGTCACAGCGTAGCGCAAAAATAGCCCAGCATCACTTCATCCAAATAAGCTTTTTACCTAACCCCCAATTTGACAAAGGTGTGACTTGTGAATTGGGCAATAACGAAAGCCTCACGCCAGTAAGGTTTAGATCCTTGCCTCACTGCGTACGCTGCACAGTAACATCATGTAGTGGTAGAAATATTTCAAAGGTACATTTCACGATGGGTATACAACAATCTTTATCATACAAATTACGGATACAGGTACAGTGATCAAGAAATAATGCATTCGTCCTTCTCTTGCTTCCTTCTCTTGGGACCATGCAAAGATTCGGGAACGATCAGTGACGATAATGATGGCTGAAGTTCTTCTGCATAAGCATGTAAGGTCGATATATGGCCCGTACGGTAGTCATTTTCTACATTTTGTAAACTCTCCCGACTTTTGCCCATGCGACCAAAATCCGAGAGATTGGTGGCCGAAACAGAAGCAAACGCCTTTGATAATTTACGTGTACGTTGGCGTAAGTTTGCTGAGATGGATGTAGTGGGTATTGGGCTCGAAGGAACCGCAAAAGGTGATGGATTGGGTTCTTCTGGTAAGGTAATGCCTGATTTTGTTCGTCGGATAACATGAGGTGGCTCTGAAACTGGCCGCGGACGAAGTTTTGTATCCACATCCATGGCTGGCGATGAATTCCGTTGCGGCAACTATAGTATTATTATTCATTAAAAATGCTGCACAGTCAAAAATCGCAGTGACAAGTAGTACCACGACTTACCTCGTCCAAGGATGGCCTTCCTACAACATAGATGGAACACAGAGATGTATCTTGCTTGCACTTTTCATGACAAATGAGAGAGCAATCTGTAGAGCTGATGGATTAACATTTTGCACAATCATCGGAGGTAAATATTCTATGACATGGTAACCTTCACAGAATAAAGCATGCTTCTTGATAAGTTGTAGGCATGCCTTGCATACAACAGCTATATACATTGGGTTGAATTAACAATCGAACATACCGACATTTCTTCCATTTGTATATCGCATGTCACTTACATTTAGAGAATGAGGTTTTGATAAAGCGGTGAACTTCAGAATACTCAATCTCCTTCGAGAAACGTTTGCTGGCTCTAGAGAACAGTCTTGATGTGACGCCCCCGGCCCCTTTAGACACAAGGTAGCCAACACTGCGTGATGATGGCGCTTGGTGGTCGCTTACTGGTATCTCAGGTAAAGCTTTGTCAACAGCTGATAAAGCGGGCAAATTTCCTTCAGAATAGTTGGACTGTCTATATGGGCTTGGTTTAGCGTTGTCCAGGGTATCAGGATTGGTAAGTTGCTTTTGCTGCATCAGTAGACCTTCAGGTGCAGTTGTGTGCCGTTTGAGTGCTTGATGTCGCTGTTGATTTGCGTCTGAGGGTTTGTCTGATGGCAACATGTAGACATTATTTTGAATCCAAGTATGGCCCATGAGCTCCTCTGGAGTTGGCCGATCCGAAGGAACCTTTTGAAAGCATAGTCGCAGGAAGTGACGCAGATCCTGTTGCGACAATCAAAAGACGAACGCAAACATGAAGAAGAGATGAGATGGAAAGAGTCAGTTGCATGACCTCTTCACATGTGTGGTTAAAGCAAGCTATATTGATTTCAATACATTACCTCAGATATATTATCAGGTAGAGGAGGGCAGTCGTCTTCAACAATGCGAAAGAGGGTCGCCATAGAGATCAGATGAGCATATGGAGGCTTGCCAGTACATAGCTCAATGATGGTACAACCAAGAGACCTGGTAAGCAAAAGTCAAATTTAGTCAAGACGTACGGCCCCTTTAGAAACAAGTACGTAAAACACCTACCATATGTCTGACTCAAAGCATGCACCTTTCAATTCGATGATTTCCGGGGCCACTAAACAACTAAAGTCAATACCTCATAGACATTGCCACCCATAACATCAGTCACTATACATACTCCAATTTGGCGTTCCCGCAACAACACCATCTTCTACGTTTTTCATTTTCAGATTTAGCGATACTCCGAAATCGGTCAACTTGACGTTGCCTGCCTTCGTCGTTAGAATATTGGCAGCTTTGAGATCGCAGTGCACCACCTAACAATATGCATTGGTCAGTGCACCTCTGACTACTGTTTACAAATATTGCCTGCCATTCACGTACCTGATTTTGATGCAAATAAGACAGCCCTTGGAGAATTCTGACACAATAAGATGCGACTAATCGTTCGGGGAAGGCGCCAAATGCCTGCAGAGTGTTGTGCAGTGAACCATTTTCCACATATTCCAGAATGATATTTAAGTGACTCTCACTGAAACTGAATCCTTCATACTGAACCACATTTGGGTGAGACAGCGACTTCAGTAACTCCACCTCTTTCTGTAAATGCGAAAGCAAGTTCGGTCAGCCAGCCACTTGACGATTTTCACGACCTCCTACATAAAAGTGTACTTACCATGATTTCATCAATTTCTTTTGTGTTGGCGCTTTCTAGCGTTATTCGTTTGACAGCCATCATTTGACCTGTTCCTAGATTGAGAGCCTTATAGACAGACCCATATTGACCCTTCCCTATACAGTTTCCCAATTGCTTTTGAAGCGGTGATGCTTAGTGTTGAGTGCCACAGTGCAAGGAGAAAACGAATGAAAACTTACGTATTGTGCAATCAAGTCACCAGCGTCATCGAAAATACTAAGCCTTTCTTTTCCGCTATCTGTCATCCGCTTTGATTCTGATGGCTTGTTATAGAAAGGGTTTGATTGGCGTTCTTCCTTGTGTTTTCCAACACTGCCGCTCTTGAACACATTGGTCTTTTCGGACGAGTCCTTGACAGTGGGTATGGGGCTTGACACAGATGGAAACGGATTAGGTGACTGCATACTTCCAAATTCGTCTAGTTCGTCTTCATATGTGAAATAAGAGTCATGTCCAGAGATGTCCAGCATCGGGTCGTTATATCCAAGCGTGTGCTGCACTCTCGACGAAGAAAGTTTATCTTTATGTTGATCACTCCATTCTTGGTATCTAGCGTGAAATGGTATTTTCTGTCGAGTAGAAGATTTTTTGGAGAAGTGAAGGTTCTCAAGAAGAGATTGTTTAGAGTTAGTTGAGCCATGTTTGACACCACCATGACCTTGCTGGTTGGTGCTGCGAGTTGAATTGAAATTATCTTGTTTTTGGGTATTATTTGCGGTAACAGTACTTGTTGAATCACTAGAACTAGACATAAAGGATGCAGGTATAGATGGCTGTTTGGAAAGCCGTCGGCGTCCGTTTGTTCCGTACCCACTATCCGAGGGAGATTTTGGGCTAGACATTTGGGTATCTTCTTCGATCATTGGTTTATTTGCAGTTGGAAAGACTTGCGAAGCAGCTTCTGTCAATGCATTTGCTTTTTGGACCAGGGTGGAGGAAAAGTGAAGTGGATCGCGATGCGGCATGTTCAATGCGGAATTTCGTCTTCCAGTATATGGTGGTTCAGGCTGGCCTTGCATGTCAAACAGAATATCTTTGACATGGCGGTATTGAGTTCGGTCTTGCCGTAGGGATCGGGAGCTATTATGATCAGTGATAATCTCGGAACGAGACTTTTTTCGACGCATGGCCTGCGGTGTCATATCGGTCATGTACGATAGTTCGGAATGATGCTTGTTGCGACTGTATTTAGGGTTTATAGTGGCGCTGCTAGGTAACGGGGAGTCATTAAGTGACAGTTCAGCCATGGGTATGTGATTCAGTGTAGAACGAAGCTTCATTTCTGATGAGTGTGAAAGGCTTGGCGCTGGATGTGTCAAGTCTTCATATAATTCAAATGGAGTGGTTTTGGAAAAGCTGGACTTTGGTATTTGTGACAATCTCTTTTTGCTGGCTGGTGGCAGGCTTTTAGTAGAGATTGCTCGCTCCAAGGCTAAAACAGTATTGACCACCTGGATGATCGAAATTATTTTTAGTATTTACAGGTACTACCACCACATCGGTAACAGCTTGCAAGCTCACCGGCATAATATCCTTGCTTTCGAACAAATCGTTTGGTTGGAATAATTCTGAATTTTTAAGTCCAATCTGTGGATGTAAACTTCAATCGTTAGGATAAAATGTTGTAGAAAGCAATATCTTTTTAATTTTACGCTGCTGTTGAAACTTACCTGGCGGAGGCCGTTCAAAAAGTTGGTGATATTTTCCATCTGTATGAAATTCAGTATTTAGAGGAGACGTAGGGTTCCCAAAACATATGAGGAAGATGACTACCTTAACAAAAGAGTGATCTTTGTAGCCTATATTGTGTATCGTTCCTGGGCGCACTTTGTTTAAAACTCTGTCATATTTGTGACGGCAGTAAGGTCAGCAAAAAAAAAAGGGGTTATCGCAGTTTAATTGAATAGAAATGGCCAAAGCCGGGGACTAACTGGCAGAGCAAGACGCCATCCTGAAGGTCATACTGAAGATCGTCAGTGGGAAGATGGTAACCCAAGATTTTTTCAATCCATTGTTGAGCTTGTCGTTTTCTGTCAAGTTTAGAATTGGGCGGGGTACTATGCTGTAATGTTGAGGTTTGCGATGAATCGTTAATCCAAGGAGGATGAGATTGCTGAGGGGTATACATGGATCATACAACGATGTCGAGGTAGCCGCTTAATAGAAACAAAGGGGGGGTAGGAAGAGAGTGAAATCTGCACGGTCTCCTCAAAATTTATCGCGTGTATTTCCAAGACTGTGTGCAACCTGCACCATTTGATTGCCTCTTTCTTTTTTCAGGCACACGCCGCAAGCCAGCAAGCCCGAATCACTCCATTATCACAAAATTCCGACATTCCAATGTCGTCTTCATTCCAAACAGCTTTGCTAAATGAATTGTCTCGATTGCCTCAGGAAGGTGGAGGAATCTACCGGGTGTACCATTTCGCTACAAAACCTGTGATATGTAAATATCCAATAGAGCTTAGTGGTGGCGGCACGTTCAGCCAATCTAGCATGATTCACCGACTGATTCTCATTGCCCACGGGAGCACTAATCTGGAATCACCTGCCTTTGTCTGTGGCATGGAGGTTATGGAATACAAGGAAAAGTCAACAGATCATGAACCTTCGTTGGTGTATATTTCAAAAGTTGACACGTCTGGTTACAAGGCGCCTGCTCCAATTACCTCGCTTATGGTAAAAACATATCTTTCAACTCATTCGAATTGCACTACCCACATATTTGCGCGAGCACAACCACAATACCTATTCCACAGATCCGTGGAAAATCCCTCCAAACATGCACAATCAGATCGAGGACTCATTGCATGGTGGCTACGGGTGATCACAGATACATCTTTTTTGACAAAGCTGGACGCGTGGTGGTGTATCCCAGGAGTGGATGACCAGGAAAGTGCCAAAAGAGAAACGCGTGTGACACAGGATCTTAAATTAGGTCAAGTGAACTGGCATTATGGATATTCATACGACGATAACGCCGATCCGAAGGCTGTCATACCCAAGTTTCCCGATGACGCTAAAGCTAGGCTCTTAAAATCCTACGCTAATTATGACAGCAAGGATGATTCTGACGAGGAAGAGGACGATGATGAGGATGATGCCGAGGAAGGTGGTGAAGGAGACGATGGCAAGGATGAAAATGACACAAAGGGAGACGAAACACCATCTTCTCCTATGAATAACAATGATGCAAGTAGCGATGACGAAAGTGATGAAGGATCAACAAAGCAAGCCGCCTCAAATCCCGGAAAGATTAAAGACATTTTGGCTGACGAATCCCATTCAATGACTGTTCGTGAATTCTGGGAGCTGCTATCCATTGGAGAAGAGTGTGGATCGGGAAAGCTGACGGGATTTTTCGTCATAAAAGGAGACCCTGCAGCAAAGGAAAGCGGGGAATTCAAGGAGCTCGCACAAACACTCTCGAAAGATCAATTTACTGTTATTTGGAACCACTTGATGGCATGCGAGTTTACATCTGACGAGAGTAATCGCACTTCAACAGCCAAATTCACAGCACAGATCAATGAATGTCTCCAATTAGAATCGGGATATTTACCCATTGAAGCTACCCCTTCCGGGGAGTCTAACGCAGAGATTAACAAGCCAAAACGCCCGCTGCAACAAGAAAAACCATCCGCTCCAACGGTCAATGTATTGGGTGGTAGTTTCATTAAACGAAGAAAGACATAGATTTGTACATTGTTATATGAGTAAAGTAAAAGCGAGCACTATTAGACTTGAGGTTGATCTTCAAATACAATGAAATTTTCCATTTCACGTCGAGTCTGTTGTTCCCGCAACAGATTGTACACCCTTCTTTTCATCCTTTCCGCGAATTCTAATACTCGAAGCAATTGTGCTCTTGCCATTTTCAAATTGGGCTGTAAGAAATATGTTAGTGCCATCTGACGGCATCAGCTTATGAGAACAAATGACTTTACCTGAAGAATATGGACACCGTACATCGTAGTAACAATGAGCTCATCTAAACCGTCATGGTTTATATCCAGATGCACCACACGATAGATTGGGTATGAAAATTGTCTTTGCCAAAGGATGAAGTATGAATTTGGAGAAGCTGCACAGAAATATTACTAGAGTGTTGTGACAAGATCCTTATGAAAGCAACGATACGCACCTTTCTTGTATATCAGAATTTGCTTTCCATAGGTACCAATGATAATTTCATTTTGTCCATCCCAATCAACATCCATAACATGTGAACACAATACAGAATCGTAGTGACTGGACTCGGGTAATACAACGGCGTTTTGAAGACCAACTTCTGGTACGGAACTAGTGCAAACGGAGAAAGCTTAGCTGCACGTCTCTTATTCAGCATACAGGCTGGCGTCGAAGCACTTACTGATATATTATCGCACGTTCAACTGCGCAGGTCACTACAATATTTGTATCGCATTCGTCTTGTAAAACCCTATCAATAGAATCACCATCATTCAAAATATCTGGCGTGATTGGTGACCGTGAGTTGTAAATTTTGACCGAAGATATTGGGCTGAATAGTCTCGTGGAGTAGGAAGCTGTTTCCACTCCGGCAAGGTTATAAACTCCAACGCAAAGCTCGCCATTCTGACCACCTGCACAGAGAATTCTTCCCTGACCATGATCATAGATATCCATGAAGAGGACGCTGATGCATCAAGGCGTAAATTTAGCGGCGATACAAAACTTATGCCTGAACATGAGATTTGCACATTTACCTTTGCCTCTGTTCTGCCATTTTCCCCAAAATAGGGAAATAATCACCAACATCTAACTCTAGGAAATTGTCGCTTTCTGAGCTCTATAAAAAAGCCCTTTAATGAATCCGGCACCGAATGTCACCTCTGTATTTACAGCAATACGAACCTGGCAGTACATGTGCACTATTCCATCAGTCGATGACAGTAAAATTGCAGTCCGAATATTTCCATCTATCTGCTTTACGCTGAATTGTACGATGATAGGATTACAATGGAGTTAGGTTTGAACATCGTGTACTATTTCAGATCTATCATCGTAAGTATACCTCACGTGGTTTAATTGCATGGGAGCAGAGTCAACTTTGATTAGCTGGCAAGCGCCTAGTGAAGTGAGTGAAATCAATAATGAATACTTCACGTTGGCAACTATGGATATTGCACATCCAACGAAGTTCAAAACCTTACCGACAATGTTAAATAAAGTTTGTTCAAGATATGGGGCAGCTTTGCGGCTACCACCGTAAATCCTGAGTTCATAATTGGTCGAAGGATTCTCATCGCTTGAGCGCTATCAGGCAAGTGTGCATATTAATCAATACATAGTATCCTTTGTGAATTAGATAACCAAAATTCACCAACCTCTGCTGTTGTAATACAGACAACCATATTCTTGACAAGAAAGCCTAAATTGTCCTCCATAACGTGCTCAAACGCATCGACAGATATTATCTCCAATTTGCCTGTTCAAGGTGGATTTAGAAATTTCGCACATGATTAAATGAATGCAGCTCGTTACGCACCTGTCTCTATACCCAACGGGATACATAACCCGTTCCAATACCCATTGCACGCAACAAACGCGTTTAGCTCTGAAGCTGAGATACTGAGTAGGTGCTTGGACTTTTTGGTCTCCGTTGGAGCTGCTTGCCATGAAATGTTTGATTATTACTTTCCAAATCTTATAAGAAAATATGCAAATCAATACCTTCGCGAGATGGAGGATAAGGTAAAGAGTCGTAGCGTGTTGACGGAAACTCTTCCGCGCACTCGAGATAGGTTGGTAATGACGTTTCTAATATGACTGAACCAAAAATATTCCTGCACCGAAAGAGCTGAAGCGTGAATAGGCAAGAAATGCGCAAACTGTACAAAGGCCACAAGCTCCTTACGTTCTTTCATAACCGTAACGAGAAAAATGTGTCTCTTGAAAGAGAGTGTTCTCATCATCGGCCTGCAAATTCAGGCGTTGGGCCATGGGTGCATGTGGGGGTTCGGACAGTTCAGACCAAAGAATCGGGTGGCTTTGCAAGTCAGATAATGTAACCCCCCTCCACAGAAATTTACAGTTCGAATTTTTTCACGTTTTTCATTCCCCCTTCACCATGTTAATGGCACAGCGCATTTCCCTTGTTGCTCGTCGACAACCTGCGACCATTCTTGCTCGTTATGCTTCAGGTCAAGCTGTCGTTCCAGAGCAATTTACACAAACCATCGTCCTCAGCAATGGAGCTACTTATACCGTGCGAACAACCTCACCAAAACCTCAAGTCAGATTGACAAAGGACACTCGCAATCATCCTCTTTGGAATCCTTCCATGCTTCGAGAAGGTGTCAACGATGAAAGTGAACAACTCACTAAATTCCAAAAGAGATTCGGTGACCTCGGTGGCCTCGATGATATATCATTCGTCCAAAGTGACGAAGAAGTCTCAAAGGCTATGCAAAAGGCAGCAGCAAGCGGCGGTCAACAATCCAAAGCAGCCAAGGGAAAGGGAAAGAGAAAGTAAACAGATCGTTATTAATGCGACGCAGTCATGTATAATAGACCCAATAAAAAGAAAGCATAGAGTTTTTAAAAACAAGCTATTTAGAAGAGTTTTCTTGCGTTCGAGATACCGAATTGTCAATTTTGAGCTTGAGTTCATCGTATAGTCCGTCAATATCGTCTGCAGTGGTGATGGATCGTATCTTGTCCAGTGGGTATTCCTTCTTCAGTAAATTAGCGAGAACCTTGCCAGGACCGAAGCAAAGGAATTCGTCAATGTCTTGCTTTTTACAATAATCAATGCTGCGATTCCACTCAACGGTTGATGTCACTTGTTGTACCAACAAACTAGCAATCTCTTCAGGATTACTGTACTGTAATTAAGATGGCATAAAATAAGTTACCAAAGGTCAATGATATGATGATGGACAGCGTGCAATAGCACTTACAGGTTTTGCAGTCACATTGGAGACAATATCGACGATAGGCTTCTTGATTTCCACGGTTTTAAGTGCTTCCTCCATAGCATTTGCTGCTTCCTGCATCAAACTGCAATGAAATGGAGCTCTATATACCAAAAAAAGAAATTAGCAATGACCACACCATGGTTCTCCGTCGACGTTGCAGTGACTTACGATACAGGAAGATCAACAGCCCGAGCGGCAAATCCTTTTCTCTGCAATATTCTAGATGCCTCATCCACTCCTTTGCTGGTGCCGCTAATAACAACTTGGAATGTCTAATTGACAAATTTTCATTAGCCATGATGAAATACTTTGCAACATTTCCTGTGTGTGCGACATACACTGTTTATGTTGGCCAGTTCTACTAGTTCACCTGGTGGCAGACTAGCTCTGATTTCATCCATACTATATTCCAGTTCAGGCAAATGGTCGCCTCGCACAACCAATGCTGACATAGCGGTTTGGCCCTGTCGATCAGCGACAGCTTTTGTCATTGCTTCACCTCGAAGTCGAACCAATTTGACTGCGTCTGTCAATGAAATGGACTTGGTCGCTACAAGGGCAGTGTATTCTCCCAGAGAATGGCCCAAAGCGTATGTACAAGCTTTTGCAACATCGAAATCTAATTCATGTTCAAGCACTCTCAAAATCGCGATAGACGTTGTAAGAATAGCAGGTTGAGCATTTTCGGTTAATTTCAGCTTGGACTATTGGCGGATATTGTTCAACACATTAGTCTGCCATCCAAAGTGCATAGTACCGTTCGTCTAAGGAAACATGGACTAACCTGTTGACCCTCGAAGATCAATTTTACCAGGTTTCCACCAAGCGCCTCATCGGCTTCATCAAAGACCTGCTTTGCCGACTGTGGGTACCGGGTATACAAGTCTTTTCCCATTCCCACATACTGCGAACCTTGGCCTGGGAATAGTATGGCCGAGTGAGACTTTTCTATTCCAGCTGTACTCTACAGTTAAGGACAGTGAATATTTCAAATAGTCGTACCGGCAGAGAACAGCATAACCTACCATCCAAGTGCGAGCATGACGTGGTATAATTTGTGTGTTAGCGATTCTCAAAAATTTCAACATTGGAGGAGTGGCATAAGTTTCTAACAAGTTGCAATAACCAGGGCGACGAATTTGATCCTCCGCATTTTGACTGCTGGGCAGACAACTTGAGGGCCGTTCAAGCCTTCTTTTTTGAACGCCTTCTTTCCCTTTGCTCTGAACCAAACCAGCAACATTGCATCAATTGGGCCCACTCCATGACAGAAACTGGACTCTCTCAGTCCTCAATCGAGAACAGCGTTTCTCCAGACATTGCCTCGCAATTGTCTGCTCCAAACGTGGAACTGGTACGTTGATGCCAATACGCAAGGGATCCTAACCAGCCAAGCAATGCCGAGAAATTCGATATACTAACCCATGTCAGTAGGCACGAGGGAAATGTTTGTGTTGTGGGAGGTAAAATATAACCCTATGAATGTATCTGTTTGGTGTCTTTCCTTCACGAACTAGAACTTTTCTCTCCAATATACAGTGATCTACGATTTCCAGCTTCCGTTTCATGTTTTAGATGTACAATATGTGACACCATCAACGATCTAGTCCAACAAAAGAAGGAAGGAATCCTTCCCCCGCCCACACCACTCACCCTCTCACGATTGAAGCAGATTGTATCCCGTTGTGGTGGTAGAGAAATGCGAAGGCGAAATCGAAACCGAAAACCAACGCATCAAAGTCTGTCGGATAAAGAGCTTGAAGCTCAATTTAGCCAACTGGAAACCGCAATTGAAAGTTGCTTCAGCAATTGGTCCGCTTTGAACACCAGCTTCTTAAATGTACAATGAGTTCGATATTTCAATCTATTTTTTTTAATTGTTTACTTTTGATTGACTGTCGACAAAATAGGGAAAAGAATCGACCGTTTCAGATTCGGGAATCGCCATGGATGAAGTTCGAGAGGCTTATAGGATTATTCTCGACATGGTTTGTGCTATATTCCACATATTTAAATTTACGCAACAATTAGAAACGCTAAATCTCCATCTCCGCATACAGCCAGTCAGTGTCATTCGTGCAATGATGACCTCTATTGACAAATTGCTCAGAAGACCAGGCCTTCCCCTCAAGCGAATATCGGACATTCGCTTTCTATTGATATTATTAGAGGTTTGAAGCAAAGTTTCTTTCATTTGTCTTTACTGCATGGTCTTAATTTGTTTTTGAAATAGAACCCACTGTTGGCGCAACACAACTTCGCAGAAGAAACTAGATACCATCATAACATTTTGAAACGCATACTAGGCATGTTGAGCGGGCTCAGCAATGAATGCCATCAAGCACTTGCGAACTGGTTCGCAAAGTATGTTAAGATGTCGTGGTTTTTTTTTTTTTCATAACTACCTTTCTGACATATGTTATGTAGTTACAGCACTGTATATCTTCAAAGGAGAATTAACCTGGTCAATTCTTTCATCACTTATCGCATTACTAAAGCAAGAAGAAGTGTGGTTGGGCTACCCGCTGCATACGAAGCTGACTGGAGGGTCATCAGCGGGGCACGAGTCATGGCACTGCTCTGTAAGTAAAGCACAGACGAAACAAAATTGCTAAGCTGCGTACTATACTAAACAGCTCCTATTCAGTTGCAGCGAACAGTCTATCCTCCAAACTTCCCTTCTCTGCGTTCTACAATACCATGGTTGACTACGTTAACCTTATGGCTGATTTCGAATCATGGCAGTCCAGATCAGGGTAGGTAACAGTGGATGCACACTTTAGCACGTCGCGTTCTAATGGAGTCTTTATAGAAAATTTTCATTCTGCCAATACCCATTCTTAATCAGTATGGGCGCCAAGATGGAGATCATGGAGGCTGATGCACGTGATCAACAGGAAACGAAGTGGAGAGAAGCTTTCTTGAACATGCTATTCCATCAGAAACCTACCTTACCATACTTGATGCTCAGAGTGCGAAGAGAGTTTCTGATCGAAGACTCGCTGCGGCAGGTTAGTAGATTCGCGCAATGTGGGTGGATCACAAATGACACATATGAGGTCCACTGACCCCTCATTGTTTTATTCAACTGTAGCTCGCTCAAAATGAGACAGATCTGAAAAAGTCGCTCAAAATTGAATTTGTTGGCGAGGACGGTGTTGATGCCGGGGGACTCAGGAAAGAATGGTTTCTCCTCCTTGTTCGATCTTTATTTGATCCACAATTTGGCATGTTCACCTACGACGACGACTCGACTTTTTGTTGGTTTAACCCCGCCAGCTTTGAAAACGAAGATCAGTACTTTCTGGTCGGCATTGTCATTGGGCTCTCTATCTACAACTCAACCATTCTCGATATTCACCTCCCCACTGCTTGTTATAAGAAGCTGTTTGGGCACCATGTTGGATTGGAAGATTTGAGAGTGTTTAGGCCAGGTCTTGCAAGAGGATTGGAACAACTGTTAGAATTTCCAGGCGATGTAGAGAGTGTGTTTTGTCGACCTTTCGTGGCAGAATACGATGCCTTCGGAGAGCGAATATCAGTTCCTATCATACCAGACGGCGAAACGACCATGGTCACCAATGCAAATCGCCAACAATTTGTTGACAAATACATAGACTTTGTGATGAACAATAGCGTCAAGCGTCAATTTGGAGCCTTTAAGCGAGGCTTTTACCATGTTTGTGGAGGCAACGCTTTATCGGTAATACTTTTGTGTCATTTTTTCATTTTGGTTTAATCTTGTCTCATAACTCAAGTCCATCTTTTTATCTCTCTAAACTCAGCTGTTCAGACCAGAAGAAATAGAACTACTTGTTAGAGGAAGCGATGAGCCTTTAGATATCGAGCAACTCAGAGGGCAGACGGAGTATCATGGATTTGAAGAAACCGATGAAACCGTTGGGTAATGATTTGTTGCTTTGTTTGATCGATTACTACGCTACCGACAATCTGATTTTTCTTTCCTCAGGCAATTCTGGGATATCATGAAGGAAATGCAGCCGCAGATGCAGCGTAAATTGCTGACGTTTGTCACTGGTAGTGATCGTATCCCTGCGACGGGAACGGCTAGAATGAGATTTCAAATCACTTGCGGCGGTAGTGACTGTGACCGGTTACCATCAGCTCACACATGTTTCAACCAGCTCATTCTCTTTCGATATCAATCTGGAGAAAAGTTAAAGAGAATGCTTGAGATGGCAATCACGGAAAGCCAAGGCTTTTATGTTAAATAAAGTAAACTACATATTTTTGTTAAAGCTGCGGAAATTGCATAAATGGTACGAAGATTTCATGCAAAGACATGGGCAGATTATTTTTTTCCCGACAGCAGGGTTTGGTTCGGAAAAATCGCCGTCACCATCCCATGAGCCGAGAAAAAAAACAGCAAGCGTTGCCAACTGCTTCTCATTATTCTTCTCTTTTTCCAACTTACCAACCCTTTGAAGCTTACTTTTGGATGTCGGATGGTTTATCGCATGTCGTTTTGAATGCTCCCACAGTGGGAGCTTTCGACCAAGCTCTAGCTTTCTACTGCTCTGTTGGCTTTCAAATCGTAACGGACGCAAAAGACAGCGAGGAAAGCATTATGGGCAGACTTACCTGGCTATCCATGTTCTCCGATGGTGATAAAAGAGATTTGACCATCAGACTCAAGTTGAACCCTGCGAGTTCTCCGAAGGAAGTCGTTAGCAACGATGTTGACTACACGTTGGAAGATATTGTCTTGGTCATTGCTACTTCCAATTTGCAGGTATGACGCATCCAAATACCTACCACCTTTTTTTTCACGGTTTATGACATTCTCTTATGAAACTGATATTATTTCTGCCTTTTGTGATCCAGAAAATAGAACAGGTTTTGAACGATTCAAGCAAGCACTGCCAGAAGCATGAAATTCAGTCGGACGATAAAAAGGACGTCTCGCGGGAAATTTATACCGTGGATCCTTTGGGTAACGTCATTGCATTTACAAACAAAGCAAGCCCTTTCTCGTCCTCTTTGCTCGACAGTTACCATGTTAGGCATGAAGGAATTCCTCCAACTATTGAGTTGGCCAGCCGACATGTCGGGCAGAAGAAGAAGATCGGTGTTCTGACTTCTGGAGGTGATGCGCCTGGAATGAACGCGTGTGTGAGAGCTGTTGTGCGCTACGGCATCACCAAAGGATGCGATATTTTTGCTATCTATGAAGGGTATCAAGGTCTAGTGGATGGCGGCTCATTTATCAAAAAGATGGAATGGAAGGATGTTCGTGGTTGGCTTGCTGTGGTAAGTGAAGGTTGAGCTAAGCTTAATGATACGGGTCTCAGCATTGACGCCATACCATTTTAGGGAGGAACGTCCATTGGTACTGCACGCTGCATGCCATTCAAGACCCGCGAAGGTCGACTTCAGGCAGCTAACAATCTAATCTCAAACGGTATCGATGCTTTGATCGTTTGTGGTGGTGACGGCTCTTTGACTGGAGCCGACGTATTCCGTTCAGAATGGCCAGGTTTATTGAAGGAACTCAAGGAAAGTGGGAAAGTCTCACAGGAAGAATGCGACAAATATCAACACTTGACTATTGTCGGTTTGGTCGGTTCCATTGACAATGACATGTCATCCACTGATATCACCATTGGCGCCGTTACATCTTTACATCGTATTTGTGAGTCTGTCGACTCTATCTCGTCAACAGCTTTATCCCACTCAAGAGCTTTCGTCGTTGAGGTCATGGGACGACATTGTGGTTGGCTGGCTCTCATGGCTGGTATTGCTACTGGCGCCGATTTTGTCTTTATTCCGGAGCGTCCTCCTTCTGAGGACGATTGGGAGCAAGTTATGTGTGATGTTGCTCAGCGCCATCGTCATCTTGGCAAGCGCAAGACCGTCATTATCGTGGCTGAAGGAGCTATAGACAAGAATCTCAACGCTATCAAGGCTGAGTATATCAAGGATATTTTGACTGATAAGCTTGGATTGGACACTCGTGTGACAACCTTGGGTCATACGCAAAGAGGTGGATCCCCAGCTGCTTATGATCGTATTTTGGCCACCATTCAATCCGTTGAAGCCGTGGAAGCTGTTTTACGCGCCACCCCCGATAGCCCGTCTCCTCTCATCGGTACTAGCAACAACCAAATCACATGCAGACCATTAATGAAAGCAGTGGAATTGACCCATGCTGTCGCTGAGGCTATTAGCCAGAAGAACTTTGCACGGGCCATGGAGCTTCGTGATCCTCAATTTGCGGATGAATACGACTCGTACATTGCATCCACCATTATCGACGACCAGACCATGCGACTTCCTGAACATCAGCAAATGCGCATAGCTATTCTCCACGTTGGCGCTCCTGCTGGTGGTATGAATGCTGCCACTAGAACCATTGTTCGATATGCATTGAACAGAGGCCACACTCCTCTTGGTGTATTCAACGGTTTCCCAGGACTTTTGCGTGGTACCATCGAAGAGCTCACCTGGCTCTCTGTGGATGGATGGACATCTCGTGGAGGATCCGAACTAGGAACCAACCGATCTCAGCCGGATGTAGATATGGGTATGGTTGCCTACCAAATGCAAAAGCACTGCATTCAGGGCTTGATCCTCATTGGAGGATTCGAAGCCTACAGCGCTTTATTGGCCTTGGAAAAAGCAAGAGATAAATATCCTTCACTTCGCATTCCACTCTGCCAGATACCCGCAACTGTCTCTAACAATGTGCCGGGAACTGACTTCTCCTTGGGAACTGACACATCTCTTAATGCAATTATCGATGCATGCGATGCTATTGTACAATCAGCTCGCTCATCTCGACGACGTGTGTTTGTTGTTGAAGTCCAAGGTGGTAAAACCGGATACCTTGCAGTGGAAGCCGGTCTGGCCTCGGGAGCAAACACCATCTATATTCCTGAAGAAGGCATCTCTCTCGCTCGCCTCCAAGCTGACGTACAGCACTTGATTGATCTCTATAACGATGATGACGCAGAGAAGTCGGAAGGTCGTATCATCCTTCGCACTGAATCCGTCTCCAAGACTTACACCACAGACGTTATTTGCAACATCCTTCAAGATGAAGGACACCATATTTTTGACTCTCGTACAGCTGTTCTTGGTCATATTCAACAAGGTGGTACTCCATCACCCATGGACAGAATTCGTGCTACCCGCCTTGCTGTCAAGTCTGTTGAGTTTGTTGAACTCCACGCTAGTGCAGCGTTCACTGAAGCACATGACAGCGGTAAATGCCAACCAATAGAGCTCACCCATTCCAAGGAGAGTGCCTCTGTCATTGGTATTATGGGTACCGACGTCAAATTCACTCCTATTGATGATCTTCTGGGAGAAACTGACATGAAGAACCGCAAAAGTAAGAAGGCGTGGTGGTATGAACACCGCCCATTAGTCGACTTATTGTCCGGTCGAGGTTTATTTGCATCCAGAGAACAAGATGAACGCGAGAATAGGAAAGAATAGTTACGATCAAATATTACAGCCAACTCCATCATGAATGTATTACCTTTTTTTCGCCCTACTACATATTTTTTGTGCATAAAGATTTTTTTTTTTCCCTTTCAATCTGATTGCATAACTTGAAACCCCGTTGCAACTTGCTCCTCACTGGAAAGGTTCATTTTACTTTTAACAGCATGAGCGCAATGGATATTACAGAAGAAGGCAAAACGCCAGCTGCCACCGACTCCACCTCAGTACTATCTACTGCACAGAATGTATCGGGTTTGAACATTTCAGTGTACGTTGGCTGTGAATCTATGATTATCAAATTAAGGTCGAGATCTAATTGATTACTGGCCTTTAGTCACCCATTGGTTCTTTTGAACATATCTGATCACTATACGCGTATAAAAGTTCAAAATCCTGAACGAAATGCTCAAGGTATCTTACCTCGTGGTATTCAGCATTTGGTTTACTGGTATGGGATCGTCATTACTCACAACTGACTTTTTACAGAGGCGGTCTTTGGCGCTGTGTTGGCAACTCAGTCTGGCAGAGAAATCGACCTTGTAAATTCGTTTGAACTTTTACATGCTCGAGACGAAAACAACAAAGTCATCATCGATAAGGAATATCTTACCATGAAGCAGGAGCAATGTAGGGCATTACCACGTTTTTTTTTCCTGGCACCTGCGTCCCACTAATGATTTCATCGCTCCTTAAAGTGAAGCAAGTTTTTCCGCAACTGGATCTGATGGGATGGTACGCGTTGGGCACTAGCGCTACTGCTTCGGATATCCAAATACATACCCAATTCTTCGATATTAATGAATCGCCACTGTTCTTACAATTGGATCCAAATGCCATGACGGGCGGACATAAAGAACTTCCTCTGGGAATCTATGAGTCTTTGATCGACATCGTTGATGGACAGGCGCAGGCAGTATTTGTACGGGCACAATATAAAATATCAACAGGCGAAGCGGAACGAATAGCAGTAGATCATGCATCACGCCCAAGTATATCTGCAGACAAAAACGGCGCTGGAGGTTCATGTAAGTTTACTAAAGCAGAACAGCCAGCCAGGGCAGCCCCATTCTAACTTTCTATAAACATGGCAGTGATATCCAATCTGACGACGCAACGGAATGCCATTGAGATGTTACAAATTCGAGTTAGAATATTACTAGAGTATCTCAAGGACACCGAAGCTGGAATGATTCCTGTAGACCATGATATTGAACGACAGATATCGAGTTTATGCAATCGTCTACCAGTTGTGAACAATAAGGATTTTAATGCAGAGTTTTTGAAGGTTAGATCTGATTTGGAAGAGAAAGGGATTGGCAGGCATTGTTTCCAATAGGATCCACTAACTATATTTCTAAATATAACTTTTTTCAGGAGTATAACGACGTTGTACTAACCTCTTACCTGGCTGCCATCACTAAAGGGGTCAACAATATCAACGAGCTCATTGACAAAGTTAATTTTACACACAATGCACCTGGTAGCTATGTTGGGGGGAGATCCTCGAGTGGTCGCAAGGGTAAAGCTCGAACATTTGCATAGATGACCTGCATTAGTGTTAAATAAATAAATGAGCATCTTGTTTGTTCATGTTTCCAACGCAGAACATAACTCTGGTATGAAGTGGGAAAACGTTTAGTCTGTATTGTTTTGCGAATGATCAACATTTTTGTTAGGGAGGAGAATACGGAGTTCTTTGAATACATTGAATTCTATGTTTTGATTTCTCATTCTTCTACACCATCGAAGAAGTAAGAACAGGTGAGCGATGTGGTGTTTGAGAGAGAGCACAAGCCAATAAAATAAACCTGTTTCAATGCTGCAGCCCAAATGGGTAGTCGATATCATATGACCCTCTATGAAGCCGTTTGACCCCCCGCCACCAGAGACTTTTTTTTAAACCTGGTGACAAACGTTTTCCCAGAAACCGTTAAAGAAGCAGCAGAAAAAAGATAAGGTTGAATGATAAAAATGACCAGTTCATCAAAGCGGGGTACAAAAATCTCCATCTCCCCCCAAATATTCATTCGTTCGGGATAGGTTGCACCAGTTTGCAAGGGACACGAGAGCCTTGACTATTCAGCCACTGCGACCATGTCTTTGCGGAAGGTGGTGTGATGAGCCTAGGGGTTTCGGGTAGGTGGAGAGGGAGAGAACAAGGATGTTAGAAGGGGAATCAAAAGACATGGTAGTAACAATGAAAATCAGCAGTATCCCCTCAAGCTTGTCATCTGGCAGGTAATCAGGAGGCTATTTTAAAATAAAATAAGATCTTGTAGCGCGCGCTATGGATGAGATCTACAAAGTAGTGCCAGCTGTGAACAAGCTTTGAGAATAAAAAATGATCCAGCCAATCCTGACTCATCACATGCTACGTCTCAGCGCCAGACACCACCATCTTCTTTTTGCCTCCACTCCCCCCCCCCACTGTTCAACACCATATATAAGCCGACAACAAACGACCTGCCGCCCCCACTTTTTTTTTCCACTTTCCTCAATTGTGGTCATGATCTGTCCTATCACAAGCGTCAGTCTGTCCCCAAATACAACCAACATCGACCTGTTCTCAGAACAAGGCGTGCTGAATGCCACTTCACACTCACTGGCCGGCACCGTCACTGTTCGACTGTCCTCTCATACAGTCATCCGAGCCATCTTCATCAAACTAAAAGGCGTATCAAGAAGCGTACATCAACGAAATCCAGAAAGACTAAGAATGACCGATACACATGCTATGTTTGTATTATGCAAGGAAAAAATGTCCTTACTAGACTCACCCAAGCCTTTCAATGCTGGCGAACATACTTTCTCATGGACCTTATCGTTCCCATGCGACGGACTACCACCCACCATCAACCTACCGCAGCACCAAATCGCGTATTCCATATCAGTACGAGTCGTGGCGGATGGCTATCTTCGTCGTCCATCTCTATGTACTAGCCTACCGGTGACTATCAACCGCCATTCGCTTGGTGCTCTTCACCTTGCCTCTTATATACCTAATATCCGATATCGTGGACAACGCGCCGATAAGATACGATACGAATTCGAGCTTCCCAAGATGGCGTGTATGCAATTGGGCCGCTTCGATTTTTCTGGCAAGTTGGTCAGCTTTCTTGAAGGCTGTCGGGCAGTCAAAATTGCGGTTAGACTTGATCAAATCGAAACCTACAGGTACGCAGCGCTCCTCCCTTGTACAACACGACCCCCCAACATAATAATAGAATCAACTAACAAACCCATCTCTCCCTTAGTCTTGGACAAGCAATACTGGGCCTTGAAAAACCATCCTTCAAGCAGACTGCTTCGGATGGCATAATATCTCATGTCACTCAAATTGGACGTAAGTCAACTTCCATCGTCAAAGTGTAACATAAACCTCATTATCTCAATTGGGCTATTATCTCCACAATTAGAAACCGAATTCAACATCGAACGCTCCAATTCTTTGACACAATTCCTATCATTACACCTTATGCTCACATCGCCCTTGGTATCGCCAACGTTGAAATCGAAAGCATTGGATATTTCGCATAGGTTAAGGCTGCGTCTGTACTTTGAGTCCGAAAAGGAAATGGCTTTATCATTTCCACTGGTGATTTCCACCGCCCCGGCGCAAGAACCATTATCCAGTCCACCATCGTCACCTATCTCACTCAATGAAGAAGGTTGGTTAAGGGGGCTCATCTCAGAATACGACGACGGTGTCTACCCGGTCTCTGCAGAGCAACTCCCAAGTTATGATGATGTTTTATCGGAAGGTTTGCCACCACTGGTATTTATGGACTCCTTGACTACCCCTCTGTACACATGAACCTTGTAAAGAAAGAGAAAATCCGCCGTGTTGATCATCCCATCGCACTTGTACATCTTTGTTATACCCTACTTTATTAAATTTGTATCTCACGACATGTCAGTACAATAAAGATATCCCTGTAATTCTACACTACAGCCATGACTCACCGTTTGAATGACACTTTCTGAGTGGGCGGTTTTTTTTTCTGTCTGTCCCAAATGAGCCGTCACAAGCACCAATGATACGACCCAGTCAGCAGGCTACCTTTTCATATCAGCTGGGCTCATTTGTTCCGACGATATTTTCTCTTCTTTTTATCCCTTCCCTGACCAAATACCCTCAATATACCTATCAGCAACTTATCAACGCCAAAATAACTTCCGATACGTCGTAGCGATCAATGACAAACTCCCACTTACCCACTACCTATGGAGCAGGTGTTCGCACAGCCCCGTCTACTAGCAATCAATTGACAGCGAGTGAGCGAGATCTACTTCAGTCAGATACACCTGGTTATGGCCATCGAAGTTTCATAGAAGTGGCTTTCAATCTGGTCAATGCTACGTTGGGCGCCGGGATCATTGGTTTAGCCTATGCTGTTCTAAGTTGTGGAGTGGTGCTCGGCACCATTGTAGCGCTGGTCGTTGCATTCATGACCTACATATCATTATATATGATGGTTCTGGTTGGCAAAAAGAACCATCTTTACCAAGTTGCTCAATTAGCTCAATTTGCCGTGGGAAAGCACGGCTTTCATATGTACAATTTCTTTGTGTTCTTTCAATTGTTAGGCGTCACAACCAGTTATTTCATATGTAAGTTATACCGTGTGTTTCATGCAGCAGTCAGTTGAAGTGAGAATGTATCACTCATAACCCCAACACAGTAATCGGTGACTCGATCCCGGTATTGTTTGAACAATACTTCCCAGACATTCCGCTCCTTGCCAACCGCGCCTTTATTATTTCTGTTGTATCCTGGGTTTTCGTAAGTGTCTATCCAAGTATGGTGTGTGTCCACGTTCTTCCTTGGATGGTTAACAAATTCCTTGCAGATTTTCCCTTTGCACCTGTCTCGCTCCATAGGGACAATCGCCAATTGGTCCATTGTTTCTGTATTACTCCTTCCAGTCATTCTCCTTACTGTCATAATTCGGTGCCCTGCGTATGCATCTCAACATTCCTCGCCGGTCACTGTTGTAGGTCCCGATGTGTTTGGATCGCTAGGTATCATGGCGTTTGCCTTCGGATGCGCTCAGGTACCAGGAAATGTTTCATGTCACGCCGTCATGTACACGCAGGCATACTCACTCATGTTTTGATTCATTCATTCATTACAGGTTGCCTTCAGTAACTTTCTATCATTGAAAGATCAATCAGCCAAATCCTGGAGCAAAACCACTGCCACCGCAACCTCGCTTTCTCTGATACTCGCCCTTGGCTTTGGGTACATTGGATACTTCACATTTGGCGTTGATGTACAGGCCAACATGTTCCTCAACTTTTCGCCCACCGATCCAATTATTAACATTGGAAGATTTGCCTTGGCTATCAGTTTGGTCTTGACCATACCTACTGCATTTTATCCGGCCCGCGAAGCTCTTCAAATGATGCTTGGATTCGATTCTCGCCAACAACGACCAACCAACCTGCAGCATCTCCTCTTGACCTTCTCGCTCTTTGCTGTCATGGTCACGCTGGGTATGAACGTTCGCAGTTTGGGCAAGGTGTACGGAATTGTTGGAGGCGTGACGGCCACCATGCTGAACTATATGATGCCCGGGTGCGCCTACCTTCGAGCATTTGCCTTCAGGAGATGGACCAAGGCCGATAGTGAAGAAAGCTCCCAAGCTTTGTTACAGAACGACGAGGATGAAGATGGACACAGCCTTTTCCTCGAGATAGTTGCCATTGGTTTGCTAATTGTAGGCGCCTTTGTCATGGTCGTTTCTGTATATTGCGTTGTAAGAAATTAGAGAATCCATACAATTGTACATACCCCAAATGGTATTGTTTTCCCCCACCCATTTCGTAGCGATATACCCCCTCCATTAACGTAGAATAGGAATTATTTGCATTGTGTACCTTACCAGCTGTCGTAACAGCACGCAATAACAATGACGCATAAACACGTTTTCTATTTAACCAAGTATTTGCGGGGTTGATCGTGGCTGGCTGGACCATCCAGTGCATCCCTTGATTTTTTCTATTTTCAGCGCATTCTGGAAATGCACATTGAGGAATTACTACACATTGTCCCATCTGACGGATCGGGCAATGTTAATGCCTACTATCAGCAGTTGTTTGAAGACATTTGCTCAAAGTTGCTTTTGGAATTCACACTGTGCGTTGGCAAAACCGACCAATATCGACTGCTGGAGGTTGAAGTTTACTTGTACGACGAAGAAACATACACCGACCCATACACACACAATCACCCACTGCAGCGCACACCAGGGAGGTGGCACTTCCATCGCGTAGGCATGTCCTCTGGCTTTCGGGGCGGTTCTCGAAAGGGCTTGGATGTCAATATTGGCGACGGACGAATGGCATGCAAGGGAGGGGTGCTGATACGGAGCATTCAAAACAAGAAAACCGGCGCTGTCATTGATGGACCGTGCCTGCTCGTTGATGCCATTCTAAAACATCTCAAAGTCGCCTCCATTCAAAACTTGGTAGACACATTCTTCAAGCACTCGAACGGAAATGCCGGGGACGAAAAGTCTGGATTTTGGCTAAAGCATGAGCCTCCGGAGTCAGACACTACCATTGTGCGAAAGCGACCCAACATCGACCCTTCTGCCACGGTTGTTTATCGCTCTATTAGAATTGGATTGGGCATCAAAGGCAAAAATGATTATATGCACCGCCTCAACTACATTGGTCGCCCCTACCGCTTTGTCATATTTCCTCATTTGCTTAACAAAGGAAAACTCTGGCTCGCCCTTGAATTGCTAGAAAATTCGTCCCTTAGTACGGCTGAAATAGCCACTACTCTGAACATGAAGAAGAGCATTGTAGAAGCTTACCAAGCTTCGTTTTTGGACGGAAAGCAGCATGCAGAGTCTGTCCTCAAGACATGTACTCGCACCAAAGATATGGTATCAGGAAATGCTGAATGGAAATGTAAAGCTCTAGGGGCGATTAGATGGTGGGAGGAACAGGGCAAAGACATCACATTTTGAGTTTCATATAGATTAGCAACATGGAACAGGGTTTTCTTTTTCTTTTTTTTACAGTGTGTAATAACTACTTTAATTACAATATATGAGGGGGTATAGTGTGAGTGTCTTATTGCGAATGTTTGCGTTTGCTACCAGCCGAAGTACTGGGGCTATTGGAAGCACGCAGCTTATGTAGAAAGAAGGTCCCTGATACATTTGGATCCAAATCTCCATGATCAACAAGGAAAGGATCCTCGCCTTGTTCCATTTGTAAAATCTCGGTATCATCAGCCTCGGCATCGTATTCTACTTCATTGTTTCCATCCGTTGTGTTGGATTTTTCATTGCTTCTCAGTTTGGGAGTTTGAAGAATTCGTCGTGGCCGTTCAGGCGCGGCCTTGGACATGTCCCAATTCTCAATATCCACATCAAAGCCACCACTGTCGATTGTAGCATCAGGATCCTCACTCAACACGATATCCAATGTCGAATCTGCACTTCTCTGTAATGCTTTTTCTAAAAGTTCGGTGACAATGACTTCGGTGTTACTGTTCTTCAAGGCTTCATGGTACTTGGCTATGGCATCACCAATCTTGCCTTTGAGGTGGTAAATCATGCCAATAGAAGCGTGAGCATCCGAGTTCTTGGGGTTGACAGATAACACCTTGCTCAAGTAGTAGAATGATTTCTCGTAGTTCCTATAGTATTTTGAGGAGAAATGAATACTGTAAGTCAATGTACACATCGCAGGTATCTAGTGCAAAATTTATCGTCATAACAACCTTAGCTTCCTATGAACATGTCCAAAGTTGCACCAAAGTTTTTCCCAGATAATGCCTTTCTCACTTTGATGACCCTTTGCAAGCTCCTCCGCTTTTTCCAAATATTCAAGAGCTTGATCATATTCATGCATGGAATAGTGATACACAGCAAGCTCGTTCAACAAAAACGGGTCATTATCACACAAAGCGAGGCTTTGCTGCAAGTAGTCGTATGCAACTTCCATGATATTCTCATCCATGTATTGCATACCGAGGTACATGAGGGGTAGGTGAGAACTAAAAGTAAAGTGTGTTAGCAGAACGAACGGGATGGATCACGGATACAAACAAGACATACCCAGGGATTAAACGAGCACTCGTTGCGTAGGCACTAATAGCTTGGTCGTGCTCCTTTTCCACCGCAAAAGTGTGACCGAATGCCAGCCAAGCTGGTGCGAAATATTGATTCATTGTCGTGACTTGGCTGTCGAATGAATTGTAAAATTGTCAGTAGACAATAATCGTCGGCAGTGCATTCTCTTCCATTACCTGAAATATCGGCGTGCCTCTGCATAATTCTTGATGAAGAAATAATACATGCCGACACCATACCAAGTGACTTCAGCTTGTGGGATTTGCTTGACGAGTTCGTTGGCAAACTCGAATAGTTCCGTCTTTTTTTTGAGTTCATACAAGCATGTCAGGTAAGCAGGAACATGAGCAGTATTGAACTCATCCTCTCGTCGAATTCTGCGGATTGGATCAAATAAAAAGCATAAGTTGAGGCCGTCTCACAGGCGGTTCTGATCAAAGTAAATCACCTTTTACACATGGCCAAGCAGTCCTCGAATTTACTCTGAGCTAAAAGCGTCTCCACCCGACTTTGCATTACATCCACACTGTTTCCTAATCCATATACGCGCTCGACCTTATTTTGGGCTTCGGCTACCGCGTGCTGGTGTGAATACTACCGATATTCACTGTGAGTTTACCATCCTTCTAAATCTCGACGCTTTCTCTCAACACAAATCACTCACCTTTTTTAATTTAATTATATACAATGATCGGAAAAGATCTGCGTCGTCCCCACACTGGTCCTGGTATGGCAATCCATGGATGAAATCCCATTCTAGACCATATGGACTGTAAGTAACAGCGAGTGACATGCGTAACAAGATATCAAATACAGTTGTAAACATACCCAAGTGCTCCTCAAACATATTATATGACAGCAATGCATCCAGCGCCTTAGGATAGCGAGAAAAGTAACAATGGTCAACTCAAATGAATCACAATCCTACTGGGCAGTGCTCTATTACTTACATTGTAGCATTTCACATCGACAATGAGTGCCTCTTTAAAACATGCCTTCGCTTTCGCAGTGTCGCCAAGCTTCATGTGTGCTTGACCACGTACATAGCACATCGATGCCTCTAACTTTACAGCAGCTTTCAGTATTCCAATTTATGGCTCTTCATCTTTATGAGATGCTGTTGTTAATTACCTTTATACCACCGTCCGTAGTAGGTACGTGATGAAAATCTGTATAACGCGATGGTTAGTCTTAAAATGACGGACGAGCGAGAATGAAACTATAATGCGGGTAGCTTACCTTTGTTTGCGAACGGATTATCGTGACCAAGAAGATCGAGGGCATCCTTCCAATTTTCTAATTCAATCTTCAAGGCGATTGCATCATCAGTTGTCTAGTCGCTTCTCTTCGCAGTGACCATCTTTCCAGTTCTACTTACCGCACATTGAGCAGCTAAAAACCGACATGCCACACTCTCGCTCCACGTTTTCTTCTTCTTAAGTAGATCCGCTGCTCTATCGAATTGTCCGGATTGATGGTACACCTGCGCTAGCCAATACACGTCATTTGTATCGCCTATGGCAATACCCATGTCAAATTGAATTCACTACTGCCATTAGGATCACACGTATGCCCTTACCTGTCTTCGCTACCACCTTTTCACCAAAGTACGCAGCGGTCTCGTACAGGTGCTGCTGCAACGCATCGTGTCGTAAAATTCTCAATCTTTCCTCGGTTGTTGGTTGAGAAAATGGGTCAGCTATGGAAGCTTTTTCAAATGGGTGTCGATGTGAGGTCGGATCGTACAGGAACTGACTATGCGTTGTAGGACTTGAAGGTATAATCAGAGAGTCATTTGCCTGCGAAACCAAGCCGGCATGTCTGACCGCTAGCGGCGTTAGGCTGATCGATGAGCGGGACGCTTCAGATAGATTAGAGGGTAGGTACTGAGAATGGTTCAGAGGTATGGGTGATATGGATATATCTGAGATGCGCGATGGAGTCTGCAAAGGGCTTTGAAGCGGCGGTGATGACGAATCAAGTAACGTTTCATTTCGCAAAGGCGTGGATCTCGTACGCCGTGATACTTGTGAGCGCGGTTGCATAATGAATTAAGTAAGAAAGACCACCAACAGCCAAAACTGCCTGTTCAAACGATTGGCCTGTCCAGCTACAAATCGCGTACCGTGCACATACAGGAAGCAGTCCCCTAATAATGCATTGACACTGTAAATTATAAGAAACAATTTTATTTTTATTACAGGCAGCACGCACAGTGCCATCATGGTGATATACAACAAGCATAAACTGGGAAAACAATTGCTTCTCAGTCCCTTACTTGGATTGTGGTCTAAAAAATGGTGAATTCTCTGATAGTGGGTCGATACTTAGAATGTCTTTTTTGGTACATAGTCAACAGTCAAATCCAGATTCTGCAAGTGAGTATTGGTAATCTTGCCCTTCCGACTACGATTCTTTGATTTTTTCTGCTTAGGCTCGTTGATAACCTTCTTCTCAAAAACCTCCATAGTTTTTAAGCCAGCTGTGAGGGAAAAAAGACATATCGTTTAGTGAATTTAGTGATGCAAGATTTCGCTAAGACCCACCAAATAAGCTTACCGTTTTCTAGCTCGCGTGGCAAATCTGTCTCATCAGGAATAGAAATTTCCGTCCACATCTTTTTGAATTCTATATGAAGGCAATTAATCCATGCAAGTCCACTTTTCATAACCACATACCGTGGAAAGTTGAACGTACCATCATCAATTGGGGTATTGTACTGTTCATCATTACAGAACAAAACTCTTGGATTCCCGTCTTTGTGTCGAATAACTAAAATCTGTCCTGCTGCAGCAAGTTCTTCCACCGCAACACCTAGTTTGGAGTAAGAGTCCTTGAGGTCCTTGTAATCCATTCCTCCTTGTGATCGCTTTTCTTGCAAAAGCTGCAGCAAGTCGTCTTTATTTTTGATCTGGAATGTTGGCTACAACCGACAAAGTGTTTAACCGCCCAATTCCAGTATCAAAAGCATAAGAGAATTCAAAAATACCTTGTAAGAAAAAGTCCCATTGATTTCATCATAATCAATCTTTTCGTTGGTCGTCAGCTTTTCCCATAGCTCAGAATTGGCTCGTATATCCACGTTCGTTCGAGATTGGATACTGACGACTGATTGTGGATCATCACAGTTCTTCATTGAATAGACAATATCGTAATGTCAGCAACCTATTTGAGATCCATTCTTCAAATCAATGTCAAGTGTACCTTAAGATAGTTTACGACCGTGTATAGTAAGCTCATGGTGTGAGTTCCGGCTCCAGTATTAGCAGGTTGCGAAAAAACTGCACAGGGGACGTATCCAATAATGTCAATCAAATCATTTTCCATTAATATCACCCTAATCTATGAGACGATTGTTCATACCAACTCCCTGATTGGCCCGTTTGTTCTTCTTTTTGCCTTCCATTGAGCTCTCATAGGCAGCTTTGGTGTTATTGGCGATAGCTGGAGTCCCTGGTGTTGAGGATGTTCGACTTTCATTTTTGCTATCAGCCCCTCCTGCCGCCGATCGTTTCACGCCATAGACTGGCTGTGACGCCAAGCTCTTTCGGAACGACTTTAGTTGATCATTCAACGACATGGCTAATGGTACGAAGAGTATGAGCTCCGCCCAAGTCGCAGCAGAGCAATTGAATTTGTTCACCAGATATACGCAGTCACTGGCATAGATTTTTTTTTTTTGTATTTTTTTCTTGTTCTCTTTCCACGTCAAATCTATCCTTCTTCGACTTCTTTACATCAGTTTTTTTGAAATAAAGCAGCCAGGTGCAAGTATTCAAATCGTTCTGTCTGTATGCCATGTGTTCGTATAGCTAGCGCTGTATCCCTCCCCCTCCCCTCCCCCTCCTACGCAAGTCATTCGCATTTGCGGCCTCAAGTACGGTCAATGTACTACAGGTCGTACGCTTTTCAGCACCTTGCAATATAAACCCACTGCCGTTTGAGGCCCTTCATCATCATACCTAGATGCCGGGTTATAGGTACGCGGTGAACATACCTTTATACTACAAATAAAATGCATTGAAAGCAAAATTGAAATCAAAAAACCCATAAGTGTCTGAACAGTTCATCAAAAATTATTTCCAAGTGTGTATCTGGATCTCCTTGCAGGCTAGTTTATTTAGATTCACCAACAAAAAAGAAAAAGTTCAGAGACAAAAACGTTATATGGATGAGGTTTTTAATGTAAAAGTCTCATTGAGTACAACGGGGAGGTTGCAAACATTTAAGCAGTGGAAGCCTTGACTTGCTTCTTAGCCTGAGTACCTTCACGGAAACCGTTCTTGAAACGGCGGGAGACGTCCTTGAGGTGGCGCATGCGTCCAGTACCGGTGGTCTTTCTACGCTGGGACTTGACGGACCAGTTGACTATGAAGATGGGAACGTTCAGTCTCTCATATACGGGAATTATGTGTGAATTTTACGTCGAATCAACAACTTACAGGAACGGATCTTGGCAGCGGGGTAGCCGCAGGAAGCGCAGGTCTTCTTCTGGTTGTGGAAAGCGCGGTTTCCGCAACGTCTGCAGAGAGTGTGCGACTTGGTGTGACGCTTACCGAACGAGGTGGTACCCTTGGTCTATCATTCAATGCAAAAATCCGTGTTAGTAACATAGTATATTGATAGTTCTGGACTTCTTCAATTTGCTGACGGTTGAAATTGCTTTTTCGACATCGAGTAAAGTCAATTCAGAGGTCATTGCCGCACTAATGCCGAATAATGGTCTGTTCCATAGCATGTCCCAATGTCGGCCAATATGAGATGAATTACGGTGCGAATGTCGAAATGTCGCAGATATACATCAATCGATTCATCATCCAATTCATCCATCCGTATCGTATCGAATCCGTATACCGATAATCCATCACTGCAGTATTAAAGTCATATCTCACCATTGCGAAAAAAGAAGGACTTGACTAACTGGGCAACCACAAGGTATATGAGGCCTTGCACTCAGTCAAAAAATTGCTCACGTGAACAAAATTGACGCTGGTTTTTGTTTTCTGTGTCGGGATTTAAAGTACTTCTTGCTCGGCTATCATCCACATAAAAAATCTCGAAGCCCCTCACGGTATTCTGAGAGACTCCGTTAGAATATACTCACTCGAAACCGTTCCTTAGCATATCGTATTTTACCTTATTGCTTCAATACAGCATTAGCTATCATATTATGTAATAGATATATGTTAAATGAAGATGTTGTACTTACTTGGTTCCTTGCGCTGCCGTCGTTGAATTTTTACACACAATTTACCATCTCATAATTTTTGATCTTTTAAATGTCTAACAGTCTAATACAAGTGAAAAAAGAGTATTCGAACTCTTTCCAGTTAAAGATACCGTTCACGCGTGTCTAAACTCCTTCATATTCTCCCTTATACCCCTTATAAATCAGCATCTTGAATTTGTAAATAACTCCCAGATATGAACGAACATTTTGTATCTACTTATTCAAGGTACATTTGATTTTTCTTTTTTTTTCCAAGCTGATATTATATCTGTAAATGTAGAGAAGTAGTCTGCAAAATTTTATGGCCGTGATTGACCACTTGCTTGGCCAATGCTCACCTCCTTGTAAATGCTGTTGATCAGTAACAGATTAGTAAATCATTGAATTCAACAGATTATTTGTTCTGTAAACATCAATTGTGTATTCTACTAAATTGAAAAATTAACCGCGTGCTTACACGTTGGTTTATGAATATATTTTTTTATTTAATAAAAGTCGATAGCACCGTCAGCTAGGCGAATAGAAATAAACTAACAGCCAATAAAAGGACTTCTGAATGCAGGAAGTAAAAAAAGCTCCCCCTGACGGATGCAGATGTTTGTGGCCGGCGAGTAGTTTAAAGACAACGAATTTGGGATCTTTATTTCTTCTTTGGCCGTTTTCGATTACCTTGTCATGCTTGGGGTTTTTCAAGATTTACTCAAAATGACCGGCTTTCCAATGGAATCGACTGGTGTATGTCAATCGCAGACTTGTCTGTTGACAGCTGCTTCCATTCTACATGACATCGATAAGAAAGTGGATCCATGTACAGATTTTTATCAGTATTCCTGTACGTAGCTATTTCGACTGAAAATACAACGCAGCAAAGGTTTTAATACGCAAATCTTTTTCATTTGTAAAAAAAAAATAAGGTGGAGGCTGGATAAATGCGCATAAGATTAGAGATGATCAAGCTCGTAAGTCGTTATAGGTACAATGAACTGTTGCAGCGACTTCCAGTATTCACCAAACAAGAGAAATTAATAGAAACTGGCTCTTTTGACAACGTCTCTGAAGATATCGAAAATATACTGAAGCAGATTTTCGAAAATACTTACGACAACTTGCATACTTTTGGCAACTTTACTGTAGATCCCGATTTGAAGGCAAAAGACGAAGAAATTTTTGACAAGGCCAAACACTACTATGAGAGCTGTATTGACGAAGCTGCCATCGACAGCCGCGGAAGTGAACCGATTCGCACTCTCCTGGAAAAGTTCAACTCCATATGGGAAGACAGTAAAAGAAATAACATTGAATCTATTACTTCCGCAATGTCCTTTTTAATCTCGAACGGCGCATATCCGTTCTTTGCGTTTGACGGAGATGCAGATGCGGAAAATCCTGGAGTTAACACTCTTACTCTCGGACAAAGTGGTCTGCAACTTCCTTCAAAGCAATACTATACTGTACCAGCAACAATGGAACTGTACAAAGGAGCAGTCAACGACATTTGGTCAGCTATATTCACGCAGAAGGATAGTAAAATTTTTGGTGCGGACCATAACATTTCAGCAGCAGTCGACAGTCTTGTCAAATTCGAAACAGCTTTGGCTAATATCAGCAATAGCTCGTAAGTACATTGGTATGCGAGTGTTTCGGTTGTTGGATGATGAAAATAGTTTTAAGCTCTGTATTGTAGAGACGAATTGCGCGACCCTGTTGCAAACTATAATCCTATGACCGTCAAAAATCTGACCTCAACAGTTCCGAATATCGATTGGCACTTAATGGTGTCTAAACTGCAAGCTTCAACTGTTCCCGTAGATACTATTATAGTAGAGTCTCCTCAATATCTTGTCAGTGTTGGAAAACTCATCGCTGAGACCGACGTCATGATCGTGCGATACCATTTTATTAATGTTTTGATATTTTCGCTCATCGATACTCTATCCACGTCAATTCGGGCACCTAATGTCAAGCTCTCAGCGATTTTGGATGGCACAAAAGTTATTCCTCCCCGCTGGAAAACTTGCATGCGTAATGTTGGAGATGTTCTCGGACAACTTGTCGGTCGGTACTATGCCATAACGAAATTTGGCACAGATGCTCAAAGTTTTTCAGACGCCTTTTTGCACACCATAAGAGATTCTCTGGAGCAACGCCTACAGGCTCTTGATTTCCTAGATGATGTAACCAGACAAAGGGCTTTGGATAAGGTACGTCTTATAACCTGTTGCAACTCTCTAGTGATGTGTTCAGAAAATGGTTAAATCGCAGTCTTGAATTTAATAGCTTCATAAAATTGTTCAAAAAGTTGGCTACAGTAAATCCGAACCAGACGTCATGTCGCCAGAGTCCCTGGATATGTATTACAAAAGCATTTCATCAATCCCTGACCAGTACTTTGATAACTACCTCTCTTACCTACAATGGGACTCCAAGCGCACGTGGGAGATCTATGGCAAACCTGTGAACAGACTACGCTGGGGAATGAATCCACAAGACGTCAATGCCTACTACAACCCACTTTTGAACGAAATTGTATTTCCAGCTGGCATTCTCCAAATGCCCTTCTTTGATTTGGAATATCCAAGTTGTCTCAACTATGGTGGCATTGGTGCCGTAATGGGACATGAACTGACGGTATGTGCGATCATCTCACCTTAAGATAATGGTCATCAGCTAATGGAATACACCACAGCATGCCTTCGATGATTCGGGTAGACAATACGATGAAGACGGAAGAATAGCTTCCTGGTGGTTGAAGGAGACTGAGGCAAAATTCGATGAGAGAGCACAATGCTTTGTCAAACAGTACTCAGCCTTTACGGTGACTGGGTCTGACAATCAATCTGTCAATGTCAATGGAAAGGTAACAAACGGTACATCATGAGAACAAAATGAAGTTCAGGTTTATTAATCAGGCGATGGTTTTGGAAAAGCTTACTCTCGGAGAGAACTTGGCGGATAATGGTGGCGTACTCATCGCCTTCAATGCCTGGCGTAACAGTTTAGCTAATGCGACAGTGGATCAACCCAATAGCGAACAAACTTTACCTGGACTTGAAGAGTTCACTCCTGAACAGCTCTTCTTCATCAACTATGGACGTATCTGGTGCCAAAACATCAGACCAGAGAAAAGTGTTAAAAGGGTGAGTGTACAATGAAAACAGAAGATGACATACTTTTTCCGTACTGAGCGCTTTACACCATAGATTTATACCGATCCACATTCGCCGAACAGATGGCGCGTTAATGGTGTGGCTCAAAACTCGGACGAATTCGCCAAAGCTTTCAAATGCCCTCCAAAAGCGCCAATGAACACCGAAGCCAAATGTCATCTATGGTAGCTTGTATATCATTTGCATGCTATTTCTTAATAAAACATTGCAGGATAAGAACCCATTGTACTTGGAAAGGATATACTTTACATATTGTAACAGGAATGTCTAAATGTCAAATCCATCGTCTACTTTACTTGTATAGTTTGTTAAATTCTCTACCGATAAGCATGCGACGAATTTCACTGGTACCGGCGCCAATCTCATAGAGTTTGGCATCTCGCAGAATGCGACCAGTGGGAAAGTCATTGATATATCCATTTCCGCCAAGGCATTGGATAGCATCCAAGGCGACTTCAGTAGCGCGTTCAGCAGAATAAAGAATAACACCAGCACAATCCTTGTTGCTGACTTGTCCATTGTCACAAGCGCGAGCTACAGCATACACATAGGCTCTTGATGCATTGAGCTTAGTGTACATGTCAGCAACCTTTCCTTGGACAAGTTGGAACTCGCCAATAGCTTGACCAAACTGTTTTCGCTCATGAACATATGGAACGGTGATATCCAAGGCAGCTTGCATGAGACTGTAGGATGAATTCCGTCAATAAATGAGGAGGTCAAATCTATCTCGATTTTCAAATCAACGGATGAAACACAGCTTACCCCAATGGTCCACCAGACAAGACTAGTCGCTCCAAGTCCAATCCACTCATAAGAACATAGACACCCTTTCCTACTTGTCCGAGGACATTCTCGGCTAGCGTTTGGTAAATCGCAATGGATCGGGTACGGAAAATGGTCAGTTTTGCAAACCGCATTGGATTAAACTACGCCTCTTGTTTTAAGGTATTTACCTGGTACTTCACAATCCTCGAATATAAGTTCACAGGTGTTGGAACCGCGCATGCCCAATTTGTCAAGTTTTTGAGCAGTAGAAAAGCCCTTGAAGCCCTAGTTGTGCAGGTATGTCAGACTTGCATGCAGAAATCATCATAGCCTATCATTTCACATACCTTTTCAATCAAGAAAGCAGTAATTCCTCTAGCACCAGCCTGAGGATCCGTCTTGGCATATACAACCAACACATCAGCATCGGGACCATTTGTGATCCAGAACTTGTTGCCGTTCAAGATGTATTTATCACCCTTCTTCTCGGCGCGTAGTCTCATGCTGGTAACATCAGACCCAGAACCAGGCTCAGACATGGCTAAGGCACCAACATGGTCACCACTGATCAACTTGGGGAGGTATTTTTGCTTTTGTTCCTCATTACCGTTTCTAACAATTTGGTTGACACAGAGGTTGGAATGGGCACCGTAACTCAAGGCAACTGATCCGCTTGCTCGAGAAATTTCCTCCATAACAAAGGTATGTTCCATGTAGCCCAATCCTAAACCGCCATACTTTTCTGGAGCTGTAATACCCAAAAGGCCCATATCTCCGAACTTCTTCCACATATCCATTGGAAAGGTGTTGTCCTTGTCAATTTCCGTGGCACGGGGGGCTAATTCAGATTGGGCAAATTGATGCACAGCTTCTCGAAGCTAATAGTCCAAAAGTTTAGTATCCCGAGTCAAAAAGTCAATAAATACAGTGTACTGATTTACCTCAGCTTGCTCAGTCGTCAAGCCAGCAACGGCAGCGTTGTAAGTAGCTGAAATTATCGTTCTCCTGTGGAGAGCAGGCTTGAGCCATGAACGAGTGGTCTATGCGTTTGTTAGCACCATCATTGTTTTCAAATCAACACAGTCTATTTTTTTATCCTACTTGTTTGGCTGAGCGAGATAATATAGAAGACAACATGGAAGGGGAAGGAGAAAAACCTGAAGAATGTGCAGGCAAGTTTCCCACGCACTCTCATGAAAATCTATCGGCAACGTCACGCACTCTCCCTTAATGAAAGTCCGCTCTTGCCGTTTCTCCACACTGCCGCTGAACTGACCCTACGACGCACAGTCAGGCACAACTCTCACTTTACTTTGCAGTAGCTTTGGAATCGCAGGCCACCTTGATACTCAGCAGCCAACCGGCTATTTCTGGCTATCTGCTGAGTTATTGCATACTATATCTTTAAAAGCCAGGTTAATGACCTTGAGTCCAAAATGACGATGAGAAGCACGTCAATTGGACCAACAATCCAACCAACGTAAGTTACCTTCTGTTTCCAGCAATGGCCATGTGGGTAAAATATCTTCTTGCTATGCTTGTCTGTGTGATGAGCTGGTATTCAATCCGGGAGGGGGGTTACACTTGCACCATCGGAGTACAATCAAACAAATTCAATTCGCCTGTAAACTCCATCATTGCAATCAGCCCGGTGCACCTCTTTTCCTTTCATTCTAATCATTTAACCGCACTTCAACTCCTCCACTCCTTTTCCATTCATACATACGTCTTCCTCCCCACCAATGGGTCTCATCGATAAACTCAAAGCTCACATAGAAGTCTGGAAGATTGAAAAATACACGAAGCGTAGAGACGTCAATACCCCTGACTTTGAGCGCAAAGGTGAATCTCTTTCCTTTTACTGTAATAGCACCAATATAACCCAATTTACGTTATCTCTGTTTGAAAAGATGCCGAGTATTATCGAGACCACTATCAGAATGGTGTTTATCTTCAACAAGGTCCCGACGCCAATAGTCGCTCTAACTCTACCATAGGCAGACGCTCTACTCTTATTCGCAAGAAAAGCGAGAGAATCGTCCGATGCTCCGAAGTGTACAATACCACACAATAAAACATATTCCCTCTTCTTTATTTTTCATTTATTACACATATGCGCTATTTCTGTATGCTTACGTTGAATGCTGCTGACATTGCTTCAGATGAATATAAGGGCATGGGATGGGCTCCATTTGCGCTTTTTGGGTAAAAGTTAAATTTTTGTCAAACGACCAAACACGCGAGCAAAGGAGGGTCACAGCGGAATTTATAATTTTCCTTTGTCGTTCACCTAGATCCAATGGTACTGATTTCAGCTTTGCTACTTCAAAGGGTCAGTCTCCATCCAACGTGCTAATGACTTTTTCATTGCAGTCGTCTAGAGCGAGAAGACAACGCATCCTTAGGGTATTGTTTGAATGCAGTGAATGGACCTGACGGCTTGAAATTAGTTTTGAATTAATCCATTATGGATCGAATAGGACGAAGACGACGAAGACGACGAATACACTCAGCCTTCAACGTCGGGTACGCAACGCGAGTCGAAGAGAATACGTCAAGAAGATTCATCGTATAATGAGCTGGACTCACAACTAACGGCAGAGCAAACTTCGCAGGTAAGAGAACACTAAGAGAAAATATGCAACCCGGGACTGTTCTCACTCCAAAACCATCATTACGCGCCAGGACCTCGAAAGAAAAGTCAATGACACAGTTAGATACGCGTTGGCTTGCGAGCACCGAAAACAAGTCATTCGGAAAGACGATATCGCCCGAAAAGGTACGCATCCATTTTCCAAATTGATGACTCTTTGTCACTGCATACTGAATCGGCATTTCTGTCCTCAGTCCTTACTGATCGATCGCGCTCGTTCCCTGCTATCTTTGACAAGACTCAGGCAAAGTTGAGGCATCTTTTTGGCATGGAATTGACCGAGTTGGTCTCGAAAGAGAAATCGAATCCAGCTAAACGAGGTTGGTGATTTTGCTTGTATGCATATGCATAAAGTTTCCCGCCGCAGGGTTGACATGTTTTGTTCTTCTCTATAGCAGCGGCAAATGGAAAGGTGGTATTAAGCAAAACGTACGTTTTAAGAAATATCCTTCCCGAAGAGCAGAATGACCCTCAGATCATACACCACACCGATGACGAATATCAATCTACTGGATTGCTTTATGTCATCCTTTCGCTTATATTTGTCAACGAGCAAAGTATGAACGATGGTCAGTATCTTGATTTGTTTCAATCACCAGAAGGAGGCAAAACGAGAATTATTGGTATTGAATACGATTCCATTCCATTTTACCAGAACTGCTTATGTCTCATCTAAATCGATTACGGATACCAGAGGAATCGGAAACGTTTGGCGATCGCGCTAGAATGCTGGATGGATTTGTCAAGCAAGGATACCTTCAGCGCCAAAAGTTGAATGCAGAGGTCGCTCAAAGTGACCAGCCTGTTTTCCAATACTCTTGGGGTCCTCGTGCCAAAGCTGAAGTTCCAGAACAAAATATGGTTGGGCTCATTTCAAGCGTAAGAAAAGCACTCTTGATGAAAGTTTGTCCAAATGAACATATTGTAACAAGCTTTATTCAATAGGTCTATCACGTACAAGGCAGTGAATTAGATAGACTACAAGATTCAATCTACAAGGCTGCTTCTATCGACACATAGAGATGTATCAATCTTCATGTTGATTGAAAAATGGTCGTAATTTTTCAGCTTCCTCCTTCATTTCGTCTATGGAGCGCGGTTTTCGTTCGTCATTATCGACTCTTTTAACACCCGCTGCTTGTTTACCATCCAATTCGTCGTAGATATCATCATTGTTGGCCCAATCTCCTGCTTTTCGCGGTATAATATGCATATGAACATGAGGTACCTAGCGAGTCGTTTAAACATTTGTAAAAAAAAAAGAGAGGTTCTTAGCGACACACAATAAATATCGTGTTGTACATACCGTTTGTCCAGCTTGAGGGCCATCTTGCATAGCCATAGTAAGAGAAGTTGCATCAAACTCTTTTTCAATAACTTTTCCAATTGTTTGAGCACTCAAGATCATATCTGTCGCCTCGTCGGAAGTCATTTCTGCAAAACGAGGAACAATACGTCTGGGTATGACCATGACATCTATTTGGAAGAGTCAAGTATAATCGCTAGAGATGAAGAGTGGTCATCAAATAAAAAAGGTTGGTTATGTTATATGCAGGTGAATACAGGTGTATTCTGCTTAAAAAAGGATACGACCACTTGCACGATATTAGCGTTTTGCTGTAGACCAGTCTTCATTCGGCGATCAACTTACGGCGTAATTGGCTTGAGATTGACCAGACCGATGCAGAACTTGCTCTTATAAAAGACTTGATTCTCGCAAAGCTTGTGAGGTCCGAAATTGTATAGTTTCTGCATGGTAATGGGTTAAGAAACGTTACTGACGGGTAACGACCTAAAAAGATTATAACCCCAGCCGAGAATGAATTTCCCATTTCTTTTGGTAGACTCGCAGGACGAAAAAAATAGTCCGTCTGCTCGTTTTCCGTTTTCAATGATCTCGTCGGTTAACGATGGAGACACGCCTACCACAGACATGCAGGCTCCAAGTCTGTTAGAATCGTCTTTACAGTTGTCCAATGCTCTGATGCAAACTGACAATGACTCACACTCTACCTTATTTCGATCGGCCTCCAACGACCAGCTGAATGGCACAACTGTGAGTTATAGCGCTCCTCACATAACACGTACTCATTTGATAGACCTCCATTAACTTTGAACATATCTAACGACTTCACATAGAATCACACAACCAAACGACCGCGCATTACTCGCGAATCCGTCTTTCGATTCGGAAGATCTAAGCAACCAATCGTCGATGCTGTTCCTGCTTCACCGTCACCACCTCCTGCACAAGGTAAACCGAGTTCCCATATCTTGATGGAATATTTGATCTGCCACTAATCATTATCCTTGTAGAAGAGAAGATGGCAGAGGTTCGATCGCTGTTAGACGAGCTTCGACTGCAATTGATGGCAGCCCAAAGCGACAAAGCAATGCTGGAGTCCACGTTCGAGACGGAAAAGGCGGAATTGCTTCGCACCATACACGAAAAAATAAAGGAGAAAACGGTAAGAGTCTTACTGTGTTTTCCAAGAACCTTTTTGGCCCTCCTGCTAAACTCCATGAACAATGATAGGAAGCCGAATCTCGCGCTGTATATCACTTTCAGCAGGTTGAACTGTTGAAGAAATCAAACAAAGAACTTGAAACTGAACTAGAGACATTTAAGGTAAAGACTGTTCATACAAATTTCACTTGTCGTTATTTATCGCGCTGGCATCATTAACACTATGTGGACAGGGAATGAGAGATGATGAACGAATACAGCTGCGAGCGGAAAATTCAGATATGAAGCAGGAGCTGAGAACATTAAAACGAGAATACGAGTCTGCTCGTCAGGATTGGTCGCTAAAGGAGGCAGAATATGTCAGAGAAAGAGATCAAATGAAGATAACTGTAGACGCTTTAACTCAGCAGGTAAAGAAACAACAGACGTATTCTATTTTACCATCCCTCTTTTGTATGCGACTTAACACCCCGTAAACATTAGCAACAGCAAAATTCTGAGCTTTTGAAGCAACGTCTGGATGAAGCAACAATTACAATGCAGCGTCTGGCAAGCTGTGAAACCGACTTACAGAAATACCAGGCACTCGATCTTGATCCTGAACACATCAAACACGTTGAAGAGGAATTGCACTGTAAGTATTGTGTTAAATGTAACTGGGGGCACCACCGAGCTTCGCAGGCTTTATTGACATTCGTACACAGCACATGTCGCAAATGTACATCGTCTAGAAAAGGAGAACGGTATACTTAATAGAGATCTGCGACATTACAAATCTATTTACCAAAACGTAGAAAAGTTACGAGAGCAAAAGTATGAACTGGAACACCAACTGCGAAATATGGCGGTGTTCAAGGATAAATCTGTCCAATTGGAAGTGGAAAACGCTGCCATTAAACGTGAAAGAGCAGAATGGTAAATGTTGGACTATATGGTTTGGAAGCTCAATGAATCGCATTAACAAATATCGATGTCGTAGGGCTACTTTTCTGGAGAATGCGGATAATATTGGATTTACCACGCCATATACTGTTTGCAGAGAACTCAATCTTTTACGAAGTGAAAAGTCTTCTGCTGCGAAAGTTGAGGATGATTTGTCCGAGCTTATGAAAAGCCAGGAGACGCTATTGATGGAAGCTGAAAAACGTGTAAGTGATACGTGTTCCTCGCTGAGATCAGCATTGTGAATGTTCATGGAGCTGATAGCAAACTTTCAGATACTGGAGCTGAATGCACAGATTCAACAAAAAGACAACCTGCGACAAGTTGATCAAGTCAATACTGATATTCTCATGAAAGACAAACAATTACTACAAAAAGAAATAGGCATTCTCAGAGAGCAGCTGGTAAGACTGGTCGTTGTCTTATTCCATAGTACAACGCATCTCTGACACTCCTTGCCTTGCAGAAATCTTATGACATTGAAGAAATTACTTACTTGAGCGAACGGTACGACTCAGCCAAGACCCAGCGTCTCAACGAACTTGAAGGCCTGCTCGGACAATATCGTGTTGAAATTGAAGCACTACGCACCATGATGACAGCCGAACGAACCAGAGCACTGCAAGATCGCTCAGGGCAACAGGCTGACAACATGCCTGCTATTCTACAGCTCCCTACCGGAGAGCAGATCAAAGCTAGTTTGGTCGATCTGGCCACAGCCAAAATTGATCTTATGAAAAGTAAGAAAACAGAGTTGGCAATAACGCTAAGCTTCTTTGCTTGTGCGCTTTTTACTTATCAACTATAACTTTGCAGAATTGTCGAATCTAGATGTCGAATTCCAGCTCAAGACAAAGGACCTGGAGGTCTTGCAGAAGCAAATTGATATCTTACGACATGGTCTAGTTGTAGGCGGTTTGAACGAAGAACTTATACGAAGCGTTGCTGAGGTTCAACCAGTACCCACCACCAGTGTGCACGACGAGGACAGTCCAATGACAGAAAGCAAAGAGCCAAAGCAGCGGATATTACAACTCAAGGATAACCCGGCCTCAAAAGAGCAAGCCATACGGCAAAGTATGTTGGATGACTTGAAGAAAGAGAATCAAGAGTTGATTGCTCGACTTCAGCAGTCCAGTGATGGCACGGCGATGGCTGGCGTCATAGAGTCTACTATTCCAGCTCAAAGCTTCGACAACTTGCAGGCTGAGAAGGAACAAATGGTGACTACAGTTGCACAGAAGGAGAAAAGAATTCTTCGAATGCAACAAGTTTGGGCAGCCAAAGTACGAGAATACCATGAAGCTGTTGCAAGCTTGTTAGGCTACAAAGTTGACTTTTCTGCTGACGGCATGGTTCGGCTGGCCTCCATGTACGCGGACCCCAACGATATTTCATTCGTTTTCAAGTCATCAGAAAACGATCAAGGCACCCTCAAGATTGTTGGAGCGAACAAGGATATGTACATGAAGACTTTGGAGAGTAGCTACAACTATTGTGTCAATGAACGTGGCAGCATTCCAGCATTTTTGAGCGCCGTGACCATGGAATTAATCGATTAGTAAGTACAGCCAATGTTGAATTGGTAAACAGAAGGAAAATGCGGTTGAAGATAAGCGCTAGAATACTGATACGTACTGTTTACAGTCAACCTTTCAATGGAGACCGAGACCATGAAATGACTGAAGAGCCCGAGGACCATGATGAGCATGAAGAAGATTGTCATGACTCAATTCAACACAATACCGGAAATTATTATGAGATTGAAGAGGATAGCGAAGATGTCGTATATGAAGACGATGAACCCGAGGAACAAGATCAATACGATGAAGAAGACGATGATGATGAGCCCCTCCAAGAGTACGAAGATATAGAAGAGGAGGAAGAGGAACATCATGACGATCATGAATTTGACCACCACAGTTTCCAAGAGGATGAGGACTTGGATGACGAAGAAGCTGAAGAAGACGACGACGAAGAGGGGGATGATGAAGGCGAAATACCTCATCAAGATCCCACACACTACATAATTGACGATGATGATGATTAGGCCATATTCCCCACCCCAAGCTTGTACAATAAAAATTTCCCCTACAACTTTTCTCACTAAACTTTGCCCATTGATTTTCCCCCTTGTTTCCCCCCAAATTCACCAATGTCCACTACTACAACACCATCTAAAAAGACAATATCAAAAGAGGAATGGGAGAAAAAGCTAGCTGATGTCAAGATAAATAAGCAGTATGTGAGACTTTATTACGGGACTTCAGTTACTCATTACATTTTCACACACTCACGAATCAAAATCTACCTTATGTAGGGATCTCAACAAACTCGTTATGAACTACCTTGTGGTAGAAGGCTACAAGGATGCTGCTGAACAGTTCAGCATCGAAAGCGGTTTGGCTCCAATGGTTGATATAGCGTCGATACAAGATCGCATGGACATTCGACGGGCGGTTCAGGCAGGCAACGTTGATGCCGCCATTGAAAGAGTCAACGATCTCAACCCCGATGTAAGTAGTATGACCTGAAGAAATGTGGCCCCAGTTCTTCAAAGGAAAAACGTTCCTTCCGGTTCAAGCTAACCTGCTCTATCTGTACTTTCAGATTTTAGATACCAATCCTCAGCTATTCTTTCACCTTCAACAACAACGATTGATCGAGCTGATACGCCGCGGAGAATTTGCCGAAGCATTGGATTTCGCATCCGAAGAAATGGCACCAAGGGGAGAGGAAAATCCTGAATTTTTAGAGGAATTGGAGCGTACTATGGCGTTGATGGCGTTTGAAGACACGCGACAATCGCCTGTTAGCGACCTGCTTCACCCCGCACAACGTCAAAAGACCGCTTCGGAACTCAATGCTGCCATATTGACTAGTCAGAGCCAGGAGAAGGATCCAAAGTTACCAAGCTTGCTTCGAATGCTAGTTTGGAGTCAAAACCAGCTGGATGAACAAAGGATAAACTACCCGCGCATCGATAACTTTGGTACCGCAGATCTAGTCACTCGCGACCAATAAATACTTGTAATTACCCACCCCCCTTCCAATATACTATAGTACACACAGTTATTGTAAGAGACGATACAAAATGATATATATTTTACACTGAACATGCTGAGCTGGAAGGGATCGCATCGTTACAAAAAGGCAAATGTTGAAATCTAAGACATGTTTACAAAATGGTAGGGTCCATTTTTCTATTTGGCTTCACGTTGTTGATAATCGTGAAGGCGCAACAAGTTTCTCTCCAGCATAGCAACCGTCACCTTACCGACGGAAGGAACAAAAATCGAAGCATGCTGCTTCACATCATCCTCAAAGTTGGCAAAGGATGAAAAGTTGATGGCAATCACACCATCCTTGAGAAGCTTGGAGGGAAGCTTGTAGCTGGCGACAGGAACGCCAGTAATAACCACGTCGGATTGTGGCACGACTTGCTCCAAAGTCAATTCAGTGTCTTCAACCTTGTGGGCTTGAAGCTGGATGCCAGTGCCGCGGGTAAAGGTTTGAATACCAGTGATATCGACTGAGTAGACCTTTGCACCATCATTGGCCAACATAGCAGCCAAAGGTCTGCCGACAATTTCACTTCGGTTGATGACAGTGATGGTGCGTCCGTACAAACGGTTACCATAAGGAAGTACAGCGTTGTATACACCGATGAATTCCATGATCTATTCCCGCCATGGAGGGTTAATGGAGGGGCGCTTTCAGATCAAATCTCCAGCAGCTTGGAGGAATTACTTGCCTTTACAACTGCAAGAGGGGTACAAGGAATGATGCATTTGGTGGTTTCTTCAGAATCCAAAAATCGGATATTGTGATATACGTTGTAGATATACTTGAAGGTCAATCCTTCTACGTCCTTGTAAATGCTAACGCAGTTTTGCAAATATTGGTCCTACAATACAATGACAGTATGATCAGCACTATGCTCCGACGTTATTCATCACTTTCTCTCAGCTCTTCACGCTTTTTACCTGCTTTCCTCCGAACACGGGGTAATAGACCATAATGCCATTGACAGCCTTGTCTTCATTAGCCTCATCGATCTTCTGTTCAAGATCTTGCTTATCAACCTTGCGAAGTTCGAATTCAACGCCAGTTTCTGCGCACGTTTTGGCTGTCCACTCAGCATACTTGATGGCAGCTGGGTCCTCATTTGCGAGAAATCCTACCAACTTGGGTCGGATAGCACGTTCTTTGATATCCTTCTTAATTTGATCACTATGAGATTATTAGTTTGTTAAAAACGGCGCATGAGAGTTGATTGCAATCGTTGCGATAAACGCTTACCGGAAGGAAGCCGAGACCTTTGAAGCCAAAACGGTCTTACAAGATGCTACCGGAGCAGACATTGTGTGTGGGGAATGACGAGTTGAAGTTTTGAATATTACAACCGACTCAAAAAAAAAAAATTAGTTTGCAGGGTTGATCAAGATGAACAGTCACATCACTGCAGAAGCTCGCGGCATGATCGGTACTTTGCCCAAAGCTTAAAACGTGACTCTAGGTTTTCAAGCGTACGAATATCACTTTGCTACGGTTCATCAAGACATTCTAGGCTATCCCATCCTTTTCCGGCTCATTTTTTATTCCAACCGAACCGAACTTCTGCTCTATACAACACTGATCATCAGTGTATAAAATAGCACATTTACCAGAAGGAGAATTAAGTGTGCTGGGTTACTTGCTGTGTGACGCAAGCATTGGAAAAAAGCAAGGGCAATAGCGGGAGAGACGGAGATCTGGCCCAGGATTATTTTGGGGCTGATTTTTCCGCCGCATATAAAATAGTCTTACCTCCCCCGACACTTCTTGATTTTCGTGTCATCTTTTCTCTTTACACAACTCTTCAATGGTTCTTGCTAACAAGCTCTCTACATGGCAAACACTGCAACAGCAGTACGAGACCGAAGGAAAGTCTTTGGTCATGAAGGATCTCTTCGCTAAGGATCCCTCCCGATTTGAGAAGTTCTCTAGAAGCTTCAAGACCTCCAACTCGTCCATTTTGTTGGATTTCTCAAAGAACATCATCACTGATGATATTTTCAAGAACTTGATTGCTTTGGCTAAGGAGGCCAAGGTTGCTGAGATGCGTGATAAGATGTTCAGCGGTGAACACATCAACTTCACTGAAGACCGTGCTGTTTTGCACACTGCCTTGCGCAACTTGTCCAACACCCCTATCTATGACAACGGAGAGGACGTCATGCCTGAAGTCAACGCTGTTCTGGAACAGATGAAGCAGACTTCAGAGGCTATCCGCAACGGAACCTGGAAGGGCTACACTGGCAAGGCTATCACTGATATTGTCAACATTGGTATTGGTGGTTCTGACTTGGGTCCTGTCATGGTCACCGAGGCTCTCAAGCCCTATGCCAAGGAGGGTCTCCATGCCCACTTTGTTTCCAACATTGATGGAACCCACTTGGCTGAGGTTCTCAAGGTTGTCAACCCTGAAACCACCTTGTTCATTATTGCCTCCAAGACTTTCACCACACAAGAAACCATCACCAATGCTGTCTCTGCTAAGGACTGGTTCCTCTCTTTTGCTAAGGAGGTAAGTAGTAGTGATTTTTTATTGGTGGGCCACGCGGGTTGGGTACCTAGAGCTTGATGATGCAAGTCGGAATTATTATTTTTCGCACGTCAATCGTTCGGGTGGACCCTTGACGGCCACCGCTGTTTGAATTACAATGCTGATGAATAACTGACTAATGCCCTTGATGAATAATATTAGCAATCTCATGTTGCTAAGCACTTTGTTGCTCTCTCCACCAATGAGCAAGCCGTTTCTGCCTTTGGTATCGACACTAAGAACATGTTCCGCTTCTGGGACTGGGTTGGTGGACGTTACTCTCTATGGTCCGCTATTGGCTTGTCCATTGCCATCTATATTGGCTTTGACAACTTCCATCAATTGCTCCTAGGTGCTCACGAAATGGATAACCACTTCAAGACTGCTCCTTTGGAAGAGAACTTGCCCGTCATCATGGGTGTCTTGGGTGTCTGGTACAACAACTTCTTCAATGCCCAGACCCAAGCCATTCTTCCCTATGACCAATATATGCACCGTTTCTCCGCATACTTCCAACAGGTAAAAGTTTACCCCCAATGGGTTGCTGCAAATGTCCACGTTCTCAATGGTTTTTTGTTTATTTATTAGGGCGATATGGAGTCCAATGGTAAATATGTCTCTCGCTCTGGTGAGCAAGTCCAGACCTCTACTGGTCCTATTATCTGGGGTGAGCCCGGTACCAACGGTCAGCACGCTTTCTATCAACTCATTCACCAAGGTACCAAGTTGATTCCTTGCGATTTCCTTGCTCCTGTGGAGACCCAAAACCCCATCTCTGGTGGAAAGCACCACGATATTCTCTTGTCCAACTTCTTTGCTCAGACCGAGGCCTTGATGGTCGGTAAGGACGAACAAGCCGTCCGTGCTGAACTTAAAAATGACAAGTCGATCAAGTCCCAAGAACAATTTGAGAGCATCGTCCCACACAAGATCTTCCAGGGTAACCGACCCACCAACTCTCTTTTCTTCCAGAAGCTTACCCCTGCCACTCTCGGATCTTTGGTTGCTTTGTACGAACACAAGATCTTCACCCAGGGTGTCATCTGGGATATCAACTCCTTCGACCAATGGGGTGTTGAACTCGGTAAGCAATTGGCTAAGGCTATTTTGCCTGAACTTACTGGTGCAGGTGAGGTCAAGTCACATGATGCCTCCACCAATGGTCTCATCAACTACTACAAGGCCCACAAGAAGAATTGAATTTTACACAAGTTGTAGGTAGTCAAATTAGCATATTCACAAATTTGAATTCACGTTGTGAATTGGTTAAAAAAAGAACTCTCCGAGAAAAATTTCTTGGATAAGCATGGAAAATAAAGACACAAAGTGTACATACTTAAATCGTAAGGCTCGGCACCAACCATGGAATTGTTTGTGTGATGATGGGCAGTAACTTTACTTTACGGAGGGTATCTTATCGTTTATCCGCGCTTCTTTACAGCGCTGGTGAAGAGATGCAGGAAATACGCGGTAATAAACCCAAGTTTAACCCGGTGGTTCATTTTTTTGACTCAACCGATTTTTTTCGATTATATTTACCCTCTCCTACTGGGCTCCGCCCCCTTTTCTCTTTACTTCTTCCTCTGATGATTTCCACTGCAACTACCATTGCCACCACGGCAGTCCTTGCGCTGACTCCTGTTGCTGCATTTGCTGCGTATCTCGTCGCCTTTGATGCTGATGCTCGTAAGAAGTAAGTATGGACCCTCCTGATTTCCACGTTAATAAGGAAATACCAATTAACCGCCACCTTTTTTTTTTTCAGATTGAAGCAATTGAACTTGCCAAGCCCTGACATCAAAACTATGTTCTTTATCGGCCAAATGAGAGAAGAATCCTTCTTTTATCATGTGAGGGATCTGCAAGCAGAGATGCGCCGTGTATTCAAGCTCCATACACCCGTCGGACCAATGGGTAAGTTTATCAAGGTACATCTCGGTGGCAACTTTTACACTACTGACACTAGACATATCTAGTTGTCACAACCGACCCTGAGGATTTCAAGAAGGTGTATCTTCAAGTGAATTTAGATAAAGGCGGAGCTAACGATGAGGTTCGACGTTACTGGGGAGCGAATAACTTGGTGACACTCCAACATGCAGGATCGCACGGCCACATTTGGAAAACACAGAGAAATTTGTTAGATCAAGGATTCAAGATCCCCGCTCTCAAAGTACTTCAGAGCACCTTTGTTCGCCACACTGAAAAATTTGTTGCCAATATGGAGAATTATGTGGACAAGGAGGTGGATATGACAGAATTGTTTGCGGATTTCACATTTGATATCATCGCCGATGTGATTGGTGCCGGCGAAGCACCAAAGGAATTCAAGAAGAGCATGAACTACTTGATCCGAAAACTGGAGAACCCTCTGCTTCTCGTCCCTATGGGAGGTTATTTTATGCGCTATGTCGCCTACCGCCAGGCAAATATCATTGTCGATAAGTTTATCTACAAAGCTATTCGTGACCGCAAGCAGGCTCGGGCCTCCGGTTCAATGGATAGTGAGGAGCACAAAACCATCTTGGATTTCTTGCTTGATGCTGAGGATGACAATGGAAGAAAGCTCACTGATAATGAAATTAGAGACCAACTGTATGTTTTCTTCTTGGCTGGTTTTGAGACCTCATCCAATACCCTCAGCGTAAGTTGTGTTTACAGATCTATATCTTTGGGGCAGTGTGATCACAGAGCATACAGACTAAAATAGATTTTATGTTTTCGGCGTAGTTTATGACACTCGAACTCGCCCGCCACAAGGATGTACAACAGCGTGTTATCGATGAAGTCAAGTCAGTTCCTGGCCCTATCCAATATGATCAAGCCCGAAAACTTGAATTCGTCAATCAATGCGTAAGTGATACAACTCGTTAATTTTGCTTCACTTGGGGTTTTTGTTTGCTGTATGATACTGACGTCCTGTTCAGATCAACGAAAGCTTGCGAATGTATCCTCCAGCGAGTAACTTGACTCGCGAGACCTCATCCGACTTTGTCTTGCCATCCTCCCCCGATACCGTTATTCCCAAGGGAGTGCAAATTACCGTGTTTTTGTATGGTATGCACCGTGATCCTCGCTACTGGGATCAACCCGAGGAGTATATGCCTGATCGTTGGTCACAACCACTCAAGGTTGCTGGTTCGTTTGCTCCTTTCTCCATGGGATCTCGTATCTGCATTGGTCGAAACTTTGCCCTCGCTGAAATCGCCACTTTGATTCACGGTATTTTCAGCAAGTATCGTTTTGAACTCAAGGACAATGTAGAGCAGAATGGTGAAATCGACGGTCGTACTGGTCTTCTACGACCATTCAAAGTCGTTGGCTATGTCCGCAAGCAAGATTAACTTTCTTCCTTTGTGCGATACTAGCTTAGAATTGTGTGATATATACTTCCATCACTTTTTAAAATACCAAAGACATTCACCATATCATCATTATTATTATTTCCTTTCAAATTTTATTCTCTTTAGAATATAAGAAGTCAGTACGTACAATCAAATCAAACCCTTCACCAGATACATGTAAGACAAAAGATAAATATATTAGCCGAATCAATGACGCCGACTGTGCGAGAAGAAGGGAAAAAAAATGGTGGGTGGTATAGACAGATCATTGTTAGAACTTAGATTCCATCTACTGTTCACCAATTTGCGCCATAAGCGCTTCAAGTTTGGCGGACAAATCAGCCACCTTCTCCTCCAAACGCTTACGTTCCTCGCGTTCCTCACTGAGCTGACGCTCAAGATCTTTGCGAGCCTTCTCGACTTCATTCTTGGTATGATTTCTCAACTTTGTTTCCAAAACTTCATTGCCGCCACCAGAAGGCACACCGGCAAAGTTGAACCGAGAGCTAATGTTCTTAACGCCGCGTGCGGGTTCTTCTTTCTTCTCTTCAGCCTTTTTCTCTGAGCTGCTGCTCTCTTGAGTTGCTTCTGCGGGCTCCCACATTCGACGCTGAACTGGCTTTAGTGTGCGCGCACTAGCGTCTGCACCAGCGAAAGGTGTTGGGAATTTTTGGAAAATAGGCTTGATGGGTTTGGCAGGTGGAGCAGGTGCTGCTTTTTCTTCGACAGGCGCCTTCTCCTCAGGTTGCTGAAAATATTGGTTAATTCAAAATGCGTCAGTTAGGCCGCAGCGTCTGCTAATACTAACCTTGGCAACCTCTTCCTCCAACAGTGCTGTTTGACTGGGTTCACTAGGCTTGCTCTCTTGGGGTCGTCGGCTGCGTGAGGGTCTCGCTCGGTTAGGGCCAGCAAGCTTCGGTCCACTTGTGATAGAATCGAAGTCAGGTTTTACTTCCTCTGGCTCAACAGGAGCAGATGGTTCCTCTTCAGCAGCTTCAGCCGTAGCAACATCATCCTTAATGGGCTCTGCCAATTTGGTATCTTCTTCTTCCTTATGCTCTTCCACAACGTCGTTTTCTGTAGCCACTTCCGCGACTTCAGCATTTTCAGGTTGCTTCTCACTCTCAACAACTGCGGGAGCAACGTCTTCAACGGGTTGTTCTGCTTCCACTTCTGTTTTAGCCTCTCCTTCCACGACGGGTTCAACTTCTTCTGGTTGTGCTGGAGTAGGGGCAAGCTCTTCTTCAACTACTGGGGCAGGTTCTGACTGAGCTTCCGGTTCGATCTTTTCGTTGGACTCGGTGCTGTCTTCCTCAGGTTCATCAATGGGCTCTTCTGCCACAGACGACGAGACTTCAACGGCCATAGAACTTGGTACATCGGATGCAACATCTGAAAAGTCCGTTTCTGCAACCGGTGCGCCGATAGGCTGAATGGCAGAAGGCGATTTGATATCTTCGGGCTCAGCGTCAAATGGTGCAGTGTTAGCCTCTCCAGATTTTGTTTGACTAACGATAGGCGATCCTTGAGAGCGAGCAGATGTATTCGAAGTCATCGAAAAGGTGCGTGCTGGAGATGGTGAGCTTGGTAGAGGAGGAGGTGAGCTAAGAGGTGCGTTTTCAGAAATGGAGGATGGTCTGTTGCCCATGGAGGCATATGAGGATGGACGGGAACCACCTGGAATTGAAGGAGGGCGCGCAAGTGGTGGACGAGCACTTCCAACAACAGGAGACTTTTGTGCGCTCTCAGTGCTAGATGACATGCGCTTTGAGGTTCTCGTAGGGGGAGGGGGAGGAGTTTCTTCGGTAATCTCCTTCACAAAGTTGGAAGGGAATACGCCTATTTCGCCACGTTCGTTGACACCCTTCCACCATCCATCGTCTGATTCACGTTCCAAAATGGTGACGTACTCTCCTTTCATTAGAGTTAGCTCGTCTTCTTGGTCTGGATCATAGTGATGGGTTACAATTCCTTTGATGCCTGTTCAACATAATGACTTAGTAAAATATTGTACTTTGTCCATATGCGATACCAAAACTACAAACCTTTGGCAACCGGGGCCGAAGTGGGTTCGCTACGAGCCGGAGGAGTAGCAGGTGTCGAAGAACCAATGGACTGTGGGCTGCTAACCTCTGGGATGCTAGGTGATGCATTTTCAGCAGGCGACTTTGGAGTAGCTGGAGGAGGTTTTGACTTAAAGTAGAAACCCCAACAGTGAGCATCAAAGACAGGAGATACCTTTTTTTGCTTAACTACAGTTCCTTACCACTTGTGCTTCTTGTTTAGAAATAGAATCTTGGCTTTGTGTCTTCTTGGCACCGCTTGGTCTCAAAACAGGAATGCCACCAGCCAACAAGCTTCCGATTCCGCCTTGCTTCACACCATATGCTGCAAGTCTGAATCCAGACTTGGCTATTATCCATAGTCAATAAGAAATTTGTCCTCATACTTCCAAATGGTAAAAGATAAATCTTCTTACGTCTACTCTCAGTGTCGGGTTCTTCAACCGACTGGCTCATTGAGGATGGTCGACCAAATTCTGGTTGACCAGGGATCTCATTAAATTCGACGTACTGCAAAGGTTTGTATGAATATATCAACACTTGGCAGCAAAAAATAAAAGTGATGCACCGGAATTTCTGCTTACCTTGGAAGGGAACGTACCAACCTTTCCGTTGACTTCACCCTTCATGTATTCACCATTGTCTTCCAAAACATTCACAATGACACCTTTGTGGAGAGTGATCTCGCCTGGTTCTTGCATAGCATAGTCTTCCATTACTCGAGCCAATCCTATAACTCGGACTGCGATTCAAACAGTGATCGGTAAGTATGTTGTTGGCAAACACATCCAACAGCCGAATTTCGCATGACGTACCTTGCGGAGTCTCCTTCTGGTCATGCCCCGCTTCTTCAGTGGTACCGGTCTCTTCCTTAGCAGCTGCTGGTTCTTCAGAAGCTCCTTCAGTAGCATCCTCACTATTATTTTGTTCTTGGCTATCACTGACAGGATCAACAAACTGAACCATGCAGAAAAATTGGACAGCAGTTTAGTACCGTCGGAAGTACGAAGTCAACTGCCTTGTGTGAGTTCTTACAACTACGACTTACGTTGCTGGGGAAATAACCAGACTTGCCGTTGGCAGTCTCGCCAACCCACCAGTCAGGGTCAGAAAGGTCGGTAACGTTAACAATGTCGCCTTTCATCAAAGTGAGCTCGTCATCTCTTTGGGCTTCATATGTATGATGCGCCTTGTAGCGCTGAGCGGCATTTGGCTGCTGTTCTATATAGAAGTGAAATGTTTATACTATGAAAAAGGTTTACTCGATAGCAACTGAACTGAGAGCTACTGGGTACCTGACATTCGAAGTGTAGGGGTTGTAGTGCTGGAGGGAAGAGAGCGGGGATACTCTGATGACCAGCTTGGCACACAGCTCAAAAGGCGCGTCACGCTGTGATTTCACTTGCTCGGCTCAGAGTCTCTGATCTGCTCCGTTCATTTGGAAACAAAAATTCTAGGTAAGCTGAAAGATCTGTTGATTGCTTCACTCCTTGATTGGATCTTTTAGAACGTTCGTAATGATCATCCATGCCAAGCTTGCTGACACCCAATTATCTTCTAGTGGTTTTGCCAATTCGTTCGCTCATTTGGTGTATTAATTACCGTCGACATTTGAACAGCATTTAAAAGTCATAGTCAACACCTACACATACATAACACAACAATATGTCAGAAAGAGTAAGTTTGATTACAATTGATATTTTTCACTACTACTTTGCCGCAAACTAAATCGCGATCGGTTTTAATTCAAAAGGGTGCAAGAGGATCAAGTCGAGGCGGTGGTGACAGAGGCCGTGGCAGCGGACGAGGCGGTCGAGGTGGTGGCCGAGGTGGTAGCCAGGCTGGCCAAGAAAAACCAAAGAAAGAATCTATCCTCGATTTAAGCAAATACCAAGACAAAGAGATTCGCGTAAAGTTTAGCGGCGGTAGAGAAGGTGAGCGCTACAAATGACAACCCTTTCCATTTAAATCCAAAGCAGCTATTCACCTATTTTATTTTTTAGTGGTTGGTACCCTGAAAGGTTACGATCCTCTTCTCAACCTCGTTCTGGATAATACCACTGAGCATATTAAGGACTTGGAAACCGATCAGTATACAAGCCAGAAGCGAACCCTAGGTCTTTCAGTTTTGAGAGGCACAGCCATCATTCTTATTTCTCCAGTTGATGGGTCTGAAGAGATCGAGAATCCGTTCTTAGCAGCAGAATAGAAAGTGCTCGATAGGATAATTGTAGAGTTAATGGTTTTTTTTTTTTATAAACGCCTTCAACGCTTGTGATTTTCACTCGCATATTATTGGCCACAATCTCTGCATATAACGTACGATGAAGAATTGGCGCTGATAATGTCAATTTGCTTGAGCAGGCACACTCCAGTTTCAAGCACACAAATGTTCATCAAGTGTATCGCACGTGTTAGATTCGATATACCAGAGCTCCTTTCAACCATTAATGACAATACATCGATGATACTGTTATTTGTCATGAGTAATTCAACGCATGGTTTCGTTTGGCTCAATAGCAGAGGTAATTAAGCAGTTTAATTATAGCGAGCAGGCAATACATGTTTCATCCATCCCTACTTGGCAGGCACAATTTCTTTTTTTGCATGGTGACTCTATACACTTTTGCTCACTGTTAGGCAGAGAAGACACTAAATAGAACGTTTCCTGCCAGTCCTGTACTGCAGCTTTGAACGTGCCAGCGACGGGGTTTGAGTCTTGTAAACTTTGCCCACTGCTTTAATTTAGCCATAAACATTGAGTACTTACTTTGAAATGGCTGGCTTGAAAGCCGCTTCATATTTCATTCTTCTACTGTTTTCCTCGTTGTCACTAGAGGCTTCAGTATGAAAGGCTACAATTGACACTCGCTGTTAAGATACGTCAAGTTTGTGTGATAGCGGGTTTCAGCCCCGCCAAGGCAAGGCAACACAGTAAAATTTCCTCCCAATCCCAAAAAAATAAAACGTCTGCAAAAGCAAAGTGGACACTTTTGTACACCCACATCAACATTTCTGTGTTGCATTCTTGAACAATCTCGTCAATAATTTGTATTCTCATTGTTAGTCCTTTGAGACTACCGAGCATTTTCTTTTTTGTACTCTGATTTCTGTTTTCGATTTTGGTTTCCCTTCCGCCCTGTATAGTACAAAGCGCACCAAACGCCGAGCATAGCACCCTTTTCATACTCATTGACTTTCCCCATAGACCATGACTAAAAGAACCTCCTTTCGACCTTGGCCTTCACACCAGCATACGGAAATAGGCTCTGTACGCAACAAAAGTGTTGAGCTAGCTTCCTCACATATTGAAAACGCGAGCAGCGGCTGTACCAAATACGGTCAACTTTTGAAACGATACGGTAAGTGTGAATTTATTATTATTCCCTTGTTTTTGTATTTTCTGTGGCATGCACTCGAGGAAAGTAGTGATGTTAAAACCGTTGGTTGTGGGCGTATCTTCTCGTTGGTCATCAAATGGCTGTTGTATCTCAGCCAACTCCCGATCCTAAATGCTTGACCAAATTTTGTAAGAGAGCAAAGAATATGGCATTCAATATTCATCTTCCGCATATTGTATCTACAGGAAAACGGTTGATTCTCTCACATTCTGGGAGATCTAATACCCCACGTAGGGTTCATCTGGAAGAATCCAAAGAAACCGATGCCCATCGGAAGCCGAACCTTTTCTCCCGATGGAGCTGCTGTTCCTTCGGACTCAGCAACCGTATGCATGATGGCGACAGATCGACCGAACCACAGCAAACTATCTTCCAGAATAATAACGCAACTTCTTCGCAAACTGCGACCTCTTTTACCGACTTATCATCCAAGCTCAGTGAGTTGGAAAAACGTGATGTGGATAGTGTTTCCGTAGAAGCCACTCTCAATAATAGCCGCCAACATATTAGCTTATCGGAAAAGGGACCCCGACCCGACGAATCCGTGGTTGCCGAGGATGAAACTGTGGCCCCCAGTGATGGTTCTGCCGGCCAGACTGTAGACTCCAACACTGCTGCTGAAAGCGAACCATCGGTAGTCGATAAGCGAGAAGATGCCCCCGACAACGGTGAACAAGCACTTCCAGACCCTCGCTCTCCTGCATCTACCCTATTGCCTGTTCCACCCATTGTTGCCACCAACTTTATCCCTCCACAGCATGAACCAATTGTACATTATGACGCTTTGCATTATCCGGTAAGATTTATTTTTTTTCCTTCCAGTATTTGTAAAAAGATACTGTCAAACATAGAGAAGAGTCGCTCTAATCATGCTCCTTTTGTTTCAAATTGCTCAGCATCATCAACACGCATGGCTTTTGTCTAGTCTGGCTCCTGAAGACCAGGGAAAAAAGTGCCTGGTCTTAGACTTGGACGAAACGTTGGTACATAGTTCTTTTAAGGTACGGTAAATTGAAACATTATGAAACATCGCCCGCCTTTTCTTTTGACAACACATTCTTGACACTTGAAATAGGCCACTCAACAAGCCGATATGATCGTACCAGTGGAAATTGATGGAACAGTGCACAATGTATATGTGCTCAAGAGACCTGGTGTTGATAATTTTATGAAGCGAATGAGCAGCATATACGAGATAGTAGTATTCACTGCTAGTTTATCAAAGGTAAAGCTTTCATTATTATTGATTAATGTCTCATAGTGAACAAATGGCTGAGTCCCCATGATCATTCTACTACTTTTACAGTATGCAGATCCTGTTCTTGATGTCTTAGACATTCATCGGGTAGTCCAACATCGGCTATTCCGAGAGTCCTGCTTCAACCACATGGGCACATACGTCAAGGATCTGTCTCAATTAGGCAGGAATGTAACAGAAGTGATCATACTGGATAACTCTCCAGCTAGTTATCTGTTCCACCCAGCCAACGCTGTACCTGTCTCGTCGTGGTTCAATGACCCTCATGACAGTGAACTGATTGATATGATACCATTCCTGGAGGAGCTTGCTACCGTACGAGACGTGACGGCCGTGCTTGACAACATCGTAACTAATGCACTGTAGAAACAAGATATCACCAAGCATCAAAGCGAGCATCTACCAAGCGATAGATGTTTGCCAACCCAACCCATTTGTGAGAAGAGCAAATTATAATCCATTTGATACCTCTTTTACCATGTAGATCTTTCAGTGTATTACCTCAAGACATACCACTTTCACTCCCTCACCACGGACATCATGCCTTTTGATTGCCCAAAAGTATCTGCTTCCCATTTCTCTTCCATCCATGCTTTCTCACACCATCACTCGTCCTTCTATCATCCTTGTCATCGTTCATTTCTTTTCTCTGTATGTTATGTTTTGCAACCCATGTTCTTTCTGCCTGTATTGCATCTCCTTTGGTGTTCCCTCCTCTCAGTGACCTATGTCTCTTTTTTCTTTTGCTTCCCCTGCTGTTGATTTTTGCATCCATTCCACAATGACAAAGATGATACTCATCCCATTGTTCGGAATGCACATTATAAATATCTGCAACAACGCTTGCGCAATTATAATCATTAAGCTTTTGTCTATTCTCCTTTGTCTAAATGTCTCTTGGTATCAATCCATCATGTAGATTCTAGACGCAATATCTTCAACTACCCAATCCATGCCCTGCAATAGATTTTCGCCCGTTACTGCGCTGCAAGCCTGGATGCTCCAGTGATGTGATTTGATAGAGTCCAGATCCAAGGCCTGTAGTATACGATATCCAATTATTAAAAATTCTCAAAAAGCACTCAAAAGCTGGATCATCATAGTACCTCTTTTAACTGAAGATCTGTCATTGCACTTGGTATATCTTGCTTATTGGCGAATACCAGTAACGTCGCGCCTGCTAAACGCTTTGTGCCAAAAAGTGGTCAGCGCGGAAACTACATGCATCTTTTCACATTAAATATGTTTCACCTCTTCCTGAAGTAGTTGTGCTAGCTCCTGCCGGCAATCATCGACGCGTAATCGGTCTGCTGAATCAACTACCCAAACGAGTGCATCGGTCTGCTCAAAGTAGTTGCGCCAGTAAGACCGAATTGATTTCTGACCGCCTACATCCCAAATATTGAGCTTATAAGGTCCATGTTCCAGCGTTTTGATATTGAAGCCAAGCGTTGGTGAGATTGTGTCAATGGGTTCACCGTTGATTCGCTTCAAAATGGTGGTCTTCCCGGCATTGTCAAGACCGCTAGCATGAAGAAGGGAATGGACTATGATTAGCTACCTTGAGGAGTAGAACAGAATTGCCTACATTATTATTGAACACTTACAGCATGAGAATTCGCATCTCCTTCTCTTTTTGCCGATTTTTCTTCAGTATAGTTAAAAGTCCCATATGGAGAAAGCAATAAAAGGTTGCGCTCTTTCATTGCCGACCGAAAAAAAGTCCGTCTGTCATTCTCTGGCAGGATGGAGGGCGACTATCACCAGCAGCCAATGTCTATAGCCACTCGTTTAAACACTAAAAGGAATTCTATGGATAGCTCTGTAAGTCCTTCTAGGTTCGGTCCTTCTCTTCTCAAGCGACGAGCGACCGACATTACACCTTTGCGTCCTTCAGCCATCAGTAAAGCCGTCCTGAAGTCGAACCCAGTCCCGCAACCTCTAACGCCTGATCGATATCGATCTGAAAGCTTTCAACGTATAAAACCAGCGCAACCTCTGAGAAGCACAAAGACATCACAGAAGCTTGTTCTCTTCCCAAGTGCTGCAGAACCTCCGGTTGACGATGACGATGATCAAATACATGACAACGGCCTTGGCCTGCGATTACCCTTAGACTTTCACCTCTCCGGGTCTCGTACAATAGCCGAGAGAATGACAAAGGATCAAAGAGACTTTGCAAACCTCCCACGGTTGTCAGCTTACTGCACTGCTGAGGGAAACAACTTGAAGGAACTGAGCGAATTTCTACGCCAGCAGCATCATGTCTCCCCAAGGTTCTATGACGAATGTTTGTACGCCCGCTATCACTTCCCGCTTATGACTTTACGTCCTGGCGGCCGAAAAAATGCTTCGAATGTACGAGTAAGGAGCGCTCCATGGCCTGGTAACTCCAGCCATAATAATGAGCCTACATCATCTTATGATAATCATGTCTACGATTATGACGAAGACCATTATAGAGAAGATGTCGACCAGCAAAGGTATTCCCATTACTCGTCACAGAGACATGAACATCAAGACACAGCGCGCTATGAAGCCCAAACACTACCAGATTATAAAGAAACAGCAGAGCAAGCCAACTCTAGCTATGATTACCACGATGAAGGAACATCAACAAAGTATGACTATACCTCATCTCCGACTGCGAACGAAGAGACACCCCACTATGTAGGAAACAAAACTCCCGAATTCACCAGTCTGTATGGTAGTCTCACCGAAATGGCAGGTCCGCCAGTCGAGCTCACTGATAGCGATACTGAATTTAACGACGAAGAGCATGCAGCCGAAGCAACGACTTCCAATAACCTAGCTGACAATGAACTTCCTACGACACCAAAAACTCCCGATGCCAGTTCGAGGTTTGAAGGTGGAGAGCTTTTCGTTTTCGACTACGGCGTAGTCGTTCTCTGGAATTTCAGTCGTGCACAAGAGTTATTGCTGCTTGAAGATCTTGCACCGTTTAGAATTCGCCCACTCGAAGATAGTGAGGATGATCTACAAGAAATGCAGATCGAAGAAATGCACTTCCAATATGATACTAACCAAGCAAAACCACGAATTTTCAACGATATGATCACTTTGAAGAGCGGAAATCATATGATCAAGCTTACTATCAGTCATGGTGTGAGCCAAAGTGCGGTACTGGCACGGTTTGAAGATATGATGGACAACACTATTGAGGTACATACATTTTTGATAAGCAGTTAGTACAACATGGGAAAAGATAGCCATTATTTAACAGCGTTTGATCACTATGTAGGATACCAAGCATATTCCAAAGAAGCTGGCCCAAACCGGTCGACTGGATATGAACCGAACTGAAATCACACAGATCAGTGGTCATCTTTTCAAACTGAGAATGCATGTGAATCTTGTCTCGAATGTGCTTGGTAAGGCCACGTCCATTGCGAATACCTTTGATGTGTATCTGCTGTATATTCATCATACAACATTTTTAGATACTCCTGAGATTTTCTGGTCAGAGCCCTCGCTTCAGTCCCTCTACAAAGCAATACGTGGTATGATATGGCATTGATGTAAAATAAGGGCACATGAATTTTTCAGTTACTCAAATGTTCGCGGTCGCCTTTAGATTATCTTGAAATCCCTCAACGTGCAAAAATTCTCAATGATCGATGCGGTGTCATATCCGACCTTCTCAGCATGTTAAGAGAGCATCTGAATCACTTTGGAGTGGAGTAAGTTGAACCTTAATTGACGCGGTGGACCCCATTTAGCTGATCCATTAACTTTACGCGTTCAATTTGCAGGTACCAGACACTGATCATTATTTGGTTGATTGTAAGTTAAAAGCACCTCCTGCCTTATCTTTATACAGCACTTCATTTTATTTACTGACTATATTGCTCTCTACTACAGGTCATAGCTGTGTTTGTTGCATGCGTAAGTATTTTGTCAATAGGTCCGTGCTATATTACCATTGGTAGTACCATCTCACCTTTGTTTTTTGTTTAGATTGAGATTGCAGTAAAGGCATTGAATCAAACAAAGACACCCACAGCAGCATTACTTTTGTAACACATGCCACCACGTACACATTAATAATAATCGTTAAACCCTTAGAGTGACGGTTTTGTTTGATGACTCAGCTATGACTGTAGAGACGGGCCTGAAGGCTAAGAAAACGCGTTGTTTAGAACGCGTCTCATAACAATGAATGAAATGAAGTCTATTTCTTTCATGGATTTTCATCTAGAGCCCATAGTTCTAGATCTGAATACTCAGATTGTTGTTAGTGTGCCCCGAGTTTTGCTAAGCTTCCTCTCCCTGGCCAGAAACTCAGTGGCGGTGTGGATCTGGGTTACGAATTCTTGACGCTTTTTTTTTTTAACAAAATTTCGCGACGCGTCTTAATCCTTCACGTTTTTGTCTTTTTATATTTCCCCTTTCTCAAAGCAACCTATCTTGTCTGGCCACAAGACTCAACTTATATTCACAACCTAGCATTTTGAAAAAGGACTCATGTTTGTAGTTAAAAGAGGCAAGTCAAAAACCAGATTCCTTGTTAAAAGCTAATGGCCTTCGTGCTTACCGTACCTATTTTGAAACATTACAGACGGTAGAACTGAAAAAGTTCACTTCGACAAGATTTCTTCAAGAATCTCAAGATTGGCCTCTGGTCTTGACGAAAGATACGTCGACCCTGCAAAAATTGCTCAAAAGGTAAGTGTAGTGATTACTCATCCACCTCATGGCGCGTCTCTGACCATAACTGACTGTTCTTTGGTGGTGACTTTGTTTAGGTCGTCACTGGCATGTATCAAGGCATCACAACTATAGAACTCGATAACTTGACAGCTGAGACAGCAGCTTACTTGACCACAACACATCCTGACTATGCTATTCTGGCTGCTCGCATTGCCGTCTCCAACCTTCACAAGGAGACCGATGAAGACTTTAGTACTGTAGTTGAAAAGCTCTACAATTACATTCACCCTATCCAAAATTGCCAAGTTCCTTTGGTTTCAAAGGATATGTATGACGTTACCATGGCTAACGCGGAGAGAATCAACAAGGCTATTGATTATGAGCGTGACTACGACTACAATTTTTTCGGTTTCAAGACATTGGAAAAAAGCTACCTCATGCGCTGCAACAGTGAGCCTTTTTCCATACCCTCTTGATTTACATCTAGATCGTCATCATAACACACTTAACTTTCAGGCAAGGTTGTCGAACGGCCACAACATTTGCTTATGCGCGTTGCGTTAGGTATTCACGGTAGCAATATTGATGCTGCCATAGAGACCTACGACCTCATGTCCAAGCGTTACTTCACTCACGCAACTCCCACTATGTTCAACGCTGGTACCCCCAAACCACAAATGTCCAGTTGTTTCCTTGTTCAGATGAAGGACGATAGGTAAACTTCAATTACCATGACTCTTTGATTCACATCATCCTGTTACTTATTTCATGTTATAGCATTGAAGGCATTTACGATACTCTGACCACGTGTGCTCGCATCTCCAAATCATCTGGTGGAGTTGGTGTCAGTTTCCAAAAGATTCGTGCTTCTGGCTCTTACATCGCTGGTACCAATGGTACTTCCAACGGAATCGTCCCTATGCTTCGCGTATTCAATGATACCGCACGTTTCGTCAATCAAGGAGGTGGCAAACGCAACGGCAGTTTTGCAATGTAAGATAAATTTTCTCAGAGTGAATGGAGCTGTGGTGAAGTTGATGGAGGCTAACATTTCATCAAAGGTACACTGAGCCTTGGCACTCTGACATTTTTGATTTCCTTGATTTGCGCAAAAATTCTGGCAAAGAAGAACTTCGTGCCAGAGATTTGTTCCTTGGCTTGTGGATTCCTGACTTGTTCATGAAGAGTACGTGATGCGCGATATGGCTGGTTAGAAGCATCCCACACTTACTTATAGAACTTTTATATTGCAGGAGTCAAAGCGAACGAGGATTGGTCACTATTCTGTCCAAATGAAGCTGTAGGATTGTGTGATACCTATGGCAAGGAGTTTGAAGAACTCTATGAAAAATACGAGCGTCAAGGTAAAGCTAGAAAGGTAATTCCTGCTCAAAAGCTTTGGTTCTCCATCTTGGACGCTCAAATTGAAACTGGTATGCCCTACATTCTCTACAAAGGTAAGTAGTGATATTAGTACACATCAAGTGGCTGTCGTTCGAATATTCATCATCTATTTTAAGATGCTTGCAATGAAAAATCCAATCAGAAAAATCTCGGCACCATCACCAGTTCAAATCTGTGCACTGAAATTATCGAGTACACTGCCCCTGATGAAGTTGCTGTCTGCAATTTGGCCTCGCTTGCCCTTCCCAAGTTTGTCAATCTAGAAACAAAGACCTTTGATTTTGAAACGCTACACTCCATTGCTAAGGTTGTTGCCAAGAACTTGAACAAAGTCATCGATGCCAACTATTACCCTGTTCCTGAAGCTAGAAACAGCAATATGCGCCACAGACCGTAAGTACAAAATAGCCTATAGTGCGTTCCACGTTTTTTCATAATGTAACCAATCATTTTCTCTCAGTGTTGGTCTTGGTGTCCAAGGTCTTGCCGATGCCTTCCTCCTGCTCCGTTACCCTTTCGACTCGCCCGAAGCTAAGCAGTTGAACAAAGATATTTTCGAGACAATTTATCACGCTGCCTTGGAGTCTTCCTGTGAGATCGCTGCTGTAGATGGACCATACCAAACTTATCAAGGTTCTCCCGTCAGCCAAGGTATCCTGCAGCCTGACATGTGGGGAGTCAAGCCTTCTGATCGCTGGGACTGGGACACCTTGAGACAAAATATTGCTAAGCACGGTGTCCGCAACTCCTTGTTGGTAGCACCTATGCCCACTGCCAGCACCAGTCAGATTTTGGGTAACAATGAATGCTTCGAGCCCTATACAAGCAATATTTACACTCGTCGTGTCATGAGTGGTGAATTCCAAGTTGTTGTAAGTACATTGATTATGATATACCTGAGCTTGATCATCGTGCCTATTGATTGACACTCATCGGTTTGCAGAACCAACATTTGCTGAAGGACTTGATTGAGAGAGGCCTCTGGAACGACAACATCAAAAACATGATCATTGCTCACAACGGCAGCGTTCAACAAGTACCCGATATCCCAGAGGATCTCAAGAAGCTATACAAAACCGTCTGGGAATTGTCACAGAGAGTTATCATTGACATGGCAGCCGACCGTGGTGCTTTTGTTGACCAATCTCAGTCCCTCAACCTATTCATAGCCGAACCTACCAATGGTAAATTGACATCCATGCATTTCTACTCTTGGCAAAAGGGTCTCAAGACCGGCATGTATTATCTTCGATCCCGACCTGCTGTAGATGCTATTAAGGTAAGAAACGCATAAGGGTCAATAGTAGTAATGAGTATGTTGTTAACGAATTCTGTCACATAACTAGTTCACTGTTGATCAAAACGCGCTCAAAAACCTTAACGTTGCCGAGCGAAAGACGAATGAAGAAAACTTGGCCGCTATGCAATGCTCACTGGACAACCGAGAAGCTTGCATGAGCTGCAGCGGATAAATTGTCTTCACACCAATTATTCACTATTTCTTCATCATTTTGTATTTGAATTAACCTATCCTTATCAGCATTTCTTCTCACTAGTTCTTCCCTTTGTGAAATATAAACTACATAAAAATCCATTGATTCGTAACCTGCTCAGTGATTGGCTTAGTGATTAATGGAAAACTGGCAGGGAACCAGATCCAGTCCATGAATTTTTCTTGATGTTGAGTTTTCAAAGTCACCACTTTCCAAACGCACCTCGACCCTCCACAGGTATGCAGGTGGAATGAGTTTTCGCAATCCATCACCACCTTTAGATTACGAATGTGAAACGACTTCGCAACCGAATGCTACTGTTGCGCCTATCATTCTTAGGCTTGTTGAGAATGTGATCGGTGACAATATGGACGGCTTACAGCTGGATTCGATCGAAGACACTCCTCTTGAGCGTACCCTTTGTGCAGCTTGGGATCTCGCTAGTATTGATGAATATGCAGCAGCAATGCTGGAAAACAATATACAGGTTATTGCTCTCAAGGTTGGTAAAACAGGTTATCTCAGCAGTTATCATACAACCTCTGCTAACTTGAGACGGGCAGATATGTACCTCGACAAAGCGACCCAGGACACGAGAGCTGACGGTTGGGACACTTGCAAACATTGCTTGCCATCATGACACCGGAGCCGTTTTGTTAGAACAGGAAGATATTTTCCTTCTCATCAGCTCCATACTCTGGAATGAGAATGATGCTAGGGTATTACATGAAGCTACACGGTAAGCACCTACTGCTATCAACCAACACTTCTGACGTTTGAAACAAACAACATGCTAACCTTAGCAAACCAATTGGGTCATCGCAAAAAGTCTATTGGAAGGATTTCTTGTGTTTACTATCAACATGGCAGAACAGTCAGTAATAGACAGCCCACACCTTACTCGATTCCTGGCTACTGCTGCTGACAGACCGTCAGTCATCTCGAGGTACATGGTTATTGTCATGAACACTCTTAATACAGAACTTCTCGTCAGATCGCTTCAAGTTATTAGGCACATGATTGTATACATGCAAGCTACGGATTTGCTCTATTCGTCGCCAGAACTGAAATCGGATGCCTTAAAACTAGTTACTTGGGCGACAGAGCGATTAGAAGAAGAGGGAAGAGGCATTGGTATTGGCGGTTTCAATAAGACTGTGGCAAAAAACTTAATGCACGTCGTTTGGGCCATTGGTGCCTACAAGATTGTGGAAAGTAGCGAATATGGTAAGTGTGATTGTTTGTATGAATGATGCAATGTGGGAAACCCTTAAACTCATTCGTGTGTAGATCATGTATTGGCTACGTCTTTAGCTCAATCAATGAAGCGGATACAGTCCTATATAGACGAAGAATACGATATAACACAAGAGGATGAAGCCATCCAGGATTTGGCTAAGCTTTTGACAGAATCTCTCCATATAGAATAATAGAATAACCAAATGTTCATCCAGCCCATTTTAACGGCTCTACATTATTCACTGACTTATTTTGGATGGTGTATGAAGGAGTATTCGAAGACGGCTTCAATAATAGCGCGAAATGCAGGCCAAAGTGGAAACCGTTTTTGTGTGGCTCAGTGGAGATTGAAGTTCGCAGTCATTTGCCCTCGAGACTGAGGCAGCAAGGTCACACCTTTTGTTCTTTGCAGTCCAACTACAATACATCGCTAAATCATAACTAAATGACTACGGCTGCTCTCTCTTATGAGCAATTGCTACTGCAAAGGTTAGAAGAACGTAACAGTCGAGAGCATGCATATACCGTATTCGTACAAAGCAGTAAGTTGCTTCACATTCTCCCGATCCGATAGTGAATGGCAGTCGGCGTCAAGCTCGAGGACTCCATACCATTGGTATTGCGTCAATGACCAATAGTCTTTACCATGTCGCGGAACCAGACCATGAACGCATTTCAGTAGCTATTCTTTCACTGATAATAATTCACTCCGCTTGTAGACCAACAGTTGCTTGGAAACCTGAAAGCCCTGCAGAAACAGGTGGCAGAGCTTCAAAAAGCAAAAGACCATCTCTCGTCTAGAAATTCTTTGTTAGAGGAGGAGCGAAATAGTCTTAATCAACATGGGTAAGCGACTGGCTTGCTTGTTGATCTCGCACAATATCATGCCTGACTTGAAATGTCTCGGTTTAGGTCGCCTGATATGCAACAAAAAACATTACAGCTGAAAGAGGAGCTCCAGCGATTGAAAGCTGAACAAACAGAAATGTATAAAACGCAGGGCCAAAATGCCCAACGGCTCGTCGATATGAACGACAAGTTGCGTTCCTACGAAGAATCTGACAAAGAATCGAAAGCCAAGTAAGCCATGTTCGATATAAAATATGCGACTTGACATATATTGACAATCCATCATTTATGTCAGACAAATTGAAATGGAAGCAAAGATTAAACAACTTTTAACGAAGCTGGAGCAGCAGACGCATTTATTGAAAGAGAAGGACGTTGCCATTCAGGTATGATTTATGATCAGCTGTGAATTGGGACCATTCATGACATGCGATAACTAATGAATGTAAATTTTCTATATAGGTACTACAAGATGAACTTTCAACTCTCCAATTGGAATTCTCTACCACTGAGGAGAAGAATAAGCGACTTGAAAAGGAAAATGGTGATTTGGTACAAAGATGGCTCAAAAAAATGAATGAAGAGGCTGAGAAGATGAATGAGGCGACCATGTTTTACGAGAGGTGAGAGCTTTTGGACGAGTCGTAATTTCATACATTTGATCTTACAACTAAATTCCTATAGTCTTGCTGAGCAAGCAAAGAATAATGAAAACACCAAATCATCAAGGCGGTGGACTTTCCGTTCTAAGTCTTCAGATGACGATGTTGATAGGTAAGGTAGATCAATTGATGCCAACCATCTCGGGATGTAAGCTGACGTATTTGAATAGACTGAAAAACATACAAGATGTCCCTCTGCGAATATCAATGGTTACTTTACCATCTGCGCCATTACAAACCCAAGTATGTAACACATCGATAGATAGCCTCCACATCTGGCCTCGAACTAACTTTTTCATTAGACAATCAATGATGGGGAGATACATTGTATTAACTGTTCGCCGGCGGGAAATATGTATGCCATCGGTGGCAGCGATAAGAAAGTCCGTGTTTATAATTCAAGGCAATGTAGGTCTCACATCCTTTTGCTAATCTGATGATACGCAAAAATACTGACATTCACGGAAGACAACCTTACGCATACACTGTCTGGGTCACTACAAACTTTGACCTCGGTTGATTTCAATGAGTCTGAGGAGTTTCTTCTCGGCTCATGTATGGATAATTCCACTCGAATATGGGATCTTGCATCATCAAGAATAAGGGTAAATTTTCAAATCTTCTTCTGTATTGTATTTTCCTATCGATTTTATTATCTCATCTCAGAAACTATTATATCCATAGCACACGTTGACCGGACACATTGGAAAAGTCTGTTCAGCAGAGTTCACAGCCGATACAAACAGAGTGGTATGGCCGTCTTCAACATTCACTAATCAGCGAGAGTTTTTGACTAAAGTTTTTGGCAATTCTTTCTAGATTTCTGGCAGTCAGGATAGGACGTTGAAAGTGTGGGATCTTCATAAAGGCTATTGTAAGTACATTCATAAAAATTGGATCCCTAGATATTGTCACTGCTATTGACCGAACTGCATACAGGTACACGAACGATATTTACCTTTTCTAGCTGTAACGATGTCTGTCTAATCGATCGTGAAGGGTAAACTTTGTGACAATATTAGCCCCGGCAATCTCTACCAGTCATTTTCTAAACGATTTGCTTCACAGATCCACAATAGCTAGTGGCCATCTGGACAATAATGTTAGATTGTGGGATACCCGTACCGGAAACGGAATTAAGGAGCTCACCGGCCTTCATACTGGGCAAGTAACGTCTGTCTCGGTGTCTCCAGGTATGTGCAAATGTATACCGCGAACGAAAGATGAAAGGAAAGGTAGTAACAATGAAATGCAGATGGCTCCAAGTTATTGACCAATTCACGAGATAATACCCTACACTTTGTCGATTTAAGGATGTACAAAGTGATCCGTACATTTCAGTAAGTCAAACTGAACCAAATGCAAATGATTCTTACATCTAATCTTTTTTAATTTGTTATAGAGATGAATCTTATCGAAATGGCTTAAATTGGTCAAGGGCGTGCTTCAGGTAAAGCATAACGCTATTTTCAGCTTTGACATTCACATAACAATCTTCTCTAATGCATTGATACGCTAGCCCTGATGGTCATTACGCTGCAGCGGGATCCGCAAGTATGTAATCGTGATTTGGAGCTTTGTTTACAGAATAAGTTTTAACTCTTAGGACTATCGTCCTTTCATCTTATAGCTGGCAACATTCATTTTTGGAACACTATGACTGGCAAACACGAGGCGTCAGTCTCAGGGCATAAGTAAGGCCATCACAAAATGCATTACAATTTTCAAGAACTCCTATTTAACACCATCTCTCCATAGACAACCCATATGTGCAGTTGCTTGGAATCCCCTTGGCACACAGATGTTTAGTGCAGACCGCAACAAGAGCTATTGTATTTGGGACACATCCAGTCAACTTTAATGCCATACCCGTGTTCATTATGTAGCACACATGATAGTATGGGAGCACCAAAAATGTCAACCATACTATTGAGCTCTGACTTTTGTACATTTACAAATTTTTACTTTTCTTTTGGCTTTCGGTATTGCTATTTAAAGTACACTATGCAATATTGCTACCTATGTCTTCTATATCATCGGCATAACCAAAGCCTAGCAATCATATTAGAAGTAAAGAATTAAATTATGATGGAGTCCTGGACATGAAATATCGATCTGCAAGTAATAAATCAAGTGTTTTTATACATAAAGATGTCAACAGCATAATGAAATGAGGTAATGGTCAATTCAAAGACGCGGAGACGAATAGGATAACCTGAGGCTACTAGGACCATTTTATCTTTATTGCGAAAAAATTGAATGAACACACCGGCATACATTCCGTTTTCTAACTCATCAAAAGGTTAGTACTTACCAACACAAGTGTTATATACTTAAAAAATGTAAGGAGGTTTCATCGCGTGCCAAAAAATCTGAAATTAATATGACAAGCAAAAGGAACCGATGGCGAGATTCGAACTCGCGACCTTCAGTTTAGGAAACTGACGCTCTATCCACTGCGCTACAACGGCGTAAATTTGCCGGAATGAGATTCCCTTTGTCATGAAGCTTTACATGTTTCTGATTTATTAATTCACATTTTTGAAATGATTATGCATGTCAATACTAACATTTTCTTGTGTTGTTCGCTTTTTTGTTATACTGAGTAAACTATTGACTTTCAAAATTTTTGGTTCATATGGCGGATTTTGAGTTTGAGACGTAAGTGCGCATTTAAACTTTAACTCAGACTGGCTCTGGAAAAAGCCTCATTTTCTAACGTCTCATTCATTGTTTTGTGCCAAAATATTGTTTCAGACGCATGCATACGACATGCGAAAATTCTATTGTATCCATTTGCTGTTTTGTCACTAGACCAAATGCGAATAGCACTCGTTGTTAGTATTATAATCAGTCTCCAAGCTTGATTTTGATTTGATGATATGTCTCAGGCAATTTCTGGCAAGGGAACGCTATGTGCCTCTAACCCAAATGAGGCTCATTTCTCGCTCTCTTCTGTTACAATCATTTCTTCTATTTTTGAGTGAACACTGTAAGAGAGAGTGGATAAATAGCTGCATTTCCTCTTATCTGCTCTTAATGGGTAAGGGCTGCATCACATTATTGGGTCTTCATTAATGAAAAATCAAAACTAAAGCTTGCAGCTAAATTATAATAATGCAAATCTGAGAGAGTAATGCACTAATAAGCCAATATTATGATAATGCTCACATGATGTGAGGTGCCATAAGCTTTGCTTTTGCCCCTCATCATGGTTCCTCTACTTTCCTCCAACACCTTCAGAAAATACATCCCATTACTCTTAACATGTGTGGTCAACTTGAGCATCAATGTCTAGTCACCTGAACGTGGCTCAGAATCAATTTGCCTTACTCACATATCAGACGAGGAGCATTTTTGATACCTTTGTTAAACCTCTCGAAGATTACCAGTACCATAATGCGTAGCATAATGACCGATGAGTAGAACACATAAAAACTTTAGAGATGTAGATGACAAAGCAAGCACTATCATGTTAAGTCACTTGCTTATTTGCTGCCAGTTCACCTTCTAATTAACCCCCTTCTCAATTGCAGTAGCGAAGAAAAATCAGCGATATGCAGCAGTTGAAGAATGACCAGAGCGATAAATTTTACACAGCAAAAAAAGCGGTGATACTATCCACTTATTGACAAGTGCGAAGATTATCTTCTACTTCAAAAGTAGCTATACTGTGATACTTCGCCGTGCTGAGCCCATATTGAGCACCAACGGTATAGGCATTTATTCTTCATATGTACAGCTCTACTCAAACCGTTTGACGGTTTAATCTAGATGTAAATGTAGAGAAAGCACTTTTTGATAATAGAACATATTTCAATCTTATTTTTGAAAGAAGGGAGTGAGTTAAACATTAACTATGCCTAGGGCGAGGCTAAACGTGCTACATTTATCGCTGATACAGACCAGCAGATACTTCAAAGTTCAAAATGATATCCATAAATCTAATTGATACTCTCATGAGTTATGACTTCAAGTTAACGGTGGGAGTTTCCATGGTGTTCAAAAAAAAAAAGACCCTTGGACATGAACAATTTGTTGCAGCACAGAGGATATGGCTCGTAATTGTCGGGTCACGTGCTCAACACAAAAAGTGTGTTTTTTGGCTACAGTGTCAAAGATTTAACAGTCGCTACATCACCTTTACCTGATACACGCAATGTCCTGGCAGGCGCAAGGTATGAATTGGCATGGACTATGTATAAAGTACATCAGTAGTTGAACTTACGTGTTTCATCGATTTAGAACGAAGCGCAGCCGACATGGCATCCTCTTTCTTAAATTCTGTTGGCCAGCAGCTGTCGCACCCCAGTGGTGATCCTTACTACCAAGATAATGGAGGTTAGTTTCACACCACATGGAAGCCTGTAATCTAATTAGCTACAGTGATCAGAACCAGAATGGCGCTTTTGATCTTAGCACGATTGATTTAAAAGTGATCTAGACTGATTACTGCTTCCAATCTCAAATGATTTGAAAATATTTACTAACCCCGTTTTTCTAATGTGATCCTCTCTTCCCACAGGTTATGGAGCCAACGTGGACTATTATGGAGGACACGGCGAACGAGATGGATCCAGATCCGAGAGAGGCTCTGAGCGACACTATGATCGACCCAGAGACAGAGATAGAGACAGGGACAGAGACAGAGATCGCAGATCACGCAGAGACCGCTCCAGAGACAGAAGAGACAGAGATCGAGGAGGCAGAGACAGAGATAGAGATAGACATCGACACAGTCGACGTGGCAGTCGTGACCGAGAAAGAGAAAGAGATGATTACAGACGGTCAAGCAGAAGAAGCCGAAGTCCACGTCAGAGCAGCCGACACAGTCGTAGTGGTGGAGACAGCACAGTTGTTCCTTTGCATCTGAGACCAAGAAAACTCGACAACTGGGATCGTCCCCCGGAAGGTATGGAGGGCATGACAGCTGAACAGGTGAAGCAAGCAGGTAAGCTTTAGCGCAGTAGACCTTCTGTCACAATAGAACGTCTCTTAACCTTTTATATGTAAACAACAGGTCTCTTTGTACTTCCTGCTCAAATGGGTGGCCGTATGGGTACTGGAGTTGATCCTGGCCGTGCAGCTGTCATTGGAGCTGCTGAAAGTGCCAACCCCGTTGCTGTCAATGCGACAATGGCACGCCAATCTCGACGACTTTATGTTGGGCAAATTCCATATAACATCAATGAAGAAGCTATTGGAGAATTCTTTAACAGTACCATGATGCAGATGAGCCTTGCAACATCAGCGCCAGTCCTTTCCGTACAAGTCAATCACGATAAAAACTACGCTTTTGTTGAGGTAAGCAAAAATGAAATACGTGTTCCTTTTAAAACTTGCTTTTAACCACTACCCACAGTTTCACCACCCTGACCAAGCCACTGCAGCATTGGCTTTTGATGGCATATCTTTCCAAGGTCAAGCATTGAAGATTCGACGACCAAAAGATTACCAGCCAGCCTTTGGTTACAATGAAGCACCAGCTGTTCATGTTCCTGGTCTTGTTTCTACAAATGTTCCTGATACACCTAACAAGATATATGTTGGAGGACTCCCTACCTATCTTAACGATGAGCAAGTGATGGAGCTTTTGAAGTCTTTTGGTGAACTTCGAGCTTTCAATTTGGTCAAGGATACACAAACTGGGCAATCAAAGGTACAGTATAAAGACTAGTGCTTGTTCTTGCTTCAGTGGATGCTAGTACTGACATTTGTGTCATGTGACAGGGTTTCGGTTTTTGCGAATACGTTGATCCCATCGTTACGGATTTGGCTTGCCAAGGTTTGAACAACATGGAACTTGGTGACCGAAAGCTCATCGTACAGCGTGCCAGTGTTGGGTCTAAGGGAATGCCCATGGACACAGTAATGCCGCTTTCTGCGCCATACACAGTTACTGCTACAGGTGTTACTGATCAAGAAGCCACAAAGGTTGTTCAATTGATGAATATGGTTACGCCTGAAGAACTTGAAGATCCTAGCGAATATCAAGGTATGAAAAAATATCAAATCGTTGCTATAGGTTAGGTTGGAGTTCATGTTTCTCACTCTTTTCTTTAGAAATTTGGGAGGATGTTCAAGATGAATGCTCCAAGTTTGGTGCTCTTGTTGATATGAAGATCCCACGTCCTCAAGAAGGCAACGTTGTCCCCGGCCTAGGCATGGTAAGTCCATGCTTCTTATAAACAAAACCTGGAAATCATTGTTCGTCTAATGCATTCATTGAAATTTCTTTGCAGATATTTATTCGTTATGACAACACGGACGACTCTCTAACCGCCCTGAAAGCACTTGCTGGGCGCAAGTTTGCAGATAGAACTGTACTGGCTTCTTTCTACGATGAATCAAAGTACGAAGCTGACGAGTTCTAAGCTCTCATATGTTTGAAATTACTCTATGTTGTGTTATCAAGAATCCCCAAAAACAAAATACATAAAATTGGTTCAGTCAAAAACGAATGAATGGTCTGTATTGACTGAATGAAACGGAGAACAAGGGAGGTTTAGCTGTTGGGAAAGCAATGATGAGGCGGTATGTCTGCTTCAATATTTTGGTAGTTTGGTTATTAAAAGATTGCGAAACTTTTGCGAAAAGTAAGGGAAAACTGTAGCTTGTTGGTCTAGAATTATGCTTTGAAGATCAGGCATGTGCCATCGTCGGATCCAGTTACAACAGTGTCTCCGTTGCTGTAATGAAGCAAGAACATAGCTGGTTAGTATCCATATCACATATATACATCAGAACGAGTAATTTTACATACTTTGAAATTGCAAAGTCCAAGACGGCATCTTGGTGGCCCATCCATTTCTTCAAGCACTCGCCACTTCTGGTATCCCATAGTCGTACACTTCTATCGGCAGAACATGTGACAAGGTTGACAGAGTTTGAAGCAAACTGTACCTTGATGACAGCATCCTGTATAGGAAAAGTTAGTCGCATGTAAATCCACTGGGCATCATATGCAGAACAGCTACTTACGTCGTGTTTCAGAGTGTGACGAACGCGGTGTGTCTGGATATCCCAGACGCTAACTTTACCGTCAACTGATCCCGTAGCAGCAAGAGGAAGACTAAGAAGCAAAATGGATGAGTATATGCTAATGATATATGCCGATAGTAATGTATCGAAGCTTACACATCACAAAAACTGACGGATTCGATAGAGTCCGAGTGATTTTCTAAAGAGGCAATGATCTAAACAGTTTACATTAGATTGCGGACGAATAACATCAAAGATTCCTCAAAGTCCACTTACATTTCCATTGTGTAGATTGAGAAGCTTAGCGGTTCCGTCCGCTGAACCGGTTAATGCCAAATTGCTATCCTTGTCTGTGGAGACACAGATGATGGGCTCGGAATGGAAGCGTCCATCTGCACCGGTCAGCTTAACATTTGCCGCTGCTGATTTGGGATCCCAGACGATGAATGTTGCATCTTCAGCAACCGTGACGATATGTTTGCCTAATTGTGTTCCAGTTAGTTGACGTTTCTGGACAGATCAACATAAAAATCACTATATTTACCGTCAGCAGTGAATTGACCAGCAGTAACTGGTGCAGCATGTCCATTGAAGATATTCATGAACTTTCCAGATGGCACTATCGTCAATTGGTTAATGGCGTACATTCGCCTGAATTCAATTATAGGTGTACTTCACTTACTGGCCCACATCCAGATCGTTGAATCAGTGGCTCCCGCCAACAATACATTTCCCTTAGGGTGCCAGTCCAGCCACTATTACTGAGGGTCAGTATCGAGCAATTATGTGGGATTCAATATGGGTGACTTAATACTTACAATGATCTCATCGGGGCCATCAACTTGAGTGCAAAGCTCTCCAGTATTTGTTTTCCATACACGAACTTTGCCGTCCATGCCTCCCGAAGCAACATATTCACCAGATACGCTGAAGGCAACACTGGAGACTGAGTCTGTATGACCTTCTAGAGTAACAAGCTTCTCTCCTGTATCAGCTCGCCAGATATGGCTCTTATCGTCGCCGCCACCACTAATGATGATGTCGTTTTCCTTTGGGTGCATTGCGACAGTATAAACAGGTTCTTATGAAAATGTCCACAACGTCAGCTGTCAAGTTTTGATGGTATAGAAAGCAGTAGATACATACCCTTGTGGTCAAAGAAGCCTTGGACGGAGTCATCAACGATTTCCATGACACTGTCATCGCCTTCTACCTCTCGGACGCCGTGGAAGCCGCCATATTCATCTTGGTCTGTCACATCGATTGGTCAGATTTTGAAAACAAGCATAGTTCTATAGCTGGTAATGCTTTATTACCTCCTTCTTCTTCGTCATCCATGTAATCTTCATTTTCTTCGTCATGTTCCTCTTCGGCGACTTCGCTTTCGACAAGGTATTCCTCATCAACGGCATCGTCGAACTCCTAAATTAAGCATGGTTAGCCCGAGTTCAAATCCTAATCACGCTTGTCCATTTGACTCGAAGTATACCTCTTCGTAGTGATCCTGCTCGCTTGCTGACATAAGTATGGAATGGGTTTGTACAGTAAGCAAGCCGCAGCTCAAAAAAAATCTGAACTTTTGAACATTATTGTGACTGTGGAAATAAGGCACGTACCGCTTTTTGCATGGTGGACTCAACCATCCTCGTTTTCCCATCGTAGGTTCTAGCAAGCGATGGAATCACCGCAAATCACTTTGTCGCCTATCGAGGAAGCACCTTCCTCTCCTCTTCTTTCAGAACCCACTAGGAAAAGGAAGAATAAAGACCGCCCTACGCATCGCCCTCAACTTTCTATACCACAGCCAATATATACCAGAAGAATGACGGTGCACATGCCGGAAACAGCGCCAGACTCAACCTACTTATGGGGATATGCTCTACTGGCTGGAACATTTACAACTTTTGTAGTTACGGTTTATGCTACGGTGGGGACTTATTTTGTGCCCTACACTGGAATTTGGGTTAGTTAGCAATTTATAAGCCGATGTCAGTGCCTGTTATCTAATAATTCACTATTCTTAGATACTTGACGCCATCAAGGACGATGACTACTATTGCCTTTTGATCCCAATTACATCCATAGTCAGTATATATTTTATTGTGTGGAATTGGATGGGGATGAAGTTCTTCCGGCATAACTGAACTTCAAGGCATTGAATTACAAACAAATCGATACCGCACACGACGTTTTGTCGTAATTTTTACACCCTGTAATTGTACTGTACAAAATAAATAACAATGAAGATAGACAAAAAGTATAACCAACTGTTCAGAAGGAAGGCAGTCATTTAAATAACAGCATGCTTTACGTCTCAGAAGAGATTTATCCATTGACATTCATCATTGTGTTAGCTATACAAGTGACTCGAGTAATGCTATAAATCGTTCGAGCGACTCTAGCGACTCAAAGTCACTGAGAAGGCAATTCGCCAGACTCAGCTGGGGAAAAAAAAAATTCGGGCCGATAATCTACATTCCCAGTAACGAGGAGGAGGATGAGTTGTCCCACTCCTATAGATCTAACAACTCCCAGACTAAGACTCATCGATCAGACTTATCCTTTCACTTAATAATTCTTATAAAACTTAAATGAAATCCGCTATCTGACATTTATCTGACAAGTGTAAGATCATAGCGCTCATGAACAACTAAGACAACTTGGTGGCTTGTTATTACCTGGCCAGGGTTGCGCACTTGATACTACCGCTCCGCACCAATCTTAATAATAATCCTTGGTTATTATATAAATAATAATTAAGTATATGCTACGCACTACCTTGTTGTATAAATATATAAATAAGTCATAAATCGTTCAACAAAAGAATAACAAAAATAATCACTGAGATTTTACGTTACGCGGACATTTAGAATATAGTCAACTACTCTCGTTGAGTCAACGGTAGAGACTGTCAAATTTCATCGCAAAGAAAATGACCGTCGGTTGAATACTAAACAGCCTCACATCTCCGGCCTCAACGCACTCTTCTTTAACACCATCAATCTAGTCGTGATCAGCTTTCCCATTAAATTTTAGTTAGTGGCTGCAGTAATTGACGTATCACATCCATCTGTTTTCTTAGAATCCCTATAGACCCGTTGGTATTGGAGTGCCAGTCTGAGTTTGTCGTCTGTGTTGAGCGCAGATCCCTTGAGTAAATCAAGCATTTCCAGCCGCGGTGAACCGAAGCCTAGAGAAGAACCTACTCTTAGTTTGAACGGAATTGACACGTAAGGACCGCTGTCAGATAGTTTCACAGTTTCCACTTGTTGATCGAAGTGTAATGTTCGGTTTCCATTATACGCGCCTTTAAGTAAGTGTATTTCTTTCCCTCTCTCTCTGAGATCGATCAGCAGAGAAGAATCTTCATTTGCAACAGTCAGAAACGGGGTGTCGGCTAAAAGTACGTCGTCGTTGAGCACAGGCAGAGTAACAGTACCATCACCAGTGATGCCCGTGACGCATGAACCGTAACTTGACAGAATGTGCTTGCATGCTTCTCTGTTTGACATCGCCTGGGTTATCACGTCAACTGCGTAGCTGTTATTTTTGACAACAGCCGGTAGATCGTAGTAGTTTTCATAGACAATTTGGCCCCGAACCATGTCATACCATGACCAATTATCGTGGAAAGTTGCCACTACGAAAGCTAAGAGTAGCCCTTCTAGCACAATTACTAGAGATGCTAAGGATGTGGGGTCTACACCATCGATGACCATAGGCTCCCATTTGCTAATACCTCCAACCAGTACGAACAGCTCGATTATCACAAGCACCAGTAGTAGCGGGTAAGTAAAGGTACGAACTGATACGTAGAACCCTCGTCTATCAAACATCGAATTCATCTTCATTTCTGTTGTTGGTGGAGGCCAATATTGAGATTCGTTTGCTATTGCTGCTATTAGCGGTCTTGTGGGATCTCCGAAACATAATATCGTCATTATGTACATACTCCCAGGCCAAGAGATAGCCATATCTGCTATATCGAAATTTAGGGCCCAGTTCCAAGGCGTAACGATACTTTTCCTGCTAATCTGCTCCATATAACGGTAAGCAAATGTTTCTGTGGGCACATTAAGCGTAGAATTTATATTCATATCAGTAGCAAAACTGATCACGCCTTGGACTCGCTCTATGATGCGTGACCAATTCTTCGAGACTATATATCGAGAGACTAATATGCTGACATATAAGGACCAGTGGTCTGGGTCGTAGTCGAAATGATTTCCTATGTCTACATACAATCCTAGGTGATGGTAGTCACCAGCGTCCAAAGGTGATGCAACAATTCCATGTAGTACCAGCATGTCTATGACACATCCACAGAATTTGCTGTTGAGATCGGATAAATCTTGCTGTGTCCATTCCTCTCTACAATCATTCGAGATAATTCTGCTACCATCCACGAGCACAACGTCAGTTTTGCTCAATATATAATTGGTGTCATCCGCTGACCACAAGTCATTAAGCTCCTTAGCTATGTCATCCTTGACCTGCCGTATCAATAGCATCATATGTGTGTTTACAGTCTTGCCGCTCTTCGTCTCTAAGGCACTTAATCGATTGGCCATAATCACAGCCCACCATTCATACTCTTGGACAGGTGGCCCAAATTCTCCGTACAACTTAAGGTAAGATTCATGAGAGTTTCGTTCAGGGTTAGGACGGTTGTAATAGTTCTTGTTTTGGAGTTCTAGCCAACCTGGCTGACTTGTTGGCTGCTGCTTGAAAGCTTCAAGTAATTTGCTGATATAGCTACCTGCTAGCGATAGCTTTTTAACCATTTGAAAAAAGAAATCAGTTCGATGAGTCGTCGAATGGCGAAGTTTTATCGACCTGAGGGTAGCTACACCAATTGCCTAAAAGTAGGTGGCAAAACAGTGCTACGTCACGACACGTGGGGAATAGACCTGTTAACGTCTACATGTACTCGCGGCTGTACTACAACAAGCTGAATAAGGATTCAATGAAGACGCGTTCGTTCAAGAATAATATGCGCATCCTAAACCAAGTATTCATTGACGCTCCGCAACCAGGTGTTCAGGAAATCGAGGACGAAAAATGTCGGGAGAAAAATATCACAATACCAGACATACAGAGGAACAAGATCAGGGCCTATCTGTACGTGCACCTGAGAATCTGTGATCTTGTAGATGAAAGACTCGGTAATCCAGACCTGAGATTCCCCCTTAAGAACCGTGAAATTTGAACGATTCAAGCCATCAAATTTTACAGTATAAGATCCCGACATTGGCAGGCTGCTATGCTAAAATTTTGTGTTCGTTGAAATCTCAACAGTGGTTGCGCGTCTGTTACATATGGGATCCACGACAGTATCTCACTAAAATCTCAAATCTTACAATCAATATTGAAATGAACAGGAACTTGGATTATATTGAGATCAGGCAAAAATATTACCAGAACAATGGCCTAAGTTGCAAAGTGATCGTTGATATTACACAAAACCAAGCTGAAAAGAAACAGTCAATGGTGGTAGCAAAATTATCACTTCGACTTGGGAACTTTGCAGAAACAAAATTTCGAAAATCATTTCAAATTCATTTGTACCAGGCGTCAATGAACTTGAACTTAAATGAAGCATTTTAAACATATAATAATTGGTATAATAATCACTTAGCCATAGCCGAATTGTTTCTGGTACCGATAAAGCCATAGAAACGCTATATATGAGTCCAGTCAATTTACGCAAGTGAACAAATATCCAATAGTTCAAAAAATTAATCATAAAGTAATGGTCACTTATGGCAGCATTTTTTGTGAACCATCAAATGTTCAGAATCTCATTAAAAGCATACCCTTTTTCTTTTCATTTGGATAACTGCTACGATTCTATTTTCTGAAAATTAGAAAAAAAATCCTTTAATTGAGGTATATTTCAAGTTTTAGCTCTTTCGTCGTACGGTTAATGTCAGTGTTCCGGCGGATGCGAAGATAAAGTACAATGAAAATTCTACGTTCAACATGTCGCCATACTTTATGAGATTGTTTTTTCCATTGCTAAACAAGCTCCTCATCAATTTTTTTTAGTGACACACTGTATGCAATATTGGTGGAATTTGTAAATATGAGTTCTCTATACTTCCTTTTAACCGGATCTGTCAAAGGTAAGGTCGTAATGTTAGTGGTAAAACCTTGATTTATTGACGAAGACGTGTTGATACCTGTTGGTTTGCACTTGAAGCGCGAAAAGCCATCAGTGTGGTAAATAGTGACAAAAGCGGCGCCACATCCTGATAAACAGGTTTTGGGTGCTACATTGAAAAAAAGAAAAACAACCAAAATGAGGCCGAAAGAAAGCGTTTGGTTTCCTCGACCGATGACTGCTCCATCGCAGCTTTGTGGATTAAACTCACACAAATAGATTATCTGTTTAGCATTTTATCTTTTCTTCTTTTTGGTATCAAGATATCCTTTTAATCTTTATAATTTAAAAAAGCATAGCGCCTAGAGGGGCTATGGGGTGTTATTTGTTGAAATGCGCTCGCAGTTGGCTCTCTTGACATATGAAGAAGAATGCATCAAATGAACGATTGCTAAGATGTCCGATTGGCTACCAGTGCTAGACAATACAGTTTTTCCCTTGACAGATACACGGTTCGCTATTCCTAATGCAGCCAGCAATCACTTCTTTTTAAAGAGATTAAGGAAGCTATCACTGCCAGGATGATTGCATATATGGTATGATCAGCTGCGTAAATCAATCATAGCCTATGTAGGCGCCTGAAGCTGAGAAGTTTCTGGATAATACGAGTTCAAATCGGTGATTTCCCATGATGTTTTAAAAAGGAAACATTCGTTGCTGAAGATCAGTTTATTAAGGTACGAACAAGAAGTAGAATGTAAAATACAGATCTCAGAGTTGATGTGTCAGACGGCATGATAATCTAACATCAACAGTATTGATGCTACACAACGGAATGGACGCAGCAAACTTTTTATATACCACCCATATTTATCGTGTGTACTGGTGTTTTATTTGTGTCTCTTGACGTGGTTGATCAGCGCTTCGGTACCTTGCGGGCTCCAAAATCTCTTGTGCGTTGTCCAGAATATTCAAAGCATCTTCGATATCTTGTGCTGTACATTCCGGAGAAGGGCGAGGTGGGAGGTTGATGATGCGATAGAAACCTTCTGGTCGCTCCATGGTAGGCGGGGTATAATTGGAGACAAACCGGTTGAGAATTTGAATGCCATGGTGTCCTTCCACCTGGGTTGGATGGTTTTGGCGTACATTGATGCGTTCGGCGCATTCCTATCAGCGTTCATATTTAGAAACACAATAGCCAATACGGAAAATCAAAGAATAATTTGACTCACCTCAACCGTAGTGTCAAAAATTATACAGTCAACTCGCATGTCATTCTTGTAAGCGATGTCGATCCAAGTTCGTCGTTGTTTGGAATCAAAGTTGCTTCTATCAATTACAATGTTAAAACCCTGGATGGCCGGCATGGTTAGTTTTCTGTCAAGCGTAAGTTTGTTCCTGAGAAATGAGGGTTCACCTTAGTAATGTAACGTTTGGTAGCGTGCTCGCATGCCGGCCGTGAGCCTAAATCATCTTGGTTCACTCTCTTCCATTCTGATTTGGAGGCTGCCAGCTTGGTAGCAAATGTACTTTTGCCAGAGCCCGGTAAGCCCACCAAAACCAACATGCGTTTACTCATTGCAGCGTATAGGGTAACAAATTGAATATATTTTTGTTGTTACCAAGCAATTGGGGAAGTTCATTACTGCACAGTCACAAGCACAATGGTAGCAGAATGACAAGAAACGCTCTATTATGCGAACTTCTCCTTTTCTTCTTCCCATTTAGGTCTAGGGATCTCATATCCTTCTGTGGTGCGGCCATAAGATATACCACCCAATCTACTCAGAGGTCTAAGTTTTTCGAGGGAGACATGATAGCTATTGGTATCCACAACGTCATCGTCAATGTGGAACATGCAAATCTCTCCAATAATATGAAGAAAAGTTGTTTTTCCTTCCTTGTTAATGATTGGCAAGTGGTGGACAAGTTTACATTCCATTTGGTAGGCGCTTTCCTTTACTCTCGGGGCTTGCACTTGAAGCGAATCGATTGGCGTCAATCCACTAAGTTGGAATTCGCTTTGGCCCGGTGGAGCGTCTATGGATGTATAATTTGCAGCCCTAAAATTTTTCTCATAAGAGATGTGTACATGCCGAGGAAGATGAGTGAATGAATGCAACTCATGCTTACTCTGCGAACCATTCGGAAATGATATTGACGACAAATTCTCCGGAATCCAATATGTTGGTGGCAGTGTCCTTCTGGTGGCCCCCAGCCATAGCTATACTGATAGCTACGGTTGGCGGATCGTTACATACCACGTTAAAGAAGGAGAACGGTGCTAAGTTGAGTAAACCTGTTTTCGAACGTGTGCTGACAAATGCGATGGGGCGAGGGACCACGCCTCCAATCAACAGTTTGTAGGAGTTGCCTGGTCCAATTTCTTGAGGGTCTAAAGCAACTTTTTGAACGGCATGTTCTGAACGACCTTGAGAGTTCTGCGGTTTCCATGCCGGATGTGGAACTTGCGATAAGGTAAATTTCTTATCGAGGTCAAAAGGTGCTAAGCCTGCCATTATGGTGGAAGACAAAGGAAGGATGCGAAGTATTTGATCGGTACGATCGGTGGGGGGGGGGCTACAGCATAAATTGCAAATTCAGAAATGACGTGAGCAAATGATCTTGGGGTTCTTACCAATTGTGGGGGGTGCTAGTTTCAACGGGAAGGACAAGGTTTGGTTGATTTAAAGAAGCCAAGTTATTAATAACTGAGATGATGGCAAGAGAATTTCAAAGTATTACACGTTCCATGTGAGCCAGGTTAGACATGAATTTTTTTTGGGTACAGCATAAACTAATAAAAAGAAAATAAAGTCCCCTCTACAAGTTTTTTTTTCTTTTGATCGCATGCTGTTAGTCAAAATCTCTGGTCATTAAATCTTTTCTCTCTCTCTCTTCTTTTGCTTACTCTTGTTTTTTCCCCTTCTCTTTTCCCTTACTTCTTTCCTTGTTTCCTTCGCCTACTTCCATTCGATATCGATATAGCGCATGGAGCATTCCTGCTTTTGGGCGCTTTTGTCGCATGGAGACTTGAATTTTGTATATCTCCCGCTGTCTATGGCTGCTCGCGATCAATTCTTCGGGAAAACCTTCTTTGATTTCGTCCATCCTGAAGAAGCTGTGTTTGCACGTCAAGACTTGTCTAATTTCATGCACGCACATACGCTTGGTGGTTCAGTTACTCGGTAATCTTTTGCGAAAGTAGGAACGACCTTAAATTTAACGCGTAGCTGATGTTCTTTTTTTGATAAGATGTCGACTTAAAAACGTCAACGATATGCAGCCACCCAACGCAAAAAGCAAAATTTTCAGCATTGGCGATGTAAGAATGATGTTTTTATTTTTTTTAGTCTTCTTTGCCCTCAATTATTTGCCGCAAGGTTAGGCGTCATCCCTAATAACTGACCCTTATGTGGTTATGATTTTAGGCATGGCTCATTGTCGATGTAATTATGTACGTTGTGACGGAAACGCTGATATTAGCCTTCTTTCATTGCGATACTGGTATGATAAGATTTTGGTTCCGTTCCTGCCTATTATGCATTATGCTAAAGCCCGCTTTCTGCTTTGACCATGTTTTGCAGATGGCAACGACCCACGATTGCAATCCAAATCCTTGCTCAGATGTGGAGACTACAATTATGGAATGCCGGTAAGTGGGACCTGAAGTATCATAACATTGTATTGCTGTTGTTTACTGATCAAGAATGGGTTCCGCTCTTAAATATACTATGCTGCAGGAAGCAGAGAACACTATACAGACTTTAAGGCGTCATGACGTACATTCAAATGTATACCCGTTTTCCAAACCTGCCAATCCTGCATCTCAACGCATATTTCAGATTCTTGATAACCGCACCAAACAATTGTTGATATCCTGGCCAGAACCTCAGGACAGTACACCCAATTCGGCTACATGTCAAGTCAAGTATAACAAAAATGTTATCGCATCATTATTCGACACAAGGACGAAATCCGATACGACCATGATGAATGACTGTGATACCCAGGATAACGGGTTTAGCTGCATACAAAAAACCTGTACGAGTTCTTGCACTTCGTTTCAATACGGTAATACATTGAAGACCGTCGAGCGCGTCCTGATCACCTATGGCAATATCATGTTTGGCTTATTTCAGTTGTCTGATTCGTTATCGACCAAGCCTATCTCATCCAGTGGCCAAACATTGTCAATGCATCTGAACAAACCCAGGGACGATAGGCTTGTGATACCGAGTTTATCTGCAAGCGCTAGAACCTTCCCCGATCCAACTAAAAACACCGCGGTTCCTTCATTACTTTTGTCAAATAATCACACCAATACCTCCACTTGTACAGAATCATATCCATTCCAACCAAATCATTCCATCGAAAAAATCGTGCCTCCACCGGCCAGCAGTCCACGAAGGCATTACGTCGTAGGATCTGATCCCTCCCCACACACTGGCTCTCCAACTTCACCTCAATCACTGTCCACCAACTTATTAATACCATATGCTAGACGCATATGTAATTTCCCTCAACTCTCACCGGAAGTTTTGACCGCCTCGCGTAACGATCAGCGACGACCCTCTGAATCGTACTTTAGAACAAATCAACCCAAAAACGTATTCTCTGCTCACACATGTGAAAGCTGCGGGACAGATACAAGCCCAGAATGGCGACGGGGCCCATCAGGCCACAAAACGTAAGCGTGCAATGTTAATTCTATTGATAAGACTAAAAATATATTTTTTTTTTTTCATCTTTTTGCTCATCTTCACCTTTATTAGCTTGTGCAATGCATGCGGTCTACGCTACTCTCGATCAATAGCTCGACAAACAAAAGCCGCACGGCAGCGGGATGATCGACCGCCAAACTCCGTTAAACCCCACGAAACACTCACACAGAAACGGCCATCTCAGGAAGAGGACCCCATAGTGCTGTCTCCGTATTTGCGACAGTCTCGGTTTCAATTACCAGATGAGCGCCAGTCTAACACTGCTCTAGCTATGAAGTCTGACTGCGTTCGAGGGTCCCATAGATGGCCTTCTCCCCCCAGCTCAAAAGCATAGAATATACATTTCTACTTAAAGAAAAAGCCAAAAAAAAAACACAAACACTACTCATGTACATTTTTTCTCGTTCGTAAAGCACAAATCGAAATTTCCTTGTTGTTCCCACATATCGCCTGATCCGTTAAATCAATTTTTATTTTATGAGAATGTTCTGCTCAGCAATGGTTGCTAGCAATCCAGATTATCGGTTAATAGCGAAGGGGTTGTTTGTAGAGGAAAATAAGCGTTTGCTTGTCTTCATATTAGCCGCCTAAAGCTCAGCCGTTTATTTACATTCATTTATGAGCTAAGGACTACGACTTCCGCTCCCTCTCCCCCAAATTGCATCAGTTTGTTATAGTACACGATTCAGTGCCTGGCGGACTAGTACATCTTTTCATCTTGATTCTGTGATACAGAGGCATTGCTTGTGGAGGTCAACTCTTGTTGATCAGATTTTTGTTGACTAGAACGATCAATCAAAAAGTGCCCTAAAAAATGAAGGGGGTCTGCTGGTCTATCCGTATAAAATGTGAATAAGGTAAACTGAATTTCCAAAGCGCAATCTTGCTATAATCAATATAACATATACCTACCGTTGTGAGATTAATAGCTGCATTCCTTCCAGGAGGGTTGGAACCACTGCTTCATCCAGATAGGCTCGGGCCGGAAGGGAGTTTAAGGCTGATTGTGATTTTGATTCACTTGGGTATCGTTCAGTAAATGTAGGTGTGTGATCCATGGGAGTTGAGTTCAAGACGTCCTGTTTTTCTATTGCTGCTGTCTGTAATAGCCGGTCAGTACATGTACTCATTGAGGTGGTCACTTCGGCTTTGTGTCATTACCTCTGAACTAGCATCTGGTGTGAAACCAGAAAGTTTTTGAGGGAGATCTTTACTGAGAATCGCGGCTGGTAAGACTATTGCACTTCGTACCGCTTGAATGCATGTGTCAAAGTTCTTTACCTGAGATTTTCCATGCTGTCCTGGTGAAATAGGATTTCGGTCAACGGCACAAGTTTTTTTTTTTAATTTCTTGGAAATTTTGACGATGATTTTGAAACGCATACACAGTTATCAATTCAGTCAATAACAGTACAGCAGGCAAAATGCCTGAAATTTGAGCACTATGCTACAAGTTAGCTGGTGAATTCCGTATACTCAACACGACCGGCATGGTACCTGAAGAGTGATATCGTTCTGTGATTTATACCACGGTTCTCATCAGTTTCATACATACGCCCGCATTGGATGTTCCTTAACGCGCGTTTTCATTCTATATCACATTACTTCGCGTACATGACTTCACATAGACTTCAAATTAAACCAAGAGCAGGAAGCGTTTCTAAGCTGCTATCCAACAAAAATACTTTCATCCAGTCAATGACAAACAAACACAATGGTGTATACTGCATAATGCATTTTTCATTTTTGATTTTAAAACATTTATAACCCTTCCTCAATCTATTCTATACTGGAGATTTACTTGGTAAGAGCAGCGGTCAAGGCCTCGTAGACTTCGACTTCGATCTTGGCAGCAGCCTTCTCCTCCTCTGAACCAGTAGCAGAAGCCTTTTGGGCTTCGGCAAGACCGGCTCTAACAGCCTCAGGAGAGAATTGATCCAACTCGAAAGCTTCAACAGCGTTGATGTTGAGGGTGGAGTCAGGGTTGATAGTGGCGAATCCACCAGAGACTATTGGTGGAATGAAAGGTCAGTTCAGGTACACTCCAGGTGTATGTAGGAAAAGGTTTCGATAGTTGCGTTCTATTTACATAATTCTCTCTGCTACTGTGCCACAATCATGTTTTGACTCTCTTCCCAGCAACCATTTCTTTTCCGCATGCTCTCATATAAGCAATACTTACCAAAGTACTTCTTGGTGGTGGAGGCGTTCTCCAAAACTTCGACAACACCAGCCTTGAGCTGTTCGATGGTGGGAACGTGGTTGGCGAGGACACCCATGTCACCAGAGGTGGCAGCCAAGTTGACTTGGTGAACTTCAGTGTTCTTATAGATGGCCTGGTGTACGTGAATTATTTCATTTCAAGGTGGCGACAAATGGTTGAAAATAGGAATGACGGTACGAATTCAAATGTAAATAGGGTTGTTCGGGAGAATAACGGTGAGTGATGGATTCTACATCTCGAAGTTTGAATTTAGAATAGAAATATTAAGCGCACCTGATGAGGAACAGCGAAGGTAAGACGAAGCTTGTCGCTGGCAGCACCGGCAGGTGCCTCGGAAGCATAGAAGCGAGCTACAAGCGAGTAAAGCGTTAGTGAGGCGTTTCCTATAGCCCTTAGTTTAAAGTCGAAACCTACCCATGCGCATGGGCTTGACAGCAGCTCTGGCGGATCTAGCAAGAACGTTCATGATGGAATTTGTACACAAGAAGATTCGAGGTTTGGACGTCTGGCAGACAAACAACACGAGCAGAAATGATGACGTCGACAACATTTTCGGGTAAGGGGGCCCTCGCGCTAAGCCTCCAAATTTTTTAACATTGCCAGTCTCAGAGAAAACAAAGGCCCTTACTTTCCTTCATCAATGAGTTACCTTAGTCGTGCCATCGGAAAGGCTTCCTTCGGTAGCCTTCGCGTCCAACGCGCCAACGCCAACTTCCTCGCCAAGGCCGTCGCTAAGCCTTTTGCTGTTCAAGTCGGTTCCAAGGGTGAGCTTTGGTTTTTTCCGCCTGCACGAAAAAAAAAAAACACTCAACAAACCGGAATTCCTCATCCTAATATTAACTCTTTGTCTGCATTATAGCTCGCAACTATGCCACTGAGTCCCACTCCACTGGTGAGATTCGGTATGTTTCATCTTTCAACCTCCATATGTTACACCTTTCTACAATGAACAATAAGTATTAATCTAATTACCCCAATGTACACAGTTCCGTTATTGGTGCCGTTGTCGATGTTCAGTTCGAACAGGACACTCTCCCTGCTATCTTGAACGCTCTTGAAGTCCAAGACAGCGCTGGTGGTCGTCTTGTCCTCGAAGTTGCTCAGCATCTTGGTGAGAACACTGTCCGTACCATTGCTATGGACGGTACTGAGGGTAAGT